GTCGGCACAGTTAATTATTTGTAACCACAGACTCGAAGCATTACAAACAGACAGGACCTGTGTATTGCTTCAGAATGTGTGTCTACTGAAAAATATGCTCTGAAATTTTGTACACATCGGCAAAATCTTAATTACATAATACTCCATTAATGTTGTGTGCCTTGCAAGCCTTCTTATCTTAAGTCTGTTATAGCTTCAGAAGAACACACATTATATAGAGGCTGAAGGACATTCAGGAACCTTGACACATTTTACGACAAAAGATAGTGAAAGTTTAATGTGCTTTAGAAGTCTTTCTGATCAAGATGAGACCTACTCGTGCAGAGGACACAACCAGGGATTGCTGACTGTGGAAATTATACAGCTCCTCCCTCTAAGCAGTGTGCAGAGTTTGTGACGGTCGAGATATGTACATGTTGCTACACCTCCTGAAATGCTTTGATTTCAAATTATGTATTTAAAAATTGAATTACCGTGAGTCATGGGTAGCAGTCTGCTCAGCAGGACAATGCTTGTTTGTTGCATTGACTTTCAAGCCATTGCAGGTATCATGCAGTTAGACTTGAATTCTGATAAACTCGATTCCCTCAACCCCCTAGTTTCAGCAATTGGAAAAGCAGTTATGCCATGTATGTGATAGGATTTAGTGTTGAATATATGACTCATCTTCTGGGGAAATATAGACCATAACTGCCACACAAGTGTGCTTTATTCACAGACTGATGGCCTCAGGACCTGCAGATCGTAGTGAAAGGTTGCAGGGTCAGTTTGTGTAGCCCCGGGGTATGGGAGGTGTGAACCTATGGGGGTGTTGTTGTTGTTTTGTTTTTATTGGGGGGAACCGGGTCGGGGGGGTAGGTTTTACGAGTGAATTTGGGAGTTGGTGAGTTGTGTTTAAGTGATGTATGTTGGCGCCCAATCTTATGAGACATGTTGTGATGACAGACAGGTTGGGATGGGGAGGGAGGGGGATAAGTGTTTTTGAGATAATTTCTCTCTATTTTTATGTTCTATTTTTTTTAAATGTTTATTTATATATTTGTTAGGGGTGGGGGAGACTAGGTGGGAGGCCGAGGGGATGGAGTAGTCTAGGTGGGATGTGGTATTGAGACTAGAGGTGGGAGGTGTTAAATCTATGCTGCGACATAGCTAGTTGTCATTGAGCTATATTGTTAAACATGTTTATGTGCCTGGTTTCCAGGCTCTGTAGTGGTCCTGATGTAAGTGCGGCCTGCTGTAATCAGTGGGTAGCGCTGTAACGGGGCAAATTGGCAGGTACTGATGTAGGCTGATGAATGCCTGTCTCAGAGGGGGGCGGGTGCAGCCATAGTAAGGGGGTAGCAGCTCATGTCTGTGGCTGGAAAAGTATGAAGGGAAAATTTTTTAACCTAGCTTTCCTCTTAGCAAAGCTCAACTGGACTAATAGCAATATTTTATGCAAATAAATTTTGTTTTTGAATAAACAGTATCAATTGTTCCTGAGCATTTTATATCATCTGAAAGAATGAGATACAGGTACATTTGTTCATGGAAAGTTATGATAATTTTGAAGTTTTGAAGCCAAAATGTTGTCTTAGAGATATTCTAATTCTTACAACAATATAATTATGCTTACAACAATATAAATATGCTTACAACAATATTATATTGCTTATCCCCATGCCTGTCATAATTGGTTCTAGATAAGAAAACTTTGTAAAAATATGTCCCTAGGGTGCCTTAAGTGGATACAGTTGTTTTCATAGTGACTTATGTCTACCTTAATCCAGGCCTAGTTGTGTTGACTTACAATAGGTAAACAAAACAATCTGCATTGTTCTTGTAAAGGCAGACAGGCCACTCTAGGAAGAAGGTGGGGGGATGTAAAAAGTAATGGACTGATCCAAAATAGGGGTGACCAGGTAATAATGTCAGAGTGAGGGATTCCTATCACTGCAAGCATTGATTACATTCCTGTGCCGCACATGTTCACTGGCTGAATTTGCACCAACCTGAGAAGTCTGTCTTAGTCACAGTGCTGCTCAGCCATCTTCAGTCCGGGAGCTGTAGAAAGACAGGCAGCAGCTACAGATGGTCTGGCTACTCTTCTCCCCAGTCCAGAAGGCAGCTGTCAGGTGGTCAGTCTAGCTTGTTTGGAGCCGTGTCAGTGCTGTCCTACTGTAGAGGTGATAAGTCTAGTGGGGAGACTGGGTTTCCAGCAGAAGTGAAGAGCTCCACCATAGAAAACCTGGTTGTTCAGGGTTTGGAGGGTCTACCATCTTGCACCATCGATTCTTCCATCAGACTGCAACATGATAATTGAAGAGAGGTATTTATGGTCCATGGTTGACGCTGTCCTCCACTGCGATGTTGTTGTGGAGAGTGCATGTGAGATGTAGACATGCATATACCTAGGATTAGATCTACTGTGTTCAGATGCCATTGTTTGGCCATGCATTCTTGTAATGGTTTTCTCTACGGGGCAACCCTTGTTATTTTATATGTGTGCCATTCATTTCCCAATTCAAATCATTTGAAAATACTTAAAATGCTTGTTGGATAGAGGAATTATTGCTTAAATTCCTGTTGCCAATGTGTCTGATAATGCATGCCCCAGATGTCAGAAGCAGACGACAAATGCCTGATCATGCATGCCCTGGCTGTTGGAAGCAGACGACAGATTCATTGGACTTGTTACGTGAAGTGATGCAAGGAATTACATCACATCTGATTCTGCCATCAGAGTGTAATCATACATAACGTTGTTTGATCACAGCGTGTGTGGAAACATGGATACTTTATCAATATGTGTGTGAGGGCAGGTTTTAACCTCATGGAGGGATGTCTTGTCAGTATAAACATTAGGGCAAGTGTTACATTCAAGGGAAGAGTCTGAATGCTAATGCAATGTTCAAAAGGTAAACAGAGAGAGACTTTAGTCATGTTGCATGACTTTATGGTGATGTGTAATGCAAGGCTGGCTGAATTTACCGCTGTCTTCTGCTTAGGATATTGATAGGATGGATTTTCAGTGAAAAGTATCCAGTATCTTCGTCTTTTGTCATCTGCATGTTGTATTAGTTAGGTGGATTTTCAGTGAAAAGTGTGTTCGAAAGTGTTTGAGATGTCTGCTTGTCGTATCAGTGAAGTGGATTTGTCGATAAACATCTCAAGAGGAATTTGATGAATTCCTCATCAAGACGTGGAATTTATGTTACTGTGCTGGAAACCTCCTTACCGGTGTGTCGATTCCGTTAGCTATCTCAGACCGATTCCGTTAGCTATCTCAGACCGATTCCGTTAGCTATCTCAGACCGATTCCGTTAGCTATCTCAGACCGATTCCGTTAGCTATCTTAGACCGATTCCGTTAGCTATCTCAGACCGATTCCGTCTGCAGTGAGTGTAGGGAGAACAATGTCAACATGACCCAACCTGTATTGATTTGATCGACTCCATTATCGATAACTACCGAGAAATAATTAGCTGCTGAATGCCGTCATTGGAGACATGGCCGTGCAAACACTGTCTCCAGTAAGGATTTGACCAAATGGGAAATCCACTGGAATGAAGCTGAAAAGGTTGCAACACTTAAGAAATGTCATATTATCTTTTCTTCTGTGAGGACAGCCATCTGGGATTGAAATTTAGGAAGTCTGAGTTTTAGTAATGGTGTTCTTTGGAGTGCATATATGGATTTGAGCCACAGTGATTGAATTAGCGCGCTGAATGTGTTTGTTTGTTTTCTGTGTGTGATGGAGGAGTGGCTGTGTTGGTATGGAGCTTTCTCTTGTATGCGACGTAGTGAAATTGCCTTCTCTCTTGGGGAATTAAATGTCAGACCTGTAATCGCAGGAAGATGTGATAGTCTTTGAATTTCATTTGCATAACATCCAAACCATCGACAGGTTTCACGGCTTCTCCAGGGTTCCATGTTTATGCTTCAGAAACATTCAACATTGTTTTGGTCACAGGAAAATTCAGTTAAATTTAATCATTTATGGTGAATATATATTCAGATTGACTGAGCGTCACTCTCTATAAATAAGGTACAAAGTTGACTTGGCCAACTGTAAAACTTCTCTAGATACAAATTTGATTCGGCCAACTGTAGAAACTCTCTACTAATAAAGTAAAAATTTGACTCAGCCGACTGTAGGAACTCTCTAGAAATAAGGTACAAATTTGACTCAGCCAAAGATAGGAGGAAAGTGCAAATATGTGCTCGGCATGAATGTGCTTACGCAAATGCATTTTGTCTACGTTGTGTTATGCAGTTTTGTCAGCCATGTTTCAGGTACAAGGTGACAAGCTTGATTAAAACGACATGAGACAATATTTAAGCGTTGCTGCACAGGTGCTGAATGCCATGTTGTGACACACACGACCTGCACTTGTGAAAATGTTGATGCACATGCCTGTCTGCACATTCTCCAAGTGTTCTTCAGCAACTCCATTAGACTGCACCTGTCCCTGTTTAGAAGGATTTATGGGAAATATTCTAATCTGATATGTGCTTGAAGTATGGACCTATTTCATAAGGGACCCCAAATGGCAATCAATGTTTGCTTAGCTTTTATTGCCACTAATGCTTGTAGAAGTCAACTGCAATTACTCAGGAATATTTATTCATTCTAGACTTGCTCGGTCTCCATAGGTTTTTTGTTTCTTCAGTAGATAGTGAGATAGGGTTGCTATCAAGTTAATCATTAGTCAGTGTTTATATATTATTCCACTGAACTTTTGATGGGGATGATAAATATGTCATTCTATTTAAATAAGCACTTCACATATGATGGAAATCAGTTTTGTGTATCATGGAAAGATAAAGTATCCCCATCAGAAGTGGAACAGCATATTTATTCTGTCATGGTGGCAAGTGAGCACACATTTGTATAATGTGATAAACTATAAATGTTTTTGATATTGTTCAAATCAGACATGCGGAGCAAGGGAAAAATATGCCAGTAGAGTTTTCGTGTCAGTGTGAAGATGTTTGCATTTCTTTCTGTTTGTTTCCAGTTTCTTGATCAGCTTCATGGTGGATGCTCGTGGCGGCGCCATGCGAGGATGTCGTCATTCTGGAGTACGGATAATTATTCCACCCCGCAAGGCCTCCATGCCAACCCGGGTTACTTGCCGTCTGCTGAAGAAGGAGAAGCTGATGCACCCACCTTCGCTCAATGAAGGTGAAGGTCTCGCTGCAAGGATTCTTGAGATGGGCCCTGTTGCCACCAAGTTCTTGGGGTAAGTGGTTTGTTTACAAATTAGCATAGATATTTTGTAACTGTGGTCATCACCGTAGTTGAGTGAGTGAGGGAGTTGGATTTAACGCCGCTTTTAACAGTATTCCAGTTATATCATGGTGTGTCAGCTTATTGTGGGAAGAAAGCCCGAAGTGATGCAGGTCTCGGATGTTTACCACTTCGGTGAAACCCACGAGCACTCGTTTAGTGCTGACAAACTGTTAAACAACAAACAAACAAACAAACAAACAAACAAGCATGACCACCCACTCCATTTAGTCACCTTTAGACAATCAAAGCGAAGTTGCTGCGGAGCTATTTTCTTACCCAGAATCCCCAGGGTGAACCCAGTCAGGGTAACTGCAGACTAATTAACGTAATCCTAGTGAGAGTGCCTTCATTGATGTAGACAACGGTTCAAGCTATACATGATTATATGTTCAAGTTCTGAAGATAATACACAGCAAAGTCTTACCACCATGTAGGCAAGTGGGTTGCTATGTCGGCTCACAATCTACCACTAGACAAGTTACACACGACTCCATAAATAGTGCAACAGTACGGCGATACAGTATTATGTCCCGATACAACCCTCGATACAATGTATCAATTTACTGTCCCTGTATCGCGATACATGTGATTCCTTACATTACAAATTGTATTGATGTGAAACAAGTGAATAATAACAGAGGCTGTTCAACAACCAGTTTACTCAGATTCTCTAGTATTTCCCTGTTGGCTATAAATAGCTTGACATTCACAGTGCCCTCCAGCCTATATGGTTCTGCCCTACAATGTCCTATCTTTGATCTCTGAAACGTAAAAACAAATGATTAAGGGTTGTGATTCACCTGCAAATTGAAAGAATATTGTACTATTAAAATAAATATACCGTATTTTGGGATGTGGATCCCAGCGTTTCGTTAACCTTAGACTCCACTGACATCGCAGCAACTCTTTCTGGTTTTTCTGAGAGACACCCACCTACAGCAGGTGATTGGCAAACCAACTGGAGAGGTAATTGAGGGGACGATACAAGAAAATAGCTCGCACACCTTGTGCAGCTGAAGGGAGTGCCTTTCTAACACCCCTCTTTCTCTGTCACGTCCGTGAAGATCTGGCATAGAATAGCTTACTTGCCAGAAAAGGCAACTTTGCTTGTCGTAAGAGGCAACTAACGGGATCGGGTGGTCAGGCTCACTGACTTTGTGGATGCATGTCATTGTATCCCAATTGCGTGGATCGATGCCCATGATGTCAATCACTGGATTGTCTGGTCCAGACTCAGTTATTTACTGACTACCTTCATATAGCTGGAATATTGCTGAGTGCGGCATTAAACAACAAACAAAGGAAAAATGTCATGTCAGGCAAGATAGCAGAAACCAGTGCTTAGACACGTGTGCAGTCACACAGATCGAAGGTTGGGGTTCCATTCCCAACCATGTCACACCAAGATGATAAAAAATGTTACTTGTTGTTACCCTGTCTGGCGCTCAACATAAAAGGGATAAAACAAGGACTGGTCAGCTCAGAGTTTGTATACTGTGAAGGGTATTAATGTTGAACTGCGGACTGCTATAGTCTGTACTTGTACAAGCAGCCACACATACACACACATTTCCCTACATGTCACTATATCTGTGCAATAATCTTGAATGTGATGTCAGACCTCACCTCACCTCTCCTTGGGGGTGGTCGGGTAGCCTAGTGGTTGAAGCGTTCACTTGTAACGCCAAAGACCTGGGTTCGATTCCCCTCTCTGGTACAATGTGTGAAGCCCATTTCTGGTGTTCCCCGCAGTATATTGCTGGAATATTGCTAAAAGCTGCGTAAAACCTCACTCACTCACACACCTCTCCTTGACATTGATGAAAATGATAAAAAGATTATTCTGACAAAATGTCTCCATAGGCCATTCCTCGGACAAATGATAAACCCATCCCCAAGGTAAACTCCTTGAGTTTTGATAGGAAGAGACAGATGTGTCAGTTTGTTTACTTACACATGACATATCATTAGAGTTTTGTGTATCATGGAAAGATGAAATGTCCCTATGAAAAGTGGAATAGTACATATCGCTATGTTATCAGACTAGGTTATCACTGACTCACAAAGACTTACAGCAAGCCAGTGATCTCTGTGACCCAGTCAATGCATCATGACATTAAACAATTACATGTTGTATTCTATTCCAAGCTTCAACTGTCATTTATGACTGCATAATGGCCGTTGATGCTAACAAAATGCAGTTAAATCAGGAAAATGACAGTGATTACTGAAAGTTTATTGGGATGTCAAAACTGGTTACATCTCCTGTGGAGAGGTGTTGTATAAAGTTTTGATAATGAGGCAGCGAGACAAATTTGAATTGCTGTATTAAGCCGAGAGACACCATCACTTGTATCAAGTCTCATCGTACCATGTCAGTTTTAATTATGGAAATAGTCTGGTTTTTTTGCAGTTTGTAATGAAATCAAAGGAACATTCCAACTGTTCTTTGTCAGGCAGTGAACGTCAAATAGCAGTTTGATAGAATGTCATCCTTTGTAATCTGTTTCAATATTACTGGTACTCCATATCACAAATTACTGGTATCTTTGAAAATATTACATGTACCTATAAAAGGGGTCACGGGTGGCCAGTCGTCTAAGAGTTGTGGGTTCGAATCCAGCTTGGATAATGTTTCTAGGTTTGTCTGTCACACAGACGCGCTGGAATACTGTTCAAGGCGGCTTTAAACCCAACTCACACACTCACATACATGCACACACATGAAATATCGCCTTTTGCCCACTTAGCAAATATGGATGTAGTTTTGTGAGGAAAGTTTGACAATGTAATGCTCGTTTCATTGCCTCATTCAAGATCATGTTCACTGAATAATGGCTTTGTACAGCCTTTACTTTACACAAGCTTGAAGAGAGGTCATCTGTGAAGCTCTCCTGTCGCCAGTTGTTCAAGTCAAGATGTGACCGTGCATAGTTCATGTAGACGTTGTTGCCAAGAGCATTGAAGACAATTTAGACAGGTTAGGACCTAACACAAGATATCTTATGGGTTAAACAAGCATGCTATTTTAGGTCATTGACAGATTTGTTTCAAAATGTTACAAAGCAGTTTGTTAGAATAGGTAATGAGTACAGAAAAGTTATTAAATAAATATGTCATGGAAATGTCCTAATATTAAAAACTGTCAATACCCAGAGTGAACGGCAGCATGTGGGTAGATACTCTGTGGCTCTGAAGCATCCGGATGCATGATCAGACAAAGTTACAATTATAGGTGCAAATAGTTTGACATTTGACAAGAAAGTTACCAAACATTTAACAGCTAAGTTATCAAACACTTGAAAGCTAACCTTCCAAGGATTTAACAACTAAATTATCAAACACTTAAAAGCTAAATTCCCAAGCATTTAACAGCAAAATTATCAAACACTTAAAAGCTAAATTACCAAGCATTTAACAGCTAAGTTATCAAACATTTGACAGGCACATTGCCAAATATTTGACACGTGGTAAGGTATGGACCATGTGATATTCTTGATACTCTTGATTGTCCTGAAAAAATGTGTTTTGGGGGGAAAACCAATTGTTGGCTCCTTTTAAGTGACTTTGCTTTGAATAGTGACATTAAAATTGTCACTGGGCTTCACGCATTGTACCCATTAGGGGAATCGAACCCAGTTCCTCGATGTCACGAGCGAGCGCTTAAACTACTAGGCTACCCCACCGCCACTACACTTGGAAGTAAATATGAAGTAATACACATCCCAATAATAGTTTGCGACAGGTTGAAATAGACACAGCTCCATGATGCAGCAAGGTCAAGTGGCTTGTGGTAGACTAAGCCAGGCCTCTGTGGCTCCCTGTCAATCATAATGGCCATATATACTGTTTCATGACAACTGATGCACCCCCTTCTATTTGAGACTGATCAGGACATATTTCAACTTGCAATGGCAACCATGAGCTGGTGTTACTGAATGATGTGTTGTGTGGGCTGAAATGTTGAAACGTTGTCAGCTGGTACAGGGTATGGTGTGTGTGGACTGCATTAGGGGGGTGGGGGGGGAGAGGAGAGGAAATAAGCTGGTCGGAGGCTGTAGATAACAGGGTTGGTTGGTCAGGACAGGTGATGACTCCAGGGTGTGAAATAAGCAGGTCGGAGGCTGTAGATAACAGGGATGTGACACCGGCTCTCTGTCAGGTCTGGATAGCTGATGTACCACACACATATATGAGTCAGCGTCATAGCATGGAGACAATATGGAAACAACACAGATGTAACAGTGTTTACAGATTCCCTAAATAGCTATAATATTTCTCTAAATCCATGCTATATTTAATTTTGATGAGACCATTGTGTTTATTTACTATTATCTGGTAATGAGATAAATTCTAAACTGAGCCCAAAACAGTCAATTCCCTTCCTATGTAATTTCTTTTGCTATATTTAATTTTGATGAGACTATTGTGTTTATTTACTATTATCTGGTAATGAGATAAATTCTAAACTGAGCCCAAAACAGTCAATTCCCTTCCTATGTAATTTCTTTTGCTATATTTAATTTTGATGAGACTATTGTGTTTATTTACTTTCTACATGTAGTAATGGAATAAAGTTTAAACTGAGCTAAAAACAGTCAGTTCCCTTCCTATGTTATTTCCTATGATTCATGCTGTATTGACATTTTGATGCCTCGTGAAGATTCGGGTTAGAATTGACCTTCAGCAACCTATGCTTGTTGTAAGAGATGGCCATCAGGCCATGTAGCTGGAATATTGCTGAGTGAGGCGCTAACCAAGAGAAACGTTTTGATGGTTATTGAATGATATGTACACAGGAAAATCATGAAACTGATTAATGTTACGCATTCAGGATCTGGTGTGTAAAAGTTATTGATTACATGGACTGTTAGAGTTGTTAGGGAAATGAAATGTTTCATATAATGATTTCCAGTAAAGCTCCTAAATTGGGTGTGTAAAATTTTGATTTAAATCTGGATTATGAAAACTATTGCTGTTATCTCTTGGTATGTTGCAAGTATTTCAAATGATGAGGGCAGTAGGGTGGCATAGTGTTTGAAGAGTTCACTTGTCACCAAAAGACATGGTTTGGGTTCAATTCACACATGGGGAAAATGTGTTAAGTAGGTTTCTGGAATCCCTGCCATTAATTTGCTGCAATGTTGCTAAAAGCAGCTTTGAACCTTATTTATTCACTCATTCACTTCAAATGATGCCTTGCCAGACAGTTACTTTAATGCAGGTAACTGACATAGGTTCGTTTTACACTGTAACGAAGGTAATCAATGCAAAAATGTGCTATTGACCGTGTACGTTTATCTTGATTTCTAGTTGATGTTTGACATTTGACATAAGGAATACGGTAACAACCATTGTAATTGGATCATTGACATGTAGTCTGTTACACTTCCTGTAAAAAAAATCTGAGATCAAAGGCTGATAATTTAGACATACAAATATCCTTCCTACTAAACGCTGAGGTCAATTCTTGATCAGGTTTACAGATGATGCGTCTCTTTAGCTCTCTGCTTAATGTCTAAAAATAAGTACAAACATTAGTGGCAGCCATTTCTTGTGTTTTGAATGTAAATGATACTGTGATGGAACAAGGGTGATATTGTCTGATAAGCACTATGCTTTGTGGGGCTAACCTTTATACCGGCACACCAACAGGCATTAATACACTTTTGACCTGACACCAGGTCGCCATTATATGTTGCCGTTGACTTTGATTTATCAAAATATTATTCTGACATTAAATTAGCCTCAGATGTGTTTAAAAATGATGTTGTTCAGGCATGTGTACACTGCTTAATCAATTCCCTGCCTCCCTTGGCACACGCCAGAACCCTGTGGTCGTGGGTTCGAATCCTGGTTCACCACGATTATGTTTCAATGTTTGTCATCACCCTTACCGAGCTCCTGGGTTTCTCCAAAGTGAGAGCTACATCACCTTGGGCATCCTTCCCATATAAATCTGATGTGACGAGATATTCCTGGATTACTGTTTAAAGCAGCATTAAACCCAACTCACTCACTCACACTCACTCACTCACTCACACTCACTCACTCACTCACTCACTCACTCACTCACTCACTCACTCACTCACTCACTCACTCACTACTGATTACTGTGAATTGTAGACATGTTAATGGCAATATGGGGAACGTGTGCATGTGACACTGAAGACCTGCATTATTCCATTAAATTCTGAAAATGTGTTAAACATAAATGTGTTAAAAGTATTAACATATAGGTAACTTTTTAATCATTGACATATCTTTTTGATCTCTGTGTCAGTACAGCAGTACAAGGGTTAATTTACTTGACTAGACATCTTAGAGAACATGTTCAATGTACTTATGCAAATTTTAATATTGAAAATTTCAATATTTTAACTTATATTATTTATTATATACGGTAATGTGTTTTGGAAATATTTCTTAGTGAGTGAGTGAGTTTTACCGTATTCCAGCAATATCACGGCGGGGGACATCAGAAACGGGCTTCACATATTCTACCCATGTGGGGTATCGACCCCGGGTCTTCGGTGTAACAAGTGAACGCATTAGCCACTAGGCTCCTCCCCCCTGTTGTTCATGGTTCCATTTGGATTTTAAACGTAGAATAACTTATAGAATAACAAGTCTTAATTATCCACCCAAAAAACAGATTCCACTGAACGTAAAAGGCAAAATAGTGGAAATTATATACAATATTCCAAGGCTCCCAATACAAACGTGCTCGACACAGGCCATTTTTGTGTGTACATATTAGCCAGTTCTTTGTTATTGGCCATTCTGATCATCACACTGAGCTGAAGTAGTTCAGTTACTTAAATACTTAAGAAATAGTTATCTTAACCACCTGCTTCAGATCAGTACACGTATTATTGTAGATTAAAGACTTGGGAATGTGAGGAATATTGATTGCAGAGATTATTTTGAAGAAAGGCTATGTGTTATGCTGTCAGAAGCTGATAGAAGTCTTCGCTCAATCTACCAGCTATCAGATGTTGAATACACAGATATTTCAAGGGGGGATATGGACCCAATCAAAGCATTTATTTTGTGCAGTCACCTGCAACGATTCCAGGTTGAGATAACGATATGATTGTTGTTGTACGGCCGGGGTCAGCTCTTGTGTGGAGGGTGTAACAAGACACCCAGGAAGGTAGCTTGTACCTAGGAACTATCCCTAGACCAGACTTGGAGGGACTGGACTCTTTGATCTATGTCTGCTGATTATTGTCTTGGGTATCCTAGCAACATGCTAGTTTTGAGGTGGTGGCACCATTGTCGATGTACAGCCAAACCCTACTGGTAGATGCATGACATTATCACAATGTTTATCTCTAATAGTTGTCTATTAGGTAGATATGGTAGAGTTATACACCAGAAACATTGAGGTTAAAGTCTGATATTATCCAGCTAGTCATCTCTATGAGTTGTGTGTAACACGGCACCAGGTAGATATGGGAGTTATACACCCAAACCAAACCTAGATGGACCACTTTCAGGCAACATGTGTTCCTCCAAGACTTGTATGCACCATCTTGAATCTTGTCTGTGAACAGGTGCCCTGGACTAAGTAAACATGACTTGACCATTCATTCAGCATTGGCAGCAAGTTAATCTTGTTGCAAGACTCTGTCAGACATATGGCTGGTGTTGGTGTAACCGTATCAAGATGAACTGTTCCAGGTATACAACACACACATGCATAGACATCAAGTTCACCATTTCACATTCAGCTGCTGTGTTCCAAATGAAGCATGATGTCACAGGGACCTTGTCATAACCCTAATGTTGAAAGTTAAAGGTTTTTGGTCCCTAGATTCAAGTGCATTAGAAGACCTAAAAGGCTCCAGAACCTCCCCTAAGTTCGAACAGTATGTTTGCATCAAATATGAAGCTGTTTCAATGAGAAAATGCTGGCTAAATTTACACACAATACACAAGACTGCCTAGATACATGCATACAATGGGTGTAGTTGGTTGTATTTTCTCATTGACTCCTTGTCAGCAAGGAATTATTTATGTCAAGAAAAGACCTCAAAAGCGTGTATTCGTGAAAAGAATACACTCAGGAGCTCCACGACCGTGTGTATTATTTTTCACGAATACACGCTTTCATTGTTTCTTCATGACTGATCAAATGGGTCCAAAAACATTCTGACATCTGATCAAAAAGGCACCAGGCACAATATGTCTCATGATAATCTAGCTCTGTTTGGAGCTGATCCAGAAAGGTTCTTGCAACAATTTGTGACTGTGGATGAAACCTGGGTTCACCACTTCCAGCCTCACTATACAAACACATCAAATCATATTTAGAAAAAGAGTCCTAGAGAGGACACCTAACAAAGTCACGAAATAAGGAAGTTCATGTATGTTGGAACATGTTGCTGATGTCGTAATGATTGTTTCAGACCAATCATCATCGAGGTTCCCCACTTTGCATCACTCCGTGGCAAAGAGCGAGAGGTTGTGATCATGAGAAGCGACAATGGCAAGAACTGGTATGAACACCCCATGGTGGCCACAGAAGAAGCAGTGAACGATGCCCTTGGCGGCAGTCTGGAAGGTGCTGAAGGCGTGACGCCGTCACCGTCACAGTCTGGCTCGGTGTCTAGCTTGTGGAGTGAGCATGTCCTTGGTTCTATAGCACGCACATACCACTGTCACATGTGCAGACTTGACTCCAGTGTAGAGTACCACTGGGATAAAAGCTTCTTAAACACACTTATAGGGTATAAGGTAGACTAATGGTTAGTCTATCAAAATATATAATTTTGATAGAAATAAACACTATTTAAATTAAAAAGGAGCCCCAGTTAGATGAAAGATTCTGAACCTGTGGAAAATCTAGACTTCATTTGTGGCATTAGCATTACAGTAAGGACTGGGAGGAAGGGATATTAATATGCTTCAGGGGACTGAGACGGATGAGGTAAAAGGGAATGTGTACACAATCAGTATTGAGCGATCTAGGATAATTAGATTTGCTTGCTGTGTGACAAGCTGTCAATGCAGTTTTGAAAAATGATGTGTCAATTTGGTTTAAATAGATAGTTCTACAGTGGTAATCAATACATGGAGTCTGTCTGCAAATTATGTGATGGTGATACATATAATATTACTTGTGACTGAAATTTAATCTTCAAAGTTCATATTCGGAAATCTTGTACCATGACTTACAAATCAATAAGTCAGGATGACAATTTGTAAAAGATCTCTAATTCTTTATATGTGTCTGTGTGCACATCAAAAATGTGATATCTAAAAGTTAAAAACAAAGAAGTGGAAAACATTTCAGACACTTTTAACATTCGTACCACATTCCAGAGAGAAAACAGTTGACAGGTATTGACAAGGCACATCAGTTTTTGTACATTGTATCCTGTATGTTTCCTGTCTCCTCTGATTGTCAAATGTTTGTGTAGAACGTTCATTGTCTGTAGGCGTCATTAGACAATGGAGGTCTCTATTCTATAAACTATACTACTCAAAAGAAGTAAAAGAACACCCGATTCTTTCTTATTACTACAAGTAATCTGCCATGCATGACAGATTAACTACAGTAATATGAAAGATTCGAGTGTTCTGAATGACAGATTTAGATATAACATTGTGGAAGAATTAAGTGTTCTTTAACTTCATTTGAGTAGTATTTATGCTCCTTTTATCAGTATATCCTGTCTTGTATTTTTTGTATTGCACAAACTCTGTATACTTTGTCTTGTTTTATGTAAGTATTTTCTATTGATGTGGTGTAGTGATGTAGAAGATATATGTTTGCAAAGTGGCACATGTATGTAGATTTACATATTCTGTCCTATCCAAATCCATATGAATCCCATTAGACAGGGCTGTGTGCTGAAATGGGGCATTATCAACTCCTACGTATAATCCTATTTAAGCATGAAAAATATTTGTCATGACCACTTTTTGACTTTGAACTTCAAGTGGTTTGCCTACAAGCACTCGCATGTCTAAGTATAAGAATGCACTGAAATATGTCATCAACCTGTGCACAGCCATCTTTGATTCCACCAAAGGGAGATAACTCAATTGATTTGTGGTGCAGGAGGTCAGACCACTAGCTGTCAAGAAAAGTCATTATGTTTAAAGACAGAAGTTCCACAGATTTAAACCCAAACTGACCGTTTCTGTGAAAATTGAAATGTCAATATAATTAGCTCCTAGATCCTGAAATATTATAGCTATTGATCATGACGTTTCAGAATGTGGAATTTTGGTTCGAACATACTTCTACGGTAGTTCAGGACACATCATTGTTGCCTTTTTGGTGAGGGTAGTGATATTTTAATGTCTCATTTTCCAAATATTTTGATTCTGTTTCCTGCTGAGAAAGTGCATGGATTCTCTCCTGTATATTGCCTGCCTGTGGCAGTATTATGTTGCCCCCAGAGTACAGTACGGCTATTGTTGGTGGTGTTCATAGCAGTGTATATACAGTGTCTTCCTTCTCTTCACTGGCAGATCCATGCTTTGAAGAAGCATATATGTTTAAAGTGAAGTTTTCAAAATGAAATATAAGAACTGAAAAATATTCTATAAATTTTAAGATTGATTAATGTCATACAAGTTTACCAAATGAAATAGAAGAAGTGAAAAATATTCTGTTAATTAAATAATTGATTAAGAGAGTCATACAAGTTGGATACATATTTAAAATGCAAATATTATTACACACATTTTATTATTTTTTTCTTTAATACAATAGCAATAAATGTAAGAATGAATAGTGACACCTGCCATTGGGCATCTCAAAGTAAGACTCTGGTTGATTCTGATCCAGTGCTGTTCATCCAGCTTAGTGCAGATGCAAACAACTATTTTGATTCTAATGTTGAAGGTGTGTAATGCATACTGCATCTCCTGAACCTCTTGAAACACACTATGGCTGTTATTGTAGAACTTGACCAAGAGGAAGAACTGACAGCCAAGAGAATCACCCGTATCCTGACAACAGATTTCCCACAATACTTTGCTCTGGTGACCAAGGTTCGCCAGGAGAACAAACAAATCGGTGAAGAAGGGGGCGTGATCAGCTCAACTGTCGTCCCCCAGGTGCAAGCCGTCTTCCCAGAAGGGGCTCTCACAAAGACCATCCGCGTTGGCCTGCAGGTAGGTTCTTTTAGTCGAAAAAAATAGATGAGGCGACAACTCTCTGGGAACTCTTAAGGATGTCCATTGAGGTCACTTTTGGGGTGTGCACAGGACAGGGTAATTACTAGATTTAATTTTATTTATTTGGGTTCTTGAGAGTACTTGACATTAATTAAAAGTACAGTTCTTATAAAGTATTGGAATTTCATTAGAATACCCATGACTTTCTTCAAAACATGCTGTTTATGGAAAAACAGGGGTGAGAATCTTCTGTGGATCTGCAAATTTGTTAATATCTCCTGGCTTCCCCCTAAACACCCCCAAAATATGGATCACGGTCCATTGCAAAGAAGATTCAGCTGAAAGGGAAAATATCCATTCTCAGCCCTGTCTATCTGAGTGAAATATTTAGTTGGGGCAGCTAGTTTTGGAAATGAAACAATTGTTTCCTTGTCATATTTAACCGTTACTGTTACCTATGGGGAGTTTGATATACTCTGTTTCATCTCGATCGTCAAGCTTTAAATGAGAGGAGAACATGTGCGGTACTTAGAGTGACAGAGTTCATTCATTTGTACCTATAAAAGTTGAAATTGTACATGAAGTTCTGCAAAAACCATTGATGCTCGTGAAGTTCTCCTGGAATGTTGGGATTAGATGAATTCTTGCAGTACTCTTGGACTATTGTTAGGACGTTCCCTGGACTCCATTGAGGGCTCAGTGGTCATTCTCTGTATAGAGCTGAATTTTGTGGTACATTTGAAAGTATTTCAAAAATCCTGTTTTAAAAACATATTGGATGTATGTGTTTCTGTTGTTGCATACATATGTAATAAATTCAATAACTTTTAAGTGAGAAATAAAAATCCAATTCCATTATTGGTAAGTTTAGAATTATCTTGAATATTTTCAAATGTATCTGAGTAAAGAAAGTACTGGGATTTGAAGTTAGATGTTAGCTGCCAGAAATAGTGACATTAGGGTGATAATATCATGTTGTTAAATGTCAAACATTATTGTTTTGTGTTTTCACTGCTCCTTCCTACATATTATTCTCATTTCTTAAGCCAGTTATAGTCACGGAAACAAATATTCCATCAGACACATCAAGGTTGATCCTGATTGAACAGACAGATCTCCATGTTTCTTTTCATTCTGTGATTTTGTTGATTATTTCAATTATGCCAGACCTGTATTCAAGATATGGACTTCATGACTGACATAGGCTTTGACAGTAGAACTGCTTAGTGAAGCGGAGAAATAATCGTGTGGAATTTTGATTTTTTTGTTTTTAGCCTACCGGGCGTTATGCTGCAAGGCCAGTAAAGTTTGAAGATCTTTGAGATGACGGGAAATTTTGATTTATTTTTCTATGAATATATTTTGAGTTTATTTTGGACTATGCTTTCTGTTGTCCCATTAGCCAGTGTAGCGGAGATTGTCGATTCTTAGCATGAAACACGAAACCGAGTTGGTCGTCCATTCAAACCCTGTCGTTTAGTTTCCTGGACGTAATGTTATGTTGGATCTTGTGGAACTGGACATTTTTTTGCCGTGACACTCGTTTTTCTGTGGTTTCCTGTCGCTAGGCACAACCCATTGCACCTGAACTCGTTGCTAAGCAACTTGGCAACCGTGTGGCAGTCAGTCCCATCGTAACGGTTGAACCCAGGCGCCGAAAATTCCACAAACCGATCACATTGACCATTCCGGTACCGAAGGCTTCTCAGAAGGGCATGATCAACCAATATGGGGGAGATCGGCCAACACTCCGTCTTCTCTACAGTATTTCTGGTAAGGCGAGAAACAGTGTCAGCGGTTGTCATGTTTGTTTATTTTCACATGTCCTGTATCCGTTCAATGTTGTGTGGTCAGTGTATCAAAATACTTGATGGGGGAACACATTCAGCATATTTGACACTTTGAATTTTTCAAATATTTCATCTTTTGGGGTTCTGACGTAAAGCCAAAACGAATTTGCAAATTCCACTGAAGAGTGCATCAAAACACTCACTTGTAGGTTATGTGTTTTTTTGTTTTAACATTTTTCAAACAAATACTCATTTAGCATTTGAATATTGCAAACTCATCAAGAATTTTGTGCATTGTCGTAGACTGTTTTGAGGAATGATTATTATATTCTGTATTGTGTTGTAAATGTACCACAACATGATGAATTGATATTTACAGAGAGAAAAACATCCAATAGGAATTAATCTTACAACAGAATTCAATTGACTAGGGCATGCCAAGCACGCTTCATTCTAATGGATTGTATTCCACAGTTTAAATGTAATTATTTTGAATATAACAACATGCTGCATTAGCTAAGGCTATCACTTTTATTTTAAATATTTTAAATTGCTTAGAAATTTTACATTTGTTTTAACACAGTGATAGGCACAATGTTATTTTCTATATCATGTGTTGTATTTGTGCTTGTGTTTTCAATGTTTGTATCTGTACATTTAGAGATTGTATTGATGATGTATGTGTTCGCATGAACCAGGATTTTAGTATATTTTCATGATCGTCATCAGCCACTATATTCCACTCAGTGACCTATTGTCACAGAAGCCCCATGTCCGATAATATTTAATTACAAAAAACGGATGTTAAAATTTTGACCAAGTCTTTAACAGACAATGTATTGGGTACCCATTATGTTGGGAAGTCTGCAGCCACAATGGTTCCTATCTATGACTGGTCCTTGGATGCGTGACCGTCAGGGAAGACCATCTCTAGGCTGTGGCCTGGCTGATACTGTGCCATCGTACCCTAATTGTAAAGGAGACATGAATGGGCATTAGGTGGTCAAAATGGCTACGGTATGTTGAGATAGTTTTGAATGGGTGACTAACATTGGAGAGCTCTATTTTTGAGTGGCCAAGTAGCCTAACGTGTGCAAATGATGTGCAGAGTTGCAGCTCTTTGTTGTACCAGGATCTGCTGATGGGCTTGGTTTGTCTTGGTTATCGTCCGTGCCCTGCTGGTTCTGTGTATTATGGAACCCTAATGACATGCAATTGTTCTCACACTGTCACTCTGTTCGGTTCCTGACTTGATTCCCATTTCTGGTGTCCACCGCTGTGATATTGCTGGAATATTGCTAAAAGCGGCATAAAACAATATTCACTCTCTCCTGACTTGATTAAACAGTGAGGCGATATGGCTGAGATATTACTGAATGTGACACAGCCATCGCTAACATTTCACCAGATTATATTTGCATTTCTGTCTAATAATTATTAATATAAATTTGGTGAATAAATCCATGCAAACAATGTTACCCATTCAAAACACTTCTTCAACTTGTTGGGTACAATGTGTGAAGCCCCTTTCTGGTGTACCCCGCCGTGATGTTGCTGGAATATTGCTAAAAGCGGCGTAAAACCATACTCACTCACTCACTCACTCACTCACTCTTCAACTTGTGATATAGAACTTCAGACCCAATACAGATGCAGTCATGTCTACACTCTGCGATATATGTTCTTGCTGTGTAAATGCCCAGATAGTTGACCTTGACCTTGACCTTTGCCATTTAATGTATTGCTCTTTCTACTTTGTCTTTGCCGCAATTAGGCAACAACTCTCACAACAGCCGAGGTAACTGTCCTGCCTGCCCCTGCTCTTCGCTTGTCTGTCTGTCCATCCGTCCATCTGTCCGTCCGTCCGTCCGTCCATGCATGCACATCCTTGGTTCCCTCCAGCTCCCTCCTGCTCTGCCTCCACATTCTGTTTCATTGCTATTCAATGTAGAAAATAGTTTGAAAATAAGAATTAAGGTGTTGGAATTATAATAAATGTCCATAGTTTGTTGGTGAAGACTGTCTGTGAGGACTGTCAAACCCTTAGGCTCTATATGCCATGGTAACCCAAACTGACTTTTTTAATGTTAATTATTATGAAACCATCAATTTTATATTCAAATTCTTGAAGCCTTATTATTTTTTTAATAGGTGTCTACATTTATTTTTATTAAAATATAACATATAACATTTTGAGTAAATATTGTTACAAATTTCTACCTTTTTGGGAATACATTGGTTTTTGGTTGAAGTTTTTTTATGAGAAAATATCTTTTCCTCCAAATCTGTAAACACCTAAAACAGGTTCGAGAAACCATTGTTACTAGACATGATCATGTATACAACGACCATGCTGCTTTGAATGCTGCTGCCGACACCCAGAGCTGTTGATTGCAACCCCTCCGCGTGTGTCTGTCAGAAGCTGTGCTGGCATCAGCTGCTCCCTAACCTCAGAATGCATGGCGACAGCTCCTGATGGCTGCTTCCTCTGGCAGTGTGCATTTGCTGTAGGATCCATACAAGCCATTACAGCCACGCGGGATCACTAGTTTAAAAATAAGAATCTATACATCTCTTTCTTCCCTTTTGGAAAATTTTGATATACTTTGATAAATATTTGAAAATTTAATTTGTTTTGTGAGATTCATCACTAACAAAATCCTTTCCTCTTAAAACATTTCAGCCATTGTGAGAAAACCAGGGTGTGAAATAACCTCCTTTTTCCAAATCCATTTGATTTTGCTATTTTTGATGATTAATAAATTAATCACCAGATCAGAATTACACTAAAAGGAAAAGGAAGTAGGCACATAATAATAATTCGAGAAACTTATCAGCTCTTTAGCATGCACCTAAATAACATTATTACGGAAAGAAAAAATTAAATTAAATTTATTTCATCCTGCATGGGAACCACAGTGAAAGATGTTTCAATTATGTCATTATTTTGCATGTAGATTGTCCAGATTAAATCTAAAAAACCTCAGAGTTTGTGAAATTAGTAAAAATTAAATTCCTTTAATAATGTAAAGTAATATATTATACTGCTCAAAACAAGTTCAGTAAACACCCGTTTTCTATATGACTAACTATAGTCATTTGAAAATGCCGGATGTTCTTTACCTACTTTTGAGTAGTATAATGTGATTGAATGTTGTCGTAAGTAGCTAGTTCACGCCTGGACCCATCACACATCTTTGTAGTTTAGTCTGGCAGTGGTAACTTATTTCTGCACTAAATTGTGGTATTTGGAATTCATTTTGGGAAGGTTGAATTGTATTTTATACACTAATAACTCAAAGTTTTATGAATATAGAAATAATAGCAAATTTGGTTGAGTTAGTTGAATGTCTGTCATGATGCTTCAGTGATGCCTAGACTGTGTTTAGTGAGACATCATACGACGTCGTGATGATGTCACAGTGATGTTCAAGTTGGGTGGTAGGCTTCAGTAGGCCAGCTTCTTCAGCCAATGTTGTGTTCATCTGGTTGACTGACCAGATCCCATTTGGGGCTACGCTTCTGACTTGGTAACTTGCATGGAAAGCTAGACCATGCATTAACCAAAAACAGAATAAAGAAATAAACTTTCAATACATGCATCATGTATTTGTCTTGTTTTGGAATTAAAATATTGACCAAAACAAATCTTTCATTACTGTCACTCAGTAAAAGAACAGTGGCACGTTATTCACGATTTCAGTAGTTCATCAGAGAGTGGAGAGTAGCCGAGTGGTTAAAGTGTTAACTGGCCGCACTGAAGACTCAGGTTTGACCCCCCTCATGGGTACAATGTGTGGAGCCCCTCTCTGGGGTCCCCCGCTGTGACATTGCTGGAATATTGCTAAAAACAGCATCAGTAAACATCCTCTCAATCAGTCCCAACTTACTTCATCAGAGAGCGTTATACAATTATAACCAGACTCTATAATTATGAGATGGAGGTAAGTTGTGGGAAGAGAGTGTGGCTCCAGAGTCTCTGCTTCATCTAACTAAGACATTCAAAACTTGATTTTACTCTTGAATGCCTGTCTTATGTAAAACTGTCTGACTGATGACGTTATGCTGACTTCCAGGTGAGAAGGAGCCGGCGGTGTGGGAAGACATCACTGACGCGAAGCCTATGTCACTTGTCAATGACTGTGTATCTTTTACTACAACTGTGTCCGCAAGGTACGTACATCTTCCTTCATATTTTGTGGTAGATAATAGCTGTAGTAGCAGTAATAAGACTCTTGAGTGGATAAGTGATCCTAAGGTGTACAATTTGTAGTACAGAGTTGCCTCCCTTAGTTGTTCCAGGAACTGCTGGTCATGGGTTTGATTCCTGGTTGATACCAACCATTACATCAGAGGTTTCACATATACAAATGGCTTTTGAAAGACCTAAATCCAAATGTGTTTGCCTTGTGAATGGGCCCGGTGCCCAGCCCCAACCACTGCCTGCTCTGTCATCTGTGTATGTGCTGCAGGTTCTGGCTGATTGACTGCCAGAACATCCAGGAGGCTACCCAGATGGCTACTGCCCTGTACAAGGAGTCCATCATCGTCCCCTACATGGCCAAGTTCGTCATCTTTGCCAAGCGGGACTCCCAGGAGGAGGGCAAGCTGCGCATGTTCTGCATGACGGACGACAAGGTGGACAAGACGCTGGAGAAACAGGAGAAGTTTGCAGAGGTTGCTAGAAGCAGGGACATTGAGGTCAGTTATAGCAGTATTGTGATTGTATTTAGGACTTTAGACATAAAGAACATAACCCGAACATTGCTTGATATCAACTATATCAACACGATACTTTTATCAATAAGTGTCAATAAACACTTTTGTGAGATTCTATGCATTGTCCAAAATCATTCTTCCAACATTTTCAGTATATAAACAGCAATGAGCAGTGTCCTGAGTGTAAAAAGTACTGCTAACCAGCTTCAGTGGCATAGAGATTATCTGCTTGGAGGTATTGCTTGATCTTACCCAAGCGATATTTCCTGTGGAAGCTAGTTTTTCATGATAAATTGATCTCTCAAGAAAAAACAAGGTCAATGAGTTGTGAATATTTCTAAAAAGAATTAAATGGTAAGTTGTCTGATAATTATAAAGGTGGCATAAAATTTGTGCAGAGTTGCGTCTCTTGGGCACGCCAGGAACCTATGATTGCGGGTTTGAATCCTGGTTCGCCCCGATTATGTTTCTAGGTTTGTCTGTCTGAGACCTGCATCACTTCTGGCTTTCCTCCCACCTTAAGCTGACACGCCGCAATATAACTGGAATACTGTTAAAAGCGGTGTTAAACCCAACTCACTCACTCACTTACTCACTCACTCACTGTAATCCGTGTGTACTGTTTTGGCAGGTTCTGGAAGGAAGGCCACAGTTTGTTGAAATGGCGGGTAACCTCATCCCCGTCACCAAATCTGGCGACCAGCTCCACGTCAACTTTAAATCATTTCGAGAAAATCGCCTACCGTGCACGGTGAAGATCCGTGACCTTGACCAGGAGCCGTCTGCCAGAGTGGCCTTCATGAAGGAGCCCAAGGTGGCCCGAGGCGAGGCCCCACAGTCCCCCATATGCAACCTCAACATCACCCTGCCAGACATGTCCAAGGTAGGCCACTGCAATACTCGTGACTGCAGCAGAAAATACTTCAGTCTGTATCTAATGTGTCACAACTGCCTCTATTTTAAAGTGAGATGTATAGCTTCATTTAAGGCTAATAAAATAATAGTCTTGGTTATCCGGCACAGCCCACCTCATCATAAAATCTGCCACACATTTCATTTTTATTTCCATTTGGAAAATAATAAAAATATCCTAATAATTAACAAAAATTGTATCCAATATAGCACACAGTTACTTCTCTCATGTTATGGTCGGGGCGGTGAGAGGAAAGAAATAATTAAAAACTCCTTGTTTATGTCGGGTGGCCCTTTCCTAGGTTGATGATTCACAACTGTTTATAGGGTTAGACTAGGACCCCAGCAACCTGTGCTGGTCATGAGAGGTCAACCCTGTGGGAGTCGGGGTTAGAATACGGCCCCGGCAACCTATGCTCGGTGACTTGGTGACTTGGCGTGTCCTTGTACCCTTATGGCATGGATAGTTCCTCACGATAATGATCACTGGATTGTCGTGTCCAGACTCGATTAGTCACAGGCCACCATCTGAACCATTGTTGGAACAAAACATCATTTGACTTTCCCCTGTGAAGATTTTGTGCGCTGCAGTTTGCTTTGCTGACTTGTGTTCCTCGGCTATGCCAGAAACCTATGACTGGGTTCGAATCCTGGTTTGCTCTGATTATGTTTCTTGGTTTGTCAACACCATACCCGTGCTTGGGATTTCACCAGAGTCGTAAACGTCTGAGACCTGCATCACTTCGGGCTTTCCTCCCACAATAAGCTGACATGCTTTGATATAACTGGAATATTGATAAAATCAGAGCTACACTCAAGTCAACTCAATCCTTTCCAGACTGCCATGATATGAATGAAATGTTGCTGATGGCAGCACATGATAACATTGCCACTCATGGTTCTGTGTTCCAGTCTGAATCCAGCTTAGAGGACTCGGAAGCCCTTGAAGTTAGGAAGAGGCACTCGCTGCTGAGAGAGCATGGCATAGGTGAGTTGTTCCCTCTCACTCTCATTCAAACTCAATACAACTCAATACAGGTGAATTTGTTGCATTGTAAGTTAACAACGGTAACAAACACTATTCATTTCATTGAAATGCAACAGTTATTTTTCAAGAACTGTTCAATATTTGTGTTTTCTTTTGCATAATTTGAAATAAGTCTGCTGTTAAATTATCATCTGCTATAATTAACTTGTCGTCTGCCGTTGTTAACAGACCGCCTGCTGTTTTTGACCACTTGTCTTCTGTTCTTAATCACCCGTCTGCTGTTGCTTACCAGTTGTCTGCTGTTGTTAACTGGTCATCTGCCATTGTTAACAGATCGCCTGCTGTTGTTGACCAGTTGTCTGCTGTTGTTGACCAGTTGTCTGCTGTTGTTGACCAGTCTTTATTATGTTCCAGTGGTCCAGGACACTATGAGTCGGGGCCAGATGAAGCTGACAGACATCGCGGACACCCTCCAGGGAGACTGGGTCATCCTAGCCCAGCAACTGGACATCACCATGTCGGAGATCAACCGCATCAAGACCGACTACAACACTGTCAACGACCAAGCTCTTGCCATGTTGAACCTGTGGGTACAGAAGAACAAAGAAAAGGCAACAGGTACACTTCAGTCGCTTTGACAGAACCACAGCTACCATGGTCATGTGTACAAACCACCTGGAGGTCATTTTACACCAATTGCATGTTGCAAGGCCATTCAATGTCTGTTTCCTCAGAGTTCTTCCCGCCACATAAAGCTGACACGCCAATATACAGCTGGAATAGTGTTAAAAGCGGCGTTAAACTCAACTCGCTCACCCTATAAGGATAACTGAGCGGAATATGTTCCAAGTACATCATGCTTGTGACCTGTAAAGATCCGGGGCAGAATAGGTCTTCAGCAACCCATGCTTGTGATCTGTGAAGATCGGGGGTAGAATAGGTCTTCAGCAACCCATGCTTGCCATAAAAGGCGACAATGCTTGTCGTAAAAGGTGACTAACGGGATTGGGTGGTCAGTCTCGCTGACTTGGTTTATGCATGTCATTGTATCCCAATTGTGTGGATCAATGCTGATGATATCAATAACTGGATCATCTGGTCCAGACTTGATTATTTACAGACCATCGTCATATAGCTGGAATATTGCTGAGTGCGGCGTTATACCAAAAACAAACATCATGCTTGTGGTAGCCTAGCGGTTAAAGCGTTCACTCATCGCAATGAGAGCCCCTGTCATGATATTGCTGAAACATTGCTGAAGGTGACTTAGAACCATCCTCAGCTAACTTGTCCTGAGTGCTGGCCAATGTGGAGGAGGTGTACAATGGCTGATTGTATGTCACTGTCACTGTATGGACTGTCAGCCACTACCACATGGCTCATTTCTTTGACTAATTTTCATTTTATTAAAATCATGGATGAGAGTAAATAAGGTTTAAGGTCTTAGTTTTCGTGATGCTTTGTTGCAGGTAATGCCTTAGAGAGTGCCTTGCGTAAGATCAACCGAGAAGATGTTGCCCAGAAGTGTATGTACGACATCGAGACGGTGGAAGATGAGATGGAGGCAGCAGCAGCCAGAGTAGCCATGGATCAGTCAGGTAGGCAGCACTGTACACACTGGTGGGGGGGTACAGGTAGCCATGGATCAGTCAGGTAGGCAGCACTGTACACACTGGTGGGGGGGTACAGGTAGCCATGGAACAGTCAGGTAGGCAGCACTGTACACACTGGTGGGGGGGTACAGGTAGCCATGGATCAGTCAGGTAGGCAGCACTGTACACACTGGTGGGGGGGTACAGGTAGCCATGGATCAGTCAGGTAGGCAGCATTGTACACACTGGTGGGGGGTACAGGTAGCTATGGATCAGTCAGGTAGTGATGGATCAGTCAGGTAGGCAGCACTGTACCCACTACTGGGTGGGTGGGGGGGGGGGGGGGGGCCACAGGTAGCCATTGATCAGTCAGGTAGTCATGGATCAGTCAGGTAGGCAGCGCTGTACACACTACAGGGGGGGTACAGGTAGCATTCTTATGACCTGTGACATTCCAAGACGTAACTACCAGTCACGTTGGACAGGTTCTTGTCAATGGTGTTATCTCTTTCAGGTTTCGATACATTTAAGGAAGAAGTAGGAATTACAAAAGACTCCATGAAGAGAGGCATGTCCCTCGACGTCCAATACGATGAACAAGACCTTATAAAGGTAACACAAAATGTGCTATTCCCCTACCACAAACCATCACCCCCATAGTAAAGCTAGGACATCAGAACGGCCGCAAAGGTCTTGGAAGACTCGAAGTTGAAATAATTCAGTATTTTGTCAAATTTATTGATTTTGTAAACCATTTCCGTCGATATCTTATCTTTGTGGCCTTTCTGTAATAAGATATTAGACTAACAACTAGATTAGATTCACAACTAGAGAAGAGACTTACGTTACCTTTTTATAGATAAGGAATTTGCAGATCAGCAAGTTCGTCTGTGCTGTACAAATATACTGACGGGAAAAAGACAATAGGTGTTTGGTGATTACCTCCTGCCATTGGTGGACTCTTTCCATAGGATGATTCCGGGGTCGGGGTATCATTGCATGATGAGTATGGCCATTTTGGGGGGCTGTGTTTGTTGTCCTTGTTTTTAAATTTTGACAAGATTGTACTAGATACAGAGAAAAGGAAATATCTGAATTCCAGTATGGAAATCTGTGATTTTGAGTATGTCGACGTTTGTGTTGAGACAGAGCCCAGCACAGTGGGACTTGCTGTTTTGTAGACATAGCCATCACTGCAAACTAGACAGTAATGAGAGTAGATAGGCACCTTACACTACAACTGAGTCGGCAAACAGGTCACATCCTATGGAGTTGGAATTTCGAAATGATCTATTGATTCTTGGTCTGTTTTGTCAAAACATTTATGAAAATTTCGTACTTTTCTACCTTGGTCTGTGACTGTTTGTAGCTTGAACATAACCCTAATACTCTAACAACTGCCTTCACCACATAACAGTATGCCTGTGCACTAATACAATCATTCATTCCTTCAGGGGAAAATTCAACACTGACATTGGTACTTTCGTGCAGAAGTCAGCCTACGTGTTAAGACTGATTTAAACCTTTACTGGAAAGGTTACAGTAATAGCTCAAAGATACATTTGAACACGAGGTCCTGATGTTAGAAATGTACAATGGTTGTTAATATGGAATTGACATCTACGTGTATATAACAGCTAGGTTGTCTAGGTCATCGTCCCAGTGCCTGGTCCCACCCTCCCACCCGACCTACCATCTCCACGACCTACCATCTACCCGACATACCATCTACCCGACATACCATCTCCGTGACCTACCATCTCCACGACATACCATCTACCCGACCTACCATCTACCCGACCTACCATCTCCACGACCTACCATCTACCCGACATACCATCTCCACGACCTACCATCTACCCGACATACCATCTCCACGACCTACCATCTCCATATCCAACCATCTCTATAACATGCCACCTCCATGACCTACCATCTCCATGACCTAGCATCTCCACGACATACCATCTTCACGACATACCATCTCTACGACCTACCATCTACCCAACCTACCATCTACCCAACCTACCATCTACCCAACCTACCATCTACCAGACCTACCATCTACCCAACCTACCAACTAACCGACCTACCATCTATCTGACCTACCATCTATCTGACCTACCATCTATCTGACCTACCATCTATCCGACCTACCATCTACCCGACCTACCATCTACCCGACCTACCATCTCCATGACCTACCATCTACCCGACCTACCAAACTACCCGACCTACCAACTACCCGACCTACCATCTACACGACCTACCATCCACCCAACCTCCCATCTACCTGACCTACCATCTCATTTTGACCTCTCATCTCTTAGCCACTCCCATTTTAGTTTGGTTGCTGCCACTCAACATCTTTGACAGCTTGCAGTCGCACTTTGACCCTGACCCTGCCTGCCGATAGGTCGGTCTCTGGCTGATTGACATATTATTATCTCTTGCATGCCACTACCTTATTTCAGAGCCTGGACGATATTCAGGTAGGATTCTCATCCCAGCTGTAACCCCACCCCCATATGTCCCGCCTTCTCTGCTCAGTGCGTGCTTGCCTGCTTGCTGCTTCCCCTGTTTGTCCTAAGTTTGTCGCGCCGTTTGCTTGCTGCTATTATTGGATATCCGAATCAGTATAATTAGCCATTGAGTAGATATATGTTTTTAAATTTTATTTTATTTTGTTTCTTTAGATTATTTAGTGAGTTTGTTTCGAATTTATTGACTTTTCACTCTGTGTTGCACAAAGATGTCGAAAATAAGTTTAGAGCTCATTCTATTATTTGGGGCATGGTGAAACCAAAATTTATACCTGTGTAAAAACTTACACTTGGAACCAAACTGAAATCTGTATTTTTCTTAATGTATATTGAAACTTTTTATATAAATACATAGAGTGGTTTAAAAAAATAGTAACTCAGATATCACGTACGTTATTAGTTTTGAGGAAACCAGGATGTTATTTGATTGTGAGATGCTCAGTGTTATATAACACTGCCGTGTGGAACATACTGTTGTGCCCATGGTTGCCAAAATTGCTCTGCACACAGCTGCCCCGATATTGCGTCTCTCCTTCAGTATTGTTTTCATTTGTCTTTCACATCACCCCTGAGCGCTTTCTGTTCCAGGAACCACTTCTGACATTTTCTCATCTTGCCCTTCCTCACTATACCACATTAGATCTCTTAGAGAAAATACCTGGCACAACCCCGCTCTACCACCCCATCTTGATAAGACAATTTGGAATTTTGTATCTTTCACCATTTCATTAGTGAAAAGGAATATTTTAGTTTTGTTGTATTTATGTTACATTTATGTGATACTGCATTTGTAGAATGTAGAAATATGTAGAGGATTTTCTGCAATTCTGCCTCAGTTGCAATCCTCATCTCATCACCTTCATTAATAGTTGTCAGGCAACCAGTATCATCAATGGCCGCCATCGGCTCTGCTCTCCTCAGGAAAACCTTTCTATTTTGTCTCCTCCAGTAGAAATTCATAGACATGGAAACGGAGAATATGACAGATTGTGTTAGTAGGCCTCTCACCTCAGTGGATGTGTGTTAATGTGTTCAGATATGTGTGTATGTGTACAAGCTTGGGCAAGGAAGTCCGAAGGTCGCCACAAGCATCAGACAGAAATGTCTTGTCATTTGTCTTACACCATTACATGCTAAGCCATTCACATTTGTTTTCACAAATTGCCAAAGAAATACTTGTTCATCTTTGAAAATATTGTTTGATATATTTTGGATTTTATATATTTTTTTGTGTGTTAACATTCAGGATTTGACTTGTATGATTCACAAATGTCATGAGGACTGTCCATTGTTAAAGACAACTTTTTGTCCATTTTGTAGTTACTCCTTGAGGGCCACTCATAAAAAAAACCGACTGCTTTTTTCATCATATATTGCAAACAGTTACTAGAGTCTTTTTGACTTTGATCTCAATTTATGGCATGGTTTTCAAAAATATTTTAAAATCTATTTTGTTTAAATCCATGCATGCTTGCATCATTTAATACCAGTAGGTTTTCCAAAAAATAATTTCACATAAATCATTACCTTTCCTGAAAATTTTCAAGTTTGATTTTGTAGATTCCTTAATGGCCTTTGTTTCCTGTTTCTTCTTGTTTCAGATATTTGAGGGAGTGAAACATATAACTTTATGTTGGATTCAGATTCGAAAAGGGAAAATGAAATTCAAACTTGATTATTTTTTTCTTTCAAATTTATGGTTGATAATTTCAAGATTTTTTATTGAAAGATGCAAACCTTAAACCATAAACACTTAGTTTTTTGAAAGTTTGAAAGATGCATCCATAGATATTCAAGAGATCTGCCTAAAACAAGCCATGTATTGACCAGACCTGCAACTGCTTCAGATGAAGTTTCCTTTGAACTCAGTATCTGTTGTTAAGTGTGTCTAAGTCTTTGTATTTGTCTTCCAGGAGTCGGAGTCCGCAGCAGAAGAGTCCAGTCCAAGTAGTGACCGCGGGTCCTTTGTGGACAGGACTGCACCTAAAGTAGAAGCCGAAGGTGAGGGATAGTTGTTGTGAAAGAAGTATCAGTTATGAATCTGTTCTGTGATGTGCTGCAATCATTACAAGAAGCCACTATGTTGAAATGTCAGATATTTTGACGTGTTTGGATATCTGAATCTGTATAATTAGTTATTAAGTAGTGAAGTTTTTGAAACTTTATCTTGTTTTCAGTAGATCATTTTATTTAAGTCAATTTTTCAAATAGTGAGTTTGCACTCTATCATTCATAGCCTTGTCCATAGCCGATATGCTTTTGAGACCACTCAGTGACCTTTTGTCCCAAAGTTGTGTTTGTCTTGACAAAAGGTTAATTATAATCTTGTGTTATGGGTGTATAAAAATCATGAGTTGATCTATGTAAAATCATTTGGATAAAACCATTCCAAGTTTTGAATCTAGAAAGAATTTATTAAATTATTTATTTCAGTATAAACAAATATCTGACATTCTTCTCAGATTCGTCATATGGTGGCTTTGACTTTTGATTCCAGCATATAATAAAATGTTTGTTTGAATGAGTTTTATTTCAGCTGAATATTTTCGCTGTCTGCTGACCACTCAGAAACTGACCACTCAAAAGAAGTTAAGGATACTTTCATATTACCGTCATACAATGTACTGTCAACTCCGGTTATATGAAAGAATCAGGTGTTGTTTAACTTCTTTTGAGTAGTATATACTGTTGTATATGTATATATGTGTACAAACACTATGGATATATCTATGCACACTTGCTTACCGGTAACTTAGTGCTGTCATGTTTTGTGAGAATACTTTTGTAGGACATGCTATTTTGACTTTCTGAAACTGTGATAATTAATTGTACTTTGAGGATGTCCGCTGGTATTATTTTGGGTTTTATCTCCTCAAACTGTTGTGTCGGGCTCCATAAACGTTGTGGCTATGATGCTCTATCCTGATGTGTGAATTCTTGGTGCCATTATGTCATCAATAACATATTTAAAATTATGGATATGTACAATTTGTATTTTGTATTCAATTTTGATAAGACCTGCTCAAAAACATATTGCAATTTAAGTAATCTGTAGAAATAAAGTTTCCAATATGTGGTCAACCTAGTTCCGGACTCTTTTATCCAATTTCTTTGAGATGGAGATTCCCCATGTGTTTCTGTTGTAAATTATTTGAGCAGACGGGTAGCCTTGTGGTTCCAGGGCCCACGTGCACAAAGCGATCTTAGCACTAAGATGTATTGATCTTAACTCCCATACTTTAACATAGGCTTACAATAGTCTTAGCGCTAAGATGGTTTTGTGCAAGGGGGCCCTGGATTTGCTCATCGTCTTGAAGACACAGGTTCTATTCCTCTAGTCTTTCTGTTTTGGATACAACAAATCATTCTAGATTGTAGACTGCATAGTATAAACAAGACTGTGTAGTATAAACAATACTGCGTAGTATAAACTAATGTACCTTTGACCATGAAGGAATTAAAAGATGTGTCATAGAAGAGTAGGATCGTTTAAACCCTACCAGCGGACATCCATAACTGACATTTCAACACAACTGTAGCTGACATGTTATATATACACGAGTGTAATATTGTAGTGGCATGTGAGAAGGATGATTGTCACAATGTAGCGGGGATATTGACACTTTGACCGTTATCTCAATCAGCAACTAGCTCCCGCCCGGAATCTATAGCGGAGGAACAGATTTTAGCCGATTTAGATGTCCGTAGGCCGCTAGCAAAGGCAGAGTCACCAGAGGAAACGGCAGAAACCTCTCGTAAAAAGAAAGAGGCTTATATGAGCCTTGTTAGCGAAATGGATCGTCTTGCTGATGAGCAGGAAGCATTGGAAAAATCCCAGAGAGAAGGTATTCACTGTGGCCATTTGGACCTTCAGTCTGATGCACGTGCCTGCATTTTCCATGCATGTTAATTTCAAGAATACTGATCAATCTTTTCACCCGTGGCATGGAGCTTTTCAGTCGTCGTGCCTGCCATTTGTCACCATAACTGTCACTTCATATAACTTACTGCATCATGCATGACAAGATTGATCACAGGAACGTTGCCTCACCATCTGTATGTCCCTTGACAACCACCTGTCTCTAGTCATCCAATCATGTAACTGTCTAACATCACTCGCCAATCATCCAATCATATGTCAGATGTAGCGTTACTGTGTTGATGTTGTTTCTGTGAATAGATGAGAATTAGTCGTTCCCATGTCTGATGTGATTTTTGTTCAGTATATTTTTGACTAATTGTGTGGAGACAAGTTCAGTGTTACATCTTTACATGAACATTTATTGTAACTGGTAAAAAAGAGAGAGTTATCTTTGAAAAATTGTTTCATTCATCCTGGCATGTTCTAAATTAATGACAATTCCAAAGTAAACAGTTTTTGTTATTTTGGAACAAATTTAAAAGAAAGGGCTCCTAATATCTGCTATTTATTGAAACTATTGTGACATTTCAGTAAAGCTTCTAGCATATTCATCACACGTCCTAACAATCTTAATAAAGAAGTTGTCATCCACACAATTATTATTTTTACATTACCCAAATTCCACTAACTTTCACATCTGTTTCAAGGTTTTCCATATTCAGGAATTCCTTGTCATGTCTTTGTCAAGCAGTTTATGATTCCATGGTTTTTGCTCTAATTTGAACCTATTTTGTATGTGTTATCTGCTGTAGTGATGTACTGTCCTCTGATAGTGTAAATCAGTGTGATAGGTTCCGTTTGATTTCATAATTGTTGAATTCCCATTTTGGTGTGTTCGGGTTATCGGGGTTGCTGTGTCTTGGACTGTGTTGTATAAGGATAAAAGTTACCCGCACCAACTTCCCAACCTCCTATTACGTTTATCACATTGAACCAGGACCACACTCCACAAAGCAGTCTTTGCCTTAAGGTGATTGTAAGTCCGATACTTAAGAATAGACTTACGACAATCCTAGTTCTACGATCGCTTTTGGCACAAGGCCCACATCTTATCAAACAAGGCATGATGAGAACTTAGTTTACAAGTTGTATGTTTACAAATAAATGTCTTTGGAGATGTGTTATTTTGAAAAATCAATTAAATCATTGAGGATATGTCAAATATTTCGTGCAAAAAATGAGAATTCGATTGAGTTCTACATTGAGAGCTATGTGGCTAGTATAATTGTGTGATCACTCAGCCATTGCACATCGACATGTTTGTAGCCAAGCTGCATGTACATATCACACACTTAAGCAATGAATAGCAAGTCAGAAATAGCCTAAAGCTGGTGATTATCTGCAATCCACAGCTGTCATACTATTGATTGACAGGCATACCTACATTCGTCAATATCGGCCTTGTCATGCAACGTGTCACGCTCTATATCTACACTAGGTGTAGCAGGCCCTGATCTGTCCTTCTTTCTTACAATGGGGCTGCTGAGGACACCCCAAGATCTTGTGTACTCCATCCTGTTCAGAATGTTGAAAAAACTTTTGATGATAGAGCCAGTATCGTCATGGGCAATATCAGCATGTATCCTTATGGGTAATCCACAAAGTAAGCTGAGACCATATCCCATTGACTAAACCAACTAGTCCACTTCCTTCCCTAGCCATCTTCCTGGGGGTTGTATTATGGTGCTAGATGTCTCTCTGAACAGGTCAAAACTCTCTTGCAAGTGCAAGTATTAATTTGTACACATGGAAGTATTTTGTTTTCTAGAAGGTGTCAAGTCTCTAATTTATCTACCGTATGTGTAATACAGAACTCTTCACTTCCATCTGATGAAATGGAAGTTAATTCAGAATCTGTTGTTTGGTCAGTAAACATTTTTTAAATTTTTATTTATTTATTTATTTATTTATTTATTATTATTATTATTATTATTATTATTATTATTATTATTATTATTATTATTATTATTATTATTATTAAATAAAAATAAGAAGTGGCTAATATTGATAATAACAATTTATCTCATCATTTTGTAAACGACCACTCCAATTTGTTATGCCAGCAAGACCTAGCTTCCCCGGTAACAGCATGCTTGGCATTTTTGTTGTGATTGTTGTACCTCTTTGTATTAACATGTTAAACTTGTATTGATATATTGCTGTGTTCCTCATGGCATGTGATGTCTGAAGCATGTTGCCAGCACATGAACACCATACGTAACACACACCATGGTTTTAGTTCACAATCTGATTATCATTGCCTACTAATTCACAGTTAATCAAACACTTACAGCTCGATGGTGCATGAGATTTGAAGTTTAATCCAAATTTATTTCACAATTAAACAACAAATTTTTAAATATCAGTTCTTTATATTTTGATCACTTAGACTGTGCAGAGGTCACTTAGACTTTGCAGAGTTGCATCCCTTGGGCATACCAGAGACATATGATAGTGGGTTTGAATCCCCGATTATGTTTCTAGGTTTGTCAGCACCATACTCGTGATTGTGGATGTCAGAAATGTTTCACTGAGAGCTGCATCACTTCAGGCTTTCCTTCCGGATTAAGCAGACACACTGTGATATAACTGGAATACTGTTAAAGCGGCATGAACGAATGATGAGTGATGTGTTAAGTACATGATCTCCATGAATATTATATGTACTGTTTTTATGCTGAATCAGTTGTCCATATTTACTGTCAGCTTTATTGACTGACCCCAGGTGCTGTGTTTGAAACACAGCCACTGTTTTCATAGCAATAATCTATATGTAGATGTAATTCAGTGTTGATTGTATGCTTGAGGATTATCTGCTGCAGCAGTCACTGACTGGAACATGCTGGGGAAATCTTTGTAACCAGTGGTTTGTTTTCAAATCATATTTCATTATTTTAAATGCTCATTTCGTTTAAATCTATTTTCTGATGCAGGTTGATTTGTCTTAAACTGGTCTATAGTTTCCTTGTTTCCATGTGGTGACTGTATCAAGTATTTATTGTTAATTTCCGACTGATGAAAGGAGAAACGCTTTAATATTTGAAGGTAGTAATTTTGGCTAAATCTTTTTAAGTGAAACTGTGCAAAAAGCTGAGTCCAATAGTTTTATCACTTTCGAAATTCGAAATTTCATGAAATTTAAAACAACAAAAATTGTTTTTATTTTTTTATTTTTTTTTATTTCCTTCATCAAGTCTCAACTTTGTTCCAAGCTGAGTAATCTGGAGACTAACAGATTAACTAGATGTTGTGCTTTTATCAATGCTGCGTCTAGTAACAGAAGAGAGGCACAGTGTTTCCGAAGACACAATTGTCCGAGAGGCAAAAGGCAGCCCGGAAGACCCTATGCAACGTGTCCAGCAGGCTCAAGCACAAGCGCCCTGTGTTGATATGGAACCCGAGCGCTCCCCCAGTGAAAGCTCCATGGTTTACAAAGGAGACAAAGGTAGCCCAGTCACAGTTGTCTCCCCTGCACCATGCACTGGTTTCACAAACAACATTTGCCTCAGTTGAAAATTGAATGTATTTCTGTTTTTGTTGTCGTTTTGTGCATGTTTCATATGTGATTTTTCTATTAACTTGAGTTTATTTTGGAGATTTTGAGTTAACAATTCTTTTTTCAGAAGGGTCATTTGAGAAATTTGCAACATTTGTTTACTGTGCAGTGTATTTTAAAATTACACATGACATACTGGTATTAATTCTATTCATCAAACAAAACATGGAAATATATATTAACTTTAAGAGGCACTGTTAGTTTAAGAAGATCACATTCATATCATTTATATATTACTTATGATCTAATACTTCCCAATGTCAAATAACCTTCCATGAATTAAATTTTCTCTGGTGAAGGTGAATTTAGCCATAAGTCTTATAAAGTCAACATTTTACTGACACAAGCTCTGCACGTGTCCTCATATCATATTCAAACAAGCCACTATACACACAAGTTCCACATGTCCGACACATATCACTACACACAAGTTCCACATGTCTGACACATATCACTACACACAAGTTCCACATATCTGAAACATATCACTACACACAAGTTCCACATGTCCGACACATATCACTACACACAAGTTCCACATGTCCGACACATATCACTACACACAAGTTCCACATGTCCGACACATATCACTACACACAAGTTCCACATGTCTGACACATATCACTACACACAAGTTCCACATGTCCGACTCATATCACTATACACACAAGTTCCACATGTCCGACACATATCACTACACACAAGTTCCACATGTCCGACACATATCACTACACACAAGTTCCACATGTCTGACACATTACACTACACACAAGTTCCACATGTCCGACTCATATCACTATACACACAAGTTCCACATGTCCGACACATATCACTACACACAAGTTCCACATGTCCGACACATATCACTACACACAAGTTCCACATGTCCGACACATATCACTACACACAAGTTCCACATGTCCGACTCATATCACTATACACACAAGTTCCACATGTCCGACACATATCACTACACACAAGTTCCACATGTCCGACACATATCACTACACACAAGTTCCACATGTCTGACACATATCACTACACACAAGTTCCACATGTCCGACACATATCACTACACACAAGTTCCACATGTCCGACACATATCACTACACACAAGTTCCACATGTCTGACACATATCACTACACACAAGTTCCACATGTCCGACACATATCACTACACACGAGTTCCGAATGTCCGACACATATCACTACACACAAGTTCCACATGTCCGACACATATCACTACACACAAGTTCCACATATCTGACACATATCACTACACACAAGTTCCACGTGTCCGACACATATCACTACACACAAGCCTCTTATCACTACACACAAGTTCCACGTGTCCGACACATATCACTACACACAAGTTCCACATATCCGACACATATCACTACACACAAGCCTCTTATCACTACACACAAGTTCCACATGTCCGACACATATCACTACACACAAGCCTCTTATCACTACACACAAGTTCCACGTGTCCGACACATATCACTACACACAAGTTCCACATATCCGACACATATCACTACACACAAGCCTCTTATCACTGCACACAAGTCCCACATGTCCGACACTTATGACTACACACAAGTTCCACATGTCCGACACATATCACTACACACAAGCCTCTTATCACTGCACACAAGTTCCACGTGTCCGACACTTATGACTACACACAAGTTCCACGTGTCCGACACATATCACTACACACAAGCCTCTTATCACTACACACAAGTTCCACGTGTCCGACACATATCACTACACACAAGTTCCACATGTCCGACACATATCACTACACACAAGCCTCTTATGACTACACACAAGTTCCACGTGTCCGACACGTATCACTGCACACAAGCCTGATAACCAATGAGAAATGACTGCCAATACTAAAACATTGCATGCTTGGTTGCATCTCAGTTGCCACAAAACGTTTGTGTAATTTTGTTAACCTTTCTTTAATTATGCCATGATTAATTACCTGTCTTGTTTATGTATGACAATTTTATGGACCTGTTTTGTGTCAGTGTCTTTTGTATGTCCTATTTTGTATACGTTGCATTTCGTGTGCATGTTTGATAATGATCTAACATGAAAGCTGTTTCTGTTTGGTGTTTGTACACACAGCATGTAAACGTATGTATAAGCCAAGTCTGACCAATATTTCTGCCAGAATGATGTACCCTGATATAGGCACAACACTCTCTGTCCTAGCCTTATCACACAAGGGAATGTTGGGTTTTGGGTTGTTGGTTTTTAGCTGTTTATGCATTTTTTGCTTCTACAGGATGTAGCTTGGATCAGAGACCAATTTGATACGAGCCGTTCAGTGTCTTGATCTTTTATTGTTTCAGTAAACATATGTAAACTGCCTTTGTATGTTTGTATCCCTGTCACACTCTACCAACTGTAAGGTGATATACCGTCACTATGAACGGATGTTGTGCAATCTGTGTCAAAGTGTCTTCTCTGTAAGTTTTGTATGTTATGACACTCCATCCTGTTGCCCTTTTGGTGTTTACCTGCGATCACAAACTGGTTCGTTTACAGAAGTGGTCATTTCTAACTTAATGAAATTTGACACACACCAAAAAAGGGAAAAAAATCCATGATCTTTCTTGACAGATTTTCATCTCATTTGATGAATAATTATTAAAACATCTTGATGCATGGACAACATGAGTTATTTTGATACTAATGGGCAATGATTAAGGCCATTAAACACCAGCTGCAGTTTACTAGCTTGCTTTGGAAGTTTCTAATAGCATCAAGCTGAACTGGAACTAGGGGAGACCACTCTGTATTCTCCACCCTTCCTGACTTGTTTAAGCTTTGCATGTCCTAAATTGCTTCCAGACCAGGGATATGCGGAGGATGAGGCAACCGTCAAGACCCCACCCCCCAGTCCTTCAGAAAAACAACCATTCACAGGTAGACTTCCACCCTTAGAAGTGACACCATGTCAGTCGTCTCGCTTGCTGTCTTTCTGTCGTCAGTGACCAAGTGTAGCCCTAGTTAGTGTCAGCAGCTGTCTTGTAGATAGATCTGGAGGAAGCTGCAGTCTTAACTAATCTTACTGCTTATGCAATGAAGAGATATTTGGTTGTTAATGCACTTATTTTTTTGTATACTCAATGTTGATGCATTTACAATCGGATTACTTACACATATAGAAGAGTTAACAGGGTTAGAAACTAACAGTTTTTGTCTACTAGTCCTTATGATGATAACATAAAGCAAAACCCTTAAAACAGGCCAATTTCTACTAGTCCTTAGGATACCTTTACTATTGGGTAGTTTGGTAAGGACTACAGGACTAGTGCCAATTTCTAACGCTGGTTAATGTATGAAATGTTTTGATTTTGGATATTAGTAATACCATATGTAATATGGCTTTTTCCTAAATTATTAATTTAGTTATTCTTTTCTTCTGTAATGAATCATTGCAGATATTATAAGAGCTAATTTTATTTATTCAGATTCAATATTACTATTTGAGTTCAGATTCATTCAAAGATCTGTAAAGTTTCTGATAGAAAATAAGTTTGAAACCTCCAAAGTTAAGCTGCAGCTTCTTTGCATGGCAGACCTCTACATATCTAAACATCTTCTGTTTCTCACGGTTCATATCAGGCTGAAATGGGCTGTGAGTTTCTCTCGTAACCAAGAGAAGCAGCACTGTGCATGTTTATCTACTATACGTTCTTCTATCTCCACTCATATAGAGTGGCAGTGTATATACTTGGCCTTTTAAGGACATCTTTTACCTGAAAATTATCTGCTAAATCATAGCTGTGTACTGATCCACTGGCTGCACACAGGTACAATTCTCACCTTCATAAGATTGTACTCGCTGCTGATGCTGATTTTACACCCGCATCCACAAGCTTCATCAGAATAAAAATTACAGAATACTGTGGATGTTTTTGTAGCCCTTGTTCCGAAATGATTTTTTTGTCTGATAGTGGAGCAGTACATTGGTACGATTTCGCAGCCACTAAAAATAATTTCGTTAGGGGGTCGAGTTTAAGGTATTTCATTTCTCTATCCTTAACAAAGAAATGAAGTAATTACGTTTGAGAACAAATCTGTTTCTTCTATTCCCCATAACACATCCTGACATCCTTTTTCTTACTGTCTACATCTCTTGTGTGATATGCTACATTCAGGGAGGTAATGGACAAGTCGACAGTGTTTGTTTCAGTGCTGTTTATTTTGCACCATGACTGGGTTTAATGATTTGGTCAGTTATGTTATGAGATCATTATCAATTTGTTGCACATCATTAATGGAAATATGTCTTAATATGCACGACATGCATGCCAACTTTTTATCAATTTATAACTGTGAAACATCTCCATGTTAAGGACACAGTTTCTGAAATGCTAACTGAAGATGTCCAAACAGACATGAATCAACTAATAATATCATGTAACCGAGAGATATTTTAGCCTGCAGAGTAGGTATCTTGCATTGTCTTGGACAGAGTTGAAATTCTGTTACTTACCAAAATATCCAAAAGGAGCCAGTAGACTGTATCCAATCGAGACCCACCGTCTCATCAGCTGGAGAACTAGGACTAGGTATGTCCTAACGGGCAGAGTGTGTTACTGGGTTAAAGTTATGTATGCCTGACATTAGATCTAGACCATCTTCTTGGCTTTCAAAACAGAGAGTTTTTCCCATTCTGATAAATTTCTAGTACAGATGCTAAACATGCTTTGTGTCATTTCTAATGACGTAGTCGTTGACTGGTGTGCTTTATGCTGTACCATGTCAGAAGGACAGTGTTTTGTTTGTTACAAGGCTGTGGACCACTGTGTGTATCAACCAGGGATTATCTACATCTGCTCACAGGATGTTTTTTGCCCCATGTCTGGAGCGAATGTCAGTAAAAAGACACAAACTGGAATTTAGAATTTGTCAAGTCATGTAATTGCTTCACAGAGGTGATTTGCGTTGCACTGATAACAGAACCACTACAGAGGCTTTTGTATTGAGCTTTACATTTTTGCATAAAGTCTTAAAATATCTCTGAATTTAAGAAAATATGGACTTGTAAGAAAATCCAAATTCTAACAAAATTATGTTTTCTTCCCAATTTAGGGTATGTAGTTTGGAATCCAAAATAATTCCTGTGAACAGTTTAAAGTGGTGTTTCAAAAACAGAAATTTCCTTTAAATATCATTATTTGGAGTCTGTTTGCCTCCTTTTCAAAATTCTGAGTACCGGGGTATCTAACAGCAACAATATTCAGATCTAAGAAACACTTTGGCCAGTTTCCATAATGCAATGGTACATGGGAAAACATTTGCAACAATCTAATAATGTTTAACTTCTTGCAAAGGTTGTTGTTTCTGTTTCTGTACATTGTGGCTACATGTTAACAAGTGTAGTACTAACGAGGTGAATCGCAGAGGGGCAAGTCAAGGATTAGGAAATATTCAACACATTGGGTATATACTGCCTGATGATAATAGCCATGTCTTAAGTTCCCGTTTCTGTGGTTTATCACATTTATTTCTCATCACCCAATTCCCATTGGCAAATCTGAGTGTTTGTTTTCCCCACTGCTGCGTGATCAGCGGAGGAGCGCCATTTCGTAGAAGATGAGGAACGTCATGATGAGGTCACAGAAATTGAGGAGATTTTCCAGATTTCTGAAGATGGGGAAACTTGGAAAACAATTCGTAAAGTGACCACCATAACACCACAGGGCACCTCTGAACGAACAGAGGTGATCAAAGGTAGCCGATTGTCGTCAAATCAATTTTGTCCCTACACGTAACAATTTCCAACACCCAACTGTCAAAGTCTTTATTTTTTGCTTCCTCAGTTGTTTTGCAAAGAAGATATTGCAATCTTTTTAATTCTAAATAGAAATCTGGATTTATTTTGACCACATAAACCATTGTTGCTATTTCACCTTTGTTTTGCCTCCTGTGAGTTGAGTTTGATAGGAATAGTTGAACCTCCTTGGGAGTTTCTTTTCAGGATGTTTGCCATATCAGTGGATCGAAGCGTGCATGAATACAGGTTTAGCTTCTTTCACACTGTGCAACAGGGCACTTTTCTCTAGAATTGAAACTGCGTTTGAACTTGACAGACTAACACTGTATTTCCTTCAATAAATACCTAGAATTATGATCCACAGGTTTTGATGCTTCTACTCTCGTAACTCCCATGTGTAAACACAGATGGTCAGAGAATGTACCTCTCTTCTTAACAAGGCCCAGTTCCTTCACAGGCATCCTCAGAAGCTCATTTTAAAGACTTCTGTCATGTCATGCTTTTGGCGAACACCTGGTGTCATCTCTGATTTTCAGTGGTCCATCCGTATACTTTTTAATGCTATTTTGGCTTTTATGCCCAATGGAATGGGTCGGTGGATAATCAAGACTGGTTATTCTCTGGCATTGACGTTTATTTTTGTAACATCTTGTAGGAATGTGCATTAGTGCAAAGAGTGTTTTGCTGATGAAATTTATCCGAGATTCCTCCATGTTTAATACTGTTGGTGTATATTCAAGGAAATACAGGATATAACTTATACTTTGTTTATTTTATGGTGAACTCTGACCTCACTGTATGATGACTGTATGTGCATGATCTCTGCATGGTTTGTTGCAGTATGTGTGCTGCACTGAGTGTTCTGTGATATACTGTTATTCAGCTGCCAATATTACCTACTATGTGATATACTGTTATTCAGCTGCCAATATCTCCTACTGTGTGATATACTGTTATTCAGCTGCCAATATTACCTACAATGTGATATACTGTTATTCAGCTGCCAATATTACCTACTATGTGATATACTGTTATTCAGCTGCCAATATCCCCTACTGTGTGATATACTGTTATTCAGCTGCCAATATTACCTACTATGTGATATACTGTTATTCAGCTGCCAATATCCCCTACTGTGTGATATACTGTTATTCAGCTGCCAATATTACCTACTATGTGATATACTGTTATTCAGCTGTAAATATCCCCTACTGTGTGATATACTGTTATTCAGCTGCCAATATCCCCTACTGTGTGCTATACTGTTATTCAGCTGCAAATATCCCCTACTGTGTGATATACTGTTATTCAGCTGCCAATATCCCCTACTGTGTGATATACTGTTATTCAGCTGCAAATATCACCCGACTCTGTGATAGTTTCATACACAGTAATCCATTTTATTTCAGCTTTATACCTTGCAGTTTGAACTGCCATCTGCACAACACCACTCACTGTGTCATGACTAAAATTAATGTGAATGTCCTTTTTTGATTGAGTTGTAATGATGAAAATGCTTTACAGATTTAGACAAATTGTTGTATAAAGGTGAACTTATTTGTAGTGATATAATTAAATAAATGTAAGGTGTCAGATTACCCTAATTATGTAAGTTGAGAGAGAGGTTAAATTTAGATTTGTATCTCCCAAGGTTTATAGTTATTGTGATTAATGTTTAAGTAGTTTTTGTGCTAAAGTGATGTACTGTCATAAGTACTGTAAATAATTAATGCTACTTTTTTTAGGAATAATATTACGGTACATGTTTTTTAATGTAAATACATTATGTTACATGTTTTTTAATGAAAATATAATTTTCGCTAAAAGATTGAAAGCCTCGGAAGAAAAAAATGATATTTGAAGTAACTTAAACCTGGGTCAGATTGTCAAGCAGGCACCAAACTCACACACAGATTTTCTTAAATGTTTCAGAAGAAAGAATAACTCCTTTCTCGAACGTTGAGCAAGCTGCTGCACGATTGGCTGCCGAGGCTGAGGGAGCTGACCAATTGGAGTCTGGTGTGTAGTCGAATACTGTGTGCCTTGCCAATCCATGACAGGCTTTTGGGCCACATGATTAGCGCAGAGTGTAGCATACTACAAGAGAACAATAGCCGATTATTATGTTTTAGCTATCCCTGAAGAATCTCATGAACAGAGAATTACTTAGAGGCTTCTGTATGCAAGATTCGGTTTTTGTCGAGATGGAGTTCTCTTTCTCAGCCCGCTCAAATGTAAGCAAGTTTTAAATGCGTAATTGTACATGTATTTGCTTGGCGGTTATTTCCAGGATATTTCAGCTTGGCAGATTATTGCATGAGTTAAGAAACTGCGCGTATACTGTTTCCTGAACATCATGTTCAGCTATCAGACATAGGATGTCAGGAAAGCATGGTTGGTTGAGCACTATTTCGCACCCGTCAAACATGGTTTTCATTTCACAATTTTACACTTGTGCATGGTTTTGATTGATTTCAATTATGCAAGAATATTTTCATAGTTATGATTGAACTATGGATATTGCGCTATTTAATTTTATTTTCTCAATTCTGATATTGCTGATATGTGTTCGTAAGGTTACTGGGTTGGTGGAACCTGAGGAAGAAATCACTTTATGCATTGGCTCTGATTTGAATTTTACAACTGTTTGTGGAAATTACAAACAACTTACTAAATTACACTTGAAAGTGTCAGTGTTTCTTCCACAGGGTTGGATAAAATGAGATTCTTCAGACTTTGAGACAGGAGAAGCTTTTGCACTGAATTCAAAATTATTTATTATTTCATAATCCAAAGTAGACAGTATTTATGGATAACAACTTCTTTAATTACTGTTTCGATATGGATCCTTATTCCATTGTCAAGCAAGGATTTCATAATCCATTGAATCCTTTTTATTTAAGTTGATTTTTTTGTTTTCCTAAGTGTTGTTATACAGCTATACATGTTCGTTTGGCCGAGGGAGACCTTCGAAAAATGGCAAGCATTATTGATGTGACATCTTTTGTCAATAACGAAAAGTGCAATTTATATTCTCTTAGCTCATTGGATTTTACTTTCTTTGATATTTGTAATGTTATTTTAATGAGCAAGTGCAATTTGTTGATTTTGATGAATATTTGCATATAAGGTTGTGACTTTTGATTGTTTTCATCTTAGTTGCTCGAAAGCACGAGCTAGATATAAGAAAATGATTTTGGGCATTAAGCAATCATTTCTAAATTTTAGAGTAAGAAGTTGAAATCATTTGTGTCACTTTAATTGTATTTAGTGTCTGTCCACTTTTAATTAACTTTTCCGCAAAAGAATTTCTTACATAATTTAGCTATTCATTACTCTTTAACATCTGCTTGATTTTCATATTTACATGATGTATAGCTTATCTCACTGCCGTATTGCTTCGTCTATATTGTCATACTTTGTTGTCATTGAATAAATGTCTCCATCATTTAGTTACTTGGTTGTGGTATTCTTTGTTATTATTAGTATATTTTATGTTCAATTTCGTTTTCGATTTGGTGAATTTTGTTCTGTAAACCATCACTCAGAGGCCAGGAGTATAAAAATACACGATTGACCGAATCACCACAAGGTGCCGACTTCAAGGGTTAAATGATATTATGATGGTGTATGGATTGGTTAGAAGGCAATATTGATGTTAACAACACCTGAAAGAGAATCTTCAGTGTAAACGTTGTACAAACAGTTCCTGATAATATAATGAACACACTATGTCAACTGGATATTATTCATGACCAGAAACATCATATGTAACAATACATCGTATCTCTATCTCATTTCATTTCCTTCATTTGCCTCAAAGTCAGGTTTAGTTTTCCAGTGTACAAAATGTCTTCACTTGAATATTTTTAAAAGTCGTATAAGCAAAGATAAATACTGATTTCAGAAGTTAAAGATTATTTTCTTAACATAGTGCTTGCTGAACTCAGATTTGAAACATTATTGGATTCAGATTCTGGAAAACTACATGTGGCTCTGTATAATGAAGGCCAAGTTCCTGATCATCCCCAATACTGCATGAAGTGTGTCTGTATTGCTTTCTTCAAGCGCATGTTGCTCAACATTTTTTGATAATCATGTCAAAGATCTGTTATTTTTATGGTTACACATGCCAAAGCATCCAAGCCAAATGCCAAGACGTACCTAGTTTAGGAATGAAACATCATGGTCTGTGCCGCATTGTCCTTTTACAAAAAAAATCTAAAATGAAGTATTCTGCCATGCAACCAGTGTTACAAAGCAGAGGAGGAGTGTTCTTGTATAAGAGAGACCTACACCAACATGACATGGATGTTTCTGGAGGGATGCTGGTTAATTTGACACTGTTACCCAGATGTTCACAACGCTGCGTAAATGTTTTGTAGATGGTGACATTACTTCATAAATTATAGGATTTTCTCATTCTTCACATCATCAGATAGTATAGTTTATTTGATACTGCTTAAATTGGCTTGTATGCTTTGTGCTTGGATCATTTCCTAACCCTTGATTCTTACTATTTCTGCATTGCAAATTCATGCTAGAGACATGCTGTTTATCTTTAGATAGCACACTTTTGCATATAGTTTTCCTTCTAACTAAAAAAAAACTTCTTTCCTCTACTGTTTCAACTGTTGAATTAGGGCACTTACTCTAGGTGAGAATACAAGGGTTGAAATGCTACCAGCAACACACACACAAAGTGTAACCACTGTTCAAGTTGTGATATTTTATTTCATTACTAGTTAGTCTTACTAATGACTTTGTTTCACATACATTGTGTAGACCACAACTGTTTTGCTCGCCTTGGCCTAGTTTGAGCCACACTGATGACATCTGTGCATGGCTCCAGCTGCTCCAGCTGCTTATACTAGTACTGCAGAGTGACTCTTCTTCTGCTGTGTGTCTGCATGGTTTGCCTTCTGTCTGCCTCTAGAAATACAGCCTGCCTCCATCTAAGATGTCCGTAAGTCTCTCAATGCTTGGTATACGATAACATCCTGCAAATTTCAGAACAAGCTGAGTGGCTCAGGCAAAAAGAAGCCGAGGAACAGTCACGTCTTCAACGGCAGGAAGAGGAAGCTGAACTCCATAGAAAACAGGCTGAGTTGTATCGACAAGAGGCAGAGGAACGTGCACGACAACAACAGGCGGATGATGAGCGACGGAGGCAAGAGGCAGAAGCCGAGAAGCAAAGATTAGAAGATGACCGGTCAAGACAGCAAGAAATTGATGCAGAGAGATTGAGACAAGCAGAGTTAGATGCTGACAGGCTGAGGGACCAAGAGGCAGAAAGACTCCGGCAGAAAGAAGCTGAGCAGCTCCAGCAAGACGAAGCTGCTAGGCGCAGACAAAAAGATGCGGAGAAGGAAAAAGAGCTTGAAGAAGAAAAACAGCAGAAACTATTGAAAGAGCGAGATGATGATCTGGATGAAGTAGATAGGCTCCGCCAACAGAGGAAGGATGACGATGACGATGAGATAGAGCGTCAGGAACTAGATCAACAGGAGAGACAGAGACAGCTTGAAACAGAGGATGGTGGTGACCAGTATAGGCCACAGATGGATCGAGCAGAGGATCGAGTCCGAGGTCCAGACTCAGAAACAAGAGTGGAGGCTGCCCACACCGACAAAGTTGCTAGCCTACCTCCAGGAGGGCCAATGTCTCTAGAACCTGAGCCTTATGGAGAAGCAGCAGAACAGATCATCAGTCCAACATCGGATGGATCATATCATGATGGACCATCCTCTGTCCCTGAGCCTCAAATGCCAGCAGGATTTGTTGCAGAAGACAGAGTAACTGACAAGGAATCTCCAATGTATGATTATGATCCAAGCTTTGATGAATTTGTTGACCATAGAGAAGAATACATAGTTGAGGAAACTGCTACTGAGAGGAAAGCAACCAGTCCTACCTACTCAATTCCCTACAGCATCATAGGACAACCTGGTGTCACAGGAGAACAACCTGAGGTTGTTACCACTGGAAAACAGCCTGAGGTTGTTACCACTGGAAAACAGCCTGGAGTCTTTGCCACTGAACAACAGTCTGGAGTCTTTGCCACTGAACAACAGCCTGGAGTCTCTGCCACTGAACAACAGCCTGGAGTCTCTGCGACCGAACAACAGCCTGGAGTCTTTGCCACTGAACAACAGCCTGGAGTCTCTGCAACCGAACAACAGCCTGGAGTCTCTGTGACCAAACAACAGCCTGGTGTCTTTGTGACCGAACAACAGCCTGGAGTCTCTGCGACCGAACAACAGCCTGGAGTCTCTGCCACTGAACAACAGCCTGGAGTCTCTGCAACCGAACAACAGCCTGGAGTCTCTGTGACCAAACAACAGCCTGGTGTCTTTGTGACCGAACAACAGCCTGGAGTCTCCGCGACCAAACAACAGCCTGGAGTCTCCCCCACTGAACAACAGCCTGGAGTCTTTGCAACCAAACAACAGCCTGGAGTCTTTGCAACCAAACAACAGCCTGGAGTCTTTGCAACCGAACAACAGCCTGGAGTCTCTGTGACCAAACAACAGCCTGGAGTCTCCCCCACTGAACAACAGCCTGGAGTCTTTGCAACCAAACAACAGCCTGGAGTCTTTGCAACCGAACAACAGCCTGGAGTTTTTGCGACCGAACAACAGCCTGGAGTCTCTGCGACCGAACAACAGCCTGGAGTCTCTGCGACCGAACAACAGCCTGGAGTCTCCCCCACTGAACAACAGCCTGGAGTCTTTGCAACCAAACAACAGCCTGGAGTCTTTGCAACCGAACAACAGCCTGGAGTCTCTGTGACCAAACAACAGCCTGGAGTCTCCCCTGCTGAACAACAGCCTGGACTCTTTGCAACGGAACAGCAGCCCAGAGTCTTTGCGACCAAACAACAGCCTGGAGTCTCCCCCACTGAACAACAGCCTGGAGTCTCCCCCACTGAACAACAGCCTGGAGTCTTTGCAACTAAACAACAGACTGGAGTCTCCCTCACTGAACAACAGCCTGGAGTCTTTGCAACCAAACAACAGCCTGGAGTCTTTGCGACCGAACAACAGCCTGAAGTCTTTGCCACAGGACCACAGTCTGAGGTCATTACCATAGAACGACAGCATGGGGTCTTTGCAACAGGAGAACCTGATGTCACGGTTAAAGGACAAGAACCTAAGGTTGATGTAACAACAAAACAGCCTGAGGTCACTTCAACAGGACAACAGCCCATATTTTCTGCCACAGGGCAGCATGACATCGAGGTTAAAGAACAACAACCTGAGCAGCTGTCAAGAAAGCCTGATGTTCTTACTGGTATGACAGGAGTCCAGCTGATAACCACCACCCAACAGTACTATGATGAAGAGGTATCAGGAGAATCTACTCAAGGTACTTAAACACTCTCAGTACTGACCAGAGTCAGCACTACCGGTACATAGTCACCAAGCACAATCAGAGATACTTACATAGAATGCAATACAAGGCTTCCTATGGAAACGAGCACTCTACTCTCAAAAGTTGACAGTGATGACATAGGATGGATCGAACCACCATTTGGACACATGTATCAATCCACACATTTTCAATAATCAAATAAAATAGCATATGTGCCATTTTGTCGTCACCTTCAGCTTTTGGAAGAAGTGTGGCTCATGTTAAGGCTACACAGGTTTATCTTATTAGTTCATGGCAGAAGGAAGGGTTTTGGGTGATATCTAACCCCTAACATGACATGTTTGTGTAAGCATATGTTTATGGCCATACATCATACTCCCTACAACTTGAGGACATATCTTGACCGTTGAGTTCCTCATTTCTGTAGCATGGGCCAAGCTGTTTGCATGCCAGTCATGTTTTGTTCATGCATTGTCATTATATATTTCCGTATGATCAACTTTGCCTTTGTTCATTTCCTCATCTGCATCATCCATCATTCAAAACATGACATACATATGTCGAAACACAGAGACAAAATCATTTCTGTGCATGGAATTATTTTAGGTTTCTTTATTTTTGTATCTGCAAATTTGAGTACAAAAACGTTTGTGGTACATTCATGATTTTTTTAGATTTTACTCTCTTTTTATATTGTACTCATGCAGTATGTTACATACACACATAGTTTTGTTAAAAACTATTACAGTTATAATCAGTTTGAATACAACAAATTACAGCTTGTTGTGCTGTAAAGATATTGGAGTGTATATGTTGTTCTTTGACATCTGTCCAAACAAAACTTGATGAAAGAGCAAATTCATGTATTTAATGGATACAATATCTGAAGGAAAATATAGCCTGGCCATGGCGATCACATGTTTAACTCTATGATATGCCAACGAGACATGTAATCTAGACACAAAGCTGAAAACAAGCCAACACCATAATGGACATTTGTGAAGAATAGGAAAGGTGGTTTCATCATCGGCAGGTAATTTTAAATTTTGAATTCTACCAAACCCTTACCAAGTGCTTCAAGCATTAACCATCCAAGCCTAAGACCAACTGCACCTTGTACTACCCAGGAATCCCTCACCTAACTATGGGATGACATGGGGCTTTACAAACCATACAACCTACCTTGCTGAACATACTGTTGCCATTAACTGTGTAACTATTACATAGGACTTGACATTGTCATCAAAGAGTCTGATCATTTTGCATCAGGTCTAAAAACAGGATTTACCATTTCAATCAGAGATTTTGTATTTGGTAAATATGTTTGATTTTGATTTGATTTTGATTTTTTTTACAGAGATCAATACTGAAAAGTATTGATTTGAATTTTAGATTTCTAGTTTGCTGTTAGCTTGAGCTTGTTAACGTTGTAATTTTGATAAATGTATATTTGTTGATAATAAGTGATGTTTTGACTAGCAAGCACAACTGTTGTTGAAATGCTTCAGAATAGGCTTTTGCTTGAGAAGATGGTAAAAAAGTAAATTAAACACTGCCTCACAATAAGATTTGCTAGAACAAAGTTCACCAAAGTTTGCATGCTTTGTGTATTTACTAACACTGTACATGCCATGTATTAGAGTAGAAGCCTGTAATTTTTTGCTGTTGTCACATTTGCTGCGGAGCTGTTGTCACATTTGCTGCGGAGGTGGTTTTCACGTCTACTGACTCTGCTTGTTGTTGTTTACCATCCGAGAGGTTACACTACATAAATATACATTACTACTTGCACGACAAATTTCTGGTAATAAACAATTTATTTAAGAGGCTTTTACTCACGACAACAGCAAAGCAATGCTTTACTACCTATACTTATATACTAAACCATTGAAATGAGGGATAGATTGAGTTTGACGCACTAACCAAGCTCATACCTGACTTGTATAATTGCCATGTACATGCTTTGCCTTGGTGATGGGACAATCCTCCTCAGGACCCAGCAATCCCCACCAATTCTCCCCCTTCCCAGTCTGTCCTCAGCACCCCAATAAACCAGGTGCCTGGTTCCCTCGGGTTTCCTGAGTTTCCCTCAGGTGTCTTTCAGCAGGGTTTGCAGTAGTTTGCTAACAGTGTGGGTTGTGCTGTAGTGTTGGAATGACTCCCTGTAATGTATTGGACCTAGTGTAGACACTAGGAGTCTTCACTGTGTGTTGGCCAGCACGTGTGCAGTCGGCAGCTGTCATTGTTTGCGGTTTAGTCTAGTTACTTGTTCTCACAATGCCCCACTTTCTCTGATTTCCAGTTTTCGATCAAGTTTTCGATCCTAGTCTGTCATCACAAGACTCTATGTATGAGGAGGTTCTTCCTGATGGAACTAAGGTTAAGCATCGCAAGATCCATCACCAAGGTAAGAGTGTTGGAGCACGTGTGATGGAACTTGTGGAGTCGGAGGGACCTGCTCATGACAGGGAAGAGGTACAGGAGTATGAGGAGGTCCTGCCAGATGGCACAGTACATCACACACATACGGTCAGAAAGCAAACTTTGAAGCATGTGACCAGGACCCTGTCCGTAGACGAGGAGGAAAAGTCTCTTTACGATCGGGAAGTGGTTATTCCTGGTTCAAAAAGAGAAAACATGCTTGAGACTTTCGTTGCTCCTCCCACATGTGTGACCGAGGAAGAGGAAGTTGAGCATGTGCTGCCTGATGGGAAGACGGTTAAGAGGCATGTCATAATGAACAGAATGGTGCACCACATCAAGACCCATCAGCAGTCCTTTGATGAGGACTCGGGCACACTGGAGGAGGAAGACTATGAGATTGAAGAGGTTATCCCTGGGACCGTATCCGCTTTCATTGCTGGACAAGATTCGGAGTCAGATGACGATGAACTGTCTGGCCAGATGATTGCCGACATGGCAGAATTTCAGGAGATCCTGGATGATGGGACGGTCGTTACAAACAAACTCCTCATCAGTGAAGAAAAACGGACAGTCAGATCTAGGTCTGGGTCAATTGATGAGTCTGAGGAGTCTCGCAGAGTGGAAGAAGTTGCAGTGACGCCAAGTCCACATCCAGGTTCCTTTGTACAAGGAGAAGCCATGCCTTACGATACCACAGGTCACGTGCCAGTCCAGACGAGAGAGAGAGTTGCCCATTTTGAGGAGTTTCGGCATGGTGGCATTGTAGAGGACACACTGGAACTGAGGGAGGACACCGAGAGGAAGGGAATTCTCCAGCAGAGGACTGTCCTGGATGATACTCCAGACAGCTTCGGGACACCAGGTAATACAGAAGTGCTGTGGAGCTCAGGGTCATAGGTACAGGGTAGATGGTAGCATTTCAGTTTGCTGTGGCCAGATGAAGCTGGTTGTCTGTTCCTTGTAGAGATTCAGCTTGAGAATGACATTTGCTTAGTTTTCACTTGCTTCAGAGTGATTCATCAATCAGGTATGGCTAGATTGGATGTGAAGATATGATTGTTGTATCTTAATGGCTGTGTTGGCTTTTGTTCCTAAAGCTCTTTGAGAACAGATCTGCGTCCTTGTGATGAAAAATATTCTGCTTATTATGAGGGCTTAAAATGGTTGGTGGTTCCTAGGGACATGTATCATGATATATCGCTGCTTAGTGGTGCTTCAGTGATTATCAATTGGCTTGTGACAGAGTAACATTGACCTGTATGGCTTTGCAGTAGGATGTCTTCTATGGTTGTAGATGAATTCAGATTATAATCCAGTATACAGTGAACACTATAGTGTCAAGCTATAGCACTGCATGTTGAATGTTGTAAACTGTTGTGAGGTTTGTGGGGAGACTACTTATCAACTAACACATTTGGTAAGGGTTGTATATAATGGTATATATCCTTGATGACAGGTATTATCAACTATGCTATATAGGATGAAGTAGGACATCTTTGATGTAAATTGTAATTGTCAAAGTGATTGTGATTTGATGTCAACAAGTGTAGGTTTCTGAGGCTCACATTTGAAATATAAGCACACCTTTAAGAGACACAACACCATACTCAATTATTGAAGACATTAGGGTTGAACATGATAACAAATTTGCTGAAGAAATAGGATAATAAGTCAAAATTAGGGTATTTTGAAGATGAACATGTGCATGACGAGTTCTTTTGTTTAGTTGAATCTTCAATTTCACTCAACAGCTTCCATAGTAAGGTCTAGCATTCAATGCAGAGTGTTGTTTCTTGTTGGGTTTAGAGTGCCGTGAGTTGACTGACAGTGGCTTGGCTAAGCGGCAAGTTAAGAAGGTAACATGGCAACCAGACCATGTTGAGGTTGAAGGTGGGCAGAGCTTGTTTTCTGTGCATCTTGCGTGTGAAATGGCATGACCATGCCAATTTCCTAACAACTTGTTCAGTACCCATGAGAAGCAATTTCCTAACAACAGTTTATTGTTTGGTTCAAATGATACCACCAACTGACTCATTTTGTTGAACTTAACATGGCCGGAGTGATAGTCTTTGTGATATTTTCTTGGGCTAGAACAGTGTTTGAACAGATGGAGTGTATATGTATTTAGTTACAGCCATTCTATTGTCATGAGTTACGTAGAAGCATGGTAACATAGACTCACCTCTAACCAGTTCTGAGGGAAGCAGTTTCTCCTCAGGAAGATTTCCACCTTTGATTAAATAGGGTTTACATGCTTATAATAGTTAATATAATGCCTCAGATTTACAGTCATTGAAAAAGCAACATAAACATTAGATTCGTTGTTTTTCAGTAATATTCATAAAATATCAATAAAATGAACAATAAATTAAATAATAATAATACATGTAAAGACAACATCACACAAACACAAAGCACAACTGACTCCGACTTTCTTTGCTTGTGTCATACATTAAGTTGTGATATGTTGAGTTTTTAAGACATTCTTTGCATGTGCTTGTCAGTATACTTGAAGAGGCATTAATTGTATATGTGTCTCTCTTCGTGTTTTTCCTCTTTATCATGTGTGTGTTTAGCTTTAGATAGCCTTCTACCATTTGTCCCCCTCCCCATGAGTAATCCATAACATGTTCAGTTTACTATCATAGACCAAAAACAGATTTAGAAAAATTGCAATTTTCAAAAATTTTGCCTGACGTTTGTTGCATCCCAGGGGAGTTGCCTTCGTCAGTCGATACGAATTAAAAGACCGAGGGATTATCACCCTCCTTTGGTATTTTTGTTGTTTCAGCGAGTTTCGAGAATGGTGCGCCAGACACACCTGTCATTACCATTACGGAAGATCTCAGCACCCCCCCTGATGAAGATGATTATATATCTTGCTACGGAATCGTACAAGAATCTGATTCGAAAGGTTAGCGGAGACCCTACACCCTTGAGGATGTGGATCTCAGTACTTTTGACTGTTTCAGAAATATGCAGCCTTTCTTTTAACTTTATCTGTTACAGAACTTTCTTTAACGATTTGGTTATGGGTAGTTTGATTTCCACTGTCTAGCACATTATCTTGTTTTGGGACTGGGTTATGTTTATGGGTATTATTTCGTAACTAACCAGCACTTCTTCAATGAGCACAGTCTTTTGTCCAATGGATTTGTATTGGGATAAATTGAGGAAAAAATTTTCTGCTAATTTTCTCAGCTTTCACAGTTAATGATTTCAACTCTTTGTGAATTTTATTGCAGGACACAAATTTCACACTTTCCTTACATTAAAGCCTCTTATTTTTCCTGCCAAATTTTTAGTTTTTAATTTCTTAACCAACATTTTAATTATGTATTGAAACTAACATTCTTTTTCTGAAGCAGTCAACAGTTGTCAAAATGTCTGTATCTAATCAAAGCAAAAAGAAGCATTCAATTTTGCGAAAGAACTGCAAAATAACTGTGTAGTCGAATGGGTGTATGGCACCGAACTCTCAGTGAATCTACCAATATGCATCCCCCAGGGGTGGTCTTGCAACATTTAGCTTACAGCTACTGCTTTTGCTGTCCTACATATATACCAGATTTTTCATGACCTGGTTCACATGGCAGTATTGTGTATTAAAGTGTCAAATCAGAAATTTGTGTGTGAAGGTAACAATACAGTCGTAGCTAACATAGTATCATCATCAGTAGGAACTATTAATTAACATTTTGAAAGGAGATTATTCAGGACCTCTTATAAAAACTCTTTTTGCTCTTCAGTATTTAAAATAATTCATGACGTAACCAATGCCAGCAAGATTTTTTGAAGATCTGCTGCAGCTGATGTTGTGAACCAGGGAAGAGTGTTGTTTAGCAGCAACCCTTACTTGCCGACTATTGCTGTGTAGATTTGAATTTTACAGTTTCATGCTTTTGTGTGGCATTATGCAGAATGCACATGTAAATGCTGATGGTTGTATATTGCATGCCAGTCAATCCAAGATTGCAATGGCTGCTTCTAAATTCTACTCCTGAATCAGGATGCATACTTTGACCAATACTACACCATGACGGTTCTGATCTGGAACCAGAATGGCACATAGGTATCAGAACTAGTTTCAGTGTGGAGCATCTGGATTGCATGGGACGGGGCTGCAAGAAATGTATTGCCATCTGTGTTGGACATTTTTGTTGATTGCTATTTTGAAATTTCGCTTTTTTATTCTTGTCTTTTACTTGAATGGTAGAATGCAGGTTCTACTGAATCATGTGAAAACAATAGTGAATTAGGCAGATGTACACCCACTTCATTCTATGTTTGGAACATGTCGGCTGAATATGCACTCACAGACTACTGAGGCAATGTCCGGGAAATATTTGATTTGAGTAGCTAATCGCAAGATGTATCTCAATGGACTGCCATTACATAGCTGCCAATTGTTTAAAGTTTAGAGTATAAAACAACAAAGTCTGCATCAGGAGCATAAGTGTAGACATACTGCATACCTTTCCATTGAATAAAGGTATTACTAGGTGATATGTTACAATACTGTAGTACACTACACACAGTATTGTTATAACAAACACTAATTTTGTCTCTTAAAATGAGGTAAACTTGTGTGCCAAAACATTTCAAACTTTTGGTAGCTATGTAATATTGTAAGATTGTCCAATAATTGTAATCTCAATATCTTATTGACATAATATAAAAACACTCTTTTCAAAATTGACAATTTCTTCAAAGAAAAAATCAAACCAATGTTGGGCCCCTGCCATTGCCTCGTCTTTTAGAATGCCTATGCATCTATCTAACATTTGAACATCTCTCAACCTAGGTGTGGAGGCGGCTCCCAGTGAGGAACCAAAGGCCCAAACAGAAGGTACCATCTGCATGTTGTCAACACCTCAGTATGGTCTTGTTCTTTTCAGTATCCATTTATTTTGTACCCATGTTCAGTGTAATCTGTAGAATAATCATACATTGTGGTTTTGCCTTCGTTTCAGGACCGTGGTCTTCCTTCATGTGTCGTGCACCTGTTATAGCACTGGTCACAGTCGTGGCCTTTAGTTGTCTGAAAAATGTTTCAGTAACTTTCAGTTGAAAAATGTCACAAATTTCATTAATCTAGTTTTCATGCATGGCCTGCTGGTCATATGAATTCAGAAATTGGAGGTAAGATCACCTGGGTGACTATTTCTGTTGAAAGGTCCTTGTGAACAGTTAGACAGTTTTGAAGATTATCCTTCTCCATGCAGTTCTAATGATTAAAAAATATCAATATGTTACGTCTTAAAACTGTTAAAATTTTATCTAACATGTTTGAAAGATTTGAAAGATAAGGGACAGAGCCACACGTAGTTTGCCTATTGTGCAATTGTTAATAGTTTTGATAGAATCCTGGTTTTGACCCCTGTCATAGTTTGTGTTAGAACCAGTTCATCCTTTGGAAGCCAATTTACAACATTTATAATCCTGTATTTTAATCCTTTAGCCATATTGTTTATCACCAAATGTGGTAATACATTACAGGAATGCCCAAGGCTTTCCTTATGTCACTGAACCAAAACACAAATAGAACAATAGGTATACCGGTAGATGATGTCAACTTGTCTGTAAATGTTGCAAACTTTCAAAGAAAACCAGTCAAGATTTATGGGTACGGAAGAGAATAATAATGAACATGGCGGGTTGTTTGCTAAGATCACCAGTATTTCAACTACAGCAGCAATGAGATTCAGACATTTTACCAATGATGAAGATCAAATCTAGGAAATGTTATGTTATTCCACCAATGAATTAAGTGGATTATTTCTCAGTTCTGATAAATTAATGTCATCACAATTGATTTTATCATCAAATATCCAATAAATACCATAAAAGCATTTGAATTCTAAATGTGCTGCTATTCAGAAGTACATAACATGAACTGTGGACTATTGAAATGGTAATGTCAGAATACTGTATATAAAACAGTGTCATATTTTAGTTACGTTTGTGAATGATTGCAGCATTTTACTGGCAAAAGACTCTTAAAGTAAGATGGAAAATAAAAAGCCCAGAGAAAGCATTAATTACTGCCCAGTTGAGATGTTTATATTCATATGACCAGTTAGACAACAGTACATCGTTGTTTTAGATTTCACTACAGATGACGCAATGTGTATCAGTAGATTCATTGTGAGTCAAGTCGTTACCAGTGTGTATTTAGTAAGACTTGTCCTGCAGATTTAAGTTTTTTCTTTTTCTGTCTCACTCTGTCATCTCTTATAATAAGGAGTATATACTTGGATTATTTAGCGAAATTAATGTCCTGTCAGACAGCGATAGGTTCACTAACAATCCCATCCTCTGCTTCTTTTAATGCCTCCTTCCCTTGGATTGGCTATGGGATTGTGCGCAGCAGGTAAAGAGGTTTCAGAGAGCAAATATCAAGAGGAAGTAAGTGAGATTGTAACCAGGGAAACCTCAGAAACCGTTGCATCTGCCGTCCATGTACACACAACAGAGGAAAGGATAGAAACTGTCAAAACAGAACATATGTCTGAAACATATGAGGAGAAGGAGGACCTTGGTGATACAGAGATCATTTCAAAGGAAAAGATTATTGTAACAGAAACTGAAAGGATTGTTGATGATGAAGTTTCAGAACCCGATGAAACTGAGGTGGGCAGAGCCGAAACTCCGACCAAGACAATTGAAGATGAGACATTTCCAACTCAAAAAACACCTGATGAACAGGAAGATATTCCTGATGAATGTATATCAGAAACCAAAGAGGATTCATTTGAATTCCAAAGGGACCAGAAAACTGTTTATGACTCTGAAAAACATATTTTGTCAGAGGAAACAACCAAAGAGATTTACACTGAGGACCACAAAGAAGTTTTTGTGTCTGTTCAAAGGGACCATGTTGTTACTGAACAAGAGGAAGTGCATGAGGTGGTGGAGGAGAGGAAAGTGATAGTACAAGAGGAAGAAGAGCCTGTAAAGGAGGAGGTTGAACAAGAACTTTTGGAGGGAGTTGAAGGGGCAGAGAGAGGGCAGGAAGTAGATGATGCCACAGAACTGTCTGAGCCTGTGAAACCAGAGGAGTATGTGGAGGAATTTGCACCAGCAGTGGAGCAAATTGAGGAGAGAGAGGAGGAGGTTGTCAAGGATATTGCACAACAGGAACCTGAAAGGGTAACTATTGCTCAGGTTGTTAGTTTCGATGAGCAAGAGGACACATTCCACGAGGCAGAGGTTGAAGATGAGACAGTTTCCAAAGAACACGTTGTAGAGCAGATTGAGCAAGAAGACTTCAAAGATACCTTTGTAGAATCAGAAATTTCCAAAGATGAACAAGTTGTAGAGCAGATTGAGCAAGAAGAGTTCAAAGATACTTTTGTCGAATCAGAAATTACTGTTACTGATAAAGAGCCAGCTGAAGAACAGGTAGATATCAAGGAAATTGACAAGGTAGACACTGACATGGTCACAGTTGAGAAAGATGAATATGCTGAAAGTCAAGAAATTGAAGAATTCCAACAAGCTGAAGCTGAATTGGTTATCAAAGTTGAAGAACAAGAGAAACAAGTATTGGTAGAATATGATGAACAGGTAAAAGCTGAGAAAGTTGAGGAACAAGCTGAAGATTATGAAGAATTTGAACAAGCTGAAACTGAATTGGTTAAAGAACAAACTGAAAGTCAAGACATTGAACAGGAAGTGTTGAAAGAAGTGGAGGAAACACATGTCCAGGAAGGACAGGTTCAGTTTGAGGAATCTCAGCAGCAAGCTGCAACTGAAGTTGTCACTGAAGAAGTTTATGAAAAAGTCGAGGACCATGTCCAGGAAACCTCAGAAAAGGTTCTGGAAGAAGTGATTGTGTCTGAAGATAGGGAAGAACCGAAAATGGCATCTGAGCAAGAGCTTGAGGAAATCTTTGAACAGGCAGTGGAAGAAGATGTCACATCTGAGCAACTACAAGGACAGGAAGAGACTCAGCAGGAAGAAGCAACATTCCAAGGGACAGTAACAGAAACTGTATTAGCCGAGAAAATCTCTGAAGATACAGTTGATGTGACAGAAACTGTTATAGACAAAGAAACTGAATTTGTTACTGTTGAAAAGGTTGAAGAAACAGTTACTGAGGAAGCTACCATTACTGAAACTGACAGATCAGAGGTGCAACTTGAGCAGGAGGCAGTTAAGGGTATTGAAAAGGAGGAGGAGATTTTAGCAGAAACATCTGCAGTGGATGAGACTGAGGATACAGTTGTTGAACAAGCTCCCGAAGAAACCGAGATTCTGAAAGAAGAGAAAATGGTTGAAGAACAACTTGAACAGCATGTATTTGAGCCAGTGTCATCAGAAAGAGTAGTGGAAAGTGAGGTTTTGGATGTAAAGGATGATGTTGATGCTGTTATTGTCAAACAGGAGGAAAGTGAATCAGAAACAGAAGAAGCTGAGGCACCATCTGATACCCAGGAACTAATATTTGTGGACAAAGCGACCGAGGAGGTTGAGGTAGTAGAACAAGAAATGATACATGAATCTGACATGGAACCCGCTCATGTAACTATTGAATCCACTGAAGAAGTAACAACCCATTTAGTTGAGACTGAACAAGTTGATGAACAGGATGCCAAAATAACATCTGTTGAGCAGGAAGCCTCCAGAGAGATAGTAGAGGAGACATTTGAAGAGGCAGTAGTAGAAACTGTTGATCAGGGAGTTTATGAAATAACAGAATCTTTCCCTAAAACTGATGAACGTGAAGCACCTACAGTTGGAGCTGAAGAAACATTTGAGGAGGCAACGGCAGAAACCTTCACTTCTAAAAGAGCAGAGGAAGAAATAACAAAGTTGGTAGAAGAAGAGAATGTTGAGACCATTACTTCTGTTGAACAACCAGAAGCCCACGAAGAAGTAGTTGAGGAGTTTGAGCTAGAAGCTGTTGTTGCTGAAACAGTTGTGGAAGAAGTACCAGAATCTTTCATGGATAGTGTAGAACAAGAGAAGGCAGAGAGCATTGTTTCTGTTGAACATGAACGTCCAAGAGAAGCTATTGAGGAAACATTTGAAGAACCAGAAGCATACAAAGAAGTAGTTGAGGAGGTTGAGCCAGAAGCTGTTGTTGCTGAAACAGTTGAGGAAGAAGTACCAGAATCTTTCATGGATACAGTAGAACAAGAGAAGGCAGAGAGCATTGTTTCTGTTGAACAAGAACGTCCAAGAGAAGCTATTGAGGAAACATTCAAAGAACCGGAAGCATACAAAGAAGTAGTTGAGGATGTTGAGCCAGAAGCTGTTGTTGCTGAAACAGTTGAGGAAGAAGTACCAGAATCTTTCATGGATACAGTAGAACAAGAGAAGGCAGAGAGCATTGTTTCTGTTGAACAAGAACGTCCAAGAGAAGCTATTGAGGAAACATTCAAAGAACCGGAAGCATACAAAGAAGTAGTTGAGGATGTTGAGCCAGAAGCTGTTGTTGCTGAAACAGTTGAGGAAGAAGTACCAGAATCTTTCATGGATGCAGTAGAACAAGAGAAGGCAGAGAGCATTGTTTCTGTTGAACAAGAACGTCCAAGAGAAGCTATTGAGGAAACATTCAAAGAACCGGAAGCATACAAAGAAGTAGTTGAGGATGTTGAGCCAGAAGCTGTTGTTGCTGAAACAGTTGAGGAAGAAGTACCAGAATCTTTCATGGATACAGTAGAACAAGAGAAGGCAGAGAGCATTGTTTCTGTTGAACAAGAACGTCCAAGAGAAGCTATTGAGGAAACATTCAAAGAACCGGAAGCATACAAAGAAGTAGTTGAGGATGTTGAGCCAGAAGCTGTTGTTGCTGAAACAGTTGAGGAAGAAGTACCAGAATCTTTCATGGATGCAGTAGAACAAGAGAAGGCAGAGAGCATTGTTTCTGTTGAACAAGAACGTCCAAGAGAAGCTATTGAGGAAACATTCAAAGAACCGGAAGCATACAAAGAAGTAGTTGAGGATGTTGAGCCAGAAGCTGTTGTTGCTGAAACAGTTGAGGAAGAAGTACCAGAATCTTTCATGGATACAGTAGAACAAGAGAAGGCAGAGAGCATTGTTTCTGTTGAACAAGAACATCCAAGAGAAGTAATTGAGGAAACATTCCAAGAACCGGAAGCATACAAAGAAGTAGTTGAGGATGTTGAGCCAGAAGCTGTTGTTGCTGAAACAGTTGAGGAAGAAGTACCAGAATCTTTCATGGATACAGTAGAACAAGAGAAGGCAGAGAGCATTGTTTCTGTTGAACATGAACGTCCAAGAGAAGCTATTGAGGAAACATTCAAAGAACCGGAAGCATACAAAGAAGTAGTTGAGGAGGTTGTGCCAGAAGCTGTTGTTTCTGAAACAGTTGAGGAAGAAGTACCAGAATCTTTCATGGATACAGTAGAACAAGAGAAGGCAGAGAGCATTGTTTCTGTTGAACAAGAACATCCAAGAGAAGTAATTGAGGAAACATTCGAAGAACCGGAAGCATACAAAGAAGTTGTTGAGGATGTTGAGCCAGAAGCTGTTGTTGCTGAAACAGTTGAGGAAGAAGTACCAGAATCTTTCATGGATACAGTAGAACAAGAGAAGGCAGAGAGCATTGTTTCTGTTGAACAAGAACATCCAAGAGAAGTGATTGAGGAAACATTCGAAGAACCGGAAGCATACAAAGAAGTAGTTGAGGATGTTGAGCCAGAAGCTGTTGTTGCTGAAACAGTTGAGGAAGAAGTACCAAAATCTTTCATGGATACAGTAGAACAAGAGAAGGCAGAGAGCATTGTTTCTGTTGAACAAGAACATCCAAGAGAAGTAATTGAGGAAACATTCGAAGAACCGGAAGCATACAAAGAAGTAGTTGAGGATGTTGAGCCAGAAGCTGTTGTTGCTGAAACAGTTGAGGAAGAAGTACCAGAATCTTTCATGGATGCAGTAGAACAAGAGAAGGCAGAGAGCATTGTTTCTGTTGAACAAGAACATCCAAGAGAAGTAATTGAGGAAACATTCGAAGAACCGGAAGCATACAAAGAAGTAGTTGAGGATGTTGAGCCAGAAGCTGTTGTTGCTGAAACAGTTGAGGAAGAAGTACCAGAATCTTTCATGGATACAGTAGAACAAGAGAAGGCAGAGAGCATTGTTTCTGTTGAACATGAACGTCCAAGAGAAGCTATTGAGGAAACATTCGAAGAACCGGAAGCATACAAAGAAGTAGTTGAGGATGTTGAGCCAGAAGCTGTTGTTGCTGAAACAGTTGAGGAAGAAGTACCAGAATCTTTCATGGATACAGTAGAACAAGAGAAGGCAGAGAGCATTGTTTCTGTTGAACAAGAACATCCAAGAGAAGTAATTGAGGAAACATTTGAGATGTTGAAATCAGAAACAGTTGCGGCTGGAAAAGTTGAGGATGAAGATGAACCTGAAGAAGAGAGAGAAATTGTGCAGGAGAGGCTGATTGAAACTCAAATCACTGAGACTGTTGCATCTGAGAGAATTGTAGAGTATGAGGAAACAACACTCATGCATGAAGTTAGCAAGGAAGAAGTCACTGAGTCAGATGTTTCTGAAACTGTTCCTGATGTCCATAGAGTTGAGGTAGTTTCTGCAGAGCAACATGTTGAGCTTACTGAGGAAACAGATGACATGCAAGATGCTGTATTGCAGTCTGTCACTGAGCAGCAACTTGCAGAAGCAATGTCAGAAATTACACAAGAATCCCCCAAAGAAGTGATTGAAGAAACCTTTGAGGACACTGCTATTGAACCAGTAGCTGCTGAGAAAATGGAAGAGGAAGAAGAACCAACTGAGTCCAAGGAAGTAGTTGAGGATATGATTCAGATCCAAACCACAGAGACAGTCTCCTCAGCTGTTCATTATGAAGAAGAAACATTCACAGAGGATGCACAATTTTCACAAATGACTGATGTAGATCATGTCTTGACAAAACAGGAAGAGGAAGACGAAGAAAGACCAGCTTTATCAGAACAAATAACAATTGAAGTGGAAGAACCTGAAATGTTTGAGGAGAAAGACAAATTACAGGAGAGTGTTGATGGAGTGGACATTGAACAGGTACAGGAAATTACTGATGAACAACAATTTACAGAAGAAAGGCTTGAAGGACAGACTCATGAACTCTTGGAGGAGCATGTAGATGAACATGATGCATCCGACAAAGAAGCTGAAGAAGAGTCTGATAAGGTTGAACAGAAGGAGTCTGCTTTCAGTGTGGGAATTACTGTTGAACATGCAGGTGAAGACCTACAAGAAGAAAGCACTGAAGCCAAAAAAGATGAAGTCCCTCAAAAAGATGAATCATCTGTTGATGAACAGCCTGTTCTTGAACAGGAAGAACCATCTCCTGAACGTGAACAAGATGATCAAGAGCGTGCAGAGGAAATAGAAGCTGTTGCAGCCGTGTGCATTCCTGAAGATGAAGGATATGATGAACTAATGGAAGAAAAGGTTGAAGAACAGCCTGTTGATGTTCAAGACGATGAAGGATTGGTTGTAGTTGATGATGATATTGAGCATGAACAACTGGAGCAAATTCACACTGATGAAGGTGCAGAGTATGATGAAGACCAACCTGAAGTGGATGAACCCGATAGATTCAAGGAAATGGAAATACCAGAGAGGGATGTCCAAGTCACAGAAACAGTTGAAAAGTTCACAAGTGTGGTTGTTAGCTCAGAGAGAACACATGACTATGAGACAGAAATGTCCGAATCCTATGAACAAATTGAGGGACAAATTATTGATGACAGCGTAACACCTCTTGAAGAACAAGTAGATGAGGAAACAGAAAAGGTTTCAGATCTAGATAGAGAAAAGGAGGCTTTTGAGAAACTAGATCTTAGTCCAGAACCAGAAAAGGAGGAAGATGCAGAAGCTTCTGACGATGAAATGTTTGTAGAGAAAACTGAACAAGAAATTGAACCACTTGCTTCAGAAGTAGGTGAACCACAAACTGAAAGTGTGTGTGAAGAGGAAAAACTTCCCTTAGATGAGCATGTGCAAGCCGAAAAAGAAATTCTTGTGAGTGAGCATGAGCTTGAAAGTGAGAGTGAAGATGAAGCTTGGGAGATGTTGGAGAAAGATGAACTCTCACAAGATGAACTAATGGCAGCCAGTGATGAAATGCTGATGCAGGTTTCTGTGGAGGAAGTGAAAGAAGAACCTGAAACATCTGAAAAGGAACCAGTGTCAACTGTTCTTCATGAAGAGGAAGTAGTATCAACTGAAGCCACTCAGATAGACTTAGTTGTCAAAACCGAACATTTTGAACAGATCACAGAAACAACTGTAGAATCTCAACTTACTGAAGAAACCGCACTAACTGCTAAGGAACAATTACCAGATGAAGAGCTTGTTGAAAGAGGGCGGTTTTCACCTGTAGAAACAGAGAAACTGGAGGATGTGCAACCTGGAGAACCAGCTCAAGAACCAGAACATGGTGATAGTTTAAAAGATACTGGATCAGCACTTGTCATGTCTGAAGTTGAAATTGTAACTGTTGAGGATAATACCTCATACCAGAATAGAATTGACCAAGGCATAGTTGATCAGGCATCCTTTGAAATGGAAGGAGAACCTGTTGAAGTCGATTTTAAGAGTGGATCCTCTGAGTTATCAGATGAAGACCTGAAAGAGAGAAAACTTTCTGCAAGTGAATTTGCTCAGTCCCAAGGAGTTGCAGAGGAGCAACAAGAACCAAGTCAAATCCAGGTGCATCAGGAACAGATTGTGATGGAAGAGCCATTGGAACTGACTGACTTACAGCAAGTTGAAGATGAGGAAGTTGATGAAGAGTTTGCTGAAACAGAGGAGCCCGAGTTAGAAAAGTTGGCTGAAACTGAAGATGCTGATGAATTTTCAGACACACCATCTTTTGAAGGACCAATTGAGCAAGGGTACAGAGAATCAGCATCTCCTGAATTGGAGCATGCTCAAGTTGAGGAAACATTTGAACAAGAACCTGAACTGACACCCGAAGAACCTATGAAACAAACTCAGGAGGAGGAGCAAGTTGTCGGAACTGATGTATCTGAGAGACCACACAGACCAGAGCCTCAAGAAACTGACCGCCTAGTGTCAGAGACACCAGAACAGATTGGAAAGGCAACACCATCAGAGCTAGAGCCTCCAACTGAAGATGAACCCAAATCTGAAAAAGAAGAGCAACAACTTGATGAGAAAGACATCGAGTCTCCTGTGATTAAAGATCTAGATGAACAGGAAGAAGAGCTTGCCGACACCCAAGAAGATAAAGAGAAACATGATGTCTGTGTAGAAGAAACAAGGATGTCCTCTTCAGAGGATGAAGATTCAGTAGAGGTGAAAGTTGAAATATTTCCAGAGAAGGCTGCGTCAGAAATGAAACAAGACATTGATGAAATTGAAAATGAACTGAAAAAAGAAAGTTTGGTTGAGAAATCATCTATGATAGAATTTTCTGAAATGCGCACTGAAACAGTGCAGCATGTGGAAGTACATACTTCTGAAACTGTTAAAAGTGAAATATCAGAATTTGATTCTTTGAAACATTGGGATGAAGTCACCCAGAAGGAAGGAAAGTATGACCTTGCAGCAAGTGATGTCATGACAGAATCATTTTATGAATCATCTATAGATCAATCCTACACAGAAAAAGAAGAAATCCTGGTAGACACTTCCTCAACATTAATCAAATCTGACCTCGACATAGACACTACAGAAACCTCAACTCTTGTAAAATCTGAACTCGACCTTGATACTACAGAAACAAGACCAGAGCCAGAAGAACTTGAATTGAAAGAGGACAAGGATGTTGAACCTACCTGTGCTGAAGCAGAGCTCATCACAACCTCCCTTGAATCAATGGATGAAAGGGAACGAGCAGAATCTATTGAAACAGAATCAGTTGATTCTCAACAACAGGTGGAGCAAAGGGAGGAATTCATCACTGCTGCTGAACCAACAATTCCTGTTGAAGCAGTCCCATGGACAACAGATGACATGAAAGCTGTAGAATCTGATGAAGACTTTTCAGATGAAGAAGACCTTGGGGCTAGCAGAGAACCCACCTCAGACTCAGATACTATTCCAGATGATGCAAAATTTGATGATGAAGATGTTAGTCCTAGTAAGCTGGAAGAAACAGTTGCATATGAAGAACAGGTCCTTGACAAAAAGGAAGAAATGATACAGCAAGAAGTTGAACTCAAAGATGATAGGATTGCTGAACAATCGCAAACTGTCACGGAAACTTCATTTGAAAGTTTCTCATTCACACAAAAAGAAACCATAGTTGAACATGCCACAAGCTACTTTTCTGATGAAGATGTGCCAGCCCACATGCCAGACCAGACCCCTGAAGAAAAGGATATTGAAGATGATTACCTACCTGATGAAACAGACTTCAAAGATGAGGATGGTCACTCTGAACCTGCTGAAGATGAGTTCTTTATTCCCTATAAGCAAACCAAGGATTTCGCTGCAGTGACTTCCTTTGAATCATCAATGACAACTTCCATTTATGAACCAGCAGATTTAGATGATGTCCAAGAACCAGAGGTGGCTGACTCAGAGCAGTTTGTAGATCGTAGGGAGGAATTCACAGAAGAAGTAAGAACATCTACTGACTTCAAAACTGAAGCACTTATCAGTTTTGATGACAAACCTGAATTTGACAGAGAAGATGACAAGTCTGAAGAAACTTCCTTTGAAGAGACATTTATTGATAGAAAGGAATCCTTCCTAGAGGAATCTCTAGAAACAATAGTCAGTGATTCTTCCAATAGAGAAGGTGGTGGTGCCTCTGTGGACATTGTTGGTGCAGGAGGTGAATCTCTGATATCAGACCAAACTGCTGACAAAGCCCCCTCTTCCGAAAAGTCTCCTTCCCAAGGAAATGAGACTGACAGACCTTCCAGCCCACAAGATAGCATCTATCTTGCCCTCCACGCCCCACTCCTTCCATCCTCCTCCACTGAGGTGCAAGATAGGTCAGGCACACCTAGTGACATTGAACCCGATGAACTTGATACAGTGCAGGAAAAAACAGTTGTTCATTCTGACAGTAATGAAAGAGCAGTGTCTCCATTAGAATTTTCATATGAAGCTAGACATCTTTTTGAAGAATCTGACATCACAGGAGCTTCAGCCGATGATGAAATGGAACCAGAAGGCAGAATTACTGCTGACACATCCCAACAGATATTCATTGAACAATCTATTGAATCAAGAAAACCACCAAAGGTTGGAGGGTACTCTTCTGGAGATGATGATGAAGATCGCCCTCCCTCCCCCTCTGAATTTACTCTTGTACAATCCCATGATCAGGACATGTTAATGAAAGCTCTGGGAATAGATCAGACAATTGATGAAGATAGGTCATCAGAAGAAGCAACTGATTCAGAATCAGAAAGTGAAGATGATGAAGACCGACCTCCATCTCCCACTGAGTTTACTCTTGTTGCGTCTCAAGACCAGGACACACTCAGTAAAGCACTAGTTGATGAATCTGAACCCGACTACGCTCTGCAGGAGGAACACCTTATCTATATCCAAGGTAGATAGTTTGACCTTTTAGCTTCTGTCATTGCTATAGCATATATCTGCCTTTTTCACCACAGTATATAAATGGCATACATCTTTTGAATCTTATCCTCTAATGTTTATATTTGAATTTTGAAAGTAATCTTTAATATTTTAACAATACTAACACAGTTATTGTTTGGAAGTTGTCTTTAAGAATCTAATAAATCTATACATTTCCCGTCTAATATAACTAATTAGTCTTAAGATAACATATTTCCTTAATGCAATAACATGTCCATGGCAGTCTTGAAAAAGGGAAATGTGCATTCACTATTCAATCTCAGATGCCGATATGCCACCCAAAATTGGCTTTGGAGATGACTTCATGCGAGATCCTCTGAGTGATGGATTCACAACGGGGACCAGTAGTGCTGAAGCCCCTGATGCTAGTGAACAATCCTCAAGCGAACAAGCCCAGAAGGAGACTCTGGACCAGTCAGTGGAAAACAACACCATGTCGACTCTGAGCTCTGAACTCAATGAACAACCAGCTCTAGAACCTTCTGCCCCACCAATGTCCTCTTTTGAAGAAACTTCAGAGGAAGTGACAGTCATGACATCTAGTTATGAGAGACTCTATCAAGGAATAAACATTGAAACAACAACACACTCTGAACAAATACTGGATATTGGTGACCACTTTGACACCAAACAACCAGACCTTCACTTCCAACCAGCTGGTCACTCCTCCAGCTATGAGCAGCTGTATCAGCAGGGGGAGACAACTGGCCCCGAAGGTGAGTCATTGTGGCCGCCAGCAACCAATGGCATGTCTGCTTCCTTCATTTGAGCTGCATGATGTTGTTTCTGCCTTTTTCATTCATCATCGCATTCCAATACATCCCAGTATTACATCTCTTGGAGTTTGGGAGCACATGATCAATATAGAGCAATATATTCTGTAGAAAGAATGAAGAATGAGCATTTTTGCACAAGGAAGAGAGACGGTATGCAAAGTGCACTTTGTGAGGTTTGATTGTGTAGAATGAGAGAAGAATCATACCAAGGAGGAAGCTGTTCAATCAAGCTACTTTACACCCATTTGGAATGTCGCTTTGCATGCCTCTGCTACAAATCATAAGGATTCAACTGCCTTTGTGTGCAGTCCTAGCCATTCCACACCTGCTTCTCTTCCAGTTTCTTCAATATTACAACCCTATCCTTATTTTCAACAACAACCCATTTGCCTTTGTACAGTTCTACTCTACTCTTTGCTGAATACAAGTTTAGTTGATATTTAATTATTTTGCACTGTTTAATTTGCATTTCTCTTTGCAGGACATGCATGTTGATGGAATTATTTGGTCCATTTTGTGTCCAAGTAGATTTTGGAATGCTTATGCACTAGCAAGTGGATGTTGTGTGAGTACTGTGGTGTGTATCGTAGATCATATACTGGTATGCTCTAATATGCATTCATGAAGAGTTTATTTTCATCAGAGATCCCAGTCATCAAGACTGAGCAAGAAGAAAAGCTCAGTTCATCGAGTTCAGAAGTTGCCCAACTTGACGACGTTCGTGATCAAGGTATTCATGTCTAAGATAACCAAATTTTGTAACCCTCTTATTCCAATATTTTCTATATTTTTGTTTTAGTGCTTTGACACTTTTCACTCAAATCTATCTATGTTCATGTATTTTTTTTCCCACAAGATATATATCAATCTTTTCCAGGTTTATTTCATTGCATGTAGTTTTTCTGTGCCTGAGATACTTTTGAGTTGCATAACAGTATGTTTATTTTAATGGACAAATATGTTTCAGCAAAATCAGTCCAGAGATACTTAAGTTTAGTGAATCCAAATAATTATAATTCTTTTGAGAAATTGAATTGTCACTAACGTCAAAATTGTTGTTTGGAAAAATACTTAACAGCTACTAACACATACTATGTTTTCATTTTGAACTACTAATGGATAGGCTATAGAAAATTGGAGTTTACCATGAAATTTATCCGCAGCTTTAACCATTTAATTGTATGGTTTTGCACTAACCCTTCTATTTCTGTAGATGCCGAAAAACGTGAAACCAGTGAAGAGAAAACTGAAGAGACGGATGTGGAAGAACAGTTTTCTCCCCTATCTAAGCAACAATCTCCGGCCAAGCAGGCCCTTAATCTAGAGCTTGATCCCCAGACACCATCTTTCTCTTTCTCTGATAAATCCCCTGACATAATAATTTCCTCCCAGCTAGATCAGGGGCAACAACCAGTATTGTCTGTTCCTGGTAAGCCTCTCTTGGTCGGTCCTTCACCGTCTGACCAGTTATCTACAGTTCTGGAGGGAGAAGAGGAGGATGTGGAGGAAGAACCAAAAGGACCTGAAGAAAAACCTCCTCAGCCACAACCAATGTTACTTGAGTCACCAACCGAATGTGATCCTGATGAAGAAATCATAGAGACCTGTGTCTTTACTGAAGTCACTGAATCCACATCTGAAACAAGAACACAAACTGTCTTCCACAGATCAGAAAGAGAAAGTGTGGAACAGACCCTGCAGTTTTCACCGGATGATAGGGGGGAAAGTCTTGTGACAGAAGAACAACAGTTCGACTATCCTGCTGAATCCTACCAAGAAATGAAATCTACTGTCTGTGAAACCACAATCTCTGGAGCAATGGCAACAGATTCCATGGATGAAGTTGTAAGTCAGTCAGCATACAGAACAGCAGAAAAAACTGTTGAACATGTGGAAAGTGTACCAGCTGAACAATCGTTTGAGCCACTAGTATCTGAACAAACGACAACCACGGTTTATGAAGAAAGTGAAGAAGTAGAGGCTGGTGATGAGGAGAAATTGAAAGGAAGTGATGATGAACCTAGTGATGAATTTGGTGAAGCAGCAATAGATAGAACCGAGACACACATCACCACTGAAAGAGATGTCACAGACAGGCCTGTGGTTTCTGTAGTTCCTGTTGTACAGCTGTCTCAAGAACAAGACGTTTTGATTGATACATCAGAAACTGTAGAAGAGACCTCTGCCTTGGACAAAGATGCCACATTGGATACAGAGGAGCCTTCACAGCAGATTGAAGGTGAAAATGTCATTGTGGAGGTTAAAATGACAGAATCAATACGAACTGACTCAGTAGACTCTACAGGAGAACCTGAGGAAGAAACTCTGGAGGAAAGGGAAACCCGGCTATCATACATGGCATTCGACAACATGGCGTTCTCTGCTGAGGATGCTGACAAAGGAGCTATTGCAGCTGCTGGCAAGTCAAAACTGCAGAAACAAGACACAAAAGAAATTTCTCCTGAAGACCTTGAGGAGAAACCATGGCAGTTTGAATTTCCTGATGACTTCAAAAGGGAGCTGGATCAGAGAAAACTAACACAGGATGAACTAGATCTGTCTGGAAAGGAAGGGCTCTTTGCAGAGACAACTACTGAAACTACAGTGAGAGATGACAAGTATGAAACAACGACAACCACCACAACTACATACTCTCACTTTGAGTGTAGTACTAATATGACTGAGTCCTACCATGAACAATTATCAGAATCTTACCATGAAACAAAACCAGATTTGGTTTCCAATCAGGAGGAGCCAGACCAAGTACCTGTATTGTTAACAGAGACATCCGAAACCAGAGTTGACACTGAAATTCAACCAGACATACTGACTGATCATGAAGTGGACATAACATCAGAAGTCACAGAGAAGGCAGGTAGTGACACTGTTCCCGAGCCTAGAGAAACCCTCCCAGATGATGAACCAGAAATTGAAAAAGAAGAGGAAATTCCAGAAGATGCTTCCTCCCAAAGCAGTTCAGACCATGACAATGAAGTGTTTGATGAAGCTAGTGGTAAATATGTTAAAATTCCATGGGAGGTAGCTCATCAGTTCAAGAGACAGTTCTCTGAGTCCTTGTTGGAACAAGATAAAAAGTTGTTCAAAGCCCAACACTCTATTGATATGGGAGCGTTCTACAGAAGGGATGAGAAGACTGAGGAATCGGTGTCATCCAAACATGCACAACACAGATCAGAAACAATTGATAGGACAGAAGCTGAGGAAGTCACAGAAACAAGATCAATGCAAAGGGTAACATTCCAGTTATCTGATGATGAAAGTGTTGAATACACTGAAGTAGCAGCTGAGGTATTTGTTGAAGAAGTACATAGGGTTGAGACTCAGCCTGAAACCACTACCATCTATGAGCCCCATGATATGATACAGGAGACTCACAAAGCTGAAGTAATATCAAGCATCCTAGAAAGTAGACAGCATGTCAAGGAAGAGATTGCAAAACAGGGTGAAGAAGCTGAGTTCGAAGATGAATTTGCAGCACAAGCTGCAAACATGTACACTGAAGTAACATCTCAGGATATCTTTTCACCCAATGAAGATCTGATGGCATCATATGCAACTGCCAAGTCATCCTTGGATTCCTCAATTGAAAGATCTTTTGTTGATGCTCAATATTACATGGAGTCTTCCCATACTCAGTCGTCCAAGTTAAGTAGGGAAGACAGCACAGACAGTAGAGACAGCAAACCTGATGAGGAACTATTCCCTGCACATTCATTCCAGCCTATCAGTGTTGTGAGCAAGGAGTCTCGACTTGCCCAACAGGAACTACTTCAGGAAATGGGGGATGAGAAGGATAGATCACTCTCCCCCTCTGTTGACAGTGAAGAACTATCTACAACTTATGAGAGTCAAGCTGAGCTGCAAGAAGAACTAGGGGGATGTGGAATGCAACATCTTCCTCACATACCAAACAAGTTCCCAATGGCTGTACATAGCCTTGGTAAGGCTCTTGCAGACAATGAAATCTATGAATCATCAGAAACTGAAAGAGATTCCACGGAGGAGAAACTCTCACCTATTGAGGAAGCCCCAACGTCGGAGGGTTTAGAGGAAATGAATGATGAACCATCAGGGAAAACAGAGAAGAGAGTTACATTCCAAACCGATACCTTGTTTGCCAGAACACAAGAGCTACATGGAGGTGAGGACGTCAAAACATCAACTTCTTCTTCAGAGGTTTCCATGGAGCCTACTTTGCTGGCAGCTTCCTATGACCTGGACACTGGACATGTCTCACATGTGGTAGCAGCCTATGACATCTCACCAGACTCGGTTGAAAAACAAACTCAACCAGAAGCTGCACCAAAGGCTATTCTATCAAGTCCAGAAGATGATGTGTTTGAAACAGATGGTTCACTGGTTACATCTGAAGTTAGAGTATGTTCTGATATTTTGTCTGACACAAAGGAATCTGGATCAGACTTGTATCCCTCACCACCTGCGCCGACACCAATGGACTCCTCCATCACGGACACTGCTTGTGACCTTGAAAGTGCAAGCTCAAAATTAGAACAGATACACGATGAACAAGTTGAAGAAGAACTTGCAGCTGAGGCAGGACACAGAGTTGAGGAAGATGAATTGTCAGAAACCCCCAAACATACTGAAGAAGATGAGCCAAGTTCACCTTTTGAAATCATGTCACCAAGTGAATTAGCTGATGTTGGCTTGGCTGCAGAGGTTACAGTTGAGGGAACAATGATCACATCTCTTGAATCAGCCACATCAACTAGTAGCTATGCTGAGATCGATACCGAAATGGTGAGTAGTCAGGATATTGTTGTGGAAGAAGAAGACATTGTTGAACCTCTGCCTGTAAATGAGACGGTAAGCATGCTTAATGGACCAACTGAGGTGGAATATCATGCTGAGTATGACCAGGAATATCCAGAACAACCACCCATTCATCATCAGGAACCACTTACTATCGGACATGATGTCATTGGTCAGCTCCAAGACGCTCAGCTCCCTGTGGATGATGAGCCGAAAGGAGAATCATTTGTTCAGTCAACGGATGAATTACCACAACAGATGTGGTCGTTTTCAGCAGGTGATGCCCAGCCTATTGAATCCAAAGAACAAGAGAAAGATGTAACTCTCACACAGGGGGTCATGGAAGAGCTTCAGCCACCACAAGGACAAGATCAGCTGACTTCATCTGAACAAACGCTCTATGGATTTGAAATGCCATCTGAGGAGATGGGAGCATTGTCTGTTTCTACATCCTTCAAAGAATCACTTGGAGCACTGGAGGTTGACCAAGACTCTGAAATGACACAGCCTCCAACAGAAATCACTTTTCAAACAGATGAAGCCTTAACTGAACAAGAAATTTCTGACACCAAGGCCCCTGGTCCAGTGGACACAGTTTCCACAGAAGCAAAAGAGAAACCATCTGAACCAGCAGAAGCAAAGGAAGATTTTGACTTGCCTCAGGGTGGTATCTACCCAGGGAAAAGAGCTCTTGAGATAGAGATTGAATCACAGGGTGCTTTCAGTTCTGAATATGCCAGTGACATGCTAGGTACAGAGGAGCAACAACAATATTTCTCTGCTAGTGACAGCGAAGATGGACTGGATGAGTATGTTGAACAGGATGAACCAGAAAATGACAAGCACAAGGAGGAAAAAGAAATTTTACGATATGAAGACCATTATTCCATGTCAAAAGAATCTGAATACAAAGAAAGTGTGACAACAACTGTATTTACAGAGACAATCATTCAGTCAAGTGACATCCAAGATTTTGTGACTGAGGTACAAACAGAAACACAGGGTGAATATGAGTATGCTGAAAAGGCAGAGGATGAACTTATCAGGATAGATGACGGTAAGCCTGAATCAGAGATCGATGACAGTGAAACAGTACCGGCTCCATTGTTCATTACAACTGAGAAAAATGACCAGTTGGATATTCAGCAGGATGATCTGGATCGACCAATATCTCCAACTCCCGATGCAGTGCAACAATCCTACTTCGGAGATGAACAGGATGAGCTGATGGCTTCTGAGTTACAAGCTGCTGAAGAAGAAGTTCTGGAGAAAACAGCAAGTAGTTTTGTTGAATCAATCCTAGACGATGTCAAACAAAAGGTTCAGGATGAAAAAGATCAGGAGTATGCAGAGATGGAAGCCTCAGCTGCAGTAATAGAAGCAGATGAGGAAATATCAGATGAGGAGGATGCCGTTGCCATGGCTGCAGATAATGGAGATGTGGACAGAACTGACGAAAGTGAAGAAGAACTCGAGGTTCCCCCTGCCACTCCGCCCCCTCCTATACCTCCTTTACCGCTCTTTAGGAAACAAGTTTCTGAGGATATTCCTGAAATCACAATCACACAACATCTTCATGAAGAAAGAGATGAAGGTGATTATCCATTATGCTTTGCTGAGAAATACACCGACAAATGCATTCCGGAAAGAGATGATGAAGAAGAAGAGGAACCTAAACAGTCGACATCATATCAGTCGGACTTTGATCAAACTGATGCTCCTAAGGTGGAAGAATCTTTCAAAGAAGAAGAGGTTCAAGAGCAGGAAGAACTTCCTGAGGAAAAAGAGGAGAAAGAAATTAGTTATCCCCAAGATAAGGATCCTTTTTTAGTGGATACTGACTCAGAATCAACCCCTAAAGTTTTGAAAGATGGTGAGCAACAACTTCAGCTCGTAGTTGCTGTTCAACAGAGTGAAACAGTAGAGGCTGAGACTGGGTCTACACCCGTTAATGAACAAGATAAACTGGCAGAAGAGTTTGAACTGAGAGTGGAAATCAGTGATGGAATGAGACCCTATGATTATGCAGAACTTCAGAGTCCTGAGGATCATGGTGACTCTTCTAGTGTTGATAGTTTTGCCACAGTAGTTGCTGCACAACCAGATGAGGATGAGGACATGGTGGATGAGGAACAGGAAGACAGACTGGCTGACTTTGCATCAATGACCTCCTCCTTCCACTCAGATATGCAGCCTACTCTTCAAGATACTGGTGGTGAGGAGGATGATGATGATGAGGTTGAAGAAGAGGAACCAGAAGAAATTCTAGAATGGCCAAGACGTACCTATGATCGTGATGGAGACAGGGAAAGTGAATCCTCATTGGATAGTGAACGTTATGAGTTTATAGACAGGACAGCATTGTCTGTTATCACTGAAATGTCCGATGAAGATCGGTTTGAAATGATTGAGAGAGAAGAAGCACTTTCTGAAGGTGGAACCTCAGACCATGTACAAAGCTCTCCAGAAGGTCCACAACCATCACCTGGTGTGAATAATTACAAATTCTTTGGGAAGAGTAATGAAAAGGATGATGTTTCCATCTCATCCTCACTACTAGAATTTGAAAGTCTTGAAAAAGAAATCAACCAATCTGGCTCTGTAAGTTCTATTGAACTAGGTGACAAAGAAAGTCTTGGTGGATCCCTTGATGAGAGACGCTTTCCTTCAAACAATAAAAACAATGACAGAGATGATGCATCTGTAGCATCATCACTTGCTGAGTTTGAAAGACTTGAAAGGGACATTGCTGTGTCAGGTTCTCTGGGTTCCATTGAGAAAGTGTCGTCTGGTTCTCTAGGTTCAATGGAGAAAGTGTCTGGTTCTCTTGGGTCAATAGAAAAAGTTACACTAGAAAGCAAAAGCAGCAATGGAGCTGGCTCTCTGACCTCATTATCGGAGTTTGAGAAATATGAGAGGGAATGTTTTACAGATTCTGAGGACAGGAGAAGTTCTTTGGGCAGTATGAGCAGGAGGAGTGATGCCTCCTCTCATCCATCATTAATAGAATTCGAACATTTAGAACATGAAGTAAGATCCACAGAAGAACTTGAAGTAGAAGCCCAGAAAATTGTGACCATCCTGGAATCTGGGTCACTATTTGCAGCTGCTAAAGCTTATTCAGCCAAACATGACATTGACAGAGACTCTCTTGATGGGAAGGAAAGCATTGATCATGATTCATTGAGTGAAGGAGAGAAAGCTGATTCACTTGACGGTGATACATCGGAACTGACTGACATGACATCAAGTGTGATTTTCACTGGTATTATGCCAGTATGCCAGGCTGCAGGTGATGCAACAACATCAGGTGGGGAATTTACCTCAGCTAATGAACAGGACTCTGACTCACTTCATGGGGAGTCTGTGATGCAGTTGTCATCAGATTCGCTTGGCCTGGAGAACAGAAGAGCACAGAGAGATGTGTATGATACTGACTCTCTGCATGAAACTGATGGTGCAATGGACAGGTCTGCTGACTCTATTGAACTAGGTCACAGATTAGAATCAGAACCAGTGGACATTATGTGTAAATCTGCAGATTCCATAGAGCTTGAACGTCAGTTGCTGGTGGAAGCTGGTTTCATGCAAACATCAACAGATTCATTGGAACTAGGTCAACCAGAGACTGTCATGGAGAGATCAACAGATTCTCTGGAAGTTGATCAGAAAGCTGAAATAGACAGAGACTCCTTACAAGACCAAGATGACCTGATGCTAACTTCAGCAGATTCCTTGGAGTTTGATAAATCAGATAAGCCACCAGATGTCATGCAGATGTCTGTTGAGTCTGCTGCTTGGAGTAGCATGGGTAGCTCCGGTTTGTCAAAATCATCACAAGGGACAATCAGATCACAAAGTGACTCAAGTCATTCCCATGACTTGATGCAGGTATCTGCAGAATCTGCTGAATTCAAATATAAGCACCAAAAGTCTGAGGAAAAAACCCAAATCATAGAACAATCCTATACACACAAATCAGAAAGCCAAACAAGGACTGAAACGACAGAAGTGAGACACGTGACTCAGACTTCTTACAACACCAATCCATTCCTAGAAACCGAAGAAGAGTGTGAATCTTATGAACAATACAATAAAGAGCAAAACTTCAAGTTCGACTTAGAGCCGGTAGTTTCGTCAAGTCCCTTCCTTTCTAAGGGTCCATACCAAGAGCCAAAGAAAGTATTTACAATGGCCGAATGGGAAGCAATGAAACAGTCCAAAAAGAAACAAACTCCTAGCCCTGAACCAAGCCCCCCTAGAGACCCTGCACCCACCTCTTCCCACCCTGTCTCTGACCTCTCCTCTACTCCCACTAGCCAGCCCCACATAGGACTTGCTACTTCGGAGACAAGCGACTCTAGTCGAGGTACTCACAACTCTTTTCCGTTCCTTCTCCTCCATCATCTCCACCTGTTGCTAGTCATCCGCATCTGTCCGGTCCTCATTTCCTTGCATGTCTACTCCTCATCCCCACTCAATCAATTCTACATGGGCTGTCCAATACGTTCATCTTCAGTTTTCATGAGTTACATTTTCATATGTTGCTAGTTGAAGTTTTTCTAATTTTATTTGAATATCTTTTTTTAAATTACTTTTCAGGATGTTTCATCTAGTAAAATATTAAAATGTTGTCCAACTATTAGTATGTTATGTGTTGATGTGTCTAGTCTGCAGATGATATGGGGATATGCATAGATTTCTTTGTGAAGATCCCAAACCTGTGTCTTACAGACTAGTTGCATCAATGTACAATTTAAAGGACTTGCCTCATACACTCATGTTATCACATTTGGCTCAGTATAGCTGATAATTTTAGGGAGGCAAGTTCTTGTAATTGTTGTCAAAAGTTAAATGCACTTCTGAATCTATTTTGCACTAATGTATCATTTTCTTTTGCAGAGTTGTGGCGATCTTCTGTTGTGTTCTTCTCTCGTGTGTTTGTGACCGTTTTAATTTGTAGACTCTCTTCCAGTGCCAGCCTCAACCGCACAATTATGATTGTTTCGATTATCTTAAGTTAAGTCTGCTTTATTTGTTGTGAGGTGGTGTACATCTGTCTTATTTTGCTAGAATGCTGTTATTCATGCAATTACTTGATACAAACTTCAGTTATTTGTTAAATGCTCCGATATAACAAAAATCATGCTTACACTGTCAGTCATGACTGTGTACTTGTCCTGTAATCATGCCATAAAACATTGCAGAAATCATTATGAGATACATTTTATCATTTCAATAAAAAACAATACAATATCATTATTAAAATTAGTTTTTGTCTAAATAATTAATATAAAATCAAAACAAATTGATACGATGAGTAATTATTAATTTAATAATTTATTAATTCAGTGATGTCAAACAATAGTTAACAGTGCATCCATCTATTTGGGTGCCTGATTTTGTGCCGACACATTTAACTAACTGTTTCGGTTTCCATGGTAGCAGCACGTGGGGAGGAGGAAGAAGAAGGGGATCACGATCTAATGGAAGGTGGGCTGTCGCTATGACGATGGTGCTCTGTATAGTCTGTCTGTTGTCTGGTGCACTTGCCTCTTGGAATCCTTCACTTTGTTAGAATTGTTCGTACAATGGAATGCTAGATGTGCAGTTGTTTGCTCAGCCCGAAGGAACTATTGTCTCCTTGGATGCTGATTAAAGCAGAACCATCCTCTCGTATCCAAGGTGATGTTTAATCCATATCATTATTGTCCTTTTGAGACCCAATTTGTTCTAAAGTGTTGACCACGTAATCTTAGGGAAAAAGCCTGTTGTATATTGTTATGATTTTCCTTTGGAAACCCAATATATTCCAGATGTACGATTTTAAAAATCTATGTCACTTCTTCAGTGAAGAATAATCACTTAATATACACTTATTTTGATTTTTTTTTCAAGTATGCATGACTGAGAGATACATCATTAAATCAAACTATTTCATTTAACAACCAATGTGAAAATGTTTCAAAATTATATCAGACCAAATGATTTTAATTTAACATTGAAAGTTTGTTGTCAGTGTATTGTCCCTGAGCATGTAGTTTGTATTCGTGTTAAAAGATCAGGGTAGAAAAAAGGATTCTCTTATTTTAAGATATCCTTAGTTGTAGAAGGCTTAACTATCAGTGCCCAATAGTCTGAGATAATAGAAGGGGCACAGATGGCCCAGTCGTCTAAGGCGCTGCGATTCGCTTGGGTACACAAGAAACCTATGATTGTGGGTTTGAATCCCGGTTTCGCCCCGATTATGTTTCTAGGTTTGTCAGCACCATACCCGTGCTCGTGGGTTCCACCAAAGTGGTAAACGTCCGAGACCTGCATCACTTTAGGCTTTCCTCCCACATCAAGCTGACACGCCGCAATATAACTGTAATACTCTTAAAAGCGGCGTTAAACCAAACCCACTCACTCACTCACTTAGATAATAGAAAACCTGTAAAAGCACTCATGATCCTGTAAAATTGTTGTCAATCTGTTGTTCATGAAGACTTGAAGTACCGTATGTTGTTTTGGTTGTGAAAGTCAGCACTCCTACAGTAATGGCACAACATGCCGTTAGATCAAACCTGGACCAGACAAACCAGTGTTTAATGAATGATGTCACTGAATTTTACAATACTCTCTCTGAGTACTTGTTCGTCAAGTTTTCCTCCTGAAATACATTCCCAGACTTGCTGTATCTGATGTAGGAACTGCTATGCATTATTTAGCAATGTTAAACAAGTAAGATCAGTGTTTGAAATTGCCAAAAGGGTGGCTTTGTGAAAGAAGTGCTTCTGAATAAATATTTTTTGTTAATGCGGTCATCAGAAAGATCATGGTCTAACATAGATTTGCTACCTCTGGCAGACTAATCAGAATGCAGGATTCTAAAATGTTATGGTACAGGGCTCGATTTAGCTACATAAAACTTGCACCAGTATAGCCTTTTATTGCAAAATACAACCTTATGATTATGTCCACATGCACAAGTGCATGTCAAAATATTTCATAATTGTGTCTAACCCTTACTTTGAAAGGTCTGACACATTCAATACCTCTAAGCTGTATTTACCATACTACATAAATATTCCCTGTGTTATGTATAATCTGTCATGCTTGCTAGGTCTTGACGTCACACTGGGGGTACTTCAAGGTCAAATATGGGACTAAGGTGCTACCTGGTTTTTGTCTGATGCATTTCGGTACCCATGTCAACATGCACCTGGTGCAAGTTCAATCAAGTTCCTTCAATCGAGCCCGGTGTTAGAATAGTATGTCAACACTGGGGGTCCCTCGCCAAGGACAATTCATGCACAGCAGCCATCATGACGGCTCTTGTGACAAGCATCAGCTGCCCAATATACAAAGAAGGTTGGGGTGGATGACTATAAGGCCGTTGTGCTTCAGCAGTATTAGTTGCAAGTGTTGGCACAGTGTGCCAGTCTCCCAGGTTCCATGGCTCAACATACATGATACGCATACGATATATGCTCAAGTGTCTACTGCACCAGTGTCATGTAAAGTGTTAACAGGATCTACGCTATGATCTCAATCGCACCTTGTCTACTGGACCATTGTGTATAATGCACAGTTGTCATATAAAGTGTTAATGAGCTATATGCTGAAGTCTAATACATAGTTGTCATATAAAGTGTTAATGAGCTATATGCTGAAGTCTAATGCACAGTTGTCATATAAAGTGTTAATGATTTGTATGCTGAAGTCTAATGCACAGTTGTCATATTAAGTGTTAATGAGTTGTATGCTGAAGTCTAATGCACAGTTGTCATATAAAGTGTTAATGAGTTGTATGCTGAAGTCTAATGCACAGTTGTCATATTAAGTGTTAATGAGTTGTATGCTGAAGTCTGTTGCACAGTTGTCATATTAAGTGTTAATGAGTTGTATGCTGAAGTCTGTTGCACAGTTGTCATATAAAGTGTTAATGAGTTGTATGCTGAAGTCTAATGCACAGTTGTCATATAAAGTGTTAATGAGCTATATGCTGAAGTCTATAGCACTGATGTCATTTGATGTGTGTCTCCTGGATGACGTTCACTGTTATGTTGAAGAAGTGTTTTCTGCATATTGTTTTTGTGGATCTGTTTCCGGAATGGGACAGCCATGTTTGTGCCCTACCCTCAGTAGTATTGCCAATGCAGCCCAGTAGATGTGCTCAATTTATAGTTGGTAGATTGATCATGTGCATGGGTAATCTGAAGTGATGTATGTATAATGTCTCTCTTCCCGCCAGACCTGGTGAAATATTATATATGTACGTTAAAACTGCTGTAACTTACCTTTATATTTGACATGGTTAATTTGAATGAGATGGGACAGTTTGTTAGCCTGATGCTTAAAGCGTTTGCCATCACGCTGAAGCCTGGGTTTTATTCCTCACATGGGGAGAACTTATGAAGCCCTTTTCTGGTGTCCCCCACCGTGATATTGCTGGAATCTTGCGAAAAGCGGTGTAAAACCATACTCGCTCACTATGAATGTGCAAAGATATTTTTCATTTGATGAGTGAAACTTAATATATATATGTTTATTACAAAATATCATTTTGTAAATTACAATATATTTGGAAATTTGATATTGATATCCCATTTTAAAATTGTTATTTGCTCCAAAAAACATTTTCGAGATTAATTACTGTATAATTGAATGAAGGTAAGTAAACGTATGTGTCCAGGTGTGAGACAACATTTGACCAGTTTGTGATGGTATTTCAGGAGATGACAGCATCGGCAGTATGAACAGTTCACTGACCACCTCAGTCGATGGAGCCGAGTCTACAAAGTGAGCAAAGTGCCCTTCACAACTACACACAGTGCCCCCTACAGCCACACAGTGCCCCATACAGCCACGTAGGACCACACAGTGCCCAATACAGCCCCATAGGACCTCACAGGACCTCACAGTGCCCCATACAGCCCCATAGGACCTCACAGTGCCCCATACAGCCCCATAGGACCACACAGTGCCCCATAGGACCACACAGTGCCCCATACAGCCCCATAGGACCTCACAGTGCCACATACAGCCCCATAGGACCACACAGTGCCACATACAGCCCCATAGGACCTCACAGTGCCCCATACAGCCCCATAGGACCACACAGTGCCACATACAGCCCCATAGGACAACACAGTGCCCCATACAGCCCCATAGGACCTCACAGTGCCCCATACAGCCCCATAGGACCACACAGTGCCCCATACAGCCGCATAGGACCACACAGTGCCCCATACAGCCCCATAGGACCACACAGTGCCCCATACAGCCACATAGGACCACACAGTGCCCCATACAGCCACATAGAACCACACAGTGCCCCATACAGCCACATAGGGCCACACAGTGCCCCATACAGCCCCATAGGACCACACAGTGCCCCATACAGCCCCATAGGACCACACAGTGCCCCATACAGCCACACAGTGCCCCATACAGCCACACAGTGCCCAATACAGCCGCATAGGACCGCACAGTGCCCCATACAGCCCCATAGGACCTCACAGTGCCCCATACAGCCACACAGTGCCCAATACAGCCGCATAGGACCACACAGTGCCCCCTACAGCCACATACAGCCCCATAGGACCTCACAGTGCCCCATACAGCCCCATAGGACCACACAGTGCCCCATACAGCCCCATAGGACCACACAGTGCCCCCTACAGCCACATACAGCCCCATAGGACCTCACAGGACCTCACAGTGCCCCATACAGCCCCATAGGACCACACAGTGCCCCATACAGCCCCATAGGACCACACAGTGCCCCATACAGCCACATACAGCCCCATAGGACCTCACAGGACCTCACAGTGCCCCATACAGCCGCACAGTGCCCCATACAGCCGCACAGTGCCACATACAGCCCCATAGGACCACACAGTGCCCCATACAGCCCCATAGGACCACACAGTGCCCCATACAGCCCCATAGGACCACACAGTGCCCCATACAGCCCCATAGGACCGCACAGTGCCCCATACAGCCCCATAGGACCACACAGTGCCCCATACAGCCCCATAGGACCACACAGTGCCCCATACAGCCCCATAGGACCACACAGTGCCCCATACAGCCCCATAGGACCACACAGTGCCCCATACAGCCACATACAGCCCCATAGGACCTCACAGGACCTCACAGTGCCCCATACAGCCGCACAGTGCCCCATACAGCCGCACAGTGCCACATACAGCCCCATAGGACCACACAGTGCCCCATACAGCCCCATAGGACCACACAGTGCCCCATACAGCCCCATAGGACCACACAGTGCCCCATACAGCCCCATAGGACCGCACAGTGCCCCATACAGCCCCATAGGACCTCACAGTGCCCCATACAGCCACACAGTGCCCAATACAGCCGCATAGGACCACACAGTGCCCCCTACAGCCACATACAGCCCCATAGGACCTCACAGTGCCCCATACAGCCCCATAGGACCACACAGTGCCCCATACAGCCCCATAGGACCACACAGTGCCCCCTACAGCCACATACAGCCCCATAGGACCTCACAGGACCTCACAGTGCCCCATACAGCCCCATAGGACCACACAGTGCCCCATACAGCCCCATAGGACCACACAGTGCCCCATACAGCCACATACAGCCCCATAGGACCTCACAGGACCTCACAGTGCCCCATACAGCCGCACAGTGCCCCATACAGCCGCACAGTGCCACATACAGCCCCATAGGACCACACAGTGCCCCATACAGCCCCATAGGACCACACAGTGCCCCATACAGCCCCATAGGACCACACAGTGCCCCATACAGCCCCATAGGACCACACAGTGCCCCATAGGACCACACAGTGCCCCATACAGCCCCATAGGACCTCACAGTGCCACATACAGCCCCATAGGACCACACAGTGCCACATACAGCCCCATAGGACAACACAGTGCCCCATACAGCCCCATAGGACCTCACAGTGCCCCATACAGCCGCATAGGACCACACAGTGCCCCATACAGCCGCATAGGACCACACAGTGCCCCATACAGCCCCATAGGACCACACAGTGCCCAATACAGCCACACAGTGCCCCATACAGCCCCATAGGACCACACAGTGCCCAATACAGCCACATAGGACCACACAGTGCCCCATACAGCCGCATAGGACCACACAGTGCCCCATACAGCCGCATAGGACCACACATTGCCCCATACAGCCCCATAGGACCGCACAGTGCCCCATACAGCCACAAACAGCCCAATAGGACCTCACAGTACCTCACAGTGCCCATAGGACCACACAGTGCCCCATACAGCCACACATTGCCCCATACAGCCACATAGGACCACACAGTGCCCCATACAGCCACACATTGCCCCATACAGCCCCATAGAACCACACAGTGCCCCATACAGCCACATAGGACCACACAGTGCCCCATAGAGCCACATAGGGCCACACAGTGCCCCATACAGCCAAATAGAACCACACAGTGCCCATACAGCCACATAGGACCACACAGTGCCCCATACAGCCACATAGGGCCACACAGTGCCCCATACAGCCACATAGGGCTACACAGTGCCCCATACAGCCACATAGGGCCACACAGTGCCCCATACAGCCACATAGGGCCACACAGTGCCCCATACAGCCACATAGGGCCACACAGTGCCCCATACAGCCACATAGGGCTACACAGTGCCCCATACAGCCACATAGGGCCACACAGTGCCCATACAGCCACATAGGACCACACATTGCCCCATACAGCCACATAGGACCACACAGTGCCCAATACAGCCACATAGGGCCACACAGTGCCCCATACAGCCCCATACAGCCACATAGGGCCACACAGTGCCCATACAGCCCCATAGGGCCACACAGTGCCCCATACAGCCACATAGGACCACACAGTGCCCATACAGCCACATAGGACCACACAGTGCCCCATACAGCCACATAGGACCACACAGTGCCCATACAGCCACATAGGACCACACAGTGCCCCATACAGCCACATAGGGCCACACAGTGCCCCATACAGCCACATAGGGCTACACAGTGCCCCATACAGCCACATAGGGCTACACAGTGCCCCATACAGCCACATAGGACCACACAGTGCCCATACAGCCACATAGGACCACACAGTGCCCCATACAGCCACATAGGACCACACATTGCCCCATACAGCCACATAGGACCACACAGTGCCCATACAGCCCCATAGGGCCACACATTGCCCCATACAGCCACATAGGACCACACATTGCCCCATACAGCCACATAGGGCCACACAGTGCCCCATACAGCCACATAGGGCTACACAGTGCCCCATACAGCCACATAGGACCACACAGTGCCCATACAGCCACATAGGACCACACAGTGCCCCATACAGCCACATAGGGCCACACAGTGCCCCATACAGCCCCATAGGGCTACACAGTGCCCCATACAGCCACATAGGACCACAGAGTGCCCCATACAGCCCCACAGGGCCACACAGTGCCCCATACAGCCACATAGGACCACACAGTGCCCCATACAGCCGCATAGGACCACACAGTGCCCTATACAGCCACACAGTGCCCCATACAGCCCCATAGGACCACACAGTGCCCCATACAGCCCCATAGGACCACACAGTGCCCCATACAGCCCCATAGGACCACACAGTGCCCCATACAGCCCCATAGGACCACACAATGCCCCATACAGCCACACAGTGCCCCATACAGCCCCATAGGACCACACAGTGCCCAATACAGCCACATAGGACCACACAGTGCCCCATACAGCCACATAGGACCACACAGTGCCCAATACAGCCACATAGGACCACACAGTGCCCCATACAGCCGCATAGGACCACACAGTGCCCCATACAGCCGCATAGGACCACACAGTGCCCCATACAGCCCCATAGGACCGCACAGTGCCCCATACAGCCACACAGTGCCCCATACAGCCACACAGTGCCCCATACAGCCACACAGTGCCCCCTACAGCCACAAACAGCCCAATAGGACCTCACAGTACCTCACAGTGCCCAATACAGCCCCATAGGACCACACAGTGCCCGATACAGCCACACATTGCCCAATACAGCCACATAGGACCACAGAGTGCCCCATACAGCCACATAGGGCCACACATTGCCCCATACAGCCACATAGGGCCACACAGTGCCACATACAGCCACATAGGGCCACACATTGCCCCATACAGCCAAATAGGGCTACACAGTGCCCCATACAGCCCTACAGGGCTACACAGTGCCCCATACAGCCCCATAGGACCACACAGTGCCCTATACAGCCACACAGTGCCCCATACAGCCACATAGAACCACACATTGCCCCATACAGCCAAATAGGGCTACACAGTGCCCCATACAGCCCTACAGGGCTACACAGTGCCCCATACAGCCCCATAGGACCACACATTGCCCCATACAGCCACATAGGACCACACAGTGCCCTATACAGCCACACAGTGCCCCATACAGCCACACAGTGCCCCATACAGCCACATAGGGCCACACAGTGCCCCATACAGCCACATAGGGCCACACAGTGCCCCATACAGCCACATAGAACCACACAGTGCCCCATACAGCCACATAGGGCCACACAGTGCCCCATACAGCCCCATAGGACCACACATTGCCCCATACAGCCACATAGGACCACACAGTGCCCTATACAGCCACACAGTGCCCCATACAGCCACACAGTGCCCCATACAGCCACATAGGGCCACACAGTGCCCCATACAGCCACATAGGGCCACACAGTGCCCCATACAGCAACATAGAACCACACAGTGCCCCATACAGCCACATAGGGCCACACAGTGCCCCATACAGCCACATAGGGCCACACAGTGCCCCATACAGCCACATAGGACCACACAGTGCCCCATACAGCCACATAGGACCACACAGTTCCCCATACAGCCACGTAGGACCACACAGTGCCCCATACAGCCACATAGGACCACACAGTGCCCCATACAGCCACATAGGACCACACAGTGCCCCATACAGCCACACAGTGCCCCATACAGCCCCATAGGACCACACATTGCCCCATACAGCCACATAGGACCACACATTGCCCCATACAGCCACATAGGACCACACAGTGCCCCATACAGCCACATAGGGCCACACAGTGCCCCATACAGCCACATAGAACCACACAGTGCCCCATACAGCCACATAGGACCACACATTGCCCCATACAGCCACATAGGACCACACATTGCCCCATACAGCCAAATAGGGCTACACAGTACCCCATACAGCCCCATACAACCACATAGAACCACACATTGCCCCATACAGCCACATAGGACCACACATTGCCCCATACAGCCACATAGGACCACACATTGCCCCATACAGCCACATAGGACCACACAGTGCCCAATACAGCCACATAGGGCCACACAGTGCCCCATACAGCCACATAGAACCACACAGTGCCCCATACAGCCACATAGGACCACACAGTGCCCCATACAGCCACATAGGGCCACACAGTGCCCCATACAGCCCCATACAGCCACATAGGACCACACAGTGCCCCATACAGCCACATAGGACCACACAGTGCCCCATACAGCCACATAGGACCACACAGTTCCCCATACAGCCACGTAGGACCACACAGTGCCCCATACAGCCACATAAGACCACACAGTGCCCCATACAGCCACATAGGGCCACACAGTGCCCAATACAGCCACATAGGGCCACACAGTGCCCAATACAGCCACATAGGGCCACACAGTGCCCAATACAGCCACATAGAACCACACAGTGCCCCATACAGCCACATAGGGCCACACAGTGCCCCATACAGCCACACAGTGCCCCATACAGCCACACAGTGCCCCATACAGCCACATAGGGCCATAAAGTGCCCCATACAGCCACATAGGGCCACACAGTGCCCCATACAGCCACATAAGACCACACAGTGCCCAATACAGCCACATAGGGCCACACAGTGCCCAATACAGCCACATAGGGCCACACAGTGCCCAATACAGCCACATAGAACCACACAGTGCCCCATACAGCCACATAGGGCCACACAGTGCCCCATACAGCCACACAGTGCCCCATACAGCCACACAGTGCCCCATACAGCCACATAGGGCCATAAAGTGCCCCATACAGCCACATAGGGCCACACAGTGCCCCATACAGCCACATAAGACCACACAGTGCCCAATACAGCCACATAGGGCCACACAGTGCCCAATACAGCCACATAGGGCCACACAGTGCCCAATACAGCCACATAGGGCCACACAGTGCCCAATACAGCCACATAGAACCACACAGTGCCCCATACAGCCACATAGGGCCACACAGTGCCCCATACAGCCACACAGTGCCCAATACAGCCACATAGAACCACACAGTGCCCCATACAGCCACATAGAACCACACAGTGCCCAATACAGCCACACAGTGCCCAATACAGCCACATAGAACCACACAGTGCCCCATACAGCCACACAGTGCCCAATACAGCCACATAGAACCACACAGTGCCCCATACAGCCACATAGAACCACACAGTGCCCCATACAGCCACATAGAACCACACAGTGCCCCATACAGCCACACAGTGCCCCATACAGCCACATAGAACCACACAGTGCCCCATACAGCCACATAGAAACACACAGTGCCCCATACAGCCACATAGAACCACACAGTGCCCCATACAGCCACATAGGACCACACAGTGCCCCATACAGACACATAGGGCCACACAGTGCCCCATACAGCCACACAGTGCCCCATACAGCCACATAGGACCACACAGTGCCCAATACAGCCACATAGGGCCACACAGTGCCCCATACAGCCACATAGGACCACACAGTTCCCCATACAGCCACGTAGGACCACACAGTGCCCCATACAGCCACATAAGACCACACAGTGCCCCATACAGCCACATAGGGCCACACAGTGCCCAATACAGCCACATAGGGCCACACAGTGCCCAATACAGCCACATAGGGCCACACAGTGCCCAATACAGCCACATAGAACCACACAGTGCCCCATACAGCCACATAGGACCACACAGTGCCCAATACAGCCACATTGGGCTACACAGTGCCCCATACAGCCACATACAGCCACATACAGCCACACATTGCCCCATACAGCCACATTGGGCCATACAGTGCCCCATACAGCCACACAGTGCCCCATACAGCCCCACAGTGCCCCATACAGCCCCACAGTGCCCCATACAGCCACATTGGGCCATACAGTGCCCCATACAGCCACATAGGACCACACAGTGCCCCATACAGCCACGTAGGACCACACAGTGCCCCATACAGCCACACAGTGCCCCATACAGCCACACAGTGCCCCATACAGCCCCACAGTGCCCCATACAGCCACATAGGACCACACAGTGCCCAATACAGCCACACAGTGCCCCATACAGCCACATAGGGCCACACAGTGCCCCATACAGCCACATTGGGCCATACAGTGCCCCATACAGCCACATAGGACCACACAGTGCCCCATACAGCCAAATAGGGCTACACAGTGCCCCATACAGCCACATTGGGCCATACAGTGCCCCATACAGCCACATTGGGCCATACAGTGCCCCATACAGCCACACAGTGCCCCATACAGCCACATAGGACCACACAGTGCCCATACAGCCACATAGGACCACACAGTGCCCAATACAGCCACACAGTGCCCCATACAGCCACATAGGGCCACACAGTGCCCAATACAGCCACATAGGGCCACACAGTGCCCCATACAGCCACATTGGGCCATACAGTGCCCCATACAGCCACATAGGGCCACACAGTGCCCCATACAGCCACGTAGGACCACACAGTGCCCCATACAGCCACATAGGGCCACACAGTGCCCAATACAGCCACACAGTGCCCCATACAGCCACATAGGGCCACACAGTGCCCAATACAGCCACATAGGGCCACACAGTGCCCAATACAGCCACATAGAACCACACAGTGCCCCATACAGCCACATAGGGCCATACTGTGCCCCATACAGCCACATAGGACCACACAGTGCCCCATACAGCCACATAGGACCACACAGTGCCCCATACAGCCACATAGGACCACACAGTTCCCCATACAGCCACGTAGGACCACACAGTGCCCCATACAGCCACATAAGACCACACAGTGCCCCATACAGCCACATAGGGCCACACAGTGCCCAATACAGCCACATAGGGCCACACAGTGCCCAATACAGCCACATAGGGCCACACAGTGCCCAATACAGCCACATAGAACCACACAGTGCCCCATACAGCCACATAGGACCACACAGTGCCCCATACAGCCACATAGGGCCACACAGTGCCCCATACAGCCACATAGGGCCACACAGTGCCCAATACAGCCACATAGGGCCACACAGTGCCCAATACAGCCACATAGAACCACACAGTGCCCCATACAGCCACATAGGACCACACAGTGCCCAATACAGCCACATAGGGCCACACAGTGCCCCATACAGCCACATAGGGCCATACAGTGCCACATACAGCCACATAGAACCACACAGTGCCCCATACAGCCCCACAGGGCCACACAGTGCCCCATACAGCCACATAGGGCCATACAGTGCCCCATACAGCCCCACAGTGCCCGATACAGCCACACAGTGCCCCATACAGCCACATAGGGCCACACAGTGCCCCATACAGCCACATAGAACCACACAGTGCCCCATACAGCCACATAGGACCACACAGTGCCCCATACAGCCACATAGGACCACACAGTGCCCCATACAGCCACACAGTGCCCCATACAGCCACATAGAACCACACAGTGCCCCATACAGCCCCACAGGGCCACACAGTGCCCCATACAGCCACATAGGACCACACAGTGCCCCATACAGCCACATAGGACCACACAGTGCCCCATACAGCCACATAGGACCACACAGTGCCCCATACAGCCCCATAGAACCACACAGTGCCCCATACAGCCACATAGGACCACACAGTGCCCCATACAGCCACATAGGACCACACAGTGCCCCATACAGCCACATAGGACCACACAGTGCCCCATACAGCCACATAGGACCACACAGTGCCCCATACAGCCACATAGGACCACACAGTGCCCCATACAGCCACATAGGACCACACAGTGCCCCATACAGCCACATAGGGCCACACAGTGCCCCATACAGCCACATAGGGCCACACAGTGCCCAATACAGCCACATAGGGCCACACAGTGCCCAATACAGCCACATAGGGCCACACAGTGCCCAATACAGCCACATAGAACCACACAGTGCCCCATACAGCCACATAGGACCACACAGTTCCCCATACAGCCACATAGAACCACACAGTGCCCCATACAGCCACATAGGGCCACACAGTGCCCAATACAGCCACATAGGGCCACACAGTGCCCAATACAGCCACATAGGGCCACACAGTGCCCAATACAGCCACATAGAACCACACAGTGCCCCATACAGCCACATAGGACCACACAGTTCCCCATACAGCCACATAGGACCACACAGTGCCCAATACAGCCACATTGGGCCATACAGTGCCTTTTATTTACAAGTGTGTGCCTGATAAGGAAAGTCTATTATTAAAACTATTCATGCACTGTAGAAACTTTCCATTTCATTTAACAAAATTTTCTAGTCAGCCATATTGTGACACACTTAAATTTGATTTGTAATGTCTTCTGTAGACTTATGCTGAAGAAGGAGATCCACATGAAGACCACCATTGGACCCGACGGTCGCGAGCAAACCATGGTAAAGGAGGACATCCAGGTGCGCCAGGAGAACGACCCCCCGGAGGAACTACGTGACAGCATGCAGGAGATTATTAACCAGTTCATGGTGGCCGAGATGCCACAACAGAGGCAGGCTCTTGAAGATGATGTGTAGACGTGCACAGCCCGCAGCCAGACTTGACGTCTGCTCTTCTCAGGGCATCTGCCGTCTGCTGCAATCTCATTGTGGTGCTTCTTCTGGTTACCAGTGCTTCATCCAGGGTACAATGGAAGGTTGACATCCGGGACAGAGAACAGGAGTTTGTTTGTAATCAGGACCTAATTGGACAGAGGATACGAAATTGATGAAATGATTTTCTACATGTTGGATATGGGATTTCAATATATCCTGGATTAAGCACTATTATTTCAGCTGTTGAGCAACTATTACTTGCCACTTACAACCCATTCTTAAGGAACAGTTGTTTTGCAGTGTTTACATTGTCACTGAAACTGAACACATGTTGAAGTATTTTATTCCACAAGTATGATTTCATTTTATTTCCTGTATTGGCAGTAGCATTTTCAAAAATATACATGGAACATTTAGCATGTAACCTTTTGGCAAATATTTACACCTAGTATCTTCATCAAGCTTAGCATTTCATCAAGGGCATTCCTCTATTTTCAACAAGAGATTGAGCCACGTTGGTACATTTTCCTGCAACTGGCTGCAAGACATCTACCTTGGTATTCCATTCAAGTTGATCTTTGCAATGTACATCAGACATACTCATCATTCTACAATATTTGCCGTGTTTGACTGATGTGTTGTTTGAGCTGCACGTTTGGCTTGATAATACGTATAGCTACTGCCAATAGCAAGCCATTTTTCAATCGAGGGGCATATTGGGAAAGATTGCCTTGTTTCATGAAAGAGAAACGGAATGATGATATTCCACTCACAGCACTACAGAATTTTGTATGACATTATGCATTACCATTCCAGACGATGCTTAGCACTGCCAATATGCCCTTCAACGGATACATGTTTGACAGGTCTGGTCTGCACCTGCAAATGATGTTATTTATTGCACTGACATTTTCTGTTACTGCTTCCATTTTGTCTGCAAATTCTGACATTTTGCATGTTTTGAAATAAATAGTCATGATTATATACTCTACGAATGTGACACAGACATTGATGATGCCCCAAGATTTAACCAGATCCTACACTCTAGGACATACGACATAACATATCGCTCCTATCCAGATCGGCCCCATTCAGTCTGGATTGGACCGATTGCACATTTCCCCCGATCTGAACCTGACGGGGTTGGTATTTGACGGTACGGTATTCGTGTTTTATGTGGACGGTAGGCTGCTGTAATTCATTGATATTGGTGTCATTAATGCATTTTTCTGAAGTCTATGGATACCGAACTAAGGTGGTTTGTGGGATTATAATGGATTTTAATTTATCAGCACGTATTTGTAAATTTAGGTGCCTGAGTTTCTAGCCATATCTATTTGTACATGACACAGTGTTTTAGTAACTTGTACTAACTCTGTTAGTGCCTCCGATGTGACTGTATCTGTTCTGAGCAAAGATCTCCCTAGGTGTACACAACTCTACTTTCTTTTTTATCATATCTGATTGAGATCTGTTTTAGAATGTATTGCCTCCGTTGAACCATCCATAATGTTGTGAAGTTATATGATTAATCTCATCTTAATAAATGCTTTAGTATGCCATATAATCATGTGTTTGTTGTCTCACTACTTATGTCCCATGTGATTCTTGTTTGGAATTCGTCATCAGTAACAGGGGCTGGTCGTACCACTGTTATCAGTATTCTATCCTTATTGTCCTCCTGTGGGGATAAAGGGTTAGAATAGGTCACCTTTTACCCATGATGGTCGTAACTTGGTTGATTGCTTGTCATTGTACCCTGACTGCGTGGATCAATGCTCATAAAATCAATCCCTGGATTGACTGGTCAAGACTTGATTATTTATAAGCTGCCGTCATAAAGCTGGAATATTGTAAACAAAAAACAAACAGAACAACTGATAATGTGTGAGACTCGGAATGCTGATGCGACCAGCCCAGATTACTGACGGACCACCCAAGATAACTGGTGCTGACATGTGATGTGTTGGCACTGTCACCCAGTCTTCTGTGGGGAGATATGAGGTGAGAAAGGACCCCATCCCTTTATTGCTGGTAATAAGAGGCCATTAAATAGGATCAAGGAGTCAGGCTTGGTGACTTGGTTGACTGCTTGTCATTGGTTAACTCATGCCAGAGATCATATACCGGTATATAGTCTCATGCCAACCACTAGTTTGTCTGGCCCAGATCCGACTAAACTATTCACAGGCTGCTGAAATAAATCAAGAATAAATCGAGAATAAATCTGCCTACAGCAAAGAACAATGAAAAGCTACAGGCATGCCTACTTCCGACATGGCAGTAAGGCAATGAATGTGCTTTCATGCAGCTGCAGTATTGCAGTTAAGTCTTTGTTTCTTGTTTAAGACCGCACTCAGCAATATTCCAGCCACATGACAGCGGTCTGTAAATAATCCATTCTGGACCAGACAATCCCGTGATTGAGATAATGAACATTGATCCAAGCAATTTGGATACAATGACATGCGTCAATCAAGTGAGGGAACCTGACCACCCGATCCCGTTAGTCGCCTCTCACGACAAACATAGATGCCTTTTACGGCAAGCATGGGTTGCTGAAGACCTGTTCTACCCCGGAGCTTCACTGGTGTGCGGGGCGGTCGGGTAGCCTAGTGGTTAAAGCGTTCGCTCGTCACGCCGACATGGGTACAATGTGTGAAGCCCATTTCTGGTGTCCCCCGCCATGATGTTGCTGGAATATTGCTAAAAGCGGCGTAAAACCATACTCACTCACTCACTCACTGGTGTGCAGTTAAGTCAGACCAGGCTGTAAATAAACTAATTTGTACCAGGCAAATCAGCAGTTCATAGAAGCAGTTTAGGAACACATGTCATACATTGTGACCACTAGTTTATGTTTTAGTCTGTTCTTACAACAATCAGAGCTGCTGACTGCTTGTGTCAGTTCTGTCATGGCATGTCAGCCTCAAGTGCTGTAGGTCTTGGATGTTTACCACATTAGTGAACCCCTACAGCATGTGTGTGCTGCTCACAAACCTAGAAACATAATCACGACGCATCTAGGATTTGAACCCAGTGTCCTAGGTATTCTGACTTGCCAAAGGAATCCTGGTGCCACCCCTCCAAGACAAGAATATACATAAGATACTGTTCATGTGTAAGCAGACACCTACCCACAATATATCGTTACATAAAAAAACAAAAACAGATTCAGTCAAATAAATTTACTACAAAAGATGAAGTTGTATCCCATGTAAAGAACAATGTCAGAAGGTTCTGTGATCAGCAGCCGTTTATATCATGAGTGCTCCTGAAATATGCAACTAGTCACCTCTGTGAGGAGACCACCTCCGTGGTCTAGTGAATAGAGCATCTGCCCGGAGAGTGCAAGGTCGTTGGTTCGATCCCCGGCCCCGTCATACCAAAAACTAACAAAGGTCCCGCACGTACAAGCAGTCACACACACACAACGTTAAACGCCGTTTCACCTCACCTCACCTCACACAGTTCACACAGTAGCGAGAGTGTCCACCTTGTGTATTGATGCAGGCATGACGCCATCGCCACATTGAGGCCGTTAAACAGTGAAGAAATTATTTTGTGAATGGCTGCAGTCCATACCTGAGGGAGATAAAGGTGGCGTTTCTGCAAGGTCGCAAGCGTTGTTCCATTACATCCCAGACATGTTCGATCGGTGACAGACCTTGCAGGTCAGAGTAACACATTAACGTTGTTCGGAATCAGACACCGCTGGCATCATGTGGTTTGGAAATTCTGTTGCAAAAACGGTGAAAGGAACGTCATCTTCCCTAGGCAAGGGAGTTAAATGACTGTAAACTGGACTTAATAGTCAGTTAACTCCCTTGCCTCGGGAAGATGAAGGGTCGTTTTGAAATCTCACCTGGTGTCTCGCAGCATTCAAATTGCCATCAACTACAAACATTTGACTCCTTCCTGAAGCTGTTATTCCAACCCAGATCATAACGCCGCCATCCCCAAAGTGATCGCCCATCAAGAACACATGGCGTGCAACACCTGCATCGACGCCTGCAGACACTGTCCTGCCAATGGATCAGTGAAGAAAGAAACGTTACTCCTTACCATACGTCTGCACCATTGAAGACGTTGGTGTTCAGCCGTCAGGATTGGCCGTTTTGCCGGGCACTTCGTGTGGATGTTGTAGATGCTTTGACGTAATGGACTTTTACGCCTCTTTCGCTAGGGATGGTAACATTCATGACCAACTCGTCCCATTCCAAATGTTGTACGGATTTGGTTGTTTGGTTGGTTTGATGTTTAACGCCGCACTCAGCAATATTCCAGCTATATGACGGCGGTATGTAATTAATCGAGTCTTGACCAGACAATCCAATGATTAATATCATGACCATCGATCCACGTAATTTGGATCGATGACATGCATCAATCAAATCAGCGAGCCTGACCACCCGATCCCGTTAGTCGCCTCTTACGGCTAGCATAGTCGCCTTTTACGGCTAGCATGGGTGAAGACCTATTCTACCCCGATCTTCGCGGGTTGTGGGTTACGGAATCACGCGAGTGGTGACCAATGGGATGGTAAGGGTTCAGGGAGCTGCTGCCTACAACCTGTGTTTACGCATGCGTGGTTAGAAACCATATGTCTTGGCGAGGGGTTGTCACGGGTGGGCGGTCTACGGGGACGGTCTCTGACGTGGTTGTTCTGTTGATGACGTCGACGTAAGTGCCATGTGGTGTTCATTTGAACGCTGAACTGGGGACATGCAAAGCCCCTCGATTCAAACATTCCTATGGCTCGCCATCTGTAGTATTCATATAGGTGTGAAATATTAAAACGTTCAAGTGTTGTTTTTCTGAACTCTGCAATTTCAGCGATTGCTTGGAGTGGCAGTGATATGGGATTGGATATGTGGCCTTTTATAGAGAAAACTTGAAGTGATTTCTCCCAACTATTCGTCATTTCTTGCTAACAACATGCTATACCATTTGCTTTGTTGCGTTTCGTCGAGCTTTTTCATGGACATGTTTTCCTGGTTCAAATCTTGAAAATTTATATAAAGGTTTGGAAGTGAAAATAATGTCTTTTACTTTTGAGTATAGTTACATCCATCTACATGGACTTTTGAGAATGCCATTTACTATTTTAAACAATCATGTATACATAGTTCCTGATAACAATTTCATGGATTATATAATTATTCTTCTTTTCACGGGTTACAAAGTTATCAGTTATGCAGTAAAACAATGGTTGGAACTTTGGATATGTACACATACATGCAATTTTTAGGCAGAGGCATTTTGTGGTTATGTAATGAGCCGTGTGCCTGGGGGTCATGGAGAGCTATTTGAAGCGTATCTCATCTTGGGGGTCATGGTATGGTTGTGCGAATGAAATCTTTCCAGATCGATCAATGTTTGGGATAATTATGGTCAAAGGTCGTTTTACGCCGCTTTTAGCAATATTCCAGGAATATCACGACGGGGCACACCAGTAATGGGCATCACACACTGTACCCATGTGGGGAATCGAATCTGTGTTTTCGGCGTGACGAGCGAACGAATAAACACAAGGCTTATAAAATATTCTACCATGAATTTGGAAAATACTCGATTCTGATTGCAGCGTTAGAAATTGGCACTAGTCCTATAGTCCTTGTCAAACTGCCCAATAGTTAAGGTATCACAAGGAGTAGTAGAAATTGGCCCTTTTTAAGGGTTTTGCTGTATGTTATCTCTATAAGGACCAGTGGACGAAAACTGTTAGTTTCTACCGCTGGATTGGTCAGTCAGAGGTATCAAATCACAATAAACCGCCTATGATTGAAACAGTCGATTTGACGGCACCATCGCGGGAGCTAATATTTGTTAGAATAGCAGAAAAGCAGCCATTGTCGGTAGGCAATTATAGGCTACAAAATGCAATATTGCGGTTACTACAATATTCAAAGGGTGTGTGTTCGGTTCCAGATTCAATTTAGCGCGGTTAAATCTACTGGTAACCTAACTCTACATTGAAAATACGGTCTGCTAAATGTCATGTCACTCAGGGTGATACTGCTCACATCTACGTTATGATATTATTATCGTGGATATCGATACTCAGAGTTAGTGTCGGGAATCGAACCCGGGTCCACGGCGTGACGAGCGAACGCTAAACCACTGTCTACTCGACCGCCCCGTTTCTCAGAGTTATATTGTTCGATAGTATATGATACTTTCTTAGATTATGATATCAGTTGTGAGTAGTATCAAATACTTGGATGAAAGTACCATCCACGTAGATGTAAACACTAATACGCTTTCATGGGTATCACTCGTCGTGATATTGCTAAAAGTGGCGTACAATTGTACTCTCATAAACAGTATGGACATATTCTTTTCATATTTGTTCTAGCTCTAGCTTCCAGGAAAAAGTGAAACACTACTTCCAACCTATCAACTCCATCATACGACTTGTTATGAAAGATATTGTTAATTGAAGTAATGTATGTAACTGGTTGCAGCAAATTTTTAGTGGTTGTCGTATTGAATGCAAATATACAAATATTAGTAAATATTCTTATAAATGCTAAAAACGGCGGTTTAGGTTCTTGCCTTTGTCTCGTGATGCGTTAATACAGGTGTAGGTTGGGTAATGCCAGGCCGCGGACCAGTAGATCCAGACCTCGAGACAAGTAGATCCAGACCTCGAGACAAGTAGATCCAGACCTCGAGACAAGCTGCGTATTACACGCAGATATAACAACACTCAATAATTCAATGAAGCCTTTTCAACTTGCATACCTACATTTCTTTCCATGTGTCTATTTAGTGATCGAATGCAGGCATCTTATACACATTAGCTCTACTGCGGGGACTTATGCATGAGAAAGGGCTGCGTCTCGCTTATTGTTAATTAGAAAAGTAATTAGTGTACATATATCATATACACTTGGTTACACACTGCTCATGTGTGTCCCTGTTGTGAGTTGTTACACACCTGAGGCAACACACGAACAGATACAAATCACAAGACACCCGAAACAAGCATTTTCAGCAGAATTATGTAAACAAGTGTCCACTGATAGGTTTCAACTACCAACTAGACTGCACCCAGGGGGCCAAAGATCAAACACCAAAAGAAAACTATCAATGTACCCAAAGTGATGAGACAGTAAAAGGCTAAAACTTGTATCTAGAACCTGGTACGTCTATCAAGACATGCATCATTTTATTCCCCATCGGGTTAGAAATAATGAGAGTTTCCTAAAACTCGTATGTGCATCAGTTCAAATATCACTTCACGCGCACCACTGTATTACGTCATCCTGACGGCATTGTCGTCGTCATTCGAATCGTATTGTGGCGTAAGGTCAGAATGATGTCACACTAGAAACGACGTCATAGATGACGATTGTTGACGTCTGATCAGTAAAAATCTTTTAAATGGTAGCTGAAAAGGATTAAGAAATGATGAGTAATAAAGAAATTTGTACATAAATCTGTACATAACCGAGTCTCGATCAGGCAATCCAGTGATTGATAGTAGGAGTAACGATACACGGTGTCGGAGTACCAAGTCGCCGAGACTGACCACCAGATCTATTTCTTCCTTGTCAAATTGCAAAGGGACTAACTTGCAACAAGACGATGCTATTATGATACAGGACTCCTCGTGTGTCCAAGCTCAATCACATATGATATGTTCAATACATAACGCAAAGACAGGAGGTGTGAACTAAAGGTTCCTATTTACCAGGACAACAAACGGAGTCTCAACCTGGTTATTTTAGAGACGCTTCACGCATTATGGCATTTCCGGGATAACTCGCAAACCCGGAAAAAGTAGATTGACCTCTGCCTTGCCCAGCAACGTGTGGACGTTTCATGACTCCGAGTGAGTTAGTTTTATGAGCATTTTGGTCTTGTCATGTGTGTGTTGTGTGTATGAGAGAGAGAGAGAGAGAGAGAGAACGTTTCATGACCCCGAGTGAGTTAGTTTGATGAGCATTTTGGTCTTGTCATGTGTGTTGTGTGTATGAGAGAGAGAGAGAGAGAGAGAGAGAGAGAACGTTTCATGACTCCGAGTGAGTTAGTTTTATGAGCATTTTGGTCTTGTCATGTGTGTGTTGTGTGTAGGAGAGAGAGAGAGAGAGAGAGAGACGTGTGAACATTTTATGACTTCGAGTGAGTTGTTTTTATGAGCATTTTGGTCTTGTCATGTTAGTGTTGTGTGTATGAGAGAGAGAGAGAGAGAGAGAGAGAGAGAGATAGAGAATTAGACTTTTGTCTTGATCATTGGTGATTAGCGTTTTGGTTTTTTTTGGCAAATTTCAAGAAACACTGTAACCTCTGTCCAGTCAGACATGCTCTGAGCCAGCCACACACTTTGTGTCGCAGGATGTTGAGTGAGTGAGTGACTTGGGTTTAATGCTCCTTTGAACAGTATTCCAGTTACATCACATGACAGCTTACTGTGGGAGGAAAGCAGCATGTGATTCATCCTTTGGGTGTCTACCACTTTTATGTTTGTTTGTTTGTTGTTTAATGCCTCTCTCGGCAATATTCCAGCTATATGACGTGGTCTGTAAATTATCGAGTCTGGACCAGACAATCCAGTGATTGACATCATGAACATCCATCCACGCAGTTGGGATACGATGACATGCATCACTTTAATGAAACCCACGAGCACGGATATGGTGGTGACAAACCTAGACACAATAACAGGGTGGGTGAACTCGGATTTGAACCCACAATCAAGGTTCCTGCCACATATTTAAGATGCTGCTCTGGATTACAATTTGCGATATATCTTAGATTGTTACAGACGTGTGTTTGATGCATAGGTGGATCACGATTGTTTTACTTCTTATTCCAAGTGTCTTTAAGTATTGATTCTTACCTTAGACGTTTGCTTTAGTAACTGTTACACCAAATACTAATTATTAGTGAAATTAGTGGTGAAAATGTAAATATTTTCATCCATTGATCCCTACTTAACACTGCCAATTGTAAATCGTCAGTGTGCGAGGTATTTGGCAATCTTGTCTGTGAAAAAGATGGCTTACGCACCACCGATAAGAGCACATGCAAGTATCATGATACATATTGGATCATGAGAAAGGTATCATGATACGTATCTGATACAGGTGGTGTATCATCCCAGCCCTAGTTGTAAGAGGTTTTTGATGCACAAATGTACTGAAAATAGTGACCCTCCCCTAATGCCTAGCATATTTTTGGATGACCCTCACCGTGTCCCTATTCAGTTTTTTTCATGACCCTCCCTGAAAAGACAAAATGCAAAAGCATTTTATTTTTCATTATAAGATGTCCCGTTTTTTCATGACCCTCTTTAAATATGTGTATTTTTTTATGTGATGCTCTCCTAGAGACTGTCATATTTTTTGGTGACACACCCACCCTATAATAATTGACCGATCCCTTTTTCAATGCCAATGTTGAGGTTTTACGTTTTGAAAAACTGCAGTGGTTTCTCTTTACACATGCTGATCAGGATTTGAAATATATAGAATTCCCTTGTCAAGAAGGATTTAAATGACATTTTAGTCTCACAACACCCTAGCATGTCTTCTTCTAACATGATCACTACTTTGTTAAACACCGGAGGTATTTTGTGTTAAGAAAATAAGATACAAGTTAAGATAAAAGTGTTGATAATTAACCAAGCAATTTGCATTTGATAGTCATGTTATTTGTGTTGAAAGCATGAAATTTTTACACTTAAAAAAGGTGTTGGGCTGGAGGGCTGTGCATAAGGAATTTATTAGTAGTGAGTGAGTGAGTATGGTTTTACGCTGCTTTTAGCAATATTCCAGCAATATCACGGCGGGGGACACCAGAAATGGGCTTCACACATTGTACCCATGTCGGGAATCGAACCCGGGTCTTTGGCGTGACGAGCGAACGCTTTTACCATCAGGCTACCCGATCGCCCCGAATTTAATAGTAAGTTTATGAGAAGGACCATATTGATTTCATCTCTGATATTATTTATGATCCAGACCCCTAGCCCAGAACATGTCGACAAGGAGGAGGAAGCTGCAAGACAAGAAGACCATCACCTGCCCTACTGATCCCAAAGTCCCCAAAACAGATGTTGAGGAACCTACCTCGATTGCAGGACCCTCTGCAGATGAAGGTTCAGGAGAAAAACACAACCCCTGTCAGAATTCCATACTTTCTAAATTAAAATCAAAATTAAGTCAAGCTGACACAGCACAAACTGATGCCGATATAATATCTAAAGACACCAGCAGTCCCTACTTTTCCAATGTCAGAAGTCCTGAGGAACTGGATGAGGCATCAGTTGAGGATCCGGGAGAGGCTACTCAGCCAAAACGACTTTCTAGAGCATTTTATGAACAGCCATGTGAGGATCTAGCTAAAGCTCTGCTAGGGCAGGTGCTTGTGAGAATTCACAATGGAGAGAGGTTAACAGGGAGGATTGTTGAGACCGAGTCTTATCTTGGCCGAAGAGATAAAGCAGCTCATTCATACAAGGGGAAGACGGACCGAAACACGGCCATGTTCATGTCTCCTGGCACAGCCTACGTCTACAACATCTATGGAATGTATTGTTGCATGAATGTGTCGAGTCAAGGTAATTTATCATACCTCCAAGTCAGAATGATAAGATCTGATTGGTAATTGTGATCTTGATAAAATACTGTGTAACCCGCCTTGGGGGTTAATAAATTTCTCAGTGGGGGAATAAATCTCTTATACCCCGCCATGAGCAATACAGGCTGCATGTGAATTTCTGAGAGGCAGAATAAATCCTTTATACCCTGCTTCAAAGCAAAAAGCTGCATGCTTTTTCCAAGTCAATGGAAGTCATGTAACATAGCACACATTAATCTGAACAGCTGAATTTGTATTAATTCTTTTACACTGTCACATTAAAACATGTCAGTAAGATAAATTGTTGTACACGTTGTAGCAGGATCACGAGGGGTACATAGGGTTTTATGCGTCCCTTGTCCGGCTTGTGTTATAAAACCAAACATGGGACTTATGGTGTAGACCACATAGGCATGTGTGATAAAAAGGACATTTTCATAATTTGTCATCATTTTCCTCACGTTACGATTATGGTTGTTGTTGATATGTGTAGAGAAATACTGTATATATTGATTGTGTTGTGAAAGGTAGCTTGACTCAGATCTATGTTGTTCCCAACTCTTTTTAAACCCATAAGCACAGGTATTGTTCTGGAAGACCAATGATCATATCAAGGTCAAACCCACCACCAGCGAATCCTGGCAACTAAGGTCAGCAACTCCGCAGCTGGCTGAGTGGCCCCTGTGTCCCCCTACTTGACATGGCGTCATCATGTCAGGGAGCAATACACATCATAGGCCAAACTTCTGCCACACTTCTACAGCAAATGTCGCGTAAAAATTCCAATTTAGAATTAATCAATTTTAAAAATATTATTTTGTTATTGTTAATAACGTTTTAACTTTGCATAGCTCATTTCACGGATAACAGAACCAATAAAGAGAAAAAATGTTTTAATAATTAGTTTTACTTTATTGCATCGAATGTGATGTTAAAATTCCCACTGAAACAGGACCGAGCACATCATCAGCCATTTCTACCCATTTCAGGAGAGGGTGAGGCAGTCCTACTCCGATCCCTGGAGCCCCTTGAAGGGAAGACGGTGATGAGCACCTTCAGAGTGGCCAACCGCAAGAAGGGCAGTCCCTGCAAACCTATGAAAGACCGTGAACTCTGCAATGGGCCTTCCAAGCTGACCCAGGCATTGAGGATCGACAAGGCTTCGACCAATCAGGTAGCTCTGCCTTCCCATGATGCCGTCTGGCTGGAGGAAGGGGAGAAGGTGCCAGCCACCAAGATGGTGGTGAGCAAGAGGATCAACATCAACTATGCCGAGGAGTGGAAGGATAAACCGCTGAGGTTCTATGAACTGGGAAATCAGTGTGTTAGTGTTCGGGACAAGGAAGTGGAGAAACTGATGAAGGAAAGTTAGTGGAGTTAAGTGAACCAATTTGATGAAATTTAGGGGCAGTGGAGTGGCCTAGTAGATAAAGTGTTCACTCGTCACACTGAAGACCCGGGTTCAATTCCCCACATGGGTACAATGTGTGAAGCATATGTCTGGTGTCCACCGCTGTGATACCACTAAAAGTGGCGTAAAACAATCAACAGAATATGCATTCATTTAATTTCCTGCTGTAGAGTTTTGATCTATCACACTACGTAACTACTTTGATTTGAAAATGTCATGTCTCAATGACTGATGGAAAGTAGAAGACTTTTCAACCCCAGTATTGGTAGGATGTAGGTGTTCACAAGTATCCAATATGAAATGTATCAGCTACAAATGTGTGTTATCTTGTATACACAACTAGATATGAGACAGATTTTGATACTTCATTCAGGGAGTGTTTGTTTGTTTGTTGTTTAACACCACACTCAGCAATATTCCAGCTATATGACGGGGGTCTGTACATAATCGAGTCTGGACCAGATAATCGAGTGATTGATATCACGAGCATCAATCCACACAATTGGGATACGATGAGATGCATCAACCAACTCATCGAGCCTGACCACCCTTTCCCGGTAGTCACCTCTTACGACAAACGTAGTCGCTTTCTAAAGCAAGCATGGGTTGTTGAAGACCTATTCTACCCCGGATCTTCACAGGTCTTCAGTGAGAGTGGTATTTCAGTTGTATCACAGTGGGTGTATCACGGTTGGTGTATCACGGTGGGTGTATCACGGTTGGTGTATCACGGTGGGTGTATCACGGTTGGTGTATCACGGTTGGTGTATCACGGTTGGTGTATCACGGTTGGTGTATCACGGTGGGTGTATCACGGTTGGTGTATCACGGTGGGTGTATCACGGTTGGTGTATCACGGTTGGTGTATCACGGTTGGTGTATCACGGTGGGTGTATCACGGTGGGTGTATCACGGTTGGTGTATCACGGTGGGTGTATCACGGTGGGTGTATCACGGTGGGTGTATCACGGTTGGTGTATCACGGTGGGTGTATCACGGTTGGTGTATCACGGTGGGTGTATCACGGTTGGTGTATCACGGTTGGTGTATCACGGTGGGTGTATCACGGTTGGTGTATCACGGTTGGTGTATCACGGTTGGTGTATCATGGTGGGTGTATCACGGTTGGTGTATCATGGTGGGTGTATCACGGTTGGTGTATCATGGTGGGTGTATCACGGTGGGTCAGCATAACGTGGGAGGACTTCCAGATAGACAAGGTCCTAGACACTTGCACTTTGGGGAAACCCAGAGCTGATGAACCGAGAGTCATGATCCGGTAGACCTGGCACTCCAATCCACAAACCTCAGCATATACAATGTCACATGACATGTCATCAAATGTCATCCCTCCGAATCTCTTGTACTATGTACATAATATAATATTCAAAAGCAGTTAAGAACCACTCAATTCTTTTGTTTCTATTGGCATGACAGATTAACTATAGCAATATGAAAGAATCAGTGGTACTTAACTTCATTTGAGTTGTATAGATATAGTTACAATCTTAAGTGTTATTATTATTTTTTTCATTGTATATTTGAATTTTTTTAATAAAAAATAAACAAATCAACATTATTCATTTATTCATATCACAGATTGTATGATCTCTCAAATTACATATTATATAAGTATGCATAAACATATTATATATAACATTTCATTATATCTCTTGTATAAGCCTAAAGCGTTAGTCTCATGGAATTCTAATGTGGCATCTCCAACAAAAGGCCACCCTTGATTTGGTCAAATAAATACCAATCCTAAAGTTACCACAATGTGATCATACCAAGAGATCGTGGTAGGAGTTTGTCTAAGAAAGAATCAGAAATGCATGAGCTTGTACAATAAACACAACTCCTGCCAGCAGGAATACCGGTACGTTGCTTGCTAGTAGTGTCATGAACAATTTCACACAAAGGTTGGGAGACCTGAGTCAGGTCAATAATATGTAAATAATTGTTCATTAATCCTGCATGTTCCATGGAGTTTACTGACAATCTGTTCACACATCAGGATGGCACAGCAGGTCAGGTGCTTGAGGGAAGCTTGTGAGGAGCCACAGTTTGAGATCTGGAGTCATCGCACATGTAGGATCTGAACAATTGTTATAGTTGTGTTAAAGCTCTCTTTGGATATCCAGCTATCATCCGAATCAGGCACTGTTTGAAGAGTTGGACCTGGAGCCACTGCATCCACTGCACCAGATACATAGACCCTCAACCGACAAGGTGCCATATACTGAGCAGGTAATCTCGGTGTTTGGTTGGACATCAAACAGTCCTATGAACTGGGCACTGGTAGAAGGATATCTGGTTCAACGTTTGATTGTTTGTTTGTTGTTTAACACTGCACTCAACAGTATTCCAACTATATGATAGCGGTCAGTAAATAATCGAGTCTGGAACAGACAATCCAGTCATTGACAACATGAGCATAGATCTACTCAATAAGGATACAATGACATGCGTCAACCAAGTCAGTGAGCCTGACCACCTGATCCCGTTAGTGGCCTCTTACGACAATCGCAGTCGCCTCTTATGGCAAACATGGGTTGCTGAAGACCTGTTCTAACTCAATTCTTCACAGGGATGGCTCAACATTAAAAGACCTGGACACATTGCAGTCATTACACAATATACATGTCCTCAACAGACAATCAGAATATGCCATATACTGGGTAGTTTAGCTCAGTGTGTTGTTGGACATTAACAGTCACTTGAATGATGTCATGTTTCAACAACAGTCCGAGATCTGAAGTCCTTGAACGAGATCTGAAGTCCTTGCAGTCCAGGACTTCTTGAGTCACTGAATTACTGAGCCAGATCACTCAATCCACATAGTTTCCCGTAACAAGCATAGGTTGCTGGGGACCTGTTTTCAGTGGAGTAAGAGGTTCTCGCATGCCATGAGCAGCCCCATCTAGGTCACCCAGCTTAGAAGGCTGTGGTTGGATCACCCAGCATAGAAGGCTGAGGTTGGATCACCCAGCTTGGAAGGCTGAGGTTGGATCACCCAGCATAGAAGGTTGTGGTTGGATCAACCAGCATAGAAGGCTGTGGCTGGATCCTGGTGACTACACAGTATAAGCACCTCCTTAAATTTGTCCAAAAGTGTTATCAGCTGGGATCGTCTCAGGTTCTCAAAGTACATGATTTCCTCGAGGTGGTATTGCCCATTAAAGTAGGGACACAACCTGAAACATAAGTGAAAAGAGGCATGTACATATATCTATATATACACCCATATATTCGGTATATATAACTGAAACATAAGTGAAAAGTGACATGTACATATATCTCTATATACACCCATATATCCGGTATATATAAGTGATATGGACATATATCTATATATACCCGCCTATATATTCGGTATATATAACTGAAACATAAGTGATAAGTGATATGGACATATATCAATACATACACCCATATATCCAGTATATATATAAATGATAAGTGATATGGACATATATCTATATATACACTCCTATATCCGGTATATATAAGTGATAAGTGATATGGACATATATCTATATATACACCCCTATATCCGGTATATATAAGTGATAAGTGATATGGACATATATCTATATATACACCCCTATATCCGGTATATATAAGTGATAAGTGATATGGACATATATCTATATATACACCCCTATATCAGGTATATATAAGTGATAAGTGATATGGACATATATCTATATATACACTCCTATATCCGGTATATATAAGTGATAAGTGATATGGACATATATCTATATATACACGCCTATATATTCGGTATATATAACTGAAACATAAGTGATAAGTGATATGGACATATATCAATACATACACCCATATATCCAGTATATATATAAATGATAAGTGATATGGACATATATCTATATATACACTCCTATATCCGGTATATATATAAGTGATAAGTGATATGGACATATATCTATATATACACCCCTATATCCTGTATATATAAGTGATAAGTGATATGGACATATATCTATATATACACCCCTATATCCGGTATATATAAGTGATAAGTGATATGGACATATATCTATATATACACCCCTATATCCGGTATATATAAGTGATATGGACATATATCTATATATACACCCCTATATCCGGTATATATAAGTGATAAGTGATATGGACATATATCTATATATACACCCCTATATCCGGTATATATAAGTGATATGGACATATATCTATATATACACCCCTATATCCAGTATATATAAGTGATAAGTGATATGGACATATATCTATATACACACCCCTATATCCGGTATATATAAGTGATAAGTGATATGGACATATATCTATATATACACCCCTATATCCGGTATATATAAGTGATAAGTGATATGGACATATATCTATATATACACCCCTATATCCGGTATATATAAGTGATATGGACATATATCTATATATACACTCCTATATCTGGTATATATAAGTGATAAGTGATATGGACATATATCAATATATACACTCCTATATTCGGTATATATAAGTGATAAGTGATATGGACATATATCTATATATACACCCCTATATCTGGTAAAATAAGTGACATGGACATATATCTATATATACACTCCTATATCCGGTATATATAAGTGATAAGTGATATGGACATATATCAATATATACACTCCTATATCAGGTATATATAAGTGATAAGTGATATGGACATATATCAATATATACACTCCTATATCCGGTATATATAAGTGATAAGTGATATGGACATATATCAATATATACACTCCTATATCCGGTATATATAAGTGATAAGTGATATGGACATATATCAATATATACACTCCTATATCTGGTATATATAAGTGATAAGTGATATGGACATATATCTATATATACACCCCTATATCTGGTAAAATAAGTGATATGGACATATATCTATATATACACTCCTATATCTGGTAAAATAAGTGATATGGACATATATCTATATATACACTCCTATATCAGGTATGTATAAGTGATATGGACATTTATCTATATATACACTCCTATATCCGGTATATATAAGTGATAAGTGATATGGACATATATATATATATATATACACCCCTATATCTGGTAAAATAAGTGATATGGACATATATCTATATATACACCCCTATATCTGGTAAAATAAGTGATATGGACATATATCTATATATACACTCCTATATCAGGTATATATAAGTGATATGGACATATATCTATATATACACCCCTATATCTGGTAAAATAAGTGATATGGACATATATCTACATGTATATATACACCCCTATATCAGGTATATATAAGTGATATGGACATATATCTATATATACACTCCTATATCTGGTATATATAAGTGATATGGACATATATCTATATATACACTCCTATATCTGGTATATATAAGTGATAAGTGATATGAATATATATCAATATATACACCCCTATATCCGGGGTTCAGCACACCAGTGACAATAGTAACAAGAAAACCAAGTGATTTTCCATCTGTAATGCAAATTTACGTGAAAGCTCAAAAAGATCCTGGTCCAAAGAAATTGTACTTTGTTTTAAATCTTTTTCATGAATCTTAGGAAAAAGATGTTACCTTTATGATTAGTGTGGTAAGTTCATTAATTACCTTGCAAAAACTTTAAGATCTTCAGTATTTTTGGCTGCGGGACATTTCAAGATGGCTGCCTTCACCTCCGGTGTGACGACCGAGAGGAGTGACTCCTGCATCCTCCACTGAGCCTTGGTCTCCTCGGTGATGACCGTGCCGTCACTCATCATCTCTCCCACAGATGGAGACTTGGACAGCTGACTCAGTTGTTGGGCCCCCGGGGCTGGACCAATGCTCTCATCGCTGTTCACTGAAACACCACAAGACATTGACAAACACTTGATAGGAGTGAAATTAGCACTGGCCTGCTGGACCAAGCAGGTTGGCTCAATGTTAGAGGAATCCTGAGGGCTTGAAGGGGTGTCCCTACATGTCCCCATGATAATGGGTTGTAGATATCCCAGGCAGAAGAGTGTTCGTCCCTTGAAAGAGTGAGACTATCTCAGCCAGCAAGAAGGCAGCTATTTTCCCTATTTTCAGCTATGTTATATTTGGGGTAACACTTTCTTAGTAAAGTACAGATTATAGTACTTTTTGGGTTGAGTCCCATCCAGAGTGAGGCACCTAATCACCAGCACACAGAGTCTGTGATCTAATGCACTCAGCCATCGAGGCTTCCACAGAATGAAAGTCCGACAACTGGTAGTCTAAATCATGTTCTTTTTTGTACCCCTCTGACAATGGCATTGTGTTCATTCCCTGTACTTGCTCAGCAAAATATATTTCTCTAAATTATCCAAGTTTATTCATATGACCATGGTGGTAAGGAATTACATGTATCTGACAAACACATGACACTGAATCTGTCTGCCTGACATGCTGTGACACATAGTGGCAATAAGTTGCCTCACTGACATATGGTGGCAATTGATTAATCAGTTGCCTCCCCGACACAGGTCACAAGTCAGGTGAAGTTTAACAACGCTGGTCACAGAGACCAGTTGACTCCTGAGAATGTCTAGAGCTCTGGCCTTGTCTCACACTAAAGCACATGTAGCACATATGGTGTCTCCTTTGGCAAGTGACTTTGTTCGAAATATGCCTCTTTTCACCCAGTAGTGAATGGGTACCCGGTAGGATGAGATGGTAATGTACACTGATCCCAGGACCAGTGGATTCGGCACAACGAGTGTTGACATATTTGATATCAAATGACACAAGGGTGAGTTTTTATCTAACATCCAACATCATTTTCAGTTTGTTGATAGTAATAAGCAGCATCTGAAGTGTAAAAGTACTGCTAACAACTTCTGTAGCAGAGCCATTAGTGATGTAATTTGATTGTTTGACATCACAATGATCTGCAAAGCATTGTGATGCAATTTTATTGCAGCAACATCTACAATGTAGATATCGCTTGATCTCACCCAAGCGATTTCTTCTTTGGGAGCCAGTTTTGGATAATAAAACATCTTATGACAAGCACGAGGACCCCAAATTCCCGTGGGGTTAACTCTGTGTGACCTGCCTACCTGAAGCGATGTCAGAAGGGCTGGGTGGGCGGTTGAGACCTGAATCGTCCAGGAAATAGGACAGCCAGGATTCCTCCTCCACCTTGGGCAGCTCACTGGCAGACTGAAGGTTGGCGTCTTGCGTCCAATCCCTCCGCGACACCGGCGGCACGAGGAACATGTACGTGTGCAGCTGCATCAGCAGGCGATGACGCAGCATCCACACAACCTTCTGCACTCTCTGGGCCTGGAAACAAGGCAATGCTTTAAACTGATTCAATATAAGACCATACTGTAAAGAGAACCTGATGTCAGGGTCTTTTCAGTTTGATAGAAAACTTTTATCGCATTGGCTGCATTTTCTAATACATGTACTGAGCTGTTTGAAAATGATGGAATTTTCCATGTTTACAGACAGTCAGTGTTACAAGAGGTGCTAAAGCTCACCTTTATTCATAATATAACAACTGAGAGATGTGCTTACCTTCCTTTTTGGTCAGGAAATAATAATATCCAACGTATATACAATGTTCTTTTCTTGTTTTTCCTTACGTTCTCATTACATTTTGTGAAGCCAGTTCTGGGATGCAAGGCCATACCACCGTTACTGGCACAGCATCACTACAAGGCCACTGTAAGACTCCCGGGCAATACCACTGTTACTGACACAGTATCACTACAAGGCCACTGTAAAACTCCCGGGCAATACCACTGTTACTGACACAGCATCATTACAAGGCCCCTGTAAGTCTCCCAGGCCATACCACTGTTACTGACACAGCATCACAACAAGGCCACTGTAAGACTCCCGGGCAATACCACTGTTACTGACACAGCATCATTACAAGGCCACTGTAAGACTCCCGGGCAATACCACTGTTACTGACACAGCATCATTACAAGGCCACTGTACAACTTCCGGGCAATACCACTGTTACTGACACAGCATCATTACAAGGCCACTGTACAACTTCCGGGCAATACCATTGTTACTGACACAGCATCATTACAAGGCCACTGTACAATTCTGGGCAATACCACTGTTACTGACACAGCATCACTACAAGACCACTGTAAGTCTCCCAGGCCATACCACTGTTACTGACACAGCATCACAACAAGTATTTGTCACAGAGTGACGAAATATCCCCCGCCTGTACACCATAGTATCAAATATGAAGACAATCCAGCGATTAGTTCTTGAGATATTGTGGCAACACCGTTTTCCAACTCCAAAAACAGATTTGCCTGCTGTGACCTTGAAAATGGGGTCAAGGTCACCAAATCTGACAGGTGTATGCGGTGTCTGTATATACACTATAGTTCCAAATATGAAGACAATCCAGTGTTTAGTTCTTGAGATATCGCGGCAACACCGTTTTCCAACTCCAAAAGCAGATTTGCCTGCTGTGACCTTGAAAATGGGATCCAGGTCACCAAAACCGACTGGTGTCTGCGGAGTCTGTATATACACCATAGTTCCAAATATGAAGACAATCCAGTGTTTAGTTCTTGAGATATCGCGGCAACACCGTTTTCCAACTCTAAAAGCAGATTTGTCTGCTGTGACCTTGAAAATGGGATCAAGGTCACCAAAACCGACTGGTGTCTGCGGAGTCTGTATATACACCATAGTTCCAAATATGAAGACAATCCAGTGTTTAGTTCTTGAGATATCGCGGCAAGAAACAGGTGGGACGTACGGACGGACGTACGGACGTACGGACGTACGTACAGACGGTCGTGAATACTATATCCCCCGCTTCGCGCTTTCGCGCGGCGGGGGATAACAAGGCCACTGTAAGACTCCCGGGCAATACCACTGTTACTGACACAGCATCATTACAAGGCCACTGTACAACTTCCGGGCAATACCACTGTTACTGACACAGCATCATTACAAGGCCACTGTACAACTTCCGGGCAATACCACTGTTACTGACACAGCATTACTACAAGGCCACTGTAAGACTCCCAGGCCATACCACTGTTACTGACACAGCATCACAACAAGGCCACTGTAAGACTCCCGGGCAATACCACTGTTACTGACACAGTATCACTACAAGGCCACTGTAAGACTCCCTGGCAATACCACTGTTACTGACACAGTATCACTACAAGGCCACTGTAAGACTCCCGGGCCATACCACTGTTACTGACACAGCATCATTACAAGGCCACTGTAAGACTCCCGGGCAATACCACTGTTACTGACACAGCATCATTACAAGGCCACTGTAAGACTCCCGGGCAATACCACTGTTACTGACACAGCATCATTACAAGGCCACTGTAAGACTCCCTGGCAATACCACTGTTACTGACACAGTATCACTACAAGGCCACTGTAAGACTCCCGGGCCATACCACTGTTACTGACACAGCATCATTACAAGGCCACTGTAAGACTCCCGGGCATTACCACTGTTACTGACACAGTATCACTACAAGGCCACTGTAAGACTCCCGGGCAATACCACTGTTACTGACACAGTATCACTACAAGGCCACTGTAAGACTCCCGGGCAATACCACTGTTACTGACAGTATCACTACAAGGCCACTGTAAGACTCCCGGGCAATACCACTGTTACTGACACAGCATCACTACAAGACCACTGTAAGACTCCCGGGCAATACCACTGTTACTGACACAGCATCACAACAAGGCCACTGTACAACTTCCGGGCAATACCACTGTTACTGACACAGCATCACAACAAGGCCACTGTAAGACTCCCGGGCAATACCACTGTTACTGACACAGCATCACAACAAGGCCACTGTAAGACTCCCGGGCAATACCACTGTTACTGACAGTATCACTACAAGGCCACTGTAAGACTCCCGGGCAATACCACTGTTACTGACACAGTATCACTACAAGACCACTGTAAGACTCCCGGGCAATACCACTGTTACTGACACAGCATCACTACAAGGCCACTGTAAGACTCCCGGGCAATACCACTGTTACTGACACAGCATCACTACAAGGCCACTGTACAACTTCCGGGCAATACCACTGTTACTGACACAGCATCACAACAAGGCCACTGTAAGACTCCCGGGCAATACCACTGTTACTGACACAGCATTACTACAAGAACACTGTACAACTTCAGGGCAATACCACTGTTACTGACACAGCATCACAACAAGACCACTGTAAGACCCCCGGGCAATACCACTGTTACTGACACAGCATCACTACAAGGCCACTGTACAACTTCTGGGCAATACCACTGTTACTGACACAGCATCACAACAAGGCCACTGTAAGACTCCCGGGCAATACCACTGTTACTGACACAGCATCACTACAAGGCCACTGTACAACTTCATGGCAATACCACTGTTACTGACACAGCATTACTACAAGAACACTGTACAACTTCAGGGCAATGCCACTGTTACTGACACAGCATCACTACAAGGCCACTGTTACTGACACAGCATCACAACAAGAACACTGTACAACTTCAGGGCAATACCACTGTTACTGACACAGCAACACTACAAGGCCACTGTACAACTTCAGGGCAATACCACTGTTACTGACACAGCATCACTACTAGACCACTGAAAGACTCCCAGGCAATACCACTGTTACTGACACAGCATCACTACAAGGCCACTGTAAGACTCCCGGGCAATACCACTGTTTCTGACACAGCATCACAATAAGGCCACTGTAAGACTCCCGGGCAATACCACTGTACCTACCTGATGGTGGGGTCTTTCCAGGAAGTCCCGGTTGACCCGGAGCTGGGTGGGCAGGGAGAATTCCGACATCTCCATGTGGAGAGAACAGGTGGGAAACTGCTCCACAAACACCTCTGCTAGAGACGAGTTGCTGTCAACATACAGATGGGATTATTACTGGGAGTGACTATCGAAGACACAGCAATACTGTTGCAAAATAGGTACCACTATACCAATAAATTGTGATGCCTTAAAAACTATTTTTACCATCTTACAAAGTCCTTGCATTATTTGATATGTAGACAAAGCCTTACATGTCAGTCAAGATCAGTTGCTACCCTGAAATCAAGCCAACGCTACTGAGAGCTTCTACTCACACATGGGTGTTGGCCTGGGGTGACAGGACGTACATGTTGGTCTCACACAGAGGGTAGATGATTGTCGCCTTGGCCCAGTACACAAGGTGACTTGCCAGTTGAAATACCTGCCACAACATGAACAAGCCTACACTGTATTGTCATGTCATTTACTGGATTGCCCTTCCCTTCATGAGAATCAATTTCATACCTTTGTTGACTTTTAAAACATCATTTTATTATTCACAAACATTATAATTCATACTTCTGCATCACCATGTCACACATAAGTCATACTTAATATGATCAATAGTCTGTTTTGAAATTGTGAAAAATGAGATACCATAAATGTCAACTGTGTTGCGAGCTGTGGTATTCAAACAGACACACCCAAAGTAATCATCTGCTTGGCTGGGTTTTCTCAACTAATGGGGTCAAGACTTAATGAGTGAATGCAATATTCATTTTCAGCAATATTCCAGCAATGTGACGAAGGGGGACACCAGAGATGGGCTCGACACATTGGCCCATGTGGGGAATCGGAACTGGGTCCACGACATGCCAAGCCAATGTTGACCCCTGGACCAACCCACCACCTCTCTTGCCTAGGAGTTGGCTTTATTGTGACTGGACGCCTTTTGACAGTATCATGAAGGGTATAAATACTGATCTGGGGAGCATCATGTTGTCCGCATCCTATGTTATCCAGGGAATTATGTCTCAATTCTATCAATGTAAATACTCTAGACCCATTTGTCACATCTTTGTTTCAGACGTGATACCACCACCCCCATCTCACTATCACCAACTTAGCACAGGAGTTTTCTTGCTTATGAGTGAGTATGGTTTTACACCACGTATAGCAATATACTAGCAAATTCACGGCAAGGGCCACCAGAAATGGGCTTCACACATTGTATCCATATAAGGATTCGAACCCAGGCCTTCAGCATGACAAACAAACACTTTAACCACTCAGCTAAACCACAACCCCTTTTGCTTAAGTGAGTTTTCTGTCATTTTGATTAGATGGCTATTCCTAGCATCATCCATTCCAATGGACTCAGAAGAAAGCTACAGTGGTGAATGGGTCCAGGACATTGATCACAACAGAATGAAGATCCAATACACTGTCTAGTCTTGGATGGTCAAAGCAAAACAATTCCAGACAGAGCTACCTGAGATAGACTGAGGTCGGCATCAAGAGCCAAGGTCTGCAGATTCTTCAAGGGACTGGCGATCTGGACCAGTCGGACCAGTGTGGGGGTACAATCCATGGGGAGGGAGTCCAGGAGCTCTTGCTCCTCCACCAGCAGCAGGAACCCATGGTACGGCCTGCGGACAACGTGAACAGTCTACAGTGTGTCTACAGTGTGTCTGCAGTGTGTCTACAGTGTGTCTACAGTCCATGGTACGGCCTGTGGACAACGTGAACAGTCTACAGTGTGTGTCTACAGTGTGTGTCTACAGCCCATGGTACGGCTGGCGGACAACGTGAACAGTCTACAGTGTGTGTCTACAGTGTGTGTCTACAGCCCATGGTACGGCCTGTGGACAACGTGAACAGTCTACAGTGTGTGTCTACAGTGTGTGTCTACAGTCCATGGTACGGCCTGCGGACAACGTGAACAGTCTACAGTGTGTCTACAGTGTGTCTACAGTGTGTCTACAGTCCATGGTACGGCCTGCGGACAACGTGAACAGTCTACAGTGTCTGTCTACAGTCCATGGTACGGCCTGCGGACAACGTGAACAGTCTACAGTGTCTGTCTACAGTCCATGGTACGGCCTGCGGACAACGTGAACAGTCTACAGTGTCTGTCTACAGTCCATGGTACGGCCTGCGGACAACGTGAACAGTCTACAGTGTCTGTCTACAGCCCATGGTACGGCCTGCGGACAACGTGAACAGTCTACAGTGTGTGTCAACAGTGTGTGTCTACAGTCCATGGTACAGCCTGTGGACAACGTGAACAGTCTACAGTGTGTCTACAGTGTGTCTTCAGTGTGTCTACAGTCCATGGTACGGCCTGCGGAAAACGTGAACAGTCTACAGTGTCTGTCTACAGTCCATGGTACGGCCTGCGGACAACGTGAACAGTCTACAGTGTGTGTCTACAGTGTGTGTCTACAGCCCATGGTACGGCCTGTGGACAACGTGAACAGTCTACAGTGTGTGTCTACAGTGTGTGTCTACAGTCCATGGTACGGCCTGCGGACAACGTGAACAGTCTACATTGTGTCTACAGTGTGTCTACAGTGTGTCTACAGTCCATGGTACGGCCTGCGGAAAACGTGAACAGTCTACAGTGTCTGTCTACAGTCCATAGTACGGCCTGCGGAAAACGTGAACAGTCTACAGTGTCTGTCTACAGTCCATGGTACGGCCTGCGGACAACGTGAACAGTCTACAGTGTCTGTCTACAGTCCATGGTACGGCCTGCGGACAACGTGAACAGTCTACAGTGTCTGTCTACAGTCCATGGTACGGCCTGCGGACAACGTGAACAGTCTACAGTGTCTGTCTACAGCCCATGGTACGGCCTGCGGACAACGTGAACAGTCTACAGTGTGTGTCTACAGTGTGTGTCTACAGTCCATGGTACAGCCTGTGGACAACGTGAACAGTCTACAGTGTCTGTCTACAGCCCATGGTACGGCCTGCGGACAACGTGAACAGTCTACAGTGTGTGTCTACAGTCCATGGTACGGCCTGTGGACAACGTGAACAGTCTACAGTGTGTCTACAGTGTGTCTACAGTGTGTCTACAGTCCATGGTACGGCCTGCGGAAAACGTGAACAGTCTACAGTGTCTGTCTACAGTCCATGGTACGGCCTGCGGAAAACGTGAACAGTCTACAGTGTCTGTCTACAGTCCATGGTACGGCCTGCGGACAACGTGAACAGTCTACAGTGTCTGTCTACAGTCCATGGTACGGCCTGCGGACAACGTGAACAGTCTACAGTGTGTCTACAGTCCATGGTACGGCCTGTGGACAACGTGAACAGTCTACAGTGTGTCTACAGTGTGTGTCTACAGAGTGTGTCTACAGTCCATGGTACAGCCTGTGGACAACGTGAACAGTCTACAGTGTGTCTACAGTGTGTCTACAGTGTGTCTACAGTCCATGGTACGGCCTGCGGAAAACGTGAACAGTCTACAGTGTCTGTCTACAGTTCATGGTACGGCCTGCGGACAACGTGAACAGTCTACAGTGTCTGTCTACAGCCCATGGTACGGCCTGCGGACAACGTGAACAGTCTACAGTGTCTGTCTACAGTCCATGGTACGGCCTGTGGACAACGTGAACAGTCTACAGTGTGTCTACAGCCCATGGTACGGCCTGTGGACAACGTGAACAGTCTACAGTGTGTCTACAGTGTGTGTCTACAGAGTTTGTCTACAGTGTGTCTACAGTCCATGGTACAGCCTGTGGACAATGTGAACAGTCTACAGAGTGTGTCTACAGTGTGTGTCTACAGAGTGTGTCTACAGTCCACGGTACAGCCTGTGGACAACGTGAACAGTCTACAGAGTGTGTCTACAGTGTGTGTCTACAGTGTGTGTCTACAGCCCATGGTACAGCCTGTGGACAACGTGAACAGTCTACAGTGTGTCTACAGTGTGTCTACAGTCCATGGTACGGCCTGTGGACAACGTGAACAGTCTACAGTGTGTCTACAGTGTGTCTACAGCCCATGGTACAGCCCGTGGACAACGTGAACAGTCTACAGTGTGTCTACAGTGTGTCTACAGTCCATGGTACGGCCTGTGGACAACGTGAACAGTCTACAGTGTGTCTACAGTGTGTCTACAGTCCATGGTACGGCCTGCGGACAACTTGAACAGTCTACATTCTACATTGTGTGTCTACAGAGTGTCTACAGTGTGTGTCTACAGAGTGTCTACAGTGTGTCTACAGTGTGTGTCTACATTGTGTGTCCACATTATGTGTCTACAGTGTGTCTACATTGTGTATCTACAGTGTGTGTCCACAGTGTGTGTCCACAGTGTGTCTACAGTGTGTCTACAGAGTGTCTACAGTGTGTGTCTACAGTGTCTCTACAGTGTGTGTCTACAGTGTGTGTCTACAGTGTGTGTCTACATTGTGTGTCTACAGAGTGTCTACAGTGTGTCTACAGTGTGTATCTACAGTGTGTGTCCACAGTGTGTCTACAGTGTGTGTCTACAGTGTGTATCTACAGTATGTGTCCACAGTGTGTGTCTACATTGTGTCTACAGTGTGTGTCTACATTGTGTGTCTACAGTGTGTATCTACAGTGTCTGTCCACATTGTGTGTCTACAGTGCGTATCTACAGTGTGTGTCCACATTGTGTGTCTACAGTGTGTGTCCACAGTGTGTCCACAGTGTGTCTACAGTGTGTGTCTACAGTGTGTATCTTCAGTGTGTGTCTACATTGTGTGTCTACAGTGTGTAGTGTGTCTACAATGTGTATCTACAGTGTGTCCACAGTGTGTCTACAGTGTGTGTCTACAGTGTGTCTACAGTGTGTATCTTCAGTGTGTGTCTACATTGTGTGGCTACAGTGTGTATCTACATTGTGTGTCTACAGTGTGTCTACAATGTGTGTCTACAGTGTGTGTCCACAGTGTGTCCACAGTGTGTGTCTACAGTGTGTCTACAGTGTGTGTCTACATTGTGTATCTACATTGTGTGTCAACATTGTGTGTCTACAGTGTGTATCTACAGTGTGTCTACATTGTGTGTCTACAGTGTGTATCTACAGTGTGTGTCCACATTGTGTGTCTACAGTGTGTGTCTACATTGTGTGTCCACATTGTGTGCCTACAGTGTGTCTACAGTGTGTATCTACAGTGTGTCTACAGTGTGTCTACATTGTGTGTCTAAAGTGTGTATCTACAGTGTGTCCACATTGTGTGTCTACAGTGTGTCTACATTGTGTGTCTACAGTGTGTCTACATTGTGTGTCTACAGTGTGTATCTACAGTGTGTGTCCACAGTGTGTGTCTACATTGTGTGTCCACATTGTGTGTCTACAGTGTGTATCTACAGTGTGTGTCCACATTGTGTGTCTACAGTGTGTGTCTACATTGTGTGTCCACAGTGTGTGTCTACAGTGTGTATCTACATTGTGTCCACAGTGTGTATCTACAGTGTGTCTACAGTGTGTATCTACATTGTGTGTCCACATTGTGTGTCTACAGTGTGTGTCTACATTGTATGTCTACAGTGTGTATCTACATTGTGTGTCTACAGTGTGTATCTACAGTGTGTGTCCACAGTGTGTCCACAGTGTGTGTCTACATTGTGTGTCTACATTGTGTGTCTACAGTGTGTCTACAGTGTGTGTCTACAGTGTGTGTCTACAGAGTGTCTACAGTGTGTGTCTACAGTGTGTATCTACAGTGTGTGTCCACAGTGTGTCCACAGTGTGTGTCTACAGTGTGTCTACAGTGTGTGTCTACAGTGTGTATCTTCAGTGTGTGTCTACATTGTGTGTCTACAGTGTGTAGTGTGTCTACAGTGTGTATCTACAGTGTGTCCACAGTGTGTCTACAGTGTGTCTACAGTGTGTATCTTCAGTGTGTGTCTACATTGTGTGTCTACAGTGTGTATCTACATTGTGTGTCCACATTGTGTGTCTACAGTGTGTATCTACAGTGTGTGTCCACATTGTGTGTCTACAGTGTGTGTCTACATTGTGTGCCTACAGTGTGTCTACAGTGTGTATCTACAGTGTGTCTACAGTGTGTCTACATTGTGTGTCTAAAGTGTGTATCTACAGTGTGTGTCCACATTGTGTGTCTACAGTGTGTCTACATTGTGTGTCTACAGTGTGTCGACATTGTGTGTCTACAGTGTGTATCTACAGTGTGTGTCCACATTGTGTGTCTACAGTGTGTGTCTACATTGTGTGTCCACAGTGTGTGTCTACAGTGTGTCCACAGTGTGTGTCTACAGTGTGTGTCTACAGTGTGTATCTACAGTGTGTGTCCACAGTGTGTCCACAGTGTGTGTCTACAGTGTGTGTCTACAGTGTGTATCTACAATGTGTGCAGACAGCGTGAACAGGCTGGTCACTAGGTATTCTACAGTGTACATCTCATGTCAGTTTGGTATGCACTATTTGGCCCCAAATTTTACAGCAAATGCAAGTGAAACATCGCAAATGGGAATAAAAATACTTCTAATTCATGTTCATATAGCTCTAACTAATGTTTATGGCTTGGTCGAGGTGACATGTATTTCACTAATATTGATATTTAATAAAAATTCAAATTACGAACAAAATATTTTAGCTTTTAGAGTTTTCAAAGCCACGACAGTCATCATTTGTTTGTAACTCCATGCATGGTTGGAGGTTGCCTAGCACAGTGGGGAGCTGTGACTGGTAGGAGTGATAGTATAGTGAGCTCCAAACAGGCTTTCACCGTGAGGAGCTGCAATCATCAAACCTACTGGGTAAATTATAAAGCCACAGGTTTCCAGAAATGAAATATGACACAATATAGAGGAAAACTGCATCTTGGCCATTATAATGGTCACTCTTTTCATTTCCTTTACTCGTCTGATCTACTACAACGCAGTCAGATCCTGATAGATGATCTGAAGAACCATACCTCAGTGAAGTTAGGCACTTTTGTATGACTTCAGGCTGGAAGACAAACACAGAATCATTAGTTTCATCCAAATCTATATATGTACTTGGCTGGCAAATTGGGAAAAAATGTAAATTTTACTTCAAGTCATTCAGCAATATTTATCTAAATGGTGTTATTGGCCCGTCTGATAAATCTACCATAACTTAGAATCTAAATTTTATTTCCAAGCATATCAAAGTATCCTATGTAGATCATGTATTCACTCTCGTCCACATATACACATAGGCGCACACTCATCCATTCATACACACACCCGCATTCAACTTGACATAGTCACACTAAGTTACATTCATAATATAATGATACACTCTGTGACTCTGTGATAATTTAACACCCTTCACTTTATGACACGCAACAACCACAACGATAACATGTGGCCTTGTTGCCAAACAAATTCTTCAGTTTCTTATCATCTTTGTTTTGTGACATCATATTTATGACGTCATAAATATTTCGTCATTTCAAAAATACTCACTTCGCCATCTTGTAATTGCTACGGTACACGAGTACACTTACATAACAATTACCCACCCTCCCTTCCCTCGCTCTTGTCGCACCTTATCACTGATTAGCGTCTTATATCAATAAATCCTGTTAGGTGTGGCAAGGTTTAGACGGACTGGACCGATTAGGTTTGGCTTGTATGCTCGGTTGCCTTCTTGTACAGTGGGAGCCCATTCCAGCCCTCATGCTTTCGTGGGTGGATTCCTATGCATATCTGGCCTTTTTGTATCGAAAAATTCTCCTCTGTTATTATTCTGTTCCATAGTACATAACAGGTCGGCCGATGAAATTGCATATTTATATACTTATCCTATCTCAGACTATGCATTTCTTCCTTTTTCTTTCGATCCTTATGTGGAAACATGTTTTTCCAGTTTCTAAAACAATTCACCCGAACACATCCCAACATCACTATGGTCACCACCCAAACAAATGCGTCACACACTGTAACCCCGTGCGTTGTGAGCTGACACCACCTGATCACCTGACTACCCCTGCCACATCATTCTCATCAACACACTGTGGAGACGTGTAGTGAATTTTACAGAGTACATTTTTTTAAAAACAATTGTGTGAGCTACCTCTTTAACTTTTACAACACTAACTTGAAAAGAGCATGGGTCCAGATAGAAAACGCCCAGCCTGTATAGATTGGAGACGAACTCACCCCATTGTGATAAACCCAATTCACTCACCCACTCATCGACATTAAGGATAACATCTTGACTCAGTGTACAGTTCACCATGTTGCTGCGCCCCTAAACACCTACGAGAGATGCCCGATTAGTTCATGCCCCAATAGCATAGCAAAGAGGTTTTTTTCAATTAAAGTTTATTTTTTGAAGTTTCAGAGACGATGTCTAAATAACAGTAAAACTACAATAATAGGGGCATGTGAAGGTCAAAGGTTACAGAAAGAAAAAAATATGGTACTCTCAATATATAACAAAATATGGCAAAACGGCTACATATAACATCCTCACACAGCTTTAGCTGTGCAGACATTTATGGTCGGATGGACTGACAAAGCATTAACTTTAAGTTTGGATGAGCTTGAAAGTACATATCTGTGAACGTACCTCAATGTGCATGACTTTATTAGCGACGGTAATGACGTGTATTTTGTGTGGCAGACAGAAGTTAATCTGGATCCAGCGGTTGATGTGCATCTGAACCACGCCAGTAGACACCAGGCTGTAGGAAGAAGTGGCAGGGACCGAGTGGGAGAATATAACAGCACCACATTACTTCACAACACAATCAGCATAATATGGTAGTAAATAATGAGTAATCTTTAGTTATGTTTCACTCAGCAAGAACCAAACGCAGCTGATATGGATTCATCCAGCCAGAGCCAAATGTTCTTGGTTCTTAGGGCTGGGATGATACACAAACTGTGTGATCCGATACGTATCACGATACTTGCATGTGCACTTTTCTGTGGTGCGTGAGCCATGTTTTTCATAGACAGGATGGCCAAATACCTGGCATACTAACGATTTACAGTTGGCAGTGTCAAGTATGGCGCAGTGGATGAAAATATTTATGTTTTCACTACTCATTTTCACTAGTATTTAGTGTTTGGTGTAACACTTATTGAAGAATACATTTAAGATAAGAATCAACACTTTTTACTTTGCGTGTGATTGTGATGGATACTTGAATCGATGCGTCAGTCCACCGCCCACTACTACTGGTTATACTGGTTCATTGCCAGGGGAGGGGAGGAGTCATTGTGCACTGCCCACTACTACTGGTTATACTGGTTCATTGCCAGGGGAGGGGAGGAGTCATTGTGCACCGCCCACTACTACTGGTTATACTGGTTCATTGCCAGGGGAGGGGAGGAGTCATTGTGCACTGCCCACTACTACTGGTTATACTGGTTCATTGCCAGGGGAGGGGAGGAGTCATTGTGCACTGCCCACTACTACTGGTTATACTGGTTCATTGCCAGGGGAGGGGAGGAGTCATTGTGCACCGCCCACTACTACTGGTTATACTGGTTCATTGCCAGGGGAGGGGAGGAGTCATTGTGCACTGCCCACTACTACTGGTTATACTGGTTCATTGCCAGGGGAGGGGAGGAGTCATTGTGCACTGCCCACTACTACTGGTTATACTGGTTCATTGCCAGGGGAGGGGAGGAGTCATTGTGCACCGCCCACTACTACTGGTTATACTGGTTCATTGCCAGGGGAGGGGAGGAGTCACTGTGCACTGCCCACTACTACTGGTTATACTGGTTCATTGCCAGGGGAGGGGAGGAGTCATTGTGCACTGCCCACTACTACTGGTTATACTGGTTCATTGCCAGGGGAGGGGAGGAGTCATTGTGCACCGCCCACTACTACTGGTTATACTGGTTCATTGCCAGGGGAGGGGAGGAGTCATTGTGCACCGCCCACTACTACTGGTTATACTGGTTCATTGCCAGGGGAGGGGAGGAGTCCCTGTGCACTGCCCTCTGATGTGTTATGATTTGTTGTAGCTGCATGGAGAGAAGAATGATCACTACAACTAAATATTTTCCTAGTGATTAAATAAAACTATTTTCCTGATGACTATTTCCAAGGAGATATGACATAACCAACCTGTCGAAGACTGACTTGAGTTCTCTGGCCAGCTGAGACCTCTGCAGTATGAGCTTAAAGGGAGGTTCCAGCGAATCTACACATGGAAACATACAGAGTGAGCACTTTTATGTTTGTTTGTTTGTTGTTTAATGCTGCACTCAGCAATATTCCAGCTATATGATGGCAGTCTGTAAATAATCGAGTCCGGACCAGACAATCCAGTGATTGACATCATGAGCATTGATCCACGCAATTGGGATACAATGACATGCATCAACCAAGTCAGCGAGCCTGACCACTCAATCCCAATAGTCGCCTCTTATGACAAGTATAGTTGCATTTAACAGCAAGCTTGGGTTGCTGAAGACCTATTCTACCCTGGATCTTTATTGGTCCATTTCTTAGTTACCATGGTTACACTATGAGTGATGGCAACACATTATCTGTGGCAATCTGTCTGTCAGTAATGACATCACAAGTGAGTGAGTGAGTTGGGTTTAACACCGCTTTTAACAGTATTCCAGTTATATCACAGCGTGTCAACTTGATGTGGGAAGAAAGCCTGAAGTGATGCAGGTCTCAGATGTTTACCACTCTGGTGAAACCCACAATCATAGGTATGGTGTTGACAAACCTAGAAACATAATGGGGGCGAACTGGGATCCGAACCCATAGGTTTCTGACGAGCCCAAGGGATGCAACTCAGCGAATTGTGGCGTCTAAGATGACTGGGCGACCCAATTACATCACAGATCACAGAAATAATTCTCAAGATGCTACAATTACATTTGAATATGGGTACAAGGATGATCTATATTGCATAATTCTGAACAGGATCTCAATGTACTTGTTGCCCATCAGCACCATCCCTTCCAGTTTGGGGGAGAACCGAGCTACCCAAGTAAGAGGATGTTGTTTTACACCTTAGTCAGCAATATTCCAGCCACATTATCTTGATAGCCCTTTAAATAGTTAAGGCTGACCAAGTTCAACCAGTGATTATAGCATGGACATATGGTTCATGACACACAACATATCGTAACAAGCCGTCTAACTTTATAGTCAGCTGTTACGACAAGAAAGTAAAATATCACAGCGACCTCTACAAAATCGAGTGCAGACAAGTAGTGGTTGATATTATTGGCAAGGTCCAGTGCTATCAAGATATGATAACAGACATTATCATACCTCCATGGCAGAATGATGAGATCTGATTGGTCTACGTATTCTTGATGAAATACTGTGTATCCAGCTTTGGAGGGTAATAAATTTCTCAGCTGGGGAAGAAATCTCTTATACCCCGCCATGAGCACTACATGCTGCATGTGCATTTGTGAGAGACAGAATAAATCCTTTATACAACACTTCAAAGCAAAAAGTCGCAGGCTTTTCTGAGCCAATAGCGCAAGCTAACCTCAGCTCAATCAAGCAGCTGATTTGGAATATATTTGAATTATTTTACGTCATATTAAAACATGTTGGTAAGATAAATTTATTGTAGCAGGATCACGGGGGGTACATGGGGTATTATGCGTCCCTCGGTAGGTTTTATACCACTTACCTCCGGCTCGTGGGACGCATAAAACCCAATGTACCCCTCGTGATCCTGCTACAACTTATAATAAACCAAATCACTGAGCCAGATCATTTGCCTCTCTGGACAAGCAGTCTGGGACCTATTCTAACCCCACAGTGATGTTATTTCTACAGATATCTCCATAATCTATGAATCCTGGTGAGTCTGATGTCATTCAGCATGTTCAGTGTCTAGGTCATCCGTACCTTCAGGCAAAGCAGCCACTTCATCATGGACGGCCATCATGATCTTAGCTTGAGTTGACAGATACTGGCACCGTCTCTCCTCATGACAGACAGTCACAGACAGCTGCTTGGCCAGGTCGTGGTAGCTGTCAACAGCAGATGTACAAGTCTTGGCCTGCAATGGTCATACAAATATACACAGACAGCTGCTTGGCCAGGTCGTGGTAGCTGTCAACAGCAGATGTACAAGTCTTGGCCTGCAATGGTCATACAAATATACTCAGACAGCTGCTTGGCCAGGTCGTGGTAGCTGTCAACAGCAGATGTACAAGTCTTGGCCTGCAATGGTCATACAAATATACACAGACAGCTGCTTGGCCAGGTCGTGGTAGCTGTCAACAGCAGATGTACAAGTCTTGGCCTGCAATGGTCATACAAATATACACAGACAGCTGCTTGGCCAGGTCGTGGTAGCTGTCAACAGCGGATGTACAAGTCTTGGCCTGCAATGGTCATACAAATATACACAGACAGCTGCTTGGCCAGGTCGTGGTAGCTGTCAACAGCGGATGTACAAGTCTTGGCCTGCAATGGTCATACAAATATACTCAGACAGCTGCTTGGCCAGGTCGTGGTAGCTGTCAACAGCGGATGTACAAGTCTTGGCCTGCAATGGTCATACAAATATACACAGACAGCTGCTTGGCCAGGTCGTGGTAGCTGTCAACAGCAGATGTACAAGTCTTGGCCTGCAATGGTCATACAAATATACACAGACAGCTGCTTGGCCAGGTCGTGGTAGGTGTCAACAGCAGATGTACAAGTCTTGGCCTGCAATGGTCATACAAATATACACAGACAGCTGCTTGGCCAGGTCGTGGTAGGTGTCAACAGCGGATGTACAAGTCTTGGCCCTCATTGGTCATACAAATATACAAAGACAGCTGCTTGGCCAGGTCGTGGTAGCTGTCAACAGCGGATGTATATGTTTGGGACTGCAATTGTCATACAAATTTACAGACAAGGATATTTTGTCACACCAATCCAATTGCAACATTTACTGAATGGCAGCCGACACCAAGGAGGACAGTTTTAAAGAAGGACTCGGCTGGGGAAGTTTGGCACGCCTAGAACGCTTGGTTGTCCATTATGTTATTACGAATGAGAAATGAAAGTATTTTGAAAGTATGGTTACAATTCTGACTTACATTAAGTGCAAACACGACATTGACGGTGATGATCATGTGACCAGCTGACGACGGCTTGCTGTCCACATGGTACATCTTCATCGGAAAGCCGATGAAGCGAATTTCATCGATCTTCACATTGAACTTCTTTTTGCAGAGGGAAGATTTCACAGCTAACAAATTTGTCAGAATCTTGTCTGAAAACCTTAGAAGAGAAAATATTAGTAAGAGTGATTAAGGTTGTAACGCTGCTTTGAACATGTTTAACAGTATTTCACATTATATCACTGCGTGTCATGTCATGTGAGGGAACACCAAACTGATGTTGGACATAGAAGGAGACGGGTATGGTGCTGATATACCTAGAAACATATTCGAGTGATTTGAACCCTCGATCATAGGTTTCTGGCATGCCCAAGGGAAGTAACTCTGCATACCAAACTGTGGCACCTTAGGCCTGTTACACGACGGGGCCACCATGTAAAAGATGTTGTAATACTTTGTGATGTCATCAATTATCAAGAAGGAACCTTGTGCATGATAACTCGTATATGATTTGCCAGATTCACTATGGATATTTATTTCATCAAACAAATGAGAGAGAGCTACTTACCAGTTCAAGTTTGCGTTCCTTCCTGAAGGGATCACAGTACTCCTGTAACACAGCATCAGATTTATTTCTGTTAATGATTCCACGTGACCCAGTGGAAAAGTCTAGCCCAGTCCATTATCAAGGGAGGGGCGGAGGGGATATACATCATTCAACCAGCTTCCTTGCACCATTGTGAAATTAGGTCTTTGTGCATTTTTTGGTCCGGACAAACAACAGCATATGGGTTTATGAATCAACAGTATGTTGGTAAACAAAAAATAAACCCATATCGGCCCTGCCTTGACGGAGCGCTGCTGAGCAAAACCGAGAATGCTCAACAGTATGTGTGTCAAGCTGATAGTGCCCAAGAAAGGTATTCAAATGGCGCCACATAGCAGCCGGGCAGACTTCTTTGAAGAGCAACAATGCAGCAAAGCCTTAAAAGGTCGCCACCCCTACAGAATGGCCTTCTAGTTCTAAACCAGCTGGAGTGGCCACGTTCTTCGCCGTGTAAAACAGCATCAGATTTAATCATGATAATGATTCCCCGTGCAAGGAAGAATCAATGTGAAACTGGCACTAACCATTTGTCCCCCTTAAATTTATTATTGTTAACATGGCTCAGGTCATCTCCCGAGGGAAGGGAGTTAACTGATGATAAAAGTCCAGTTTCCATGCTTGCTGAACGAGGTTGGAATTACATTTTGGCTGGATGAATGAGTCTATGCATAGTCCAATCAAAATTGTTTAACGAAAGTGACATCCACTTTGTGACTGCCGTGCAGATTTCTGCCGATTGCAGGATTTGCAAAGCTAAGATTCGGGTGCTACGTTTACAGTCTGAACTTTTACAGTCAATTAAGTCCCTTGCCTCGGGAAGATGGGCTCAGATATCCACAGGACAAGTAGAGTTTACTCAAAGTTGCATGATCTTTTTCATGTACTTTATCTATTCTTTCAAATGATTATAAGCTTAGAGATGACATTTTGATTAGCTGACACTCTAAAATGTCAAAAACATATAAAAGTGAAAAGAAACCTCACAAGCCAATTCCCAATTCTACGCTTTTGAAATCCCTTTAGTGCCCATTAAATCAAGCTAGGGATGAATAGATAATGTTGTACCTGGACATCAGGGCAATGGTACCTTAAAACCCAGAGGGATTGTATCATAAGGAACCATCCAGGGACAATGATGATATCTCATCATGAACAGGAAATACTATTTTGCTATTGAAAACCTTGAGTTGGGGGCTTAATTTGGAGGGCTTTATCTTGTTGCACTACGGTCAGCTAATACATATACATGTGCACTCACTTGCTCCGATGATGATCCTCAGCAACTTTGGATCGTGTAGTATAAGGATTTCGACCATACACTGAAAGATAATCATGTTCTACGTATAACCTGTAAGAAGGAAATATAAACGCTGTGAAAGTTAAAACAAATGTACATTTGTGTCTTGGAAAATTATTACCAATTCAGGTTACACTGTTGTAAATGTTACATAAAATATGACGAGTACTGTATTCGCAATAATAAGCACACAGGAAACTTAGAAAATTGACAAATGGGGGTGCTTATTAAACCGGTTAAAACCTTAAACAAACAAACTATAATTTTAGACTCTGAGCAGTAGTAAGCAAACTTAATTCAAGGATTAATGAAACCAAAACATTTTCAATAATAATTACTAGGCAATTATATCATGCCTACTTCTGTAAACAAAATCTGTAATATGCACAACAAAATACTGACTGTCATGTTAATCTTTAATTATAGTCATATAACTTTTCGATCATAGCACATGTTGGTATGCTAATAAATATTACTTACAAACTGGTTTCATACAGGAGCAAGCACTTAATAGAGTGAATATGGTAATCAGAATCAGGGGGTGGTATCCTATCCTGCACAATGACTTGAACACCCTGTCTTGCTTGTAGCGGCATACTATATGATTACCGCATTACCAACCTGCTCCAAATGAAGTACATTGAATAGGTAGTTTTTATTAAGCATCAACCCTTCGTAACTTTTGGTGCATCAAAGACACTATAATTCTGGTATGAGGTATGTAGGCCCATAAAATATTACATATCCCCGTCATGGGTTTTCAGACTAATGAATATTAAAAAATTGCAAAAAATAAGAGACAAGTGGCATCTTGAATCAGCTGAAAAAAGGCAAACAATTGCTAAAAAATCTACGGGGAGTAATGATATAACTGACTATGTAAGTAGTCTTAAAATTACAGATGGAGGAAAATTTCATGCAGCCCGACTATAAAGTTACCAGCCATGGGCAGGCAGGCTGGCAGTTATTTTGGACACTGTCTCACTCACTTGTAAAAGACAACATTATCTTAAAAAATAAGCCATCATCTGAGTATTTACGATGTCTGTGTGACACCATATACCCCTCGTTAAAGCGATGAACATGGCCGTCCAAAAACAAATAATGTACAAAAACATGATCTGATGATACGGTAACCAGCCTCAGATAATAGTAAACATTATTTTCACCTGGCAAAAAAAGTACTATCACAAGTGATATTTTTGGCCAAAATGATTTTTGAAGTTTGAACAAATAATAACCCACATGATGTTCTTTATCTGGCATTTTGTAAACAGAAATAAACATGATAAACGTGGACATCTTGGAAAGTTATACTTATATTCATGGATCATCACACTGTTTTAAATATTGTTGTATGATGAAATTCTGTACATCAATAAATCAATAGCCAAACAGTAGTTAAGTTCAAACTCGAAAATAATATCACAAATACCTACAAAGTTAGCCAGCCGTTCAATAAGGGCGTAGGCCTAACTGCATCAGCAGAAATGATTAGGTCTATTTTGTTTCGGAAATGCATCAATAACAAATGTTAATATTTTGCTACATATTCAGAAAATAGACATTTCATTTACATCTCAATAAGTTAACTCCGAAGTAACCTTTCCTTCAAATGTTATTTAGCCAAATCTTTTGAGAGCTGACGCATAATATATAATCATAACACAATAGCAATCGTGATCGAAAAGCGGACGAAGAGGATCGCTGAGCCCACCTCTTGATACGGTGTACCGGTTGTCTTCGGATTCGTAAGGGTAACGGAATAATAAACGATCCCCTCGGGTTCCCGATGTCACAACAAAAATACCGAGTGGGTCCATGTCTTCCATCATGATGAACTAACGGTTAACTATCACATCTGACACTGACATTTAGAAGAGATGCTCAGCGGATATGTAGTCGTCGTCCTGTTGATTACCTCCCTTGTTCGTGTGTAACCTCCCTTTGGTTCGTCTGCTAAAGAAGGTGACGATTAGTTCGAAAGCGCTGAAATTCAATCGCAGATGTCGGGTGAATGTCTAGCAATGCATAATTCAATTGCAGTCCGCAGTTTGTCATATTTTTCAATAGTCTGATTAAAAATTGGGATATAGGCCAAATAACCTTACTGAAAAGAGTAAAAAGCGAGTATAAGTCTCGCACCTATTTTGATGTTGCACAACAGATGCTTCGCCCATTGTGTTCTATGAAGTATTAATTTACGGAGTCACAAATAGCAGAGCTCCAGATAAGCTTTTGGTGTTGTGGGTATTTTACCCATGCATTTAAAAATCATTGGGTATCAGTAATTCTATCTGGGTATTCAAATTTCTGTTACCCACTAGTTTTTACACATGTGGGTAGCCTATTTAAGTTAAATATTTAAAAACACTATTCATTTAGGCCCTGCAAACTGGTTTCGTGTGGGTTCGAGAGCTTTATAGGACCGAAAGTATCATGATACTTCCACAAGAAAGTGTGATGGCAAATGATCATGATGTAACTGTCATCGTGGAGTTTGGCAAGGTTGACGGAATGCCCGTTTATAATTTCAAAATAAGTTGCTGATTTGCTAATCGAATACGCAGGGTTACTTCACAATATTTTGATGATACGCACAAATTTTATTTTTGTAGTGTATGTGTAATGTTCGTTGCGTATTTGATACGCTTGGATTTTATTTTACTGCATATTTCTGCATTTCTGATGCGTATTTTACGCAGATACGCAGCTTATATGGAGCTCTGAAATAGTGTTTTTCTTTTAGATCACCATGGCAACTCAATTACCCTATATAACGCAGGGTCACCAGAAACACGACGTCCATTGGATGGTGATATCTCCAGGCCACAGTGGGGTTTTGTGTGTAGCTTGTTTGGTGGAGCAGGTCGAGAATGATGAAGCCCCACTTGTACAGAGGAAAGTCGTCCTGTCGTTGTTGGCCAGTCTTCTTGGAGACAGTAAAGAAGTAGCAGCCAAGTTTGAAGAAAACCTGTTACTTTGTAGACACATGATTGACATTGTGACAGGTAGCCCCCTAACCTATGATTAAATTAATTGTGATAATGACTCGCCAAGCGAGACAAATCAATCAGACACCATCTTGTTACCGTCATCTGATTTCAAGCTTCTCCATGGCAGTAAAGTTAAAAATAGATGCACAACATGATCATTCACATGACATTACAGACAGGATGTTTGTAAACAGCAGCCAAAAATCACCGGTGCAATATCTTACCTGGTGTAGCTTAATTCTTAACATAACTTCAGCGGCAAGTGGCGAACACTTTGATGTCTTCAGTGGGCTTTGAAGCGCCTACCTTGATTACGTCATAAAGCGCATGATTACATATTGTTTAGGGGCTTGAAAAGAGGTAAGGCTAAAAAACATGTAATGTGGGGATATATTACACAGCTTTGGATAGGCATCATCAGAAATGTCATTCTGTTCAAATATACACTTATCATATTGTGTGAGTCATGTTTGTGTATCATGGGAAGATAAAAATATCTCCATCATCAGAGTCATCGTCATTTATTAATATTTGAGAGAAAATGTTTTCTTTTATTTTTGACAGGCAGTTTTTTCAAACATGACCAGCATGTGGATCCAGCAATTAAAGGTAATGGCTCTTATATGTGTTCTATGTTAATGTGATCTATGCCGTCAATTAGGTTTGGACAAATAACACAGCTTTAACCTTAAGTAAACTCTGGTGGTTGAATCAGAGCAGTACTTACTTTGAAGATAGCTGACTTAGGGTTTTCAGCTTCTTTGGCATTTTAATGCGAAGTTTCGGTACAGATGCAAGTGAAGAATAACCATGTTAGCATCTGTACTACAACACCGCATACACATGTTGAAATCCATAAGTCAACCCTGACTTCACAGATACTACAGCTGAATGCCACTAAATGATGCAGTGTGTTTCTAATTGTTTCATTGGCATTCTAGAACTTGGTGAGTAAGTAAGAAAACATACAACTTTATGGATAATTACTTCTGGTTTATCGTATATAGCGATGTTTCGATGTAGACTCTTACACCACTATCAAGCTTGTAATAGATTTTGTCTGTTTTCTTAGGATATATTTCATGTCTGACTTGTTAAGGCCACACTTTTTAAATTTTGTTTCATGGATGTATTCTAGCTTTTCCACACAAGGTCGGTCAACATAAAAGTTAAAAATAAATGTCAATTATTTGTTTATAAGGTCGTTCTGCTGTGGAGTTAAAACGGTAGTACACATGGAATTTATATATAATATTTTATAATGTATAAGAAGGTCGTTCTGCTGTGGAGTTAAAACGGTAGTACACATGGAATTTATATATAATATTTTATAATGTATAAGAAGGTCGTTCTGCTGTGGAGTTAAAACGGTAGTACACATGGAATTTATATATAACATTTTATAATGTATAAGAAGGTCGTTCTGCTGTGGAGTTAAAACGGTAGTACACATGGAATTTATATATAACATTTTATAATGTATAAGAAGGTCGTTCTGCTGTGGAGTTAAAACGGTAGTACACATAGAATTGATATATAACATTTTATAATGTATAAGAAGGTCGTTCTGCTGTGGAGTTAAAACGGTAGTACACATGGAATTTATATATAACATTTTATAATGTATAAGAAGGTCGTTCTGCTGTGGGGTTAAAACTGTAGTACACATGGAATTTATATATAACATTTTATAATGTATAAGAAGGTCTCTATTACTACCTGGAGACATAATAAAAAAAATTATTTTTATTTTTATTTTTTTCTTAGACTGGCCTCTTTCCAGTAGGGTGGCGGGATAATGAAACAAAAAATATAAAATGTATGGCCTTATTTAAAATGACTACATTGCTAAGTCAGCATGTATCATATGTATGGGACTAGTGACAATGTCGGATCCTGTTAAAGAGAGCATGAGATAGGAAAACAAACATGTTCTGGCAATATTGTTTATAAAACATCATCATATGTTATGGGAATGATCTAAGAGTTTAGATTTTTTCAAGAATTAGGGGAATATCTACTTTGTTTACCTTCTCTCATGTCTGTGATAGATGAGTGGTAACAATGTTATTTGTCACACGAAAAACCTGGTTTCAATCCACAACTTTCATATGATTTGTGAAGCCCACTGTCAAGTACTGACCACCACAGTGAAATTCCTGGAACATTGCTAAAAGTGGCAAAAAATCATGCTTCTTGTTGATGCATGTGTGCCTTCTTGCTGATGCATGTGTGCCTGCTTGTTGATGCATGTGTGCCTGCTTGTTGATGCATGTGTGCTTGCTTGTTGATGCATGTGTGCCTGCTTGTTGATGCATGTGTGCCTGCTCGTTGATGCATGTGTGCCTGCACGTTGATGCATGTGTGCCTGCACGTTGATGCATGTGTGCCTGCTTGTGATGCATGTGTGCCTGCTTGTGATGCATGTGTGCCTGCTTGTTGATGCATGTGTGCCTGCTTGCTGATGCATGTGTGCCTGCTTGTTGATGCATGTGTGCCTGCTTGTTGATGCATGTGTGCCTGCTTGTTGATGCATGTGTGCCTGCTTGCTGATGCATGTGTGCCTGCTTGTTGATGCATGTGTGCCTGCTTGCTGATGCATGTGTGCCTGCTCGTTGATGCATGTGTGTCTGCTTGTTGATGCATGTGTGCCTGCTTTTTGATGCATGTGTGCCTGCTTTTTGATGCATGTGTGCCTGCTTGTGATGCATGTGTGCCTGCTTGTTGATGCATGTGTGCCTGCTTGCTGATGCATGTGTGCCTGCTTGTTGATGGATGTGTGCCTGCTTGTTGATGCATGTGTGCCTGCTTGCTGATGCATGTGTGCCTGCTTGCTGATGCATGTGTGCCTGCTTGCTGATGCATGTGTGCCTGCTTGCTGATGCATGTGTGCCTGCTTGCTGATGCATGTGTGCCTGCTTGCTGATGCATGTGTGCCTGCTTGCTGATGCATGTGTGCCTGCTTGTTGATGCATGTGTGCCTGCTTGCTGATGCATGTGTGCCTGCTTGTTGATGCATGTGTGCCTGCTTGTTGATGGATGTGTGCCTGCTTGTTGATGGATGTGTGCCTGCTTGTGATGCATGTGTGCCTGCTTGTTGATGCATGTGTGCCTGCTTGTTGATGCATGTGTGCCTGCTTGCTGATGCATGTGTGCCTGCTTGTTGATGCATGTGTGCCTGCTTGTTGATGCATGTGTGCCTGCTTGTTGATGGATGTGTGCCTGCTTGTTGATGCATGTGTGCCTGCTTGTTGATGGATGTGTGCCTGCTTGTTGATGCATGTGTGCCTGCTTGTTGATGCATGTGTGCCTGCTTGTTGATGCATGTGTGCCTGCTTGCTGATGCATGTGTGCCTGCTCGTTGATGCATGTGTGTCTGCTTGTTGATGCATGTGTGCCTGCTTGTTGATGCATGTGTGCCTGCTTGTTGATGGATGTGTGCCTGCTCGTTGATGCATGTGTGCCTGCTCGTTGATGCATGTGTGCCTGCTTGTTGATGCATGTGTGCCTGCTCGTTGATGGATGTGTGCCTGCGCGTTGATGCATGTGTGCCTGCTCGTTTGATGCATGTGTGCCTGCTTGTTGATGCATGTGTGCCTGCTTGTTGATGCATGTGTGCCTGCTTGTTGATGGATGTGTGCCTGCTTGTTGATGGATGTGTGCCTGCTTGTTGATGCATGTGTGCCTGCTTGCTGATGCATGTGTGCCTGCTCGTTGATGCATGTGTGTCTGCTTGTTGATGCATGTGTGCCTGCTTGTTGATGCATGTGTGCCTGCTTGTTGATGGATGTGTGCCTGCTCGTTGATGCATGTGTGCCTGCTCGTTGATGCATGTGTGCCTGCTTGTTGATGCATGTGTGCCTGCTCGTTGATGGATGTGTGCCTGCCCGTTGATGCATGTGTGCCTGCTCGTTTGATGCATGTGTGCCTGCTTGTTGATGCATGTGTGCCTGCTTGTTGATGCATGTGTGCCTGCTTGTTGATGCATGTGTGCCTGCTGGTTGATGCATGTGTGCCTGCTTGCTGATGCATGTGTGCCTGCTTGTTGATGCATGTGTGCCTGCTTGTTGATGCATGTGTGCCTGCTTGTTGATGCATGTGTGCCTGCTTGCTGATGCATGTGTGCCTGCTCGTTGATGCATGTGTGTCTGCTTGTTGATGCATGTGTGCCTGCTTGTTGATGCATGTGTGCCTGCTTGTTGATGGATGTGTGCCTGCTCGTTGATGCATGTGTGCCTGCTTGTTGATGCATATGTGCCTGCTTGTTGATGGATGGCTTACTTGTTTGCTGCCATTCTCCATCTCTCACTCACTCACCCTGTACTATTGGAATGAACTTGTCAAAAAAAGAGATTTTCTTACTTCAGATTTTAAGAAAATGAGTTCCTTGTGTAATATGTGTACATGAGTACTAGGAATGTGTCTTGTAGTGTGTCAGCTGATACTGGAGACTGCTGAATCAGAGGATTTGGTCTGGTACGCCATAGACAAGTTCCACTTCCAGGTGGGTTTCAGCAGATACATGTGTAATACTGGACAGGTGCTATGTCATAATGTATTGTTACCTACATCAATCCCTGTTGGAGATTAAAATATAGTCTACAGTAAACTACGTTTGATACCTGCACATCCAGTTGAGCTCAGGTCCAAAAAGATTTGTAGGATATGTTGAGTGTACCTGTTTATCTATTGCCAGTGGTGCAAGTTAAGCATGATGGCCAAGGACCCTTGTCGTAACCCTAATGTTTAAAGTTAAAATTTAGGGGTCCCTAGACAGAGAAAGTATAGCAGAAAACCTCCAGGTACCCAAGAACCCCCTTAATTTTGAACACTGAGAAGGAGAGATGTCTGTTGATGTTTAACTGCTATGATATGTCGGTAGTTACAAGACAGCCAGGACCTGGTGTCTGTCTCACCCTACTTGCTGCTGCTTGGGAGGCTGCTGGTTATTTCTCCTGCATATGGATTTCACCTTCTCCACAAACACGGTAAACTTCTCAATCAGTGTCACACTTATTGCACTAACAAACACGGTAAACTTCTCAATCAGTGTCACACTTATTGCACTAACAAACACGGTAAACTTCTCGATCAGTGTCACACTTATTGCACTAACAAACACGGTAAACTTCTCGATCAGTGTCACACTTATTGCACTAACAAACACGGTAAACTTCTCGATCAGTGTCACACTTATTGCACTAACAAACACGGTAAACTTCTCGATCAGTGTCACACTTATTGCACTAACAAACACGGTAAACTTCTCGATCAGTGTCACACTTATTGCACTAACAAACACGGTAAACTTCTCGATCAGTGTCACACTTATTGCACTAACAAACACGGTAAACTTCTCGATCAGTGTCACACTTATTGCACTAACAAACACGGTAAACTTCTCGATCAGTGTCACACTTATTGCACTAACAAACACGGTAAACTTCTCAATCATTGTCACACTTATTGCACTAACAAACACGGAAACTTCTCGATCAGTGTCACACTTATTGCACTAACAAACACGGTAAACTTCTCGATCAGTGTCACACTTATTGCACTAACAAACACGGTAAACTTCTCAATCAGTGTCACACTTATTGCACTAACAAACACGGTAAACTTCTCAATCAGTGTCACACTTATTGCACTAACAAACACGGTAAACTTCTCAATCAGTGTCACACTTATTGCACTAACAAACACGGTAAACTTCTCAATCAGTGTCACACTTATTGCACTAACAAACACGGTAAACTTCTCAATCAGTGTCACACTTATTGCACTAACAAACACGGTAAACTTCTCAATCAGTGTCACACTTATTGCACTAACAAACACGGTAAACTTCTCAATCAGTGTCACACTTATTGCACTAACAAACACGGTAAACTTCTCAATCAGTGTCACACTTATTGCACTAACAAACACGGTAAACTTCTCGATCAGTGTCACACTTATTGCACTAACAAACACGGTAAACTTCTCGATCAGTGTCACACTTATTGCACTAACAAACAAGGTAAACTTCTCAATCAGTGTCACACTTATTGCACTAACAAACACGGTAAACTTCTCAATCAGTGTCACACTTATTGCACTAACAAACACGGTAAACTTCTCGATCAGTGTCACACTTATTGCACTAACAAACACGGTAAACTTCTCAATCAGTGTCACACTTATTGCACTAACAAACACGGTAAACTTCTCGATCAGTGTCACACTTATTGCACTAACAAACACGGTAAACTTCTCAATCATTGTCACACTTATTGCACTAACAAACACGGTAAACTTCTCGATCAGTGTCACACTTATTGCACTAACAAACACGGTAAACTTCTCGATCAGTGTCACACTTATTGCACTAACAAACACGGTAAACTTCTCGATCAGTGTCACACTTATTGCACTAACAAACACGGTAATTTTCTCAATCAGTGTCACACTTATTGCACTAACAAACACGGTAAACTTCTCAATCAGTGTCACACTTATTGCACTAACAAACACGGTAAACTTCTCGATCAGTGTCACACTTATTGCACTAACAAACAAGGTAAACTTCTCGATCAGTGTCACACTTATTGCACTAACAAACACGGTAAACTTCTCGATCAGTGTCACACTTATTGCACTAACAAACACGGTAAACTTCTCAATCAGTGTCACACTTATTGCACTAACAAACACGGTAAACTTCTCAATCAGTGTCACACTTATTGCACTAACAAACACGGTAAACTTCTCGATCAGTGTCACACTTATTGCACTAACAAACACGGTAAACTTCTCGATCAGTGTCACACTTATTGCACTAACAAACACGGTAAACTTCTCGATCAGTGTCACACTTATTGCACTAACAACTTATGTTTGCATAAAAACCCTGTTGTAAATAGTTGTTCCAATCCAAGCTCTGTATTTGTCATACTTCAAGAACTTAAGTTGTGAATGATGTTATCAAAGGCCATTGGTGATAGAAAGAATTTTACAACTGTGTATGGGTTTTGTTTCAGAATCTCTTCTTCTCCTTGTACTAAGGTTACTGAGTCAAACGTCAGATGAAAGCTGTTTGTGTTCTGTAATCTACATCTTCATCCATCTGTTGGACGACTCTCTGCAATCAGACGTGTCCCTTGATGTGAGGTGTGGTGTCAATCAGGTTCTGGTGTCTCTCCTCACTTGTGCTGAATCTCTGGACCTGAGAGTCAATCTACTGGGTGAGTTAGGTCCACAGTCAGGTATGTCCCTTGATGTGAGGTGTGGTGTCAATCAGGTTCTGGTGTCTCTCCTCACTTGTGCTGAATCTCTGGACCTGAGAGTCAATCTACTGGGTGAGTTAGGTCCACAGTCAGGTATGTCCCTTGATGTGAGGTGTGGTGTCAATCAGGTGCTGGTGTCGCTCCTCACTTGTGCTGAATCTCTGGACCTGAGAGTAAATCTACTGGGTGAGTTAGGTCCACAGTCAGGTATGTCCCTTGATGTGAGGTGTTGTGTCAATCAGGTTCTGGTGTCTCTCCTCACTTGTGCTGAATCTCTGGACCTGAGAGTCAATCTACTGGGTGAGTTAGGTCCACAGTCAGGTATGTCCCTTGATGTGAGGTGTTGTGTCAATCAGGTTCTGGTGTCTCTCCTCACTTGTTCTGAATCTTTGGACCTGAGAGTAAATCTACTGGGTGAGTTAGGTCCACAGTCAGGTATGTCCCTTGATGTGAGGTGTTGTGTCAATCAGGTTCTGGTGTCTCTCCTCACTTGTTCTGAATCTTTGGACCTGAGAGTCAATCTACTGGGTGAGTTAGGTCCACAGTCAGGTATGTCCCTTGATGTGAGGTGTTGTGTCAATCAGGTTCTGGTGTCTCTCCTCACTTGTGCTGAATCTTTGGACCTGAGAGTCAATCTACTGGGTGAGTTAGGTCCACAGTCAGGTATGTCCCTTGATGTGAGATGTTGTGTCAATCAGGTTCTGGTGTCTCTCCTCACTTGTTCTGAATCTTTGGACCTGAGAGGCAATCTACTGGGTGAGTTAGGTCCACAGTCAGGTATGTCCCTTGATGTGAGGTGTTGTGTCAATCAGGTTCTGGTGTCTCTCCTCACTTGTTCTGAATCTTTGGACCTGAGAGTAAATCTACTGGGTGAGTTAGGTCCACAGTCAGGTATGTCCCTTGATGTGAGGTGTTGTGTCAATCAGGTTCTGGTGTCTCTCCTCACTTGTGCTGAATCTTTGGACCTGAGAGTCAATCTACTGGGTGAGTTAGGTCCACAGTCAGGTATGTCCCTTGATGTGAGGTGTTGTGTCAATCAGGTTCTGGTGTCTCTCCTCACTTGTTCTGAATCTTTGGACCTGAGAGTAAATCTACTGGGTGAGTTAGGTCCACAGTCAGGTATGTCCCTTGATGTGAGATGTTGTGTCAATCAGGTTCTGGTGTCTCTCCTCACTTGTGCTGAATCTTTGGACCTGAGAGGCAATCTACTGGGTGAGTTAGGTCCACAGTCAGGTATGTCCCTTGATGTGAGATGTTGTGTCAATCAGGTTCTGGTGTCTCTCCTCACTTGTTCTGAATCTCTGGACCTGAGAGTCAGTCTACTGGGTGAGTTATGCCCACAGTTGCTAATGTATCGCTATAATATCTTGTTATTATGCACAACTGAAAATGCAACAAAATTAACATCTATAGAAAAGACTGTTAAAGGCATCTATAGGACTAATAGAAATAACAAAATGTTTTGAAAAATATTCATATATATCATTCAGGATCTTTGGTAGCCACCTCAATGAGTTTCTACAGCTTGATCTCCCAATCTCTGCTTCAGCGCTTCTCAAAAACATCCTGAAGCACACAGATGAAAACACTGTGAAGCTGTTGATGGCACCCAACTCTGACAACAAGTATTTGGTGATGGGACTCAAGAAGATGTTGATCACCAAGCAGGAGGTGCTGCAGACGGCCTCTGCTCACTGTGTGACGGCGTTGATGTCCTGCTCCAAGGATGAAAGTACAGTCACTCAGATCCTGGAGAGTGACCTAGCTGGTGAGTGAGTGAATGAGTTGGTGATACTCTAGAGATGAAAGTACAGTCACTCAGATCCTGGAGAGTGACCTAGCCGGTGAGTGAGTGAGTGAGTGAGTTAGTGATACTCAAGAGATGAAAGTACAGTCACTCAGATCCTGGAGAGTGACCTAGCTGGTGAGTGAGTGAGTGAGTGAGTGATGCTCTAGAGATGAAAGTACAGTCACTCAGATCCTGGAGAGTTACCTAGCTGCTGAGTGAGTGAGTGAGTGAGTGAGTGAGTTAGTGATACTCTAGAGATGAAAGTACAGTCACTCAGATCCTGAAGAGTGACCTAGCCGGTGAGTGAGTGAGTGAGTGTGTGATGCTCAAGGGATGAAAGTACAGTCACTCAGATCCTGGAGAGTGACCTAGCTGGTGATTGAGTGAGTGAGTGAGTGATGCTCTAGAGATGAAAGTACAGTCACTCAGATCCTGGAGAGTGACCCAGCTGCTGAGTGAGTCAGTGAGTCATTGAGTCAGTGAGTGAGTGAGTGATGCTCTAGAGATGAAAGTACAGTCACTCAGATCCTGGAGAGTGACCTAGCCGGTGAGCGAGTGAGGTTGAACACAGTATCGCTCTTTTAGGCAGATCAGGGGGAATTATATGAAAATGAAAGGCAGAAGTATTTGTAGAACAGGAAGTGCATCCGAATGTGATACCGTGTGGCATATTGTCACGCAACCTCCTTCAAGACACAAGAGGTCAACCCACGGGGTGGGATTGTCTAGTGTGACATCACAGACTCAGAATGCCAACCACTTAAAAACACAAAATATGTGTAAGAATGGGCGGGGCCAAGTGTTCTAGGTTTTGGTGCATAATTGATTACTTTAATTTATTCAAAATGATTCAAAATGATACAAGTTTTGTATAAATTCAATTTTTTTGGAACTTATCCCTCCACATCAGTATGACTTTATAGATACTCTGATTCCCTCTGTTTGAATGGCATTATGTATAGAAAAGTGCTCAACTTGTTGCCTTTTTAAAAACCCTTTATTAAATGTAGAAGGAAAGTCCAAAGTGACATGACTAAGTTGTACACATTTACCACTTTGATCAAACCAACGGTTGTAGCCATAACCTGAGAATGATGGTGATGTACATGAACCCGATCCTGCTGCTGTTGCTGCTGTTTCTGTTGCTGGTGAGGTGTTCCCATAGATTACAGTGTGGGTAACAGTATAACAAAATTTCTTAGTTTTTTAGTTTTGAAGACACATGAGTCATATTTGTTATTTCTTTCTGTTGTATTTTGGGAAGCCTTTGATGATATAAGGCATAGATGTGTCGGAGTGATGCACTGTATTGTGATGTTGGGAATTTGTCTTTTCAGAATTTCTCTTTGAGTCTTTGCATTCACAAAGTGGTCCTCAACTGGAGTAAGAATCATTCAGAATGTTTTCCTTTTGTTTATCATTATTTGTGGGTTTTGCTGGTTCTGTTTGTAAACATGGTGAAGTGTTTGTGTTGACATCTTACCATGGTCTTCATACTAATAGTTCAATGCTCTCGTTCTGGCCATATTTCTATGATATGTATATTCCTAGGTTTCATTTATATTTTCAGATTTAATGTTTATTTATAGTTCAGTTGTTTTTTCTTTGAATTCTTTACATTTGAGCCAACATCAGAAAACTTAATCATACTGCAGTGATAGAAGCTAACAGTTTAAGTCCACTAGTCCAAATAATGATAAAAAATTTTAAAAGGGGAAATTCTACTAGTCCTTGTGATACCTTAACTTTTGGGAAGATTGGCAAGGACTAAGGGACTAGTGCCAATTTCTAACTCTGTGCTACATACACATTGCTGTACAGTGTTCCCTCGCTATTGCGCTCTTCAATATAGCACTAACTCGGTTATAGCGCACGGTAAAGCATGGCTCCCAAAATTTACTTACATTTTTAATAAACTCAAGTTTTCCAATGACACGATGTTTTCCCCATCTCATAAAACATTATCAGCTTTTCTTTTGTTGGTCATCTACCCCCTACATTTCCATCTCAGTTAAACCTCTGATCGTCTATAACGCTCATCGATTATTTGGACCCCAAAGGTAGCGTTGTAGTGAGGGATCACTGTATCTGGTAGTTATCTCCAACTTTCCCCCTGTTGGGGCCCAGGTTCTAACAGGTCACCAGCACTCTAGTTCCTGAAGTAAGAGCTGACTTTATTGGATTGGGTGGCTGCACACGCCGACTTCCGTGATTGCATGTTGATTGCATGTTGACATACCCAAACATACCCCTGAAGATCCGGGGTAGAGTAGGTCTTCAACAACCCATGCTTGTCGTAAGAGGCGACTAACGGGATCGGGTGGTCAGGCTCGCCGACTTCCATGATTGCATGTTGTCATACCCAAACAGCTTGGGAGAGTGCTCATAACATCCACGACTGGTTTGTCTGGCCTTGACTACAGGTCACCAGGATATAGCTGAAATATGGCTGAATGTGTTTTTAAGCAACACTGACCAACTCACTCACTCTTATATTCAACATGTCCTTAACAATTAATTTTATAATTTCTTTGATCACTTCTGGGAGACAGAACCATACTCTCAGTGGAAGCCTCAGTGGCTGAGTGGGTGAGATCGCTAACTTTGTGTGCTGGCTATTAGGTGCCTCACTCTGAGAGTGTGGGTTCGAATCCCGGATTTATATTTGTATTTTCTAAAGACTGTTCCCAAGTTACAGCTATCATAAATTTCTTTGATGCTTTTATTTTGAGTCACATGGTACTACTTTGTTTCCTTTCAGTTCTGTGTACCAGTGCCTCCATCTGCTCACAGATTATGAACAATTCTTCACACGCTGCCATGCAGTCTACGGTCAGTGTCACATTTGTATATCGGTATCACTATTTCAACCTGCTTGATATTGTAGGTGTTCTTTGAATAAAACTACAAGCTGATGTAGTATACATATTTTACACAACTGTCAAAAGAATAAATTGAACATAATAATATGGCACCGATTTTGTCAACTTGTTTTGTTTTTTAAATTCATTTTGCAAAAGATATATATATATTAACTGAACAGTAAACTGCAGTCAAACTAAACAAAGTTCAACAGGGTACAGTGTGTCTGCCCTGTTCATTGTGTAAACCAAAGGCGACTATGCTTGTTGTAAGAGGTGACTAACGGGATCGGGTGGTCAGGCTCGCTGACTGGGTTGATGCATGTCATCATATCCAAATTGCGTGGATCAATGCTCATGATGTCAATCACTGGATTGTCTGGTCCAGACTCGATTAATTACAGACCGCATCACATAGCTGGAATATTGCAGAGTGCAGTGTTAAACAAGAAACAAACAAAGTGTGAAATTATGGAAACTAGAGTAACATTGTTTGATATTGTACATTTTGTGTAATTCTTGTCAGATTTGGTGATATGAGTATTGGTTCCAGGGGTTGAGTCGATCCTGCATTCCCTGTGTGTTGTGATGGATGTGAAGAACTATCGGCTTATGGAGAAGGGCTTCTGTCTACTGGCAAACATATTGCACCGGTGAATATTCTCCTCACAGACCTGTAATGTACTGTAAATCTTAAAATTAACGCGAGCGTGAATTAAATGCGAAAAATGCGAGTGGTCTTTGCTCGCATTAATTAACTTCGCATCTATGTCTCCAAATGACTATCCAACAATAAGATGGCCTCACTGCACACTTTGGATAGCGGAAAAACCAACTTGAATATAAACACAAACACGGTTTATTGATCACCAGTTGTAATAAGTATATAACAATGTCTGTCAAAGAATAGGAATTACACAAAAAAGTGTCCAGTGAGTTTACACTTCTGTGGTCAAGAATTCTCCCCACTCGTGTCAAGCTTTTGACACCTTCTTCGCATACCAATCAGTGCACTGTTGTTGGTTCAATTATTTTATTGCCTTTGAACTTCCTTAATGCCAGACAACAGAGTAAACATATAAATTGTGTGTTGTTGTTAGTAAAACACTGTTTATTGTTATTACGGAAGTGCTTTACTCAGTACTAATAAGCGGTGCTATTTGCTGTTTGATTGGATTAAGGTGAGGATAATGCATCATTCCACAGGTGATAGGGTTGGGGAGTCGCATTTTTGGCTAGGGGTCAGCAGTCATATTAATATGGAGATGCATTAATTTCCAGATTTACAGTATCTGATATAATTCTGTTTATTAGGATGATATTGTTTGAAACCTTGTGTAGTAGCTCTGTGTGATGCTTTGAACAGTTTTTCAGCTACCGGTTTCTGACTGCATTGTCCACATGACAAACCAAAATGGAATGTGTGCATTACACTCAAGTGCATATTTAATTTGGGCATGAAAATACGGGGTCAGCTGAATGGGGGATAAAACCCAAAGTGATGCAATGTCCATTTTGGTGAAAACCATGAGCACAAGTATGGTGTTGACAAACCATGGGTCATAATCAGTATTTGTCAGTGGTTCTGGAGAATTACAGAGCTTTAGATGTCAGGGACACTGTGTGCCCTCATCTGACTACCATCCAGAATTTACTTTTCAAATTACATTTCCACGTGAGTATACTTCATGCCTGTTGTTGGTAATGCTATCAGGTCTTTCAGAGACAAATGACCTTTTTAATGGAACCACCACTGTCTGATTCTTTGTAATTTCCTTGAGAATTACATGGCCTTGAAAATAAGACAGCAGGCTGATTCCCAAAGTGGGTGCCATGGATGGCTATTGCAGCATGTCTGCCCAAATGTTCTGAGCCTGAAGTGGTGCTTCGTTGCAGGCAGCCCCCGGGCATCCCCCTGTTTGTGAACGTGATGTCGGTGAGACAGTGTGTCCACCTGGTGAGGCAGGCACTGGCTCAGTCCCACCCAGCAGTGTTCCTCCAGGCTCTAACAGCTGCTAGGCCTCTTGTCAGGTAACAGTGGGAATCTTTTTTTCAGTTGGGGTAAATGCTTTCCTTTCAAATGTAATTATTTATATGTGGGGAACATCAGTTAATTATCATGATTGTATCATCTAGCAAGCCTATTGCAGGGAGCACCCATCAGTATAGACTTGATGGAATACTTCATAAAGGTTCTCCCCAGGTTGTAATCTCACAACTGATTGTAAGACTGTAGTCTCTCCACTAGATTTGGGCAGGAATTTGTGAATTTGTGAAGGCATCCTACTCATGAGATGATTCTGTCACATTTTTGTCCTTAGAATGACACATTAGTATGACACATTAGTATGGCACAGTATGAACATTAGTATGTCACAGTATGACACATTAGTATGGTACATTGGTATGACACATTAGTACGACACATGTATGTCACATCGGTATGACACATTAGTATGTCATATATGTATGGTACATTGGTATGACACATTAGTATGTCACATTAGTATGACACATATGTATGACACATTGGTATGACACATTAGTACGACACATTAGTATGGTTGTGGTTGTAATCTCTCTCTCTCTGATTGTAAGGTTGTAGTCCCCCCGGTGATTGTATAGTTGTAGTCTTCCATGTAGACTAGCATATAGTCCAGGATATGGATAAAGTTGATTAAAATAATTCTATCAAGGAACCCTCAAATGTTAAGAGCCTTGAGATCTCTTAATTCAGAGCTGAAAGGGGATGAGTTTAGGCTTCTGGTGCTGAGGAAGGGGATTAGAATGGAATGGGGGTGATTGTTTTATCCTTTAAAGTCTGTAAGAGAGAGACTACCTCCCAAGTGAATGACACTGAATGTGTAGTCTCGTCACTGATGTTAGTTCCCTGTGTCTGCAGCAAGCAGTACCTGCCGTGGGTGTATCGATGTGAGGTCGTAGAGGACCTGCTGAAGGTGTAGTCTCGTCACTGATGTTAGTTCCCTGTGTCTGCAGCAAGCAGTACCTGCCGTGGGTGTATCGATGTGAGGTCGTAGAGGACCTGCTGAAGGTGTAGTCTCGTCACTGATGTTAGTTCCCTGTGTCTGCAGCAAGCAGTACCTGCCGTGGGTGTATCGATGTGAGGTCGTAGAGGACCTGCTGAAGGTGTAGTCTCGTCACTGATGTTAGTTCCCTGTGTCTGCAGCAAGCCGTACCTGCCGTGGGTGTATCGATGTGAGGTCGTAGAGGACCTGCTGAAGGTGTAGTCTCGTCACTGATGTTAGTTCCCTGTGTCTGCAGCAAGCCGTACCTGCCGTGGGTGTATCGATGTGAGGTCGTAGAGGACCTGCTGAAGGTGTAGTCTCGTCACTGATGTTAGTTCCCTGTGTCTGCAGCAAGCAGTACCTGCCGTGGGTGTATCGATGTGAGGTCGTAGAGGACCTGCTGAAGGTGTAGTCTCGTCACTGATGTTAGTTCCCTGTGTCTGCAGCAAGCAGTACCTGCCGTGGTTGTATCGATGTGAGGTCGTAGAGGACCTGCTGAAGGTGTAGTCTCGTCACTGATGTTAGTTCCCTGTGTCTGCAGCAAGCAGTACCTGCCGTGGGTGTATCGATGTGAGGTCGTAGAGGACCTGTTGAAGGTGGCCTGCTGTCAGATGACGGACCTTCACACCTCGCTGTGTCATGGCAGACACACACAGACACAGATGGGCCGACAGGTGGACTGGCAGTACCCTCTAGTTGCCTTCACAGATCTCATCACTGTATGCTGTAGGTGGGTAGAGACACTGATAGTCTTTATCCTATGATGAAATTATACACGTAAAAATGACAAATGAAAATAATTAGTAAATAGAATGTTTGTTTTTATCATTTTGTCTGTTTTATTTATCATCCTAAAAGCTGTGGTTCATCTCCAACACATTGTCTTCTTTTTTGCACTTGAGTGAAGCCTTGCTCTCAACATTAAACTGCAAAATCATCAACACTTGCAACAGTCACATTTTTCTCACTTATAATTAGTGACTGAAAGAATCACTGTATAAAACTTCCAACTCAAGTCACGATAAATGTAATCTTCTGAATGCACTTGGTCCCATTTGACTAGTTTTGTGTATCACAATGGGGAGTTACTTATTTTGCATTATACTGACCCAAAAAATAACTAATAACAAAAGGAGAAATATTTTTTGCCATTAGCAACTTCATGACAACCAAAAATGTATGTTGAAAATAAGTGTAAGTGTTTTCAAACATGTCCTTCCATCCAACAACCGACTACCGGTATCTGTCTGCATGTTTCAGAGTGTGCGGGGAGAGTGTACTCAGGTCCTCCAGTGAGATGGAGGAGAGACAGTGGATGAATGTGGAGGGCACTCTCTCGCTCCTGGTGTCAGCTGCAGAGAGACATCTAGCACCATACATACAGGTGAGACAGATGCTCTACCCACTGCAGTCTGCGAGTTCAGCCACGAGTTTAGATTAACCGTTAGTTTCTGAATGTATATAGTTTTGATCAAAACAAGCAGCTACCTTTACACTGAAAAAGAGCCCTGAACCTGTGAAATATCTAGACTTTCTTTAGTTAGAGCTATAGCATGACAGCAAGAGTGGGACAGTAAGAAAATAATAATTTTCTGTGAGACAGACTACAATTAGTTTGAAGACAGTCTTGTCATTTTTATCTTCTGTCTAGGAAGCTTGACTGATAACAAGCAGTTGGGTAGCCTAGTGGTTAAAGCGTTCGCTCGTTCACTCGGGTTTTATTCCCGACATGGGTACAATGTGTGAAACCAATATCTGGTGTCCCCCACCATGATTTTGCAGGAATATTGCTAAAAGTGGCGTAAAACCACACTCACTCACTCACTCACCCACCCACCCACCCACTCACTCACTCACTCACTCACTCACTCACTCACTCACTCACTCACTCACTCACTCACTCACTCACTCACCTGATAACTGTTCTAACAGCAGCACTAAGATCAAGTAAAGACAAGGTTAGCTACTTAACTTAAATGTTGTTGCACAGACTACTACCACTACCACTGTCTATCAGCACAAGTATGTAGACACTGTGTGGAGTTGGTGTCATGAAATGGGGTTTAATCTTGTGTTCAAGATTATTACACGTGTGTGTGTGCCTCTGTATATGTGTGTGTGTGTGTGTGAGTGTGTGCGTGCGCATGCATGCATGCTTGCTTGGGTGCATGCGTTATAATGATGAATCATCTAATAACTTGAATTAACATGAAATAACGTTCCCATATTTGCACTTGTGTATTTTATTGATTCTCAGTGCTGATTGATCAATAGAAGCCATATGATGTCACAGTGCTTCATTGTTCAGACAAATAGGATATGATGTCATCCATTGTTCATGATGTCATCTGAGCAAGAGCCTGCCTTCAGAGAAGTTGGACATTACATATGCTTTTTCTCTATTTTTTCTCTTAAAATGTTGGAACTCAGAATTACAGATTTTCTGTCCCTCCTGAATGAATGCTGTAAGTCCCTTGCCAAAGGCTCGGTTTAAACGCCATTCTTTCACATGGGACAGATAATCTGTCATTAATCATAGTGTGTTGGGTATTCTCTGAATATGGAAAAGATTCTGTGATGCTTCCTAACAATATGAAACACATCTGTCCATTTTCAGTCAGTGTTTGAGTCTGAAGAATGTCCCCCTGCCCTGAAGACCGTCCTGACCTGTATGAATGAGCTGTATTCCCAGACGGGGCGTGGCATGACCCAAATGTCTCTCATGTTCACACAGTCGGGAGTCATCATTCAAGCTCCGGTTGTCAAATATAGGTAAAGCTCTGATTAGAATATCCTTAATGTTGCCCTACAGGTTTTTGACGTGTCTACTAGTCTGCTAGTCCAAGACTAGCAATGAGACTTAATGACTTGTAATTTTAACCCCAAGAAACCATTCAATAGTAATTGGTGACCAGTTGGATTTAGCTTACAATGTCCACCCTGCCTTGAGATTTAGTATGTGTTTCAGTGTTAAGTATGAATTTATTATCCCCCACCACGAAGTGAAATTAGGATAAGTTTTATCAGAAAACAAATACATCCATGAATAAAAGTTTGCATGCTTATCTAGAAAATACTTGCCAAGACTGAGTTTAAAAAAAATTGGTCCCATTATTTATTTTGTTAGAGAGTTGCAGCCCTTGATCCATGTTATTTTACTTGTGCATAGTTTGTGCAGTGGTGACAAGTTTTCTCGGCTCGGTGACAGTGTATTTATTACATGTCATTGTGTCTTGATGACCTCGGTGGTGCCCATGACATTGATCACTGGTTTTTCCTGATCCAGACTGGATTATGTACAGTCTGATGTGATACCTGGGATACTGTGGCACCTCATGGTGTCTGGCTGTCAGCTGGCTTTGTCAACATCTTTTATTGTACTAAAGGCCTCCAGCCCATATACAGCGCTGCAGTGTGATGACATCAAGGTTTCGAAAAACATACATTGTATAAAAAGGGTAACAATGTTCTTTTTTCTGCACACAGTGTAGCCAGATTCTATAACATTTATCTGGAGTTGATTGTCTTTCCAATGGTATCTAAATTCAGCAAATCCAAAAGGTATATAGGCACTGCCTAGCCATCAATGAAAGTGACGGTATAAAGTTAAAGCCAAGCAAGCGCATTTGTTTCAAATCTAGATGTCCAATAATTCATATCATTGTAAAGTACATATCCTAATGATGATAGACATAGGACTTATATGTTCTAGTTCAGATCAGTCAATCAGAATATTATTATTTAGAAATGAGAACCATGTGTGTCCATATTCAACCACAGTATTAGATCAGCTGTTTGACATGCCAATAGTTATATACAGTGGGAAAAAGTAAATCTTTCAGACCAGTCTGATCAGATTTCTTTATCAAATTGGCTGTTTGATACTGAAATAGTTACATGTATGTGACATGGATGCATAATCAAACTTCGCCGTCATTGGCTTGAAGTTCAAACATGGCAGAAAAGGTAAAGAAGCGTGGTAACCACTTTACTGATCTCACCATGTTTTGCAATCTGTTGCACTGTATAAAATATGAGTTACATGATGGTAAAGTGGAAATGATTTTGGCGATGATATGATTTTGATTTTGCGCATTCAGTGTTTGACATCTTGATTCACTGTGGCAAAGGGACATGTTCACGAGACCATATATGGTCCCATGCCACTTAGGGTGTGAATTGTGAGGGACCATGTACAGTCCTGTGGCACCAAGACGGTTAAGCAACAAATATTGTTTTCTGTATGAAATATGTTGTGTCTCCTAAGGCAAGTGGTGTGGACTCTGGCACTTGGAAGGCCAGACTTTTTTTTTAGGTGGGGAGGTTACAGGGTTTTGGCCCCAAAATTCAGGTTGGTAGGTGAAAAAACATAATTCCAAATCCAAACAGTTTGTGTATTTCCTCTCACAATTTGTCATAATTTGTTGTGTTTTGAAGTTTTTAAGATAAATTTTCAACAGGTTTTAATTAGAAATCTATTGGATTTTAAATATTTTATTTATATTGATAGCGGACATACCGGTAATTGAGTTGGGTTTTTTCACATTTGACATATTTCTGGTTGGCAAAATGAAAACCCCATTGTTTTGAATTTTTAAGAACTTTTCCTCATGTAAATTCTTTAAAGTTGGTGGATTTGTAAACCAAGTATAAATAGAAGTCTGAGTGGCCTTATATCTTAAACATAACCTTCCTAGGGCTGCTGAAGATGTGTGTGACGGTATAGACAAGTTCCTAGAGAATGTGTACCGAGACCTACTGGAGGACATCACCCCTCGGAATCCTGCCCTACCCAGCTGGCTGGTGTCCGGTGTTGCCACCATCAAATGTATGTCACCATAGTGATTATTGGTTAGAATAGGGCCCCAGCAACCAACCTATCATATGGTCAGACTCGGTGACTTGGTTGATAGCGTGGTACATGGATCATCGTTCAAGATATCAATCACTGGCTTGTCTGGTTCAGTCTTGATTATTCACAGGCTGCCATCATATAGCTGAAATACTGCTGAGTGTGGCATTAAATAACAAACAAACATTACCCTAATGTTTAGAGATGGGTATTGCCCAAAATTTCGTATTGCGATATATTGCAATACATTCCTCTGTATTGCAATACATTCCTCTGTATTGCAATACGTACTGCAATATATTGTGGAAGAAAACTTATTGAGTTCTGTCCACTGTTTAAGATACTTTTATCTCCACATTGAATCACTGTACAATCATACAAAGTTTAGCTTTATTCAAAGTAAAAAAAAGGGAAAAACCAGAACATTCAGACAATTGTATTTGTGTCTGACTTGCTGTGCTATTTGACTCAAGAATAGCTGTTTAAGGCACCATAATGGTAAAGTCCAACATGCAGTAAATATTAGTGGTATCAATTCTCCAGACTCAGTGACATCATGGGTGCGTTTAGCTCATAGGTTCAGGAAGAAATGTTGGAGGTATTTATGTATAATATGGGTCCAGTGTTTGTGGTAACGTAAGTTTGTAATTGTTTATCAAAGAGCTGTTCGTGCAGTTTCATCACAATGACATCGCAGGTAAAAAGATGGACAATATTAGTTGTTTTAACTCTTTCAACACCAGTCAACCAGAAGCGTTTACTGCCAGTTACCAGAGATTCCTGTACGTGTGATAGATGAAACCAACATTTATCAAAGAAAATATCTGCTTGTAAAACATCTTTGCTACTCTATGTTATACACCGTTTGAAAGGTCTGATCCTATTGTTTATAAATATGAAAGTTATGTTTATCACATTATTTAAATAATGCATTTACAACTTAATTATGTTCGTTGTAAATAAAAATATGTAAGCTAACACAGTCATAACGTCCAGATTAAGGACCAAGGAAGCGAAAATTTGACGATTTTCGGCAAATATACGATTTCATAAAATGCACTTACCTATTTCCTTTTCTTTTTTTGTTTTTGTTTACGTTATTGGAAAAGCTTTTTAAAAAGAATTATCAATAGTATCTGGCATCACCCATTTCCCGATAACAGCGCCTGTCCGCTCAGTAACATGAAGAAATACCACTGTTTTCGAGGCTTCGTATGAATAACACGTTCGTCGAAGACTGGCATATGACACATCGCTAGAAAGCTTATTCTTTCATCTACACGCTCGTAACATCGCCTGGAGTTTTTCGTAGTTATAACAATCGATTTTATTGGATAAAAATTGGTTTCTAATGACGTTTTCGAAGTGCGTGTCCGAGATTTTTATTTTAAATAACATTACGGGAAATAGTGAATAATTTCTTAATCTATTGATAAAAAATGATAAATTGAAATGGAATACGTATTTCAGACATTGTGAAATGTGATAGATTTAATAAATGAAAGATATGACTGGTAGGTTTAAAAAATTATATACTATTTTGACGTGACTACGGCTTGGCCGGTCTACCGGGCTACGGTGTCTGGGAATGCTTCTTGGCCGGTATTACGGGCCTACGGTGTTGAATGAGTAATAATAATTAGGCATAAGCAAGTTAAATTTGAAAACACAAAATCATTGTCAATATACCGGTACATCACAAACGTATCGCGATACGTAATTGTTTCATTTTCATATTGCGGTATACGGGTATACCGGTATACCGGTAATACCGTGCAGCCCTACTAATGTTGTAATGTCAGGTTGAAGTGGTCCTAATGTAGATTCTAATAATTAAGCCCAAAACTTTCAAATTCATGGATTTGATGTAATTGTGGTTCAATGTGTAGAGGCAATTCGGCTGATGTCAGTTTATCTTAACTCATGTCAAGGCAAGCTAAGTAAATAGAGTATTTCAACACTTAAGACATTATTAATTAAAACATTATCAATTTATTTCTTCAAGTGTAAAATATTGATATTTGGAGCTGTATTGTATGAACAGCTCAAACCTTGAGTGAGAAGTATTGATAATGATTTCTGAAGTGGACTTGCTTGATAAAGGTACTAGCACCTGTCCAGAAAAGTTGCACAGGAAGAATAAAAAAATTGAAATCTGTAAGTCAGCTCTGGAGTTATTGATGCTACAACTTTTAAAATGTAACTATATGAAGTTGGCGATGTGTGTTCCATAAGCAGATCCAGAGGGGAAGTCCAGGGGTCCAGACCCCCTTTGGAAAACCACATGTAGTACGTTGTAGGCAGTAGAATTGACTGAGGGAGGATTTTGATATTTTGGACCCCTCCCTTTTAAAAATGTTGGATCTTCCCTTGTGTTCCACTGCAGTGCAGTCTGGAGATCCATGCCATCTACTGCCGGTAATGGAACAGAGTGAGGATGCAGCGTGGGCCGTGCTGATGATGCTCTACTTCTCATATCTACACAGTCACAGGTAACACTGTATGAATCACTGTAACTGATAGCCCCCGCCGTGATAATACTCAATCACTGTAACTGATAGCCCCCGCCATGATAATACTCAATCACTGTAACTGATAGCCCAGCCGTGATAATACTCAATCACTGTAACTGATAGCCCCCGCCGTGATAATACTCAATCACTGTAACTGATAGCCCTGCCGTGATAATACTCAATCACTGTAACTGATAGCCCCCGCCATGATAATACTCAATCACTGTAACTGATAGCGCCTGCCATGATAATACTCAATCACTGTAACTGATAGCATCACATCATATGACATCCTTGTCATTGGACATCTCGTATCTCGTATCTCGTTGTATCACAATAATAGTTGCAGTAAATCATATCGAAAAAACTTTGATTAAAAAAAATTCAAATGGTAATATTTGGACATTTCCTATTTGCCTAGTTTGCCCTAGAAAATTACTGTTCTTTACAATAATGAAAAGTTAAGCACCCATTCTCTATTGGTGTAATTGTCATGCAAAATATCAAGTGATAAAAATAAGTTGCCTGTAAGAGATTCCTTTACAGATTATATAGCACACACCAATAACGTTTATAACATGCCATTCAAGGATGTAATACCTAGATACCTAGAACATCACGGTGACCTCCCATCCACAGCTGGGTCGAGTGCTGTGACCTCCAGTCTCTGCTGCAGTGTTTCCTGGCCAACAGCCGAGATCTGTCAGGATTACCTCCCCTTGTTATCAGATGTCTTGCTTTCCTTGTGGCGGTGAGTATAAGGCTAAAAACAATAATACATGTAGTCTTGGTTCTCAGGCACTGCCCGCATCATCATAAAGTTTCCAGCACGTTTCGTTTTTATTTACATTTAGAAAAAAATTTAAAAAATCCTTTCAAGTTCAATGGTAGCCAAATACTGTATTCCAGTATTTTATTCATCAAGAATTACATTTATGTAGGGAGGCCCTTTTCTTGGTTGATTGTATACAATTGTTTATTTGGTTACACAACTGTATATTTGGTTACATACTAGTTTGAACAACCCCCCAAAAACAAATAAAAAAGGCACCGCCTACCCGCACAATATTTTCAAAAACCATTGCTTAAGAACCAATTCTTTTATTTTTAAAAGCCTAATGTTTGTATTTTTAGGAACTTTTCAATGGGAATGCCAAATGCTATATGTAGTATATTATATGACATTAGGGATGTATGTCTTGAGAACCATGAGAAGATATATGAAATTATAGATTTGGAGAATATTTGGTGCAGAGCTTGGAAGCTAAGACCCCCCCCCCCCCCCCCCCCCCCCCCCCCTTTAAGAGAGACAAGACTCAATTGGACGCCTTTACAAGAAGGTTTCAATTCATTCATCACTGAATTGACTGGCTCAGACTTGTGTACTTACAGCACACTCTCATACAGCTGGAATATTTGCTGAGTGGGGTGTAAACAAACAGTTTACCTTGGGATGAAAAAAAATCAGGGTCTTTGGTGTTCTTATATTTATCATTATTCATACCTGTTGGAATTCTTCCTTGTAGTCTTAACTTCTCACATGATGTACGAAGTACAAGCAGATCTGTCTGTCTGCATTAATCTTAACTTCTCACATGATGTACAAAAGTACAAGCAGATCTGTCTGTCTGCATTAGACATGAGCATGTTAATACACACAGTACTGGTTTAAAATGTTTGTTTCATCATCAGTGTTCATCAGGAGATGCAGTGGCCAATACCCCTCAGCCCTTCCAGTATCACACAGGTATGCAGCACACAGTAGTTATCTAATTAGTATTGTCTATTGGTGTGGTGTGTGTTCTGCAACAGGATCTTAATAGCAATGCTGTTATGATGACGTCGCTCTGTTGTTGTTGCAGTTGATTCTGAACAAGGAATTCACTGACCGTTCTGAACGTGCATTTTATGAAAAACCGACGCAACTATAGAACCTTATGCAGAATTATAGGAATTTTTTTTATTTGTAAATGGTTTTGTTGGAGAAATCACTCGAATCAGTGGATTCAGGAGGAAGAATCAACATATTCAAGTGATTTCTCCATGATGTAATCAACGTCAGAAAGCTGTTGCAGTGTTGTTGCAAGTTTCTCATCTTGTGAAGGCATCTTACTCATGGGATGATTCTGTCACTCTTTTGTCCTTAGTATGACACATTAGTATGACACATTAGTATGACACATTAGTGTGACACATAAATATGTCACATAAGTATGACACATTAGTATGTTACATTAGTATGACACATTAGTATGGTACATTGGTAAGACACATTAGTACGACACATTAGTATGACAAATAAGTATGTCACATTAGTATGACACATTAGTATGTCACATTAGTATGACACATTAGTATGTTACATTAGTATGACACATTAGTATGACACATTAGTAGGACACATTAGTATGGTACATTAGTATGACCATTAGTATAACACATTAGTATGACACATTAGTGTGTCACAATATTATGACACATTAGTATGGTACATAAGTATGACCATTAGTATGACACATTAGTATGACACTTTAGTATGACACATTAGTATGTTACATTAGTATGACACATTAGTATGGTTCATTGGTAATACACATTAGTACGACACATTAGTATGACACATTAGTATGTTACATTAGTATGTTACATTAGTATGACCATTAGTATGTCACATTAGTATGTTACATTGGTAATACACATTAGTACGACACATTAGTATGACACATTGGTAAGACACATTAGTATGACACATTAGTATGTCACATTAGTGACACATTAGTATGTCACATTAGTATGACACAGTGACACATAAGTATGACACATTAGTATGTCACATTAGTATGTCACATTAGTGACACATTAGTATGTCACATTAGTGACATTCGTATGACACATTAGTATGTCACATTAGTATGACACATTAGTACGACACATTAGTATGACACATTGGTAAGACACATTAGTATGACACATTAGTATGTCACATTAGTATGACACATTAGTATGACACATTAGTATGTCACATTGGTATGTCACATTGGTATGTCACATTAGTATGACACATTAGTATGACACGGTATGTGACATTAGTATGGCACATTTGTGACACATTAGTATGTCACATTAGTATGACTCCATATCACTTGCCTTTTGGTAATCTACATGGTTCTAGCCTTAAGAATATATGTTCTTGTTATATGATTCTGTTTTAATTATATTTAAACATTTAGGAATGTTACCATATGGTATGAATGTATTTGTTAAAAAAAATATTTCAATAAAGTCATAAATATAAAAAATGATTTTTGCTGTACAGTGATGCCATATTTATTTTGCTTTCGGTTTGGGAAATGTGACTGACCTCCTGGAGAGTTGCCCTGTAGCAGTGTGGTACACCCACCACCCTGTCGTCATGTGCTGGGTGTTCAGTGAGGAGAGTCGGGCACAGCAACTGGGCCACACTCTGGTGGGTGTCTCCTGTGTGTGTGTGTGTGTGTGTGCAACTGTACACTGTATATATCCTACAGACAAAAGTAGGGGAACTGATGAAATGACAGTGAAGGTGTAATAGTGATAAATGTCTGTAAAATTAATTTGGGCGTGTAGATCAATATCACCTTGATGGCATACTGTTGATTAACTTGCGTATGGTTGTCCTTGTTATTGCCCACTGTTCTGCAAGGAGAGCTGCCCCAAGTTGGGCCACGTCGGTGGGTGCTGGGCCTCTGGTGTACACTCCCACAAAGAGCAGCCCACAGATGCCCTAATAGGAACATGTCAGGGTACTTAGCAGGCCAGTCCCAAGTCCGTACACCTGTGGTTGTTGATGTTGTAAACCTTCTGTGACGTCATCATAATGTTCTCCATTCGGGGTTAAATCTCATAAACAGGGATGTTGTAATATCCCTGGGATTTTATATGATATTCCAGGCAAATTTGCTGTATTAAGTGTTATAATAACCAGGGGATTTTATTAACACAACTTCTGTTTAGATTGTAACATGTAAATGTTTCTTGCTAGAAATTTATATTGCGTTTGAACACAATGTAATGAAAGAAATTTAAATAATATTTGTTTTCTTTATTTTCCTGAGGATCGAACACACAACCTTCGTATAGATAGCCCATTTTGTGTATCTCTAGGCTACAGAGCCGCTGATAAATCACAATGCTTTCTACAATGTCTTTTTCAAGAACCGAACACCAGCAACAGATATTTTACGCCCGTTTCCTAAGGTTCATGGAAACCATGTTTGAAACATAAAAATGTTGATAAATGTTTTAAGTTTCTTTTTTCGGTTTATAAGTTCGATAAAACACTTCTCCTGGGGGTTTTATGATATTTAAAACCCTTATCCTTGGGATAAAACTTCGGGGTGACACCCCTTGGTTTTATCCCGTGGATGTGTGATTTAAATATCATAAAAAAGCTTGGACATACTTTATCCTCCACTTAAAACATGGTATTTGAAAGGTTATTCGAGACTGTGGACAGCACTATTTACGAACAGTCACCAAGAGTAAATTGTTGGCATTCTGGGTTAGAATAGGTGGCCAGTATTGTATGCTGATTGTAGGAGGCCATGACATGAATCAGATGGTCAGGTTCTGAGACTTGGTTGATTGTTTGTCATCGTACCCCTACAGGGTGGATTGTTGCTCACAATATCAGTCACTTCACATCTGTGCCAGACTTGATTATTTACAGGTCACCATTATATTTTCAGTTTATAAAATTTCCCAAAATTCCAGTCAGACAACTGGACTGGCAACTTTGCAAATAAAATGTTGCCAATCCAGAATTTTCAAGACTAACAAACAATAGTGACAAAAGGGTAAACATAAGAATAGTATGATGAGGACAGAAACTTGATATCAACATACGTGGAAGCGATTGAATAATGTGTTTAATGTTTACAGTCTCTTACACTGAATTAAAACTAGAATGCTTAGGTAATTCAGGGAATACAATAACAGCCCAGCCATCGGGAGTGCAACTTTTCAAAACTGACCGTCCATCATCAAAACAGGCGGATATTTTAAACACGGATACATTAAACTACGTTTATAATGAATATGCTTATAATGAACTGACGGATATAACAAACTATTTCTTGGTCCCGTCCATTTGCTGTATATATGCTGTAGATGCTTATAACGAACAATGTATAAGGAATTAAAATTAGTGGTCCCTTTGAGTTCATTATGACCGTAGTTTACTGAATTTTGAAGTTGGAGTACTGGCTGCCCCTGATTGATGTGAAGAGTCTGGAGACAACATTGTACTCTACCACAGCACAGTGCAGTCACACAGGCCCACAGCACACTGTCCCAGAACAGCAGCATCCTGACACAGATCCTCATCCAGCAGACACAGAACCACACCTCACAGACACAGATCATCAGCAGACGGACATAGTACAACATCATTCCGATTCAGAACAACATCATGCAGATGCAGAGAATTGGCAGAGAGGGGATACAGAGAGACAGCAGCAAAAGGCTATGGAGAGAGATCATGAGATCACAGATACAGACAAGATGACGTCAGAGATGGCGTATCCTGACACAGACACACAGTTACTGGTGGAACTCGCACACAACTCGGCCTTCATCCACACCCTAATGGTAAACACTGGGAGACTTTGATAACTCGTGTTTAACATTTTATAATGAGAAGGCAAAACCACTGCAGACTCCCTTCACAACTTATACAACACTGCCATATAAGGACACCTGTCCTCATGCATCTACCAGGCACCAAGTGAAACTGTGCACATTATTTTATGTACATTTTATGTTGGTGTCTGGTATATATATGTTGGTGTCACAGACCTGTGAAGATCCGGGGTAGAACAGGTCTTCAGCAACACATGCTTGCCATTGTAGGCGACTTTGCTTTTCATAAGCGGCGACTAAGGGGATTTGGTGTTCAGGCTCGCTGACTTGTTTGATGCATGTCAGTGTATCCCAATTGTGTAGATCGATGCTCATGAAGTAAATCACTGGACTGTCTGGTCCAGACTCTATTATTTACAGGCCACCGTCATATAGCTGGAATATTGTTGAGTGCGGCATTAAACAACAAACAAACAAACAAACAAAACTAGGCACCAAAAGAAACTGTATGTATATATATAACTTGATGTGAACTGATACATTGATTGAAGCGTTCATAAAATCTTGCCCATAGTGTTTGGGCGAACACCAGTACCTGAAGCCAGTACTCATGCTTGTTTATATACATATATGTTAATGTGATCCCAAGTACATCAACATATTGACATGAAAATATTAAGTCTACCCTCACCATGGCTGCTCTAGCTTAGACACTATTCCTAGAAGGCATGAATTATATAATGAAAACATTTTATTACTTGATCAAGTGTGAAGTCTGTCGATGACTTGAGTATGATATAAGTAAGCATTTTCTTCATTGTCTTTTCCAGACAGTGCTTGTGGCGCGGCAGGAGATTGCAGCCATTGCTGCGAATGTTGCAGAGCATTTGGCTTGCATGGTAGAGTAACCTTTATTGTCCTGTATTATCAGGAGGTGAGGTAAAGTGGGTTTGATGTTGCTTTCAAGATTTCTGCACTTATAGGGACGTCCATCTGTCCATCTGTCTGCTTATACTTGTCCAGAGTAATGTTGGTTTTATAGTGCTAGCCTATTGAGATACCATGCCGTAGTTTAACATGGATTCCCCACTGAGACATAGTACACCTACTCTGAACAAACAAGGTCCTTGTTTTATTCACTTAATGGTGATCGCCAGGCAGGGTAACAACAAGTATAATCTCTTAACATGTTTTGGTATGACACTGCTGGGGATCAAACTACCAACCTTACACTCAGAAATGGTAGGTTCAACATATAAATCTACATGTTGTTTTAATCGGTGTTACCTCCATGTCAGAATGATGAGATCTGATTGGTCCACGTGATCTTGTTAAAGTACTGTGTAACCAGCCTTGAAAGGGGAATAAATTTCTCAGCCGGTGAATAAATCCCTTATACCCCGCTTCAAAACAAAAAGGTGCACGCTTTTTCCAAGTCAATGGAAGTCATGTGACATAGCGCAAGCTAACTTCAGCTCATAGGAACAGCTGTTTTGCTATTAATTTTGAATTTGTTTGAATTCTTTTACAATGTCATATAAAAACATGTCGGTAAGATAAATTCGCTGTAGCAGGATCACTCTTTGTACATGGGGTTTATGTGTCAAATGTTAGGTTTCATAGGTTAAGTATAAAACAACGCGGGACACATGAAACCCCATGTACCCCCTGCAAGTAATGCCGAGTCAGCGGGTTGTTAATCGTGTTTCATCCCTGTGGGAATTCTGGGTCAGGATGGCACCCCAGTAGCCATACCTGTTGTATGAGATGACTGATGAATTACAAGTGTGTGGTTACAATGCGCGGTTACAATGTGCAGTTACAGTGTGTGGTTACAATGTGTGTTTAAAGTGTATGGTTACAGTGTGTGGTTACAGTGTATGGTTATAGGGTGTGGTTACAGTGTGTGGTTATAGTGTGTAGTTGCAGTATGGTCTCAGTGTGCAGTTACAGCGTGAAGTTACAGTGTGTGGTTACAGTGTGTGGTTACAGTGCATGGTTACGTGTGGTTACAGTGTATGGTTATAAGGTGTGGTTACAATGTGGTTATAAGGTGTGGTTACAACAATGTGTGGTTATCAGGTGTGGTTACAGTGTGCAGTTAAAATGTGTGGTTACAATGTGCGGTTACAGTGTGTGGTTACAGTGTATGGTTATAAGGTGTGGTTACAATTTGTGGTTATAAGGTGTGGTTACAGTGTGCAATTAAAATGTCTGGTTTCAATGTGCGGTTACAGTGTGTGGTTACAGTGTATGGTTATAAGGTGTGGTTACAATGTGTGGTTATAGTGTGAGATTACAATGTGTGGTTGCAGTGTGTGGTTATAAGGTGTGGTTACAGTGTGGTTATAAGGTGTGGTTACAGTGTGCAGTTAAAATGTGTGGTTACAATGTGTGGTTACAGTGTGTGGTTACAGTGTATGGTTATAAGGTGTGGTACAATGTGTGGTTATAGTGTGAGATTACAATGTGTGGTTATAAGGTGTGGTTACAATGTGTGGTTATAAGGTGTGGTTACAGTGTGCAGTTAAAATGTGTGGTTACAATGTGCGGTTACAGTGTGTGGTTATAAGGTGTGGTTACAGTGTGCAGTTAAAATGTGGTTACAATGTGCGGTTACAGTGTGTGGTTACAGTGTATGGTTATAAGGTGTGGTTACAATGTGTGGTTATAATGTGAGATTACAGTGTGTGGTTACAGTGTGTGGTTATAAGGTGTAGTTACAATGTGTGGTTATAGTGTGAGATTACAATGTGTGGTTACAGTGTGTGGTTATAAGGTGAGATTACAATGTGTGGTTACAGTGTGTGGCCTGGATCAAAACTCACAGTGTCAACCACTGGTTTTCCTGGTCTTGACTCAGTTATTTATAGGTGGAACGGACCTGGCTGTAATGTTGCTGTAATAAAGCAACATCCACTCACTAACTCATTGTAGCTTTAGAAGGGTCTAACATTTTTTATTTTTTTTGTTTACCATATGTTATCCAGTCCATATTTTTAGGTCATATAGATATTTTATTATTTATGTTTCTTTCCCAAAATGTCTTTTTGTTAACAGTGAGTTTTCGCAGGTAAAGTGTTCATATTACCAACTGTTATCCTGATGCCTTATTTGTATGTGTTTGATATCTTATTACCCTGGTAGCTGTGTGAGGAAGTGCCAGACAAGTCCGCTTCAGCCAGTCCCTCCACTGTCAGTGTGGTACTGGACACCTGTACCACTCTCTTCCAGCAACTGTTTCTGCAAGACTCGCTCCCACAAGGTAATATGCCCCTTTAACTCATTCAATAGATAGTCCTGATGGCTTCACATAGAAAATACTACAGAATAAAAATTGTTCACATATTTTTTTTTAATATGATCTCCTTTGACTTCGATACACTTGGGGGCGGTGGGGTAGCCTAGTGGTTAAAGAAGTTCGTTCGTCATGCTGAAGACCCGGGTTTGACTCCCCACATGGGCACAATGTGTGGAGCCCATTTCTGGTGTTCCCTGCCGTGATATTGCTGGAATATTTCTAAAAGCGGCATAAAACCATACTCACTCACTCGATACGCTTGGTCCAGTGATACGCCAACTTTCCTATCCCTGCCCTATAGAAGTACAGTAAACTACGTTTATAACGAACATGCTTATAACGAACTGGCGGATATTACAAACTGTTTTTTTGGTCCCGGACATTTGCTGTATATATGATGTATATATGCTTATAACAAACTACTGTTATAAAAAAAACTAACATTTGTGGTCCCTTTGAGTTTGTTATAACCGTAGTTTACTGTATTTATCTTCCTCCCTCAAAGGGCCTTGATGGCTGCCATTAACTCTTGGTTACTGGTAAAACATATGCCTCACAAGCATGATGTGAGTATGGAAGAGGTAAGACTCAGGGGGTGCTTGGTCAGGAGAGATCAATGTCAGAAGGTTTGAGGTTAGGAAAGAAAAGAGTTAGAGGGTTCTAGGTCCGGAGAAGAGTCAGAGGGTGCTGGCTTGGGAGAAGAGTCAGAGGGTGCTAGGTCGGGAGAAGAGTCAGAGGGTGCTAGGTCGGGAGAAGAGTCAGAGGGTGCTAGGTCGGGAGAAGAGTCAGAGGGCACTAGGTCAGGAGAAGAGTCAGAGGGTGCTAGGTCAGGAGAAGAGTCAGAGGGTGCTAGGTCGGGAGAAGAGTCAGAGGGCGCTAGGTCAGGAGAAGGGTCAGAAGGATGCTAGGTCAGGAGAAGAGTCAGAAGGATGCTAGGTCAGGAGAAGAGTCAGGGTGCTAGGTCAGGAGAGAGAAGAGTCAGAGGGTGCTAGGTCGGGAGAAGAGTCAGAGGGTGCTAGGTCAGGAGAAGAGTCAGAGGGTGCTAGGTCAGGAGAAGAGTCAGAGGGTGCTAGGTCGGGAGAAGAGTCAGAGGGCGCTAGGTCAGGAGAAGGGTCGGAGGATGCTAGGTCAGGAGAAGAGTCAGAGGGTGCTAGGTCGGGAGAAGAGTCAGAGGGTGCAAATTGATTTTCAATAAACATGGATGCTTTGGTTACAGACTACCAAGTGATTAACATGCTCAAGGTGATGATAATTGTGATGCGAGGCAGTGGCAGCAACACTTGCGATGCTTTCAATGTCAAGAGTGTCTATCATGGTAAGATGTTTGTGGCACACAAATGACATTTTATCGGGAAATACTCATCTAATCCTTGCACCAACTCTTTTCAGATTACCTTTGACTTTATTGAGACTAGGATCACTTGAGTTTTGCTGATTGCTAATTGTGTATAAGCGTGTAAGTATTGGAGTTCATGTATGGTTAGATTAATGACTGTTGAGGATATCTGGTGAAAGGTTTCTTTTGGAGGAAACAATGTGAAACATGTGTCACAGTCAGCCCTGATCCCTCTGTCATACCCCACAGTCAGCCCTGATCCTCCATCATACCCCACAATCAGCCCTGATCCTCCATCACATCCCACAGTCAGCCCTGATCCCTCCATCATACCCCACAGTCAGCCCTGATCCTCCATCATACCCCACAGCCAGCCCTGATCCCTCCATCATACCCCACAGTCAGCCCTGATCCTCCATCACACCCCACAGTCAGCCCTGATCCCTCCATCATACCCCACAGTCAGCCCTGATCCCTCCATCATACCCCACAGTCAGCCCTGATCCCTCATCATACCCCACAGTCAGCCCTGATCCTCCATCATACCCACAGTCAACCCTGATCCCTCCATCATACCCCACAGTCAGCCCTGATCCCTCCATCATACCCCACAGTCAGCCCTGATCCTCCATCATACCCCACAGCCAGCCCTGATCCCTCCATCATACCCCACAGTCAGCCCTGATCCTCCATCACACCCCACAGTCAGCCCTGATCCCTCCATCATACCCCACAGTCAGCCCTGATCCCTCCATCATACCCCACAGTCAGCCCTGATCCCTCATCATACCCCACAGTCAGCCCTGATCCTCCATCATACCCACAGTCAACCCTGATCCCTCCATCATACCCCACAGTCAGCCCTGATCCCTCCATCATACCCCACAGTCAGCCCTGATCCCTCCGATATACCCAACAGTCAGCCCTGATCCCTCTGTCATACCCCAGATTCAGCCCTGATCCCTCTGTCATACCCCACAGTCAGCCCTGATCCCTCCATCATACCCCACAGTCAGCCCTGATCCCTCTGCCATACCCCACAGTCAGCCCTGATCCCTCCATCATACCCCACAGTCAGCCCTGATCCCTCTGTCATACCCCACAGTCAGCCCTGATCCCTCTGTCATACCCCACAGTCAGCCCTGATCCCTCCATCATACCCCACAGTCAGCCCTGATCCCTCTGCCATACCCCACAGTCAGCCCTGATCCCTCCATCATACCCCACAGTCAGCCCTGATCCCTCCGTCATACCCCACAGTCAGCCCTGATCCCTCTGTCATACCCCACAGTCAGCCCTGATCCCTCCATCATACCCCACAGTCAGCCCTGATCCCTCCATCATACCCCACAGTCAGCCCTGATCCCTCCGATATACCCAACAGTCAGCCCTGATCCCTCTGTCATACCCCAGATTCAGCCCTGATCCCTCTGTCATACCCCACAGTCAGCCCTGATCCCTCCATCATACCCCACAGTCAGCCCTGATCCCTCTGCCATACCCCACAGTCAGCCCTGATCCCTCCATCATACCCCACAGTCAGCCCTGATCCCTCTGTCATACCCCACAGTCAGCCCTGATCCCTCTGTCATACCCCACAGTCAGCCCTGATCCCTCCATCATACCCCACAGTCAGCCCTGATCCCTCTGCCATACCCCACAGTCAGCCCTGATCCCTCCATCATACCCCACAGTCAGCCCTGATCCCTCCGTCATACCCCACAGTCAGCCCTGATCCCTCTGTCATACCCCACAGTCAGCCCTGATCCCTCCATCATACCCCACAGTCAGCCCTGATCCCTCCATCATACCCCACAGTCAGCCCTGATCCCTCCATCATACCCCACAGCCAGCCCTGATCCCTCCATCATACCCCACAGTCAGCCCTGATCCCTCTGTCATACCCCACAGTCAGCCCTGATCTTCCATCATACCCCACAGTCAGCCCTGATCCCTCCATCATACCCCACAGTCAGCCCTGATCCCTCTGTCATACCCCACAGTCAACCCTGATCCCTCTGTCATACCCCACAGTCAGCCCTGATCCCTCCATCATACCCCACAGTCAGCCCTGATCCCTCCATCATACCCCACAGTCAGCCCTGATCCCTCTGTCATACCCCACAGTCAGCCCTGATCCCTCTGTCATACCCCACAGTCAGCCCTGATCCCTCCATCATACCCCACAGTCAGCCCTGATCCCTCCATCATACCCCACAGTCAGCCCTGATCCCTCCATCATACCCCACAGCCAGCCCTGATCCCTCCATCATACCCCACAGTCAGCCCTGATCCCTCTATCATACCCCACAGTCAGCCCTGATCCCTCGATCATACCCCACAGTCAGCCCTGATCCCTCCATCAATCCCCACAGTCAGCCCTGATCCCTCTGCCATACCCCACAGTCAGCCCTGATCCCTCCATCATACCCCACAGTCAGCCCTGATCCTCCATCATACCCCACAGTCAGCCCTGATCCTCCATCATACCCCACAGTCAGCCCTGATCCCTCTGCCATACCCCACAGTCAGCCCTGATCCCTCGATCATACCCCACAGTCAGCCCTGATCCTCCATCATACCCCACAGTCAGCCCTGATCCCTCATCATACCCCACAGTCAGCCATGATACCTCTGTCATACCCCACAGTCAGCCCTGATCCCTCTGTCATACCCCACAGTCAGCCCTGATCCCTCATCTTACCCCACAGTCAGCCCTGATCCCTCCATCACAACCCACAGTCAGCCCTGATCCCTCTGTCATAGCCCACAGTCAGCCCTGATCCCTCTGTCATACCCCACAGTCAGCCCTGATCCCTCCATCATACCCCACAGTCAGTCCTGATCCCTCTGTCATACCCCACAGTCAGCCCTGATCCCTCCATCATACCCCACAGTCAGTCCTGATCCCTCCATCATACCCCACAGTCAGCCCTGATCCCTCCATCATACCCAACAGTCAGACCTGATCCCTCTGTCGTACCCCACAGTCAGCCCTGATCCCTCCATCATATCCCACAGTGCTTAATGCTTATCACATCCCACCGTCAATCCTGATCATATTCTCTCATCACGTTCAGCTCATGCAAGTCTTAAGAATTGAATGGATATATTTCCTTATGTTTCTAGTGGTGAAGTTTGTTGGAAGCCAGGAAGATGACACTCAAAGTGAAAGTATAAAATGGTGCGTGGAATACCTGCTGAGATACACAGATGACCGGATTGTAGCTGATTGTTTATGCAGTAAGTGTCCCTGGGCAAGTCTGCAATGCTGTTGATATACCCATTGTGTTCTGAGGCTCTTGATCAGTTCAAGGTTGACCTTGTTTTATTCAGTTTGTTTGGGTCACCATGGGTGTTTATTTATTAAACTCTTTATCAAACTAAACAAGCACGTCCCACACATAGCAGTAGCATAAACAACTTAGTAGTTTGTATGCATTTAAATGTCAACAGTGCCCATTTTTGGTCATATATTAGTATTCATCTGCAATAGGATTTGCAACCAGTTTCGCTTTGGTGTAAACGAAAATTGATATTTATTTACACTGAAATACCTAATTAACTTAGTAATCAACAAAATATCAAACTCTTAGGTATCATTTTCACAAAACTCATGAACTTTGTATGGTAATTAACTAGACTAATTGTGGTATTCTCTATTTATGTAACATTTAAATACACGGACATCAAATTTTAGTTGTAGGGAAATAACACTCCAACTTTGAAAATATTGAAATATGAATTGGCTTTTTCCTTGTGGATCCAATTTGCTTACTATAGACTCTAGCGACGTCTATCTGAGGAGCGGAGAATGAGAAGTCAACATGATATTATGCACAGTAAAAAATCACATAGTCTCCCTTCAGAGAATTCAGGTAAACAAACAGCTGATAACTAACTTGGTCAATAAAATGTGAAATTTCAGATGAATTATCACCAGACATGATGATTTACAATTTAAATTGTATTTTCTGTTCTGCTAGGCATTATTTTATATGCAGAAATAAAGATTACTGCGTGTATTTTCTCGTAAACTAAGCCAGAAATAGTAATCAGCTGTATGCACATTTTCTACCTATCTACCGGTGATTCAGTTAAAAATATACCCAAAAATATAACTTCAAAGAATTTTGATGCAATGATCTGATGAATTGTATCTGAAACTATTATTTTATCAGAAACAACATATTCCAGTATTTAGTTGCAGCTTTACTACCGGGTATATATATTTATAATAATAATAACCATAAGCACAGCATTATGGAACAAATGTTTGCTATTGCCAGATATATTTACGTATGAACAATTTTATCAGTCACCATTGAAGCCTCCCGCATTCTTGCTACAACAAATGAATGAAAACAAAATGTGAATATTGTAATTACAATTGACAAGGGTTATGTGTATAATATCAGGCAGTTACCTTGTTAGAGGAATGTATCCGTCAATATCCACACAAAGGACCAATATTCCTTACATCTGAAGCTGTACAATGAAACTTGTTCCAAGTCACAGGTCTATGTAACAATCTAACATTTTAAAGTATATATAGTGTTTCCAGATATTATAACCCGTGTTCTTCTCTCAACTGATCATGCAAGTTTGTTTCAGGTGTTTCACATCGTGTCATGTCTCATTGTCAGCTGAGACAGCACACGTGAAAACTATATTCATGGATGTCCATGGTTCTTTAAAATTACAGTGAGCAATCAATCAAAGTATTATGAGCACTGGCTAATCCTTTCAACAAAGTGTGTTGTTTTCACGTAGGCACTTCAAGCCCAGATACGGGTGTATTCTGTGTGCTTTAGTAAACCTACATGTATAAACAATTACTCTTGGCAAATCTACTGTGCAAGGGGGCACGGGTGGCCCAGTCGTCTAAGGCTCTGCGATTCACTGTGCAGAGTTGCGTCCTTTGGGCACGCCCAAAACCTATGATTGTGGGTTCGAATCCCGGTTTGCCACGATTATGTTTCTAGGTTTGTCAGCACCATACCCATGCGAGTGGGTTTCACCGAAGTGGTAAACGTCTGAGACCTGCATCACTTCTGGCTTTCCTCTCACATTAAGCTGACACGCCGTGACATAACTGGAATACTGTTAAAAGCGGCGTTAAACCCAACTCACTCACTGTGCAAGATCAATCAACCTATTATCGATCAATGTTATTTGCTGCTCAACTGACCATTTCTCTCTTGCTGCAATGCCACGTGCATATTACATGACATGTAATACATTCACCACATCAGACCTGGACTTATATGTCCCAGTCTTAGATTAATACCCCAGACACCAGAAATGCCAAATGCGAACTACTGATTGCGATATATAAGATTCTTATCAAATTACTTGAACATTACTTAAAAATACAAAATAACAAGGTAACTGACTCACAAATGCTGATTGACTTGTGGTCTGATCATTTTTAGTCGGTCCTATCCTTGTCCAAAACAAAGGCTTCATGATGAAACTGGACAGAATTTTGTCAGGCAGTTGCCATACAGAGGTGGACTCAGTCATGAGATTGGTTTCCTGGCTAGCAGATACAGCAGGGCCAGAAGGTGAGGTAAGTCTAGCCAGAGGTGGACAAATAACACTAGACATAGGTGGACAGTGACAAGACTAGACAGAGGTGGACAGAGGGACCAGACTAGACAGAGGTGGACAGAGGGACCAGACTAGACAGAGGTGGACAGATAACACTAGACAGAGGTGGACAGAGTGACCAGACTAGACAGAGGTGGACAGAGGGACCACACTAGACAGAGGTGGACAGAGGGACCACACTAGACAGAGGTGGACAGAGTGACCAGACTAGACAGAGGTGGACAGATAACACTAGACAGAGGTGGACAGAGTGACCAGACTAGACAGAGGTGGACAGAGGGACCACACTAGACAGAGGTGGACAGAGGGACCACACTAGACAGAGGTGGACAGAGTGACCAGACTAGACAGAGGTGGACAGATAACCCTAGACAGAGGTGGACAGAGTGACCAGACTAGACAGAGGTGGACAGATAACACTAGACAGAGGTGGACAGAGTGACCAGACTAGACAGAGGTGGACAGATAACCCTAGACAGAGGTGGACAGAGTGACCAGACTAGACAGAGGTGGACAGATAACACTAGACAGAGGTGGACAGAGTGACCAGACTAGACAGAGGTGGACAGAGTGACCAGACTAGACAGAGGTGGACAGATAACACTAGACAGAGGTGGACAGATAACCCTAGACAGAGGTGGACAGAGTGACCAGACTAGACAGAGGTGGACAGAGTGACCAGACTAGACAGAGGTGGACAGAGTGACCACACTAGCCAGAGGTGGACAGAGGGACCAGACTAGACAGAGGTGGACAGATAACCCTAGACAGAGGTGGACAGAGTGACCAGACTAGACAGAGGTGGACAGATAACACTAGACAGAGGTGGACAGATAACACTAGACAGAGGTGGACAGATAACCCTAGACAGAGGTGGACAGAGTGACCAGACTAGACAGAGGTGGACAGAGTGACCAGACTAGACAGAGGTGGACAGATAACACTAGACAGAGGTGGACAGAGTGACCAGACTAGACAGAGGTGGACAGAGGGACCACACTAGACAGAGGTGGACAGAGGGACCACACTAGACAGAGGTGGACAGAGTGACCAGACTAGACAGAGGTGGACAGATAACACTAGACAGAGGTGGACAGAGTGACCAGACTAGACAGAGGTGGACAGAGGGACCACACTAGACAGAGGTGGACAGAGGGACCACACTAGACAGAGGTGGACAGAGTGACCAGACTAGACAGAGGTGGACAGATAACCCTAGACAGAGGTGGACAGAGTGACCAGACTAGACAGAGGTGGACAGATAACACTAGACAGAGGTGGACAGAGTGACCAGACTAGACAGAGGTGGACAGAGTGACCAGACTAGACAGAGGTGGACAGAGTGACCAGACTAGACAGAGGTGGACAGATAACACTAGACAGAGGTGGACAGAGTGACCAGACTAGACAGAGGTGGACAGAGTGACCAGACTAGACAGAGGTGGACAGATAACACTAGACAGAGGTGGACAGATAACCCTAGACAGAGGTGGACAGAGTGACCAGACTAGACAGAGGTGGACAGAGTGACCAGACTAGACAGAGGTGGACAGAGTGACCACACTAGCCAGAGGTGGACAGAGGGACCAGACTAGACAGAGGTGGACAGATAACCCTAGACAGAGGTGGACAGAGTGACCAGACTAGACAGAGGTGGACAGATAACACTAGACAGAGGTGGACAGATAACACTAGACAGAGGTGGACAGATAACCCTAGACAGAGGTGGACAGAGTGACCAGACTAGACAGAGGTGGACAGAGTGACCAGACTAGACAGAGGTGGACAGAGTGACCACACTAGCCAGAGGTGGACAGAGGGACCAGACTAGACAGAGGTGGACAGATAACCCTAGACAGAGGTGGACAGAGTGACCAGACTAGACAGAGGTGGACAGATAACACTAGACAGAGGTGGACAGAGTGACCAGACTAGACAGAGGTGGACAGAGGGACCACACTAGCCAGAGGTGGACAGAGGGACCAGACTAGACAGAGGTGGACAGAGTGACCACACTAGCCAGAGGTGGACAGATAACACTAGACAGAGGTGGACAGAGTGACCACACTAGCCAGAGGTGGACAGAGTGACCAGACTAGACAGAGGTGGACAGAGTGACCACACTAGCCAGAGGTGGACAGATAACACTAGACAGAGGTGGACAGAGTGACCACACTAGCCAGAGGTGGACAGATAACACTAGACAGAGGTGGACCATGACCAGACTAGACAGAGGTGGACAGAGTGACCAGACTAGACAGAGGTGGACAGATAACACTAGACAGAGGTGGACAGAGTGACCAGACTAGACAGAGGTGGACAGATAACCCTAGACAGAGGTGGACAGAGTGACCAGACTAGACAGAGGTGGACAGTGACAAGACTAGACAGAGGTGGACAGATAACACTAGACAGAGGTGGACAGATAACACTAGACAGAGGTGGACAGAGTGACCACACTAGACAGAGGTGGACAGATAACCCTAGACAGAGGTGGACAGAGTGACCAGACTAGACAGAGGTGGACAGTGACAAGACTAGACAGAGGTGGACAGAGGGACCAGACTAGACAGAGGTGGACAGAGGGACCAGACTAGACAGAGGTGGACAGATAACACTAGACAGAGGTGGACAGAGTGACCACACTAGACAGAGGTGGACAGAGGGACCACACTAGACAGAGGTGGACAGAGGGACCACACTAGACAGAGGTGGACAGAGTGACCAGACTAGACAGAGGTGGACAGAGGGACCAGACTAGACAGAGGTGGACAGATAACACTAGACAGAGGTGGACCATGACCAGACTAGACAGAGGTGGACAGAGGTGGACAGAATGACCAGACTAGACAGAGGTGGACAGAGATGAGGTATAAGGTAGACTATTTGAATTAAATTAATCTGCATTGCTTTTCCTGTAGGTTCCCTACCAAATCCATGTGAGCCACATCTTCTTGCTGGATACTGTCACAACAGGCGATGGAGCCACCCCTGCTGGAGTCCTCAGTCTGCTGTCTGCAGCCCTGTCTGTCCCCCCCAGCACACAGGGGCCTGTCGTGTTCAGTAGAGACAGACTTATACAGGACACTCCTCTGTTCACTGCCGGGGACGTCAGGACTCTCTACTTCCATCTCCAGCAGCTGGTGTGTCAGGTTGGTTCAGAAAGATATTTATCTTACCTCCTTGTCAGAATGTTGAGTTCTGATTGGTACACGTGATCTTGATAAAATACTATGTATCCTTCCTGGGAGGGAAATATATTTCTGAGTGGGAGAATAAATTCCTTATACTCACCACGAAGAAAACAGGCTGCATGTAAATTTCTGAGTGGGTAATTAATCCATTACACCCCGCTACGAAGCAAAAACCTGCACGTTGTTTACGAGTTAGTGAAACAGCACAAGTTAACCTCAGTCCAATCAAACAGCTATTTTCTATCAATTTTCGGTTTGTTATAATTCTTTTACAATGGAAGATTGAAAAATGTCGGCAAGATAAAGTCGTTGTAGCTTCAGCTTGTGGTATAAAACCTAACACGGGATGCATAAGACCAAATATACCCCTCGTGATGGTACAACAACTTATACTGTACACTGTGTAGTGTTTGTCTAGTCAACATAAGTGAAACCCTATTGTGACATGCAGACAGTCCTTCCCAATTACATGTTCTTCTGTATTTGATCCTATATCAATCCATCCTTGTGTTTGAGATTATTGAGTGTAACAAAACAACTGATATGCTGTAATTAACTCATCTTATTGTTCCATTTGTATCTCACCGGATTGAGAGTCAAGTGAGGTTTTGCTGTGGCATATTGTGTATCTTTCTGTCTAGTTGTATATGACACAAGGTCTATTAAGCTTGAACTTTGCTGTGAATCTCAAGAGGTTGCTCACAAATCTGATTCCAGTTATCCAGTTATAAACATGAAATTGTCATCTGTAACCATTATTTAGCCAATTTGCATGTATCATGCTGAGTATGTTCAGAATAACATATTTTTTTCATATTTTACAACCTACCTGTCATCAATTTTCACCATGGCTGCCATGGCAGCAGTATTGAAAACGTCACTTTGCCCATGACTCAGACATGTCTGCAGGATTATCATGAAGAGTCATATGAAAGTATGTGCTATGCCCACTAACATGTTTATATTAGGCTGTATTTAAGACAATAATGAGTTCAATAAAACACTGCAGGGAGAATGAACCATGAGGGGTGTAGCGGAGCCCCTCAGTTTCTTTTCCCTGCAGTGTTTTATTGTATGATAAACAACAACCAAAAGTCATTTATTTCTTATATGAGATTTCAACATTATGTACAGTCTCTTTAGTGATGTTGATAAAATGTACATGTTTTAAGAATATTTACCTGTTTTTAAATAAGGATGACTCCCTGAATACAATCCGACCTCAAGTCCATTTTATGAACAGGGGGGTAACTTTGGTATTTTTCCCGATATTCTTACAATTTTCACGTTGATTATCTGTACCTCTTCTCCCATTACCGATTGCCATATCTCGCTCAGTTTTTGATGCAATCGTTCGGCCATTGCGTTTATCTACATTGCCCAGCTACATTAATGGGGAACAACTCACGAGAGTTGCACAACCCGTCCCTGGTGTTGCCTAGATCACCCCAATCTTTGCCGCCTATAGTAAGTTGTTAGGGTCACACCCTTCACAGGACATCTTGCTTTTAGGCGGGCTGCATAGAGTTTTTAACAGTAGATATTGAAAATCGCCTTCCTGTTATTGTACAGAATTCTTTATTGATAACTATCATAATAGGAACAAATTTGAAGCTATGGCATGGTGTCATTAATGTCATGGGACGATCTTGTCTAGATGTTGTTTGTTTTAGCTTGCCATGCCCAGGTCTTGTTGCAACCCCCCGTTTGATGCTACGTGTCCCACAATCAAGAAGTTACATTTTCTTATTTGCCAAACATTTTGGCAGCTGGGGATATAAACGTCCCCTCTTCTATCAAACTCACAATTCACCATTTTGTCTGTTCATTGGATACTGTCATTGATTCATTTATAACATGTTCATAGCTCAGTTGCATTGGTGATTGTGAGTTTCCCTATAGGCACACACACTTTGGCTTCTGTGTGCATTTGCATCCTGGGATGTTCATGCAATTTTATTGTGATTAGATGTTGCGTTCCGATGCAACGCCACAGTATTGTACATGTACACCTCATCAATAGCCACCTTCAAATCATTAGAATTGCCTTATTTTTTGTCGGTAGTATATATAATTATCACTGCTGTTTTGCCTTTTAAGCCTAATGGAATCTGTTGGCTCAAAATTGAGTGTTCAATGGATAAATTTGACGTTAATTTCTTATTATTGTATTTAAAATATTTTGTCGGTATTAGTTTGCAATACAAATTGTTTACAAATATGTCCTTAATTGTCTCATTCAAAGGCAAATAAAGAAATGTGTAGAATGCTTTTCAGGATTGCCAGGTTGTCTTCAACTTGGCACTAGAGTGTATATACAAGCTGTACAAATATGCTGCCACAGTGCACAAGGCTCTAGGTAGGAAGTGGTTTCTTTGCTGTACTTCGTAAAGCAGGAAATACATCCAGTCCATTAATGAGATTGTTCGGACTGCCAGAACCCCAGTTGTTTCACTGGAATAATATAAGGCTTTAGTATTTCTCATCACTGTACACAGGTTTAGTTTCAATTGAGTATGCAAAGTCCAAGAACAGTAGTTTTTAGTTTGAGATGAAATATGAAAATACAGGCAGGGTATTGTGTTACTTGTTAGGACTTTGGTACTCATGGTTTATTAGCCAGTTACTGCAGTAATGGCATACAAAAGTGGTTTTACGAAATTACTAATGTTCAACCCTTTGTATAGACGTTGAAATAAATAAGCACAAAGCTGCTTATAATGCCATTTTAGATCACTATCATATAGTTACAAAACTCACAATTGTAATGATCAAATTCCATATCAATCATCACATCAACACTGGCCGCAAATATGTTCTTTATACATGCATAATGAAATTGCTTTCTGCAGCCAAAACACCATAGCCAGTCACTCCTATCAATGTGAAAAACTACAGTTCTGTCTTCAATAATTAGTACACTGTCTGAAAGAGCACTATCAATAGTAGCAAATCCACATTTAGCGCAGGTCATAACATCTTGTTCATCAAAAGCATCAGAGTAGTCTGAGTGACTATTTTTAAAAAAAATTCTTATAACTGACTGTGGGAAAGTTATTTGTCAGGTATAGGGTTAAAAAAAGAATTCTTGAAGAAAAACAAAGCTATGTACTGGGAATAACTTTCGAAACTGTACAAATATGCTGCCACAGTGCACAAGGCTCTAGGTAGGAAGTGGTTTCTTTGCTGTACTTCGTAAAGCAGGAAATACATCCAGTCCATTAATGAGATTGTTCGGACTGCCAGAACCCCAGTTGTTTCACTGGAATAATATAAGGCTTTAGTATTTCTCATCACTGTACACAGGTTTAGTTTTAATTGAGTATGCAAAGTCCAAGTACAGTAGTTTTTATGAATCCTATTCCCTAATCTAAGTACAGTCAAGTCCTGTTAATCTGACATGGTTGGTTGCATATGATTATGTCGGATTAACGAGCATGTCGGATAAACGAAATTAAGTAGTATCAACGTTCGTGTTTGAAAATTGGACAACTACATGATAAATAACGATACAAATATGTTGTTACAAGAAAAGGAAAAAGGAAATATTTATATTGTTATGTTACATTGATAGTGGAATATGTTTTCTAATCATGCAATCTCTAAAGCTTAACACAAACCTACTGTTACAGGCTGCATGACTGTATGACTCTGCAATTGTTCAAGCTATGGGGGAACACTAGCGTTATTTCATCAATTCAAAATAAGGCTGCATTGATTTGTATCTTATTAATATATTTCTTATTGGTACAAATAATATGTTTTTTGTGATAAAACCTTATTGAATGTAAATTTAAACATAAACATATTTTGCAGCAAGCCAGCTGTCCAGCCATCCGTGGAACAAGCTGTGGCTGGAGACTGTGCTACATGCCTCCTGGGACCTTGGTGGACTGAGCCGGGAGATGCTGCAGCTTCTACAGATGGTAACTGTGTACTGCAACCTTGATGTAGCCCCCGAACTGACTTGGCCACTATGCTTTGTTTGTTTGTTTGTTGTTTAACGCCGTACTCAGCAATACTCCAGCTATATGACGACGGTCTGTAAATAATCGTAGCTGGACCAGACAGTCCAGTGATTGACATCATGAGCATCAATCCACACATTTGAGATACGATGACATGCATCAACCAAGTCAGCGAGCCTGACCACCCGATCCCGTTAGTCGCCTCTTATGACAAGCATGGGTTGCTGAAGGCCTATTCTACCCCGGATCTTCACGAGTCACAAGCATGGGTTGCTGAAGACCTATTCTACCCCGGATCTTCACGGGTCACAAGCATGGGTTGCTGAAGACCTATTCTACCCCGGATCTTCAGGGGTCTGGGCACTATGCTCAATCTAGACACACAAGATACACTAGACACACTTAAAGGGGTTCTTGGCTCTTGATGAAACTTGCTATACAGATCAGTCTAGTGGTGAAGTGGTGCCTTTTGATGATTTGGGATTTTGAAAATTACTGAACAGCATTATTGTACTGAATAGCCCCAGACCTTGGGGACTCTTGTTAATGGTAGATATTGAAATTCTTTATTGATAACTATCATAACAGGAGCAGATTTGAATCTGTTGTGTAGCAATTAAATATCATGGGATGGTCTTGTCTAGGTGTCGTTTGTTTTGGCCTGTCTTGCCCAGGTCTCAATGCAACCACACCCGTTTGATGCTACGTGTCCCACAATCGAGAAGTTACTTTTTTTGATTTGCCAGACATTTGGGCAGCTTGGGATTTTGATGTCCCCTCCTCTATCATACTCACAATTCACCATTTTGTCTGTTCATTGGATACTGTCTTGGATTCATTTTTAAACATGTTCTTAGGCCAGTTGCATTGGTGATTGTGAGTTTCCCTATAGGCACACACACTTTGGCTTCTGTGTGCATTTGCATCCTGGGATGTTCATGCAATTTTATTGTGATTAGATGTTGCGTTCCGATGCAACGCCACAGTCTTGTACATGTACACCTCATCAATAGCCACCTTCAAATCATTAGTTCCCTTATTTTTTTGGGTAATACTGTATATAAATTATCACTGCTGTTTTGCCTTTCAAGCCTAATGGAATCTGTTTCAGCAGATAACTGAGACTGTTTTTTCTCTGGTGTTAACGTTTTGTATTTACAAGAAGTACAGTTAGAACAAATGAACAGGACATCTTATTTATTATTATTATCAGATCTAATTTCAAAGAGTCAATCAGGAGATAAGCCTACAGTGTTTTGAAATTTGAGGTAGCCTAACTTGATTAGATAACTCTTATTTGATTTGGAAGTGTGCACTTCAGTAGTCCCCTTGTAACAAACAGGTGTAGATTTTGTGCAGATAGTGAGTGAGTGAGTGAGTTGGGTTTAATGCCGTTTTTAACATTATTCCAGTTATATCACGGCGTGTCAGCTTAATGTGGGAGGAAAGCCCAAAGTGATGCAGGTCTCAGATGTTTACCACTTCGGTGAAACCCACGAGTATGGTGCTGATAAACCTAGAAACATAATCAGGGCAAACGGGGATTCGAACCCACAATCATAGGTTTCTGGCGTGCCCAAGGGACGCAATTAAGCAGGGGATATAGAAACAGAGTTTGTCCATCCTTTTGTCCATCTGTCCGCTCTTCAAAAGGGGACAAATTTTCTTGAATACTATTTAAGTCAGAGAAATGAAATATTACTCACTGATGTTACTGGTCATGATCTCAAATGAGTTCAAAACTTGGTGTCATAAATTCATTTTTTAGAGTTATGGCCCCTCTCTGTGCTTTTCAAGTTAGTGCATACTGCATGAAATGAGGACAAGTTTTCTCAGAAAGTACTGAAGTTAAATGAATGAAAGCATGCTTATCTAAGAGATACTTTTCAAGACTTAGTTAAAAAATTGGTCCTGTAAATTATTTTTTACAGAGTTATGACCCTTGATCCATGTTATTTTACTTGGTGCATAGTGTATGCAATGAGGACAGGTTTTCTAAGAAACTACTAAAGTTAGCTTATCTGAGAGAGACTTATCAAGACAGAGTTATTTTTTCAGAGAAAGGGCCTTTTGTGTGTATTAATTTCACATTTAATCATTTTTTTCTGACTACATAAAGCAACCCTAGTGCCTATCTCTTTTTTAGGCTTTATAGGACTCTTTTTCATAGTTTATATTCACTACTATATGAACAGACAAAATTTGAATGTGTCCCATGGCGGGGGGAAAGTGATAACACTGTTTTTGTTGTTGTCATGGCTCAAGAAAATATGTTGCCGATAGAACAAAGATCAAAAACTTGTTTGGTTGTCATGCTAGAAAACTGAATGAAATATGTGTGGAATGAAATGCAGGTGTTTATATGAAACATATTACATCATCAGCTGAGTGACTTCCCCACATGCCAGGAACTGATAGCTGTGTCCGGGGAAACCTTTCTACATGCAGTACTCAAGTCCCCTCTACAGGAACATGAGGCTCAACGTGTCGCACACATATTATCAAAGGTTATGTTATTTCCAAAACTAACCCCACTTTCAGTTCATGAACTTTGAGTTCATGAGTCTTGTGTACAAACATTAGCTACACACTGGTCAGTTATTGGGCATTAGGTGACTGGAGATCACTTGATTAAGTTGAGAGGGTATGATCATTGAAGTTAAAGTAAAGTAAACCACCATTCATGAGAATGAAATTATTTTTCACTGATTTGAACTGAAATCTGTGAATTGTATGTTAACATGGTGTCCCAATAAGTGCCCCCATTCCAGTAACAAACAACCCTCAAAACACCATGCATATATATATATATATATATATATATATATAATAAAATAATAAAGTCCACGTTAGTCCATCATCTTCTTTATATCAGTTTCATACATAGTACTTTCGCTGTCTCATGACAGCTCTTCACTGATTATTTTATTATATATTACATGTACACCGAGTGAACATTTACCTCATTTTTGTATATATATATATATATATATATATATATATATATATATTTGATATGAGTGAAAATATTGCTTACTCATCAGAGATTAATTATTAGTATCCTATTTAGTAAGCCTTTCACCTCTGACTTAGCTGTAAAATGCAGTTGGAACTGTAGAATATGTTGAATAGAAATCGCACATGAAGGTTAGAGTTTAGAATAAACAACCTTTGAGTCGACTGTAATGGTAAAAATGTGAAGATCAACAGAAATACATGTGCCTGCATTGATCATGTTCAACGGTGTGTCTTTTTGCTGGTGGTTGCAGTGCATGTTGGTGCTGAAGAAAACTGTGAAGCCTCACCTCCTCCAGCAGGTGGAGAACCACCTCGGTCAGCCAGTGAGGTAGTGGGTGTCGTCAGGGAAAGACTGACCCACAGAAGTAATAGAAATAGACACTTGGCCTTACTTCTAGCACTGCTGACTCCAGGGTAGAAGACTCTGAAGCCTCACCTCCTCCAGCAGGTGGAGAACCACCTCGGTCAGCCAGTGAGGTAGTGGGTGTCGTCAGGGAAAGACTGACCCACAGAAGTAATAGAAATAGACACTTGGCCTTACTTCTAGCACTGCTGACTCCAGGGTAGGAGACTATGAAGCCTCACATCAGTAGTGTTTGTCATCAGGAAACACCGAACCTCAAAACAACAAATATTAAAAGACACTTGTACTCCCAGCACTACGGAATCCAGGCTAGGAGACTAGAAAGGAACAACAGTGTGGACATCATCAGTGTGAATGGAGTTAACTATGATCATGCACAACGGAAGCAATCCCATTAGTTTTGTGTGGGTCCCGTAGGTCACCTCGGCCAGCACTGGGGGAGATCCTACTGGAACTAGCTCACTGATGGGGCTTATCGTTACCGGTACATGGCATGTACAGGAGGATTCTTACTTCCTCTTTTCTCTGAATCAAAGTATATACTATCTGTTAAGCATACAATAAGCTATTTTAAAAATCAGCTATAAGCGAAAGAATAAAATAATAATAATAATAAAAATCCTGGGATTTCCAGGTTTCTGTGTATTTAGCATAATAAACAGTGTGGATACCAGGTGTCAAACATTGTGCAGGAATTACTATGAGCTATGGTTTGCAGGTGTGGTGAGTCAGAACAGTTTAAACCATTTCCTAATGCAGGATGATGTTGAATGTGTACTGTGGCTGTTACTGATGGATGATGTTGAATGTGCACTGTGGCTGTTACTGACGGATGATGTTGAATGTGTACTGTGGCTGTTACTGACGGATGATGTTGAATGTGCACTGTGGCTGTTACTGACGGATGATGTTGAATGTGCACTGTGGCTGTTACTGATGGATGATGTTAAATATGCACTATGGCTGTTACTGATGGATGATGTTGAATGTGCACTGTGGCTGTTACTGACGGATGATGTTGAATGTGTACTGTGGCTGTTACTGACGGATGATGATGAATGTGCACTGAGGCTGTTACTGACGGATGATGTTGAATGTGCACTGTGGCTGTTACGGACGGATGATGATGAATGTGCACTGAGGCTGTTACTGACGGATGATGTTGAATGTGCACTGTGGCTGTTACTGACGGATGATGTTGAATGTGCACTGTGGCTGTTACGGACGGATGATGATGAATGTGCACTGAGGCTGTTACTGACGGATGATGTTGAATGTGCACTGTGGCTGTTACTGACGGATAATGTTGCAAGCTTGGACTTTATTAACTGGACCTGAGGAAAGGTCAAGCAGATGTTCTAAAACAAATGAAGAACACTCATATCACATGCCATCTTTTTATTTTATTTTTGATTATCTTTGTCACTACTGTCTGATGAACGTTTGATAAAGCTCTGAGTATATACACAATATACATGGAAAACCTACACTGCACCATGTGCTCACGTCAGAACATCGAGTGTCATGAGACAACGCCAGCTATCCACCATGTTGTATCACTGGGAACACCTTCAGTGCTGTTTGTTCATATTTCAGAAACTCCATGTTTAGTTTTTTCAAGATGTGCACCGTTATTTGGTGTTTCTGTGACGGTGATAATCATTGAGGAAAAACCCTTATTATCAACTGTTCATTTCGAATAATAAAATTCTTACAAAAAGATTTGAAATATGATTAATCAAAAACTATGTGAGGATAGCTAGAGCTGCACCATGACACTTATACACCTGGGATAACCAAATCTTTCTCCTCCGACGCTTCATTTACATCCCCTTGGTTGAATGACTCTAGTTTGGTGGAATATTGTATGCTGAGATATTTCCAAACTTGCTAAAACAAACATACATGTTCATTTAATCAACACATTTAGTAGAGTGGAGCTCAAGATATGTTTTCATGCTTTTGTCTTAATGGAAATCGTGCCACAACAGTTCGAAGCTACATGACTATTTCACTCTGAGTGATTAACAGAAATCAGATTCAAGCCACTGCGTCAGTTTCACCCAGGTGTCCACGAACTTGTGGAGGAATCCAGCTCTACCAGTGAACGTTGTCAACATTGTATGTACGTAGAGGACTACCTCCGGAATGTTACACTAACAAACACATCTACTCCTGTACTTCCACTAACCACTCTAGGATGATAGGATTGATGCAGTATCACATACTGGGCTTTAATAAACCCCACTTTACAGTGGTGGATATTCCCCAATCCCAAAAAATAATAAATAAAAAACAATTTTATTTGTAAAATTACTCATGGTTCACCATGACAAAAAAAAACCTGAAAGTACCCACTTTTTTTTAAATTTCTAATGACAATGTATGAAGTGTACTCCCTTTCCACTGAGAGTATATTCCTAACATGTGTCCTCCACCTTCTGCCTTACACCAGGGAGAATTAAATGAAAGTATTTTGTTGGAGGGTAATATATACATATATGTGCTAAATTCAATCCACCAAATAGGACACTGGTCAAGTACAGTTTCAATGTCGCCCATCTGTCCAGAATGTTCCTGACATCATTCCTTGTTGGAATTGATGACCTATGGTTGGAACCGATACCTATTGTTTCCTCAACTGCTGTAAATCTACATGATATGAAGTTATATGAAGTTTTCTTGTCTGTATTAATGATACTGCAAAAATCTAATGAAAATATGCAATTGAAACCTTCATATTACACGACTCTTCTTGTATACTATGTTGATATCACAGGTATGAGAATTGTGAAACATTGACAAATCACTTGATGACTTTACATAATATGTGATGTGTTTATGGTACTCATTCTGTTTGCCCCTTGGCTAGTCCAAGATGAGAACTATCACCCTATAGCATTCAGCATGTCAAGACCCTTGGCTAGTCCAAGATGAGAACTATCACCCTATAGCATTCAGCATGTCAAGACCCTTGGCTAGTCCAAGATGAGAACTATCACCCTATAGCATTCAGCATGTCAAGACCCTTGGCTAGTCCAAGATGAGAACTATCACCCTGTAGCATTCAGCATGTCAAGACCCTCAGATGGTCAACATTCTTACTGGCTTCAACAACTAGGGCTTCCATCAGTAACTAAGGTTATGCATACACTACAAAAAATATTCCACAAAAGCCTCATTCACGCAAAACATGCACTCACACATAAACATAGGTAGCATTTGAGTCAGTTGCATGCATTTAATTTTCATGATACTTGCACTGTTTGATTTCAAAATGATAGAAAAAAATTAATTTGATATATGACTTATGAGAACTATTGCAACATATATGGCCTGTATGTCAGGTGCAATTGTAGCCAGGTAACTAACAGTCCTAACAAGAAATATATTTAACAATATATGTGACAAGCCATTTTCCTTCTAAAGACATATTTATTCTCAAGACTATTACTACAAAGTACACTACTTGTGTTCCTCTCTCTCCCTTGCATACAAGTAAGCACCACAACTGCTGTGAGATGGAAGGTCCTCCAACTGTTATACGAACATAACACCATGCCCTTGCCAATGATATTACCAGGGTTTCCCTGGACCAACATTTCCTCATCAAATGTCATTTTCACTGACAATTTCCTAGCTGTCTGACATAGGATACAGTGATCTCATCACTGCATCTCTCCAGCTTCATACAGCCAAATGGCCTGTCATCGTAAGTTCAGTGATGGCTATGGCAAACATATAGTGTTAAAGGGGGCTATGTCCTGGGAAAGTTACATCCCCAGCAAGTTTTATTCAAGTCTTAAGACAATCTTTGTGAGTTTGGGGACTTATATTTCATGATATTGATTGATTTAGCAGTTACTTTTGTCCATATCACACAGGCAATCACCATTAATCCATTATGATGTTGTCACTCTACTGTTGATGCAGTCGATTCTGAGCCAGGAATTCATTCAGAATACAAGATCATTATGCAAAATAATAGAGAAATCATAAACCAACCATAACATAGTTGAAGTTGGAGAAATCACTTGAATCTGCTGATTCCTGAAGGGGCAAGTTGATTCTACTCCTGGGATCAACAGATTCTCAGGATCTCTCCATTACCTAATTACCCCCCCCCCCCCCCCAAAAAAAAAAACACAACATCTTAAAGACTGGAACAGTAAGTGGGCATGAGACCATGGAACCTTTAATTAGACAGGGCTTTTTAAATTTAGCATCTCCCCATTTTTTGTAATGACACCATGTGTCTGAGATATGGCTGACATCTTGAACCAATATGAACCTGGTTGTGTTATGAAACTATCTGCCACACCTGACCCACTGTCATAGCCCATAAAGCCTTAAAGACCAACAGAGCACCGATGAAGGCTGTCTACAAACAGAATGAGTAAGATAAACCCCACTTGAACACAGCATGTAACAACAAACAACATCCTTATATAACAACCGGATCACGTAAAAATAACAATTCACATTTTGAATACTATTCTTTCATTTCACATATACATATAAATATTATTCTAAAATACTAGCTGAAATAGACTCATAAAAATGTACATCCCATTTACAAAAACCATGGGTCCACATTGACCACACCAATAAAATCAGTCTCAACATGGAAAATAAATATGAAAAGTTGATAGACTTTGGAATCTGTTTTAGATTGGTTGATACAAGGCTATACCTCTCTGGTTGATACGAGGCTATACCTCCCTCACAAGGCCTAATACTTGGACAACACTTTCAGAATTAGTTAGCCTTGTCTAACTACTAATATGAATTGTTTCACTCCACTCGACAGCAATCATTTTTGAAAAATATTTGTGAATCTGGTAAGGATTTGTTTCGGTTGATATTAATGGTGGGACAATTTGCATCACTGGATTGCGATATTTTGCTTCCCAATTCAAGTATCGATCACAGTTGTACACTAAGTAAAAAATATCGATTCATACCTTAAATGTTTGCTTCCATGGCTGTTACACCAAACACTAATTAGTAGTAAAAAGTAGTGAAAACAAAAATATTTTTATCCATTGCGCCATACACGACACTGCCAACTGTAAATCATCAGTGTGCCAGGTATTTGGCCATCCTGTGTATTGAAAAGATGGCTTACACACCACATATAAGAGCACATACAAGTATCGTGATATGTATCGGACCGTGAACAAGGTATCGTGATACATATCAGATCGCAGTTGGTGTATCGTTCCAGCCCTAGTTGATATGGATGAACTGTTTTATTATTCTGATCATGGTTTTGCTTGGCATATTTTGCAAGAGTGGAGAAAGTAATGAAACCAAAGAACCAGTCATTTATTACAGGGGGTGTGGGTTAGAGGTATTGGATGCACTAATATACTGAAGATAATCACCCTCCCCTTATGCTGATCATAATTTGGGAGGGGGCACGGGTGGCCCAGCTGTGCAGAGTTGCGTCTATTGGGCACGCCAGAAACCTATGACTGGGTTCGAATCCTGGTTTGATTATGTTTCTATGTTTGTCAGCACCATACCCGTGCTTGTGGGTTTCACCGAAGTGGTAAACATTTGAGACCTGCATCACATGAGCTTTCCTCCAACATTAAGCTAACACGCCGTGATATAACTGGAATACTGTTCAAAGCGGCGTTAAACCCAACTCACTCATTCATATTTTTGGATGACCCATGTCCTTATACACTTTTACTTGACCCTCCCTGAAAAGACAAAATGCAAAAGCGCTCTATATTTTATTTTAAAATTTCCAAATTTTTTTAAGCCTCCCCTAGAGACTTTTATATTTTTTGGCGACCTTCCCATGATTCCCTGTTGCCTGCCCACCTCTGTGATAAATGACTGGTCCCTAATGTGTTTCTGCAAGAATATGAACTGTTCTTTGTTCTTAGGATGAGGTGCTGCACTGCAGGATCATTGACAACTCAACAAACTGCAGCAGTGGCATAGAAGAGAAAGGATATGCACATATCATGTAAAGCAACTAAAATACTCAGTTAATTTATTACTCCCTACTTTGGAACCTCCCAACTGCAAGGTGACCACACTTTTATAAGTGTGTGATCCATGAAGAAGACATGGCGGTCTCAACACCTAACGGCTGACCCAGGCCCAGGTCAGAACTTACAGAAATAACTGAATTTTCAGTTTCTTATATTCCAAAGAGTATATTCTTATAAATTGTGCAATATTAAGTTTATCTTTATATTGACCAGGAGCCTTGTAATGAGGAGAGCTTTTCATTAATAATATGTTTGAATGTCATTGGTGTATTTCAGAAAAGCGTGGGATGTAAAAGTTCTTCCCTAATTTGTGCTGTAGATATAAAAAAAAATTGATTCTTCAAGGGCAAGCTTCCTGAATCCTGATTAAGTTACAATTCATTATCTCATAGATATCACCAGGATCAACTCTTCCGATTGGAAAAAATGGAAAATATTGACGTCATGTTCCTTGGTTTTGCTTCAACGGAAAACTGAATGATGACATGATAAGAAGAAATAGCATAGTTTGGATTTGAACAATCCATAGTCGTATATTTGTGAGGTAATAATCAGGGCGTGGACTCATTGTGCACACAAATCAATGCCTGCACCTTTACTTTAATGATTCTACAAAATGTAGCACTAGGATACAACAGTACGCTAGGACTTTGACAAAGTGGGAAATGGGCTGACTCAGCAAATCTTTCTGAATGAACATACAACTCCGTGTGTAAAGCATTCACAACAGGCTGGAATGAAAAGTCAATACTCTAGACACAACTACAGGAATATTGCTTTATACACTTTGTCGTTATAGAGTCTGCACCATGGTTAATGATATGTCTGTTCATGCTATACAGTTAGATGACAATATGCAAAGATACATGTTTTGGAAACTATAACAAGATTCTCCCTAGTTTCATGGATGCTGCATTTATTCCACTACATATCAGTTTGTTAGTATCATGAGTGAAACTCAGCCGATCTCACCACTGTCTGTGAGAGACATTGGAGGGATTATAAGGAAGGAAATGTATGGCTACAAGCTACATGTAACTGTATAGCATGCATCTTGGCATTAGCTTGCTCCACCAAGTTGGCATGAACAGTACACTGCCATCCTAGTCTCTATAACCAGCTAGTTAATGGTGCATCAAGTATATAGAAACATTTGTATTGTCATTTATATGGGCTATACTTCATAAAACAACAAAATACCAAATTGCCTTAATGAACTGCTATGTCCAAAAGATATTCTAAGTTGTTTAGCTTGTTCCCAATATTACTTTCATGAATAAAACTTTTTGAAGTTTACTGACACACTAAAAACTCATAATCAGCAAAGATTGTTTTTGTGCCAAACACACTGAAAGAGATTCGAACCCGTACAACAACATTGTTGCATTCGATTATTTCATGCCTGAATACCCAGAACAACTTAATTTGATAATTGTGTCCATTTTGCCAAATATTACAAAACATAAAAAATGTGTTTTCAAGGTGTTTTGGTATATACACACGCTCATGCTAAACATGACTTTTTAAATTCAATTTTATGTTTGACAACAAAAGACAATACAAACATAAAGATATAACATTTATCTAAATTTATGGTATGCATGGTTGTGACAGTTCATAAGCTTTAAAGATGAGTCTCCACTGTTTGTTCTTGAGAATGAATAAATGAATATTGTTTTAAGCTGCATCAGCAATTTTCCAGCCATCTGCGTTGGGACTTGTTCTTGTAAATCAAATCGTGAAAACAATTCATGAATCTGAATGAACTACACACCGATGACATGACCATTAAATGCACTAGCTGCAACTTTTAACCTTAGATGCCCATGTGGCACATAATGACTGACAACTCCAGGACAGCTATGTTGATTGTCAGCTACCATCATATTAATCACCATCACAACATATATATGTACTCTACAATCAGTGAGGTGTGCTGTAACAATATCTGTACCCTGTCCAAGAGTACTCTGTTCACACACACACACACAAACATACAGAATCACAGTTTCTTAGCAAATCTAAATGCAACTATATGTCTCTAACTCTTGTACATGTGCAGTTTACACAAGGTGAAAAATACATGGCTTCTATGTCTATTGTTATCACTGCATAAAACATGTAGTCCTGTATACAAGTAATATATATCATGGGAAACCTTGACATTGGTGAAAAGCATTCTACAGTATTCTTCTAGTGCTATTGGCTAGGTGTGTATCTCAGGGTTTGTCGGCAGTTCAATCCCCACATCACCACGACCATCTTGCCACTGCCGTATGTTCATACACTTATCCTTTAACATGGAACGCCCTTCACTCTGCTGACGTCTGGAGAAGTTTGGTCTGTGTCCTTCTCTGTGAGAGAAAAGGTGTCTCATTCATTGGGAATATACGATCCATATGTCCTTCAAGGAACTCTTGAATTTCATGAAAAGCCTATGAACTTGTGACACCATCATATTCTTTAAAGAATCTTTGATCTTGTGATACCATCATATTCTTTAAAGAATCCTTTATCTTGTGACACCATCATATTCTTTAAAGAAACTTTGATCTTGAGGAACCGTCATATTCTTTGAAGAATCCTTGATCTTGTGGTACCTCTGTTTTCTTTGAAGAAACTTTGATCTTGTGGAACCGTCATATTCTTTAAATAATCCTTCAAGGAACTCTTGAATATTATGAAAAGCCTACAAACTTGTGATACCATCATATTCTTTAAAGAATTTTTGATCTTGTGATACCATCATATTCTTTAAAGAATCCTTGATCTTGTGGTACCTCCATTTCCTTTGAAGAAACTTTGATCTTGTGGTATCTCCATATTCACTGAAGAAAGTTGCAATACCATCACATTCCATGTCAAAGAGAAAATGTTTTTTGTTTACACTTCTAAAAAGCTCTCTTGTGGTTCCTTCACATTATGTGTGCACTAGAAGATGTGTTGGTACCTATATGTTTCCCCAGAATCAAATTACCATGTGTTACATCCATATTCTTTGGAGCAAGCATAATCTGATCGACCAGTACATTGCCATGTGTCGCCTCCATCTTCCGTGGAGCAACCATGATCTGATCAACCAGTACATTGCCATGTGTCGCCTCCATCTTCCGTGGAGCAACCATCATCTCACGGACGATCACAGTCAAAGTGTAACATGGTTTGGAACAAGCAGGATCCTGTAAACCATCACATTCCAAGTGAAATAAGGAATGCAAGCAAGCATGATCTGTTTCTCTCGTTCATTGACACATCTTCACATAAACAAGTCCATATAAACTACATGGTGTTGTTGTACCTCTTCAATAATCCTTTGATAACATATTGAATCAAGGAGCACCTCAACAAGTCTCAGGATTGATAGGATGCAGACGATTCTCCTCACATTTCCACTGCATACCTTGCAATATCGACCTGATAATGGTGTAAACCTATGTATGCAATCTAGATCTGTAATCCAGGTTCCCTTCAATCATGTACAGACAACATGGAGTGAGGTTGATACAGTGTATACGAACACCTGGTGTCATCACAGAGTTTCTGCAATCCATTCAAGTTTCAGAGTTATTTTGCCTTATAGGCTTCAAAAAATTAAAGAATTGGTTCTCGAGCAATAACTATTAAAAATATAGTGCAGGCAGGCATTTTTTTATATATTTTTTTGCTTGTTCAAACTAGTATGTAACCAAATAAACAGATGTGTACCATCAACCTAGGAAAAGGCCTCCCTACATAAACAAGCATACAAACTCCTATTGCCGCCATGACCATAACATGAGATGCGTAGTAAAGCAGTGCGCAAATAAGGGGAAGTAACTGCGTGCTGTATTGGATTGCATTGTTTTTAAGTATTATGATTTTTGTATTTTTTTAAAAATGGAAATAAAAATGAAACATGCGGTGGACTTTATGATGATGTGGGCGGTGCCTGAGAAACAAGGCTTTTATTTTTTTTAGCCTTACACCCAATGGAATGTGTTTCGGCAGATTATCAAGGCTGGCACTGATGTTTGCTACAAAGTCACAACAACTCACTCCAGTGCCTTCCATACAGAAACAGAATGTGTGTTGTCTCCCGTCAGTCCAAGCGGCCGACAATAAATGCTGCAAACACTGACAGGAGAATCTCTTTCAACATGGCTACTGACAATAAGATACAGGATTACTTTGCTTTGATCCCAAATCTTCAATGTCAGTCATGCAGACAATTATATCACTGTCCACCTATCTGGGTAAGCTACAGTGTCTACCCAGTATCTGATAAACTACGTGATGATGTTCGCATAGGATGAGATCTCCAGAGTACACAGTGTCCTAGCATATTACTTTCCCAGCAGATCCGGTGGGGATGAATGTATCACATCCGATTTATCCTCTTCAACTCTTAGATCTTCATGAGAGATTTTTAGGGCCGGGTTAATTTTACCATTGATGTCTTTGTAAGAATCTATGATTGATGTCATTTCATCAGGAGCTATGCGAGCTGCTAGGGCAATACTTTCATCAGGTATATTAACAATACACATGAATACATCGTATCTTCGGGGGAAGATGCCAGTCTCAAATGCATACTTGAGGGGGTAGGAGACTCCCACTATTGTACCTAAGGTAATGAGCATGGATAGAGTCTTGAAGGGGAACAGTTGCACATTGTCCACATAGTCAAAGCCAGGGTATTTGATAATGGGTGGTACTCCGATGGCTATCTCGCCCCCAGCAAGACGGAAGAACAGGCCCAGGATGTAGCCTGCGAGGGAGCCGTACGTGTTGCTGAACTTGACGTATATGACGCAGATGAGTTGGGGGAAGAGGACGACGTAGACAAGGTCGGCACAGAGGTACCACAGTTCATAGATGGAGGTGACCATGATGGCCATGACTGTGGCCATTGCTCCCACGCCAAAGATGGCCAATCTCATCACCCACAGGATCTCCTTTTCAGAAGCCTGGAAGACAGAAGTATCAACATGAAACATGGCACAGTAGGGGAAACATGGCACAGTAGAGGAAATTCTTAAGGTAGGAATATTGTTATGCTGATCAATATGAGAATACAAAAATAAATCCTAAGTAAATTGGTAAAACAATAGTTTGATAAGGAAGCTGTTTAAAAGTTTGAAAAATAGTGTCACAGCATTGTAGCTCACCTGGATGGTGAAGACAGACACTTAAGAAAGGTTCCGTTAGCATTGATGTTCAAAAGATTTCTGTAGAAATACTGAGGACAAAAAACTGTAATAAGATCTAATGATTTGAAAAAAACACCATATGGAACATACCCATTGAACCCCATTACTAACAACACATCTACCAAATTTCTTTATATTTTGAAAAAAATTGACCGAGTAATGGTAATATATAGCTTTTTTCAATATTCCCTCGATAGTACAACCTTTTGGGTGCGGATGCCATGGTGACAGGAATAACAGGGGGTGTAAATAGCCACAACATATATAGCACTGCCATTATTATTTTCAAATCGGAATTTTGTAAATTTTACTTTAAATTGTACATTTATATACTTATCTATCTCACACTATGCATTTGTTCCTTCTTCTTTCAATCCTTATGTGGAAATGTGCTGGAACAAAGTTTCCAGCTTCGGAACACATTTCGCCCAAACACATACCAATTTCACCATGGTCATCACCCCCGAAATGGGCCAAGCACTGTAATCCTGTGAGTTGTGGCCAAACATGACCTGATCACCTGACTAGCCTGCCACATCATTCACTTCTAAGAGTTGACTGGCTACAGTATTTGTGATGCGGGGATCGTCGGGATATGGCGTGTCAGATAGGACAAGTATATAAATATACAATCTAATGTAAAATATACAAATTTTTAAACCTATCTCACACTATGCATTTATCCCACAGTTGGACTGTGGAGTGCAGATACCCTAGCCTGTAGAGACTACAACAGTGAGACACACACGAGGAAGCTGGCGCTAAACAGTGATACAAACAAAAAGAATCCATAACACTGCCTAGAGTTGCGAGACAATAACTTGTGAGTGAGTAAAAATCCCATAACAGGTGATGTGAGCCCTTTATGCTAATGGGATGTAAATATGACATCAGGTATAACATGTTTTCACGTTGGTCATCATTACACGAATGGCCGTGTAGCTTGAATAGATCAATGAGCTCTGCCCAGTTGGACACTGCCAGAATGACCACCTTTGAGGTTATCATTATGGAGTCGCTTTTCTTCGACGGACCAGCACCCTGCCACCTGTAGATCATGGAAGTGCGCTCCCCAGCCCATGGTTGAGTTGTCAACGAAGAGGTGTTGGTTCAGGAACATCCGCAAAGAGACTCCTGCAAACATAGCCAGCCAACACTGAAGATGCGTATGCAGAGAGATTGGTAGGGAGATTGGGACCAAGTAATTGTCACTCTGGAGGTAATGCTTCAGGAAGCACTGGATTGGTGGAAGCTGAAGTTGACTCTGTGTGACTGCTTGTGCCGACATTAGGACACCTAGTAGCTGTTGCCATTTGCGTAGAGGTAGGGGCTAGGGGCTATTTTCAGTAATCCCGTAGCAGATGCGAGTCACTTAGAGATGAGTTGCCTGGCTTGGAATGCATGTTGTCTGTGATGACCCTGACCTCAGCCACGAAAAGAACTGTGAATGAATGAATTGTGGTCGACGTCGCTCCTCCTTTGTTGGTCCTGCAGGTGCTGTTTTTGAAGCCGGAAGTGGTCCATGGATACCTGGAGATGTGTGTCCTGAGGAACATCCTGGGAGACATCCTGAATCCTTTTGACAAAGAGGTACCAGGTAAACTATGGAAGTTGGTATAAGCATGCCTTGAAGTGGTTGTCCCAATGACTGGCGGAGAGCTGTGATGTTACCAGCATGGTGCGAGATGAGATCCATGATACCCAAAAACTTCTTTTGAATCAGCATAACAGAACTGCTAATACAAAGCAAGATCACCATCTGATTCAGAAGACACATCAGCAGAAGACAATCCAAGAGTGCCAGTATTGTCTAATTTGAACTGAGGAGTTTGAAGACGATCTCATAAACGTCAGAACATAGCGAAAGTCTTGTCCAAATTACTGGTGGCAGCAGGCAGAAAAGGGTCTGGGAGCCAGCATTATGGCAGAGGAACCGGCGTTGGGTATGACAAAACATGCAGTACTGAGCTGTAACTGAAGTCGATCCACAATCCAAGGAAGGATAACCGCTGGATCGACATTGACTAAGCTCCCCGTAAAGCAGGTGGGGGAAGTCGGTACACCAGTGGAGTAAGTTCGTCTACGATTTAGACAACCCAGGCATTTATCATGTTCTGAACCCATCCTCTCTTCAAGTTAGAGTTGTAAATGTTTATACAAATGAGGACGTAGAAAAGCAAAAAAAATATGTATTCTCTAAAACTCAATACACGTCTCCACAGTGTGGCGATGAGAAAGAGCATGATGCAGCCGGGGTAGTCAGGTGATCATGTCGTGTAAGGTCACAACATGTTGTGTAAGATTATAGTGCATAACCCATTTGTTGGGGCGGTGACCATGGTGATATAGAAACGTGTTCAGGTGAAATGTTTTTAGAAGCTGAAAACTTTCTTCAGGCACGTTTCCACATAAGGATTGAAAGAAGAAGGATGAAATGCATAGTGTGAGATAGGAAAGTTTAAAGATTCATGTCTATGTTTATTTCCCTTGCTCATACCCTTTGAATTGATTTTTCTTGTACAGTTAACTACAGTTATAACGAACCCAAACAGATCTCTAATTTTAGTTTGTTATAACAATAGTTCCTTATATGCATATTTACAGCATACATACAGCAAATGGCTGGTACCAAAAAATAAATTTGTTATATCCGTCAGTTCGTTATAAACGTAGTTTACTGTATTTCATCTCATTTTATATATCAGTGATACTGTTCATTTCCAGAGTAAAAATATCATGATTAAAGCTGGTCTTTATTGATATTTACTGTTTTTGTTGGATGTAACGGATATCTTACTGCTTTACCCTCACCAAAACTTATTTATGACTGTTTTATGTGGGTAGTTTTTATTTGCAGTAATTTTCACAAAAAAGCATTTATGTTTAATTGGAAGCCTAGTCTCTCTGACAACTTTATTTTATGTACCCTATTAGCTGTCCCACTGCACTGACCTTTTGTCTGAAGATACACTTGTAGATGTTCCTGGAGAACATGGAGCTTGCTGACAAGATGGAGGAGTCTGCGGACGACATGACGGCGGCGGACACCGCACCCAGACCCACAAACGACACAAAGTCCGGGCACAGGAACTGCAGGCACATTGGGAGGATCAGGTTTAGACGCTCAGAGGGGATAGGAATAGGGCCATCGTAAGACGTCTGGTTCCAGTCTGAAAAAACAAAAGCTGGCTGTTAAAATATTTCCAATCCAAACACAAAACATGCAGAGATGGAGAAACTGAACTCAGCTTTGTGAAACAAGAAAGGAAAGGGAAATTTATCTTCCTTCATGTTGTTGGATGCCTGTCATTGCGTAGATCGATGCTTATAATGTCAATCACAGGATTGTCTGTTCCAGACTCGATTATATACAGAACACTGTCATATAACTTGAATTTTGCAGAGTGTGGCATTAAACAGCAAACAAACAATAATATTGATGACTTGGACATGACATCTGTTGGAAGCCTATTTTGCACTGTATATATATTCAATTTCATCTAATCAATTTAATTATGGAATTATACATACAGTGACATGGTTCCACATAGTTCAACTAAATATTTGTCTTCACAAATGAAATGTCTGAGACATAGAGAAGATCACCTGAGTGTCTTTATATCAAATATATCAACATGAGTTGTAAAAACTTCAAACTTCAAGACTTGCTGATATCAAAAGGTGACTATGTTTGTCATATGAGGCGACTACGTTTGTCGTAAGAGGCGACTATGTTTGTCGTAAGAGGCGACTATGTTTGTTGTAAGAGGCGACTAACGTGATTGGATGGTCAGACTCGCTGACTTGGTTGATGCATGTCATCGTATCCCAAATAGCATGGATTGATGCTCATGATGTCAATCACTGGATTGTCTGGTCCAGACTCGATTTTTTACAGACTTCTGCCATATAGCTGGACTATTCCTGAGTTGCGTTAAACAACAGACAAACAAACAAACAAACAATAACAAATGACACTCAGGTAAGATTCCATTGACCACTCAAGATCATTCCTCCAACCTGGAAACGGTAATAGCTAATGTCTTCAGTGTACAAAGTACAGATGGCAAGCTTCAGTGGCAGAGGGATCAGTGATGTCATTTGATTGTGACTTGATGGTCACCGATGGCGTCTGATATTGTCCTGTACAGTCTTACCGGTAGAAGCTGCGACTGCTCCAAACAGCACTGCAGGGAGCGCCATGATGATACAGCCAAAAGCAGCGATGTAGGACAAGATCTGGGCCTTGAAGGCCGACTTGGAGGACAGCACTCGCTGGAAGTACACCTGCAGCACAGACATCATCACGCATCACTCCTACTACATCATCACTACTACATCATCACTACTACACCATCAAACATCATTACTACATCATCAAGCTTCACTACTACTGGAATATTGCTGACTACAACATAGTCAACAAACAAAGCATGGCGGAACATATTGTTTACTCATGTTAGGGCCTAGGTGCAGTTCTTGGAGTAACATATTTTATCTTACCTCCATGTCAAAATGTTGAGATCTGATTGGTTCACATGATCTTGATAAAATACTATGTATCCCAACTTGAGGGAAATAAATTTCTGAACAGGAAAATAAATCCTTTATATGCCGACACAAAGAAACCAGACTGCAAGTGGATTTCTGAGCGGGAGACAAAACAAATAGCTTCACATTGCTTATGAGTCAATGAAAGTCACGTGAAGGCCAAGATGCAGTGCTAGGAGTAACATGTTCTATGCCCATGTGAAAGCCCAGATGCAGTGCTAGGAGTAACATATTCTATGCCCATGTGAAAGCCCAGATGCAGTGCTAGGAGTAACACATTCTATGCCAATGGGAAGGCCCAGATGCAGTGCTAGGAGTAACACATTCTATGCCCATGTGAAGGCCCAGATGCAGTGCTAGGAGTAACACATTCTATGCCCATGTGAAGACCCAGATGCAGTGCTAGGAGTAACACATTCTATGCCCATGTGAAGGCCCAGATGCAGTGCTAGGAGTTACATATTCTATGCCCATGTGAAGGCCCAGATGCAGTGCTAGGAGTAACACATTCTATGCCCATGGGAAGACCCAGATGCAGTGCTAGGAGTTACACATTCTATGCCCATGTGAAAGCCCAGATGCAGTGCTAGGACTAACACATTCTATGCCAATGGGAAGGCCCAGATGCAGTGCTAGGAGTAACACATTCTATGCCCATGTGAAGGCCCAGATGCAGTGCTAGGAGTAACACATTCTATGCCCATGGGAAGACCCAGATGCAGTGCTAGGAGTTACACATTCTATGCCCATGTGAAAGCCCAGATGCAGTGCTAGGACTAACACATTCTATGCCAATGGGAAGGCCCAGATGCAGTGCTAGGAGTAACACATTCTATGCCCATGTGAAGGCCCAGATGCAGTGCTAGGAGTAACACATTCTATGCCCATGTGAAGACCCAGATGCAGTGCTAGGAGTAACACATTCTATGCCCATGTGAAGGCCCAGATGCAGTGCTAGGAGTTACATATTCTATGCCCATGTGAAGGCCCAGATGCAGTGCTAGGAGTAACACATTCTATGCCCATGGGAAGACCCAGATGCAGTGCTAGGAGTAACACATTCTATGCCCATGTGAAGGCCCAGATGCAGTGCTAGGAGTAACACATTCTATGCCAATGGGAAGGCCCAGATGCAGTGCTAGGAGTAACACATTCTATGTCCATGGGAAGGCCCAGATGCAGTGCTAGGAGTAACACATTCTATGCCCATGTGAAGGCCCAGATGCAGTGCTAGGAGTAACACATTCTATGCCAATGGGAAGGCCCAGATGCAGTGCTAGGAGTAACACATTCTATGTCCATGGGAAGGCCCAGATGCAGTGCTAGGAGTAACATATTCTATGCCCATGTGAAAGCCCAGATGCAGTGCTAGGAGTAACACATTCTATGCCCATGTGAAGGCCCAGATGCAGTGCTAGGAGTAACACATTCTATGCCCATGCGAAGGCCCAGATTCAGTGCTAGGAGTAACATATTCTATGCCCATGGGAAAGCCCAGATGCAGTGCTATGAGTAACATATTCTATGTCCATGGGAAAGCCCAGATGCAGTGCTAGGAGTAACATATTCTATGCTCCTGTAAAAGCCCAGATGCAGTGCTAGGAATAACATATTCTATGCCCATGGGAAGGCCCAGATGCAGTGCTAGGAATAACATATTCTATGCCAATGGTAAGGCCCAGATGCAGTGCTAGGAGTAACACATTCTATGCCCATGGGAAGGCCAAGATGCAGTGCTAGGAGTAACATATTCTATGCTCATGTAAAAGCCCAGATGCAGTGCTAGGAGTAACATATTCTATGCCCATGGGAAGGCCCAGATGCAGTGCTAGGAATAACATATTCTATGCCAATGGTAAGGCCAGATGCAGTGCTAGGAGTAACATATTCTATGCCCAAGGGAAGGCCCAGATGCAGTGCTAGGAGTTACACATTCTATGCCCATGTGAAGGCCCAGATGCAGTGCTAGGAGTAACACATTCTATGCCCATGTGAAGGCCCAGATGCAGTGCTAGGAGTAACATATTCTATGCCCATGGGGAAGCCCAGATGCAGTGCTAGGAGTAACACATTCTATGCCCATGGGAAGGCCAAGATGCAGTGCTAGGAATAACATATTCTATGCCAATGGTAAGGCCAGATGCAGTGCTAGGAGTAACATATTCTATGCCCAAGGGAAGGCCCAGATGCAGTGCTAGGAGTTACACATTCTATGCCCATGTGAAGGCCCAGATGCAGTGCTAGGAGTAACACATTCTATGCCCATGTGAAGGCCCAGATGCAGTGCTAGGAGTAACACATTCTATGCCCATGTGAAGGCCCAGATTCAGTGCTAGGAGTAACATATTCTATGCCCATGGGAAAGCCCAGATGCAGTGCTATGAGTAACATATTCTATGCCCATGGGAAAGCCCAGATGCAGTGCTAGGAGTAACATATTCTATGCTCATGTAAAAGCCCAGATGCAGTGCTAGGAATAACATATTCTATGCCCATGGGAAGGCCCAGATGCAGTGCTAGGAATAACATATTCTATGCCAATGGTAAGGCCCAGATGCAGTGCTAGGAGTAACACTTTATATGCCCATGGGAAGGCCAAGATGCAGTGCTAGGAGTAACATATTCTATGCTCATGTAAAAGCCCAGATGCAGTGCTAGGAGTAACATATTCTATGCCCATGGGAAGGCCCAGATGCAGTGCTAGGAATAACATATTCTATGCCAATGGTAAGGCCAGATGCAGTGCTAGGAGTAACATATTCTATGCCCAAGGGAAGGCCCAGATGCAGTGCTAGGAGTTACACATTCTATGCCCATGTGAAGGCCCAGATGCAGTGCTAGGAGTAACACATTCTATGCCCATGTGAAGGCCCAGATGCAGTGCTAGGAGTAACATATTCTATGCCCATGGGGAAGCCCAGATGCAGTGCTAGGAGTAACACATTCTATGCCCATGTGAAGACCCAGATGCAGTGCTATGAGTAACATATTCTATGCCCATGGGAAAGCCCAGATGCAGTGCTATGAGTAACATATTCTATGCCCATGGGAAAGCCCAGATGCAGTGCTAGGAGTAACATATTCTATGCTCATGTAAAAGCCCAGATGCAGTGCTAGGAATAACATATTCTGTGCCCATGGGAAGGCCCAGATGCAGTGCTAGGAATAACATATTCTATGCCAATGGTAAGGTCCAGATGCAGTGCTAGGAGTAACACATTCTATGCCCATGGGAAGGCCAAGATGCAGTGCTAGGAGTAACATATTCTATGCTCATGTAAAAGCCCAGATGCAGTGCTAGGTGTAACATATTCTATGCCAATGGGAAGGCCCAGATGCAGTGCTAGGAATAACATATTCTATGCCCAAGGGAAGGCCCAGATGCAGTGCTAGGAGTTACACATTCTATGCCCATGTGAAGGCCCAGATGCAGTGCTAGGAGTAACATATTCTATGCCCATGTGAAGGCCCAGATGCAGTGCTAGGAGTAACACATTCTATGCCCATGTGAAGGCCCAGATGCAGTGCTAGGAGTAACACATTCTATGCCCATGGGAAGGCCCAGATGCAGTGCTAAGAGTAACACATTCTAAGCCCATGTGAAGGCCCAGATGCAGTGCTAGGTGTAACATATTCTATGCCCATGTGAAGGCCCAGATGCAGTGCTAGGAGTAACATATTCTATGCCCATGTGAAGGCCCAGATGCAGTGCTAGGAGTAACATATTCTATGCCCATGGGAAGGCCCAGATGCAGTGCTAGGAGTAACATATTCTATGCCCATGTGAAGGCCCAGATGCAGTGCTAGGAGTTACACATTCTATGCCCATGTGAAGGCCCAGATGCAGTGCTAGGAGTAACACGTTCTATGCCCATGTGAAGGCCCAGATTCAGTGCTAGGAGTAACATATTCTATGCCCATGGGAAAGCCCAGATGCAGTGCTATGAGTAACATATTCTATGCCCATGGGAAAGACCAGATGCAGTGCTAGGAGTAACATATTCTATGCTCATGTAAAAGCCCAGATGCAGTGCTAGGAATAACATATTCTATGCCCATGGGAAGGCCCAGATGCAGTGCTAGGAATAATATATTCTATGCCAATGGTATGGCCAGATGCAGTGCTAGGAGTAACACATTCTATGCCCATGTGAAGGCCCAGATGCAGTGCTAGGAGTAACATATTCTATGCCGATGTGAAGGCCCAGATGCAGTGCTAGGAGTTACACATTCTATGCCCATGTGAAGGCCCAGATGCAGTGCTAGGAGTAACATATTCTATGCCCATGTGAAGGCCCAGATGCAGTGCTAGGAGTAACACATTCTATGCCCATGTGAAGGCCCAGATGCAGTGCTAGGAGTAACACATTCTATGCCCATGGGAAGGCCCAGATGCAGTGCTAGGAGTAACATATTCTATGCCCATGGGAAGGCCCAGATGCAGTGCTAGGAGTAACACATTCTATGCCCATGTGAAGGCCCAGATGCAGTGCTAGGAGTAACACATTCTATGCCCATGTGAAGGCCCAGATGCAGTGCTAGGAGTAACACATTCTATGCCCATGTGAAGGCCCAGATGCAGTGCTAGGAGTAACATATTCTATGCCCATGTGAAGGCCCAGATGCAGTGCTAGCAGTTACACATTCTATGCCCATGTGAAGGCCCAGATGCAGTGCTAGGAGTAACACATTCTATGCCCATGTGAAGGCCCAGATGCAGTGCTAGGAGTAACACATTCTATGCCCATGGGAAGGCCCAGATTCAGTGCTAGGAGTAACATATTCTATGCCCATGGGAAAGCCCAGATGCAGTGCTAGGAGTCACATATTCTATGCCCATGGGAAAGCCCAGATGCAGTGCTAGGAGTAACATATTCTATGCTCATGTAAAAGCCCAGATGCAGTGCTAGGAATAACATATTCTATGCCCATGGGAAGGCCCAGATGCAGTGCTAGGAATAACATATTCTATGCCAATGGTAAGGCCAGATGCAGTGCTAGGAGTAACACATTCTATGCCCATGGGAAGGCCAAGATGCAGTGCTAGGAGTAACATATTCTATGTTCATGTAAAAGCCCAGATGCAGTGCTAGGAGTAACATATTCTATGCCCATGGGAAGGCCCAGATGCAGTGCTAGGAATAACATATTCTATGCCAATGGTAAGGCCAGATGCAGTGCTAGGAGTAACATATTCTATGCCCAAGGGAAGGCCCAGATGCAGTGCTAGGAGTTACACATTCTATGTCCATGTGAAGGCCCAGATGCAGTGCTAGGAGTAACACATTCTATGCCCATGTGAAGGCCCAGATGCAGTGCTAGGAATAACACATTCTATGCCCATGTGAAGGCCCAGATGCAGTGCTAGGAGTGACACATTCTATGCCCATGTGAAGACCCAGATGCAGTGCTAGGAGTAACACATTCTATGCCCATGGGAAGGCCCAGATGCAGTGCTAGGAGTAACATATTCTATGCCCATGTGAAGGCCCAGATGCAGTGCTAGGAGTTACACATTCTATGCCCATGTGAAGGCCCAGATGCAGTGCTAGGAGTAACATATTCTTTGCCCATGTGAAGGCCCAGATGCAGTGCTAGGAGTTACACATTCTATGCCCATGTGAAGGCCCAGATGCAGTGCTAGGAGTAACACATTCTATGCCCATGGGGAGGCCAAGATGCAGTGCTAGGAGTAACATATTCTATGCCCATGGGAAGGCCCAGATGCAGTGCTAGGAGTAACACATTCTATGCCCATGTGAAGGCCCAGATGCAGTGCTAGGAGTAACACATTCTATGCCCACATGAAGGCCCAGATGCAGTGCTAGGAGTAACACATTCTATGCCCATGTGAAGGCCCAGATGCAGTGCTAGGAGTTACACATTCTATGCCCATGTGAAGGCCCAGATGCAGTGCTAGGAGTAACACATTCTATGCCCATGGGAAGGCCCAGATGCAGTGCTAGGAGTTACACATTCTATGCCCATGGGAAGGCCAAGATGCAGTGCTAGGAGTAACATATTCTATGCCAATGGTAAGGCCAGATGCAGTGCTAGGAGTAACATATTCTATGCCCATGGGAAAGACCAGATGCAGTGCTAGGAGTAACATATTCTATGCTCATGTAAAAGCCCAGATGCAGTGCTAGGAATAACATATTCTATGCCCATGGGAAGGCCCAGATGCAGTGCTAGGAATAATATATTCTATGCCAATGGTATGGCCAGATGCAGTGCTAGGAGTAACACATTCTATGCCCATGTGAAGGCCCAGATGCAGTGCTAGGAGTAACATATTCTATGCCGATGTGAAGGCCCAGATGCAGTGCTAGGAGTTACACATTCTATGCCCATGTGAAGGCCCAGATGCAGTGCTAGGAGTAACATATTCTATGCCCATGTGAAGGCCCAGATGCAGTGCTAGGAGTAACACATTCTATGCCCATGTGAAGGCCCAGATGCAGTGCTAGGAGTAACACATTCTATGCCCATGGGAAGGCCCAGATGCAGTGCTAGGAGTAACATATTCTATGCCCATGGGAAGGCCCAGATGCAGTGCTAGGAGTAACACATTCTATGCCCATGTGAAGGCCCAGATGCAGTGCTAGGAGTAACACATTCTATGCCCATGTGAAGGCCCAGATGCAGTGCTAGGAGTAACACATTCTATGCCCATGTGAAGGCCCAGATGCAGTGCTAGGAGTAACATATTCTATGCCCATGTGAAGGCCCAGATGCAGTGCTAGCAGTTACACATTCTATGCCCATGTGAAGGCCCAGATGCAGTGCTAGGAGTAACACATTCTATGCCCATGTGAAGGCCCAGATGCAGTGCTAGGAGTAACACATTCTATGCCCATGGGAAGGCCCAGATTCAGTGCTAGGAGTAACATATTCTATGCCCATGGGAAAGCCCAGATGCAGTGCTAGGAGTCACATATTCTATGCCCATGGCAAAGCCCAGATGCAGTGCTAGGAGTAACATATTCTATGCTCATGTAAAAGCCCAGATGCAGTGCTAGGAATAACATATTCTATGCCCATGGGAAGGCCCAGATGCAGTGCTAGGAATAACATATTCTATGCCAATGGTAAGGCCAGATGCAGTGCTAGGAGTAACACATTCTATGCCCATGGGAAGGCCAAGATGCAGTGCTAGGAGTAACATATTCTATGTTCATGTAAAAGCCCAGATGCAGTGCTAGGAGTAACATATTCTATGCCCATGGGAAGGCCCAGATGCAGTGCTAGGAATAACATATTCTATGCCAATGGTAAGGCCAGATGCAGTGCTAGGAGTAACATATTCTATGCCCAAGGGAAGGCCCAGATGCAGTGCTAGGAGTTACACATTCTATGTCCATGTGAAGGCCCAGATGCAGTGCTAGGAGTAACACATTCTATGCCCATGTGAAGGCCCAGATGCAGTGCTAGGAATAACACATTCTATGCCCATGTGAAGGCCCAGATGCAGTGCTAGGAGTGACACATTCTATGCCCATGTGAAGACCCAGATGCAGTGCTAGGAGTAACATATTCTATGCCAATGGTAAGGCCAGATGCAGTGCTAGGAGTAACATATTCTATGCCCAAGGGAAGGCCCAGATGCAGTGCTAGGAGTTACACATTCTATGCCCATGTGAAGGCCCAGATGCAGTGCTAGGAGTAACATATTCTTTGCCCATGTGAAGGCCCAGATGCAGTGCTAGGAGTTACACATTCTATGCCCATGTGAAGGCCCAGATGCAGTGCTAGGAGTAACACATTCTATGCCCATGGGGAGGCCAAGATGCAGTGCTAGGAGTAACATATTCTATGCCCATGGGAAGGCCCAGATGCAGTGCTAGGAGTAACACATTCTATGCCCATGTGAAGGCCCAGATGCAGTGCTAGGAGTAACACATTCTATGCCCACATGAAGGCCCAGATGCAGTGCTAGGAGTAACACATTCTATGCCCATGTGAAGGCCCAGATGCAGTGCTAGGAGTTACACATTCTATGCCCATGTGAAGGCCCAGATGCAGTGCTAGGAGTAACACATTCTATGCCCATGGGAAGGCCCAGATGCAGTGCTAGGAGTTACACATTCTATGCCCATGGGAAGGCCAAGATGCAGTGCTAGGAGTAACATATTCTATGTCTATGATACAGCCTGGCGGACATGCTCGGAGTCACCTGGTTAACAACAGACTGTGAAGGCACCGACCTGCCATGGAATTCCTCCAAAGATGAGAAGCAGCATACTATCAATGTATATTCCCGCAGTCTTTGGTTCCAACGTGTTAATCCAGTTCTCCGTAGCGTTCACAGTGATCGGTTGTACAGCTTCGTTGGTCATCGCGAATGGGATGCTTACCCACTGAGAATGTGAAAATATTTTTCAGGTGAGAGAAGGTCCACGACAATATTTGAGCAAAATTTTAAGAATGATTATACAGACTATGGAATTGACATACTTTTCAACTTCATATTTCTCCAAGCCTGACCAACATTATTCTATTAATGAAGGAAAAGAAACAGGTCATATCTTTTGGTCTCTCGTAATCTTTTCTCAATTTCTGGTGTCCCCTGCCATGATAGTGCTGAATATTTCTAAAAGTGGCGTAAAACCCAACTCACTCACTCACTTAATCTTCATATCATATGTCAGAGTATTTTCAGTGGAGATTACACTACATGACTTACCAGTCCCAGGAAGATGCAGAAGAGCTGCACGACATCGGTGTATGCCACAGAGTAGAGCCCCCCTATGAGCGTGTAGAAGAGGGCAATGCAGGACGACACAATGATGGACGTCTTGGTGTCCAGATCCACAATCACAGAGAGCGTGGCACCTGAAAACACAGATACTTCAATTTTAGATTCAGACTTGGACTGCAATGTAACACTGCAATACAGTGATCCCTCGATATACCGCTGTCATCGGGGTCCAAGAAACCGACCCCGCATTCTAGGAAAGAGAGCGTGTATTACAATATATATCTCGACAGTAAGGTTGTGATACGATACAATACATACCTTGATAATAAGGTTGTGATATAATACACAATACGATATTATCTTGACAGTTAAGTTTCTATATGATACACGATACAATACGTACCTTGATAATAAGGTTGTGATATAATACACAATATGGTACTATCTTGACAGTTAAGTTTCTATATGATACATGATACAATACGTACCTTGATAATAAGTTTGTGATATGATACACAATACATATCTTGACAGTAAGATCATGATATGATACACAATACGATACACATCTCGATAGTATGGCTGTGTTATGATCCACAATATGATATGTACTTTGATAGTTAGGTTTCTATATGACACACGATACAATACATATCTCGATAGTATGGCTGTGTTATGATCCACAATATGATATGTACTTTGATAGTTAGGTTTCTATATGACACATGATACAATACATATCTCGATAGTAAGGCTGTGTTATGACACACGATATGATATGTACTTTGATAGTTAGGTTTCTAAATGACACATGATACACTACATATCTCGATAGTATGGCTGTGTTATGACACACGATATGATATGTACTTTGATAGTTAGGTTTCTATATGACACATGATACACTACATATCTCGATAGTATGGCTGTGTTATGACACACGATATGATATGTACTTTGATAGTTAGGTTTCTATATGACACATGATACACTACATATCTCGATAGTATGGCTGTGTTATGATACACGATATGATATGTACTTTGATAGTTAGGTTTCTATATGACACATGATACAATACATATCTCGATAGTATGGCTGTGTTATAATACACGATATGATATGTACTTTGATAGTTAGGTTTCTATATGACACATGATACAATAGATATCTCGATAGTAAGGTCGCGATATAATCCACGATATGATATGTACTTTGATAGTTAGGTTTCTATATGACACATGATACACTACATATCTTGATAGTAAGGTCACGATGTAATCCACGATATGATATGTACTTTGATAGTTAGGTTTCTATATGACACATGATACACTACATATCTCGATAGTAAGGCTGTGTTATGACACACGATATGATATGTACTTTGATAGTTAGGTTTCTATATGACACATGATACAATACATATCTCGATAGTATGGCTGTGTTATGATACACGATATGATATGTACTTTGATAGTTAGGTTTCTATATGACACATGATACACTACATATCTCGATAGTAAGGCTGTGTTATGATACACGATATGATATGTACTTTGATAGTTAGGTTTCTATATGACACATGATACAATACATATCTCGATAGTAAGGTCGCGATATAATCCACGATATGATATGTACTTTGATAGTTAGGTTTCTATATGACACATGATACACTACATATCTTGATAGTAAGGTCACGATATAATCCACGATATGATATGTACTTTGATAGTTAGGTTTCTATATGACACATGATACACTACATATCTCGATAGTAAGGCTGTGTTATAACACACGATATGATATGTACTTTGATAGTTAGGTTTCTATATGACACATGATACAATACATATCTCGATAGTATGGCTGTGTTATGATACACGATATGATATGTACTTTGATAGTTAGGTTTCTATATGACACATGATACACTACATATCTCGATAGTAAGGTCGTGATATAATCCACGATATGATATGTACTTTGATAGTTAGGTTTCTATATGACACATGATACACTACATATCTCGATAGTAAGGTCGTAATATGATACACGATATGATATGTACTTTGATAGTTAGGTTTCTATATGACACATGATACACTACATATCTCGATAGTAAGGTCGTGATATAATCCATGATATGTACTTTGATAGTTAGGTTTCTATATGACACATGATACACTACATATCTCGATAGTAAGGTCGTGATATAATCCACGATATGATATGTACTTTGATAGTTAGGTTTCTATATGACACATGATACACTACATATCTCGATAGTAAGGTCGTGATATGATCCACGATATGAAACATGAAAACTTAAATGTCTATGCCATGAGACCTATTCCATCATTAAAGGAACGATTTGAAGCCCAACCAATACATAGTCATAGTCATTCCCTAAGAAATGTTACAATATGATGTGTTTGTATGATAGTAATGGCAAAACAAATTGGGTAACCGACTTAAGGAACCTGCTGAATAATTGTGGTTTTGGTTACAGTTTTAAATTAGAACATATTGCTTATCCGAAGTTGTTCATAAATGCTATAACACAAAGATTAAAAGATTTATATTTTCAGTCATGGAATGCAACTCTAATGCGTTCACCAAAGTCCCTGTTATATAGCAGTTTCAAGTCATATATCATTGCAGAGCAATACCTTTTCAGTGTTAGCCTTAGAAAATTTAGGGTAGCACTTGCAAGGTTCCGATGTTCATCACACGATCTTTTAATTGAAAAAGGTAGATATCAAAATATTCCGAGAGAAAATAGACTCTGTCCACTATGTGACCTAGGATTAATTGAGGACGAGTATCACTTTTTACTAGTATGTCTGCATTATGATGAGCTAAGAAAAGTATATTTACCAAAATATTTTCATATAAACCATTGTACATTTAAGTTTAAACTATTACTGACCACTAGCAACATCGAAACCATAAGAAATCTTTCTATGTACATATATCATGCTTTTATACAAAGAAAATCAAGTTTGGAACTTATATGATTGTACCAATTGCTCCTGTAATCATGATTGTACTATAGGCCTGTGGCCTCCTCAGTACGTTGAATAAAGAAATTGAAAACATAGTCAGAAAACATCAATCTATAGAAAACTGCATCAAGGCCTCACAAAGTACATACAAGCAGGAAATAGTACTTACATTACATTTTCATACAATTTTACATGTCATCTTTCCATCTCATCAAACTTTGAAAGAGAAAATTGATTTTATGTACATAATTTTAAGCTACAATTTCGGGCAAATTCAATGGCTTTTAAAAGCAAAATTGAAGATCTTTTCAAGCCCTAAACAGACGGTGGATCCATTCATCATATTTTTAAATGGGACATGTCTTCTCTACTTAATTAATGGGGCATGGTCCTTAGTCAAGAGGCTATATTCACAAGAATAGTGAGTTGCTGTTACCCAGAGGTGAAGGAGGCTATATTCACAAGAATAGTGAGCTGTTGTTGTTACTCAGAGGTGAAGGAGGCTATATTCATGAGAATAGTGAGTTGCTGTTACCCAGAGCTGAGAGGGGCTATATTCACAAGAATTGTGAGTTGTTTCCCAGAGGTGAGGGAGACTATATTCATAAAAATAGTGAGTTGCTGTTACCCAGAGCTGAGAGGATAGCCGCAGTCCAGAAGACCTCCCCGAGTAGGGCTGGCAGGTACAGCAGCCCTCCCATCCTCTCCCCATATTTGTACTGGAATGGATCCAGCATGGTCACATAGCCTTCTGATCGCATCTTGTTGGCAAAGAACAATCCACCTGCAATAGGAATCAGATTGCATATTGGCTGGATGACCCTTTCATTCATCTTTAGTCAACCCGATAAATTCACTTATGCACGTTGTATTCTCTAGCAACAAATATAAGCTACACAATCCTTTCCACAACCATAACAAATCTCTGCCAGAGTACATTGTATGATTCTCACATCATGAGCATGTTTTTATGAATCACTATGAAATAGTGATGATACCAGGTGTTTGTGAAAAGATGAGCCTATCCTCCTCCAACGGTGGCACCATCAAAAATACATGCAAAGGCAAGTCAACTGTTCATCTGACAAGACACATGAGCATATTGTACAAGTCAAAATAGGGAATTGCATTGGACATAACTTTTGTCACTGATACGTTGAATTTGGACATGTTCTCGGCATGTCAACCGTAAGTTCAACAAAATGACAAATCGGATTTTGTTGAGCAATGTCAAAGATTCGTCATTTCCTTCAAAGTGATGTTGACTCCAACCCACTCACTTATTCCCAGTGGGAGTGGGTGGTCAGAATTGCTGACTTGGGTTATGCATGGCATCATTTCCCAATTGTGTAAATCGATGCTCCTGATGTCAATCACTGAATTGCCTGGTCCAGACTTCCTCATTTACAGACTGCCGTCATATAGCTGGAATATTGCTGAGTGAGGCATTAAAAGACAAACAAAGATAACAAGGTAACTGGTCTGCTTTTGTCTTGTGGCCTTATCGCATGATCTAAATATGTCAGTAGTTCACTGAAAATTATTTAGTGTACAAAATGTGATGTCTTCCCGGAGCTTACCAAAGATGAGACTCAGGGCATATCCAAAGGGGGCTTGACACCACACCAGGCCATCTCGGACAATGATCTCGGCTGTGCCATTGATGTACGCCCCTCCGACCCACGTGGCTGCAATACAAACACAAGTCTTTGAAAGGCATTTAGAAGCGATACACATAAGGAAGTGAATTTATAGATGTTTACTCACCTGATGAAGGAGTAAATATATACTCTGAGGTGTACGTGGAGGTGATTAATTCACTTATATAGCAACACGCATGCACGTGCGTGCGTGCGTGTGTGTGTGTGTGTGCATGGGTGCGTGCGTGTGTGTGTGGCTGCTTGTACTAGTTCAGACTGATGCCGATTTAAATTGCTAGCTCACTGAGATACCATGCCACAATTTAACATGAATACCCCACTCAGACACTGTATACTGACTCTGAGCCGACCAGTCCTTGTTTTAGCCCCTTAATGTACAAGTACCATCTTATAATGTCTTTTGGTATGACGAGGCCGAGGATCGAACCCTGAACCTTCAGCTCTTGGGTGGACGCTTAACTACTAGACCACGGAGGCGGTAGGAAAGCAGAAAGGGTTACAGTGAACAAAAGACAATAGTATCACTGCTACTGAAATATGCTGAAATATGTACTTAGGAATACAGTTTCAGTTAGAGTGAAATACAGACAATGCTATGATGCCACTACTGCTAGTATTTACTTGGGGATATGTTGTTAGTCAAACAGTATAACATAAAACATGAACGCTAGAGAATAAGTGGTCTCGATTATCAGATGAAACACATTCCATTAGGCGTAAAGGGCAAATTATCATTGAAAATTACATGCATGAATCACTGAATATCAGTTGTCAGGGAAGTAGTTTATTTACAAGCCGCTTCCAGAAGTCACCTTCACAATTTCAAAAAGAGAAACACAATGTTTTTTTAAAATGAGGCTTATCTGAAATTTTGCTCCATGATTCCTATCCAGAAAGTGAATGGTTTCTTCGATATGTGTTTGTCCCAGGTTACCATTGTTTTAAACATCATAAAGATGTTCTGGCGTCATATATACAGAACATGCTATGATTATCATGTGTCCTTACTCACAGTCAATATGTAACATTGTGCATAATATTAAAACTAGTTTTCTTATGACTTAACATGATCTACATTGATCGGCTAATTCTATATTTGTACACTGTTATTTGCATATGTCTTTAGAGTATACAACAGCTAAACTGACACATCATGTGTCAATAGCACATCTAGAACCTCAGTAATCTGTCAACCTGCCTTCTGGACAACCATGCATGAAGGACACAGCCTAGTACCCATGAACTGCCTCCATGACTCCGCTAGAGGAGAGGAGAATGGAAGGTCGGGGGATTGATCCCGACGCCCGTATCATACCAAGACGGCAAAAGATGGCACTTATTGTTACCCTGCTTGGTGCTAGGCATTAAACTGTGTCTGAGTGGGGTTATTTTATAACTTTGACATGGTATCTTAGCGGGCTTCCAGTATAAAGCCAGCATTTAGTCCAGACCAGTACAATCAGACACAGACACATGCAAACATACACTCACGTTGCTATAAAAGTGAAATTATCTTGAACGCAATGATAGTACCCCTGATGTGTTAATCTGGACACTTGTTAATCTGGACTCTTGTTAATCTGGACATCTCCAGTGGGAATAGAACCATCCGGATTATCAAGGTTTCACTGTACAACCACTGAATGAGTTGCAAATGAGTTGTACATTAATCTTGCTTTGGTATATTGACTTGGATGTTTTTTTCACAATTGATGCATTCAAAGATAAGAAATAAAGTACAGACTGTCCACAGCACTAACCTAAGCCTTCAAAAGATCAAGAATAGCTTGTACGCCCCGTGGTTCAAACTGGCAGCAGTTTAAGCCCAAACTGTCTCAATTCAATAAGTATGAAGCAGACATTCGGTGATTCTACTTTTGCTTCTTATTCTAATGACTTCTTTTATGAAGTTATCAAAATAAAAGACAGCAGTCATATGGTGGACCTATCTGGCTTTGTCTCAACTGTGGAAATCACAATATCGGACAAAACCGTTTTATTGCTCCTTAAAGACGGGGAATTATGGAGCAGTCTGTGAATCGACAGCAAATCAAATTTTCTTCAATTGCCAGGTATTATCTCTGTCTGGATACTGAATTTCCACACTAGTGGCCAATAAAACAAGCGCTGTCCACAGACAGGCAACTGGGAGAAAATCAGACAGGCAAGACTGTCATTGGATCCAAGAAACTTAATTGGGTAATCCTGCAAAATGCTCTGTCAAATTTCCATAATTCAGTGCTGATTTGTAACGCGTTGCCACGCTGAAAAAGGTAGCAGTGTGATCAGGGAGCCTAAGCCTGTTTCTACAACTGCTAAGATCCTCGCTTTCTCGGCTGTAATTTTCATTTGACATTAGGACCAAATGGCATATTGATTGAGTAGGGGGTTCTGCGTATATGCTCCCCAAATCAATCTGTCTAGAGAAATAGAGAAATATCATCATTAGACATTATGACGGCAGGCCCTCTATCAGAAAATTGAATTTTTCCAATAAGATAACAAAGACACTCATTTATTTCACCAATTGGTGCACGTTACTGCAACACTTTGTCTAGTACAAGTTGGGTCAGTTACTGAGATTCAGAGTGTTGTCAATCGGGCAATAAATATCACAAATTACAAACCCTTTTACAATTACAACTTATCACTCCTTTTCTCTGATTGGTCCAGATATTGAAATACAAAATATTTTTTTTATATCCTGCTTATCTGAGTTACTATGGTTACTGGATGCTGATAAGGAGTGGAGTGTGCACACAGATTTTCTCTGTTTAAACTTTGGTGACTCTGTTATAGTTACAAAAACCTTAATTAAATTTGTCTTGTTTGTTGATCAAAACATGCCACTCAGCAGTATTCCAGCTGTATGATGAGTACAATGTGTGAAGCCCATTTCTGGTGTCCCCCGCGGTGATATTGCTGGAATATTGCTAAAAGCGGCGTAAAACCTCACTCACTCACTCACTCCAGCTGTATCACAGCTGTTACAGAATCAAGTCAGGACCAAACAAGCCAGTGACTGAGTGAGTAATAGAGATATTTGAATGAATTAGGCTTCACACATTGCACCCATGTGGGGAATCAAACCCAGACCTTCTGAGTGATGAGCGAACACTTTAACCCCAAGGCTAGCCCATAATCCAAAGCCAGTGATTGACATAATGAGCATTTGGATTAGATGAAAAAAAACCCGGATGCATTCACTTAACTCTTACAACAAGAATAAGTTATTCGCAGGGATAATTCTAGGGTGGGCCCTTGTGCTTTTAGCCCTTAAATTTGAAAAAAAGGCCCACATTTTCAAATACAATGAGACATTTTAACATTGTGCTGCATGGGCATGTGTGGGTGGAATATTTGAAATTTTCACATAAAGGGCCCATGTCAGAAAATTCCAAGAGTGAACCCTGTACTCGGGGCCATTTCTAAGCCAGTGTAAGCTGCCCAAATCAAATCCACCCCCCTTCAGAGTACACCCGGGGTAGATTCTGGGAGCTCCCAAATTATACCCGGGGGTTGATTCTGGGAAAGGGGGGTAGATTCTGGGAGCTACCAGAATATACCCCGGGGGTGTGTTTATACTTTCAAAGCGTTAACACACAGTATAAGTTATAGCTAGGTCAACTAACTATTATGAACTTGATATATGGTCAGAGTCCATTGTTAACTCAGTGTGGCTCAATAGTCCTTGGGAAGACCTGATCCTACAATAAGTTAGCATTACAGCTTAGATTGTAAGGAGAGATTAATAATCACATTATCTGTCAACGATATCTCCTCTCGAGGTGGATGGAAATACCTGCAGCCATGGACTGGCCACGGCAGTAACAAGATGTGACATTTAGACAACTATCAGGAACCATCGCCCCAAGAAGAACAGACCTGTTTCAGTTACCTAATGCTACGTGTACTTGATGTTCCTAACCAAACAGACATGGCTGAGTGCAGCATTAAACAACATTACACAAACATTAGCACACTGCCCCCTTGTGGGAATCACATAGGTCTCTTGACCAACATGAAAAGCCTTGTCTCCAGTGAGCCATTGAGGGAAAAGTGAGTCATGTGTCTCGAGTGAAAGGTGAGTTATGTGTCTCGAGGGAAAGGTGAGTCATGTGTCTTGAGGGAAAGGGGAGTCATGTGTCTTGAGGGAAAGGGGAGTCATGTGTCTCGAGGGAAAGGTGAGTCATGTGTCTCGGGGGAAAGGTGAGTCATGTGTCTCGAGGGAAAGGCAAGTTATGTGTCTTGAGGGAAAGATGAGTCATGTGTCTCGATGGAAAGGTGAGTCATGTGTCTCGAGGGAAAGGCAAGTTATGTGTCTTGAGGGAAAGGTGAGTCATGTGTCACGAGAGAAAGGTGAGACATGTGTCTCGAGGGAAATGTGAGTCATGTGTCCTGAGGGAAAGGTGAATCATGTGTCTCGAGGAAAAGGTGAGTCATGTGTTGTCTCGAGGGAAAGGTGAGTCATGTGTCTTGAGGGAAAGGCAAGTTATGTGTCTCGAGGGAAAGGTGAGTCATGTGTCTTGAGGGAAAGGTGAGTCATGTATCTTGAGGGAAAGGTAAGTCATGTGTCTTGAGGGAAAGGCAAGTCATGTGTCTCGAGGGAAAGGTGAGTCATGTGTCTTGAGGGAAAGGTGAGTCATGTGTCTTGAGGGAAAGGTGAGTCATGTGTCTTGAGGGAAAGGCAATTAAGTCATGTGTCTTGAGGGAAAGGTGAGTCATGTGTCTTGTACAGGTTCCTAACTGATGTTAGGATATGGTATACTTTCATCCTTAGAATTGGCTAGGAGGTATTGTGTTTGAAGGCATTATCAAACAATAATTATTTTTGTGCATAATTTTATGAATACTACACAAAATTCATGTCTAGGGGTCCCCTGAAGAATCCAGGTAAGAATAGGTCTTCATCAAACCATGCTTGTCGTAAAAGTTGACTAACGGGACCGGGTGGTCAGGCTTGCTGACTTGGTTGATGCATGTCATTGTATCCCAATTGTGTAGATTGATTTGCATGATGTCATGAT